ATCTTCCTCCATCTGTGCATCCCTCAAAATGCCCTTCCCAGCCGCCATAAAACTCTTCCTGGCGACACTCACCTTTGCGGCGGTCGCCATCGTCCCCATCCAACAGGAAATACGTCCTGACTGCGACACAGGCCTCATGATATGCAACCAGAGGAGGCAAGAGATCGCCATATGCTCCAACAATAAGTTCGTCATGTACGAGAGGTGCGCGGGGCCCACTTGCAAGTACCATGCAACATATGGTAATCCCTTCTGCGACGATCCATACATGGGGTACGTGCTCGATAAGTTTCTCACTCGCTTCCTTACCTGCTCGATTTCGGTCTTGGTGATGAAAGAAGAGAGGGGAGGATGGATATCGGTTGAATATTTTGACTGACTTTGTGAAACTAGATGGCATCCCTGGAAGGCTTAAGAAAAGAACAAATGGGTTCTATGCCGGACGGCCAGCCCGTATGTCGAAGTCCTCGGTACGCGCGCTTAGATGGAAGGATAGAGAGAGAAAGGAAGAGCAGAAGGGATAAAATGAGACATCTTTGAGAGAAATGAGCAGTTGGGATGGATATTCGAATCAACCTGGGACGCAAACGACAATTTCCCAGTCTTTACGAGCACGAGTTACGCTGCGGGATATTGATAGCAGTCCAACACTGTCCTGCACGTAATCGACTGTTCACGCAATGAATCATGGATCAGAAATCCGAGAACTGAATAATCGGGAATACGAAGAGAAATAATAACGTTCCGAGTCCTGTACCAACTCCATGCGTGAAATACAATTGTGGCTGTACGTGGAAGTTGCATTTAGGAGTGTGACAGTGACCACCAACACAGCGCAACGTGGTTCCCGTAACAGCTACAGTGTGTAACTCCATCCATGGCGTATTGATGGATGTCAATACAGATTCTGTTCGTAATGGTATTGAGCACTAGATGTAAAACGCCACGCCGTCCACAGATATCCCCCAAATGTATAGTCTAGATCAAGTCCAAGATCGGCGTATTTCAGCTCAACATGATATGTCTTCACAAACAAGACTATGTCTTACAACGGTGGATGAACATAATCGAAAAGTCGCAAGTCCTGACTCGATTCCCAAGATTGCGTGCTCTTCGTCTACTTGGTTTTTTCTTTCCTATATCTTCTGCTCCCTTGGCAGGCTTTGCATCTGCACGCACGTCCGCGCGCACGAGGTGATAACATTGAGCTAGATAGGTTATGATGTTACACAGATTTTTATTTTGTGGAATACCAGGGTCTTTGGTGTATTGCTTTTTCTGTCCACTTCTTGCGTGGCCAAAATCCGAATACGCAGATTTCGTTGCATGAACTGTAGACAACAGTCAATCTATTTACCTAATGCAGGTATTTCAACCAGACATGACTACAGCACAAATGGTAAGGAGGCAAAGCCATGGAAGGAAATCCGGGGACGGCAGAACGATTACATTTAGCTTCCCTTTCAAGCGTTTTATGCCCGTCTTAGCGGGACGTTCTCACGATTGTGGAAATTTCGAAGAAAGGGGAAATTTGATAGATCTGGGAATCCGCCTGAGATCCAATCGGACACTTCCGAGTGGGAGCGGGACGGGTTTAAGATACGTAGTGCACAGCAATGGAAAGAAGGGAGCATGCACTAGGAGGTTTGTTGGTGGGCACCGGTGGATATCCATTTTGTCGAGAAATTTTCATGCTTGGATATGTGATTATCTGGAAATGGAGGACAGCGGCGTGTGGCGAGGAACCCTGAGTATAGCGAGAGGTGAGAGGCGTCAGGGTCCAATCTATTGTACATCGCAAAGCACACCGAGAGCTGCTGGTGTTGCTTTTCGACTTGGACGTCTGGCGGCTGTCTTACCAAGAGTCTGGTGAAACGTTGGAAAGATATAATTCTAGAAAACATGTTTGCTTTTGCAAGAGCTGAGGTGGTGCAGCTTGGGTGTGGTTGACAGTACCAATATGTTGGACGTAATTGATACGAGGACTCGAGCTCGAGCAACTCAACTGAAGGGTCTCGATAATGCACGTTAACAGATGCACGACATGTGAACACCCTAACTGCGTGCCTGACCTAGGTCTGGTCTAGATGCTAGATTCGGAGAAAGAATCATGGGAATCAAAGAGAGTCCAGCGGACACTCTCCGCTGGTTTGGGTCGGTTGTTGAGATTTGGCGCGGGGCTTGATCCGGTCGCTACTGGCGTGACTGGTCACTCGTCCCTTCGCCAAAGTACCGCCACCACTCTCATCATCGTCCTCTCGATCTGAACGCAACTCGAAGCTGTAGGTACGGAGTACTCCAAATGTATCTATCTCCTAAATCTTAAGCCATGCAAACCGTTCAGGGTAAGCGACATAGTCTCCATCTCCTTCTCGTGGTGGAGGTCATGTGGGAATCTGAAGACACAACATGATTCTCTTTGTTCCAAAAGTGTTCCAAAAGGATTTCATCTCGCGTGCTTTGTAGTGTGGAAGGCTGATGGACATGCGTTTGATGGTTTACGACTCCACGAGGAAATCATGGACATTCTTACCTACCTACCTTTCCCCTGGACCGAGAGTCCCATGTTCGTGCGCTAAACGAGCCGAAGGGTACAATAGAGGCGGCTTTGGCATGCTATGGGTGGGATGGCCCTGAAGAACAATGACTTTGTACGACAGTGGCGTTCGTCGCAACAATTTGTCTCGCAGCTGGCGTTGGTCGGCGGCTGGTGGGTCTCTACCAGCGCGCAGCGCACGTTGTCATTGTTCTTACACAGAAGAAAATTGCTTCTGCGGAGACACGGCAGAGGATGTCATTGGCGGTGGCGCGATGTACACTCAGACACTGGAAGACACCAACCTGAACTGTGGTTAGGTCTAGGCTGCGTTTCCAGAAGTTCATTCAGCTTGATATTGTCCGTCTTCGATGTATGCAGGGCCAGCCAGAGCGAGCTTTGTGGTAATGCTGCTTGAACTTGCCTGCAACAATGATTCACAAAGCATCAAAGAGAAATGTACAAGGGCTGGATTGGAACAATCGCGATGCAAACTGTCGTCAGGGGCTGGCGGATGGAGGAGAACTCCGAAAGTCCATCCAAAGCAGGGCGATGTCTGAATAGGGACATGTTGAGATCGAACTAGGGTACGGCAGCATCGACCATCCTGGAAGCATATCCCATTGTAACTTGAAGAATTAACGAGATGGCGCGCGGCGATTGGATGAGATTGGGAATGAAGACCGCGTGCGTGGTGGACAGCCCTTGCTCGCTTGCATGCTGGAAGTACCCTCGTATGCATTCAGCATTGCACATACTTGTAAGCTGTGTGTGACGGTATGCGCACGCGCAGCCGTAGCTGCACTGGAAATCATTCTGTTCCCCTCTTTTTTTCCTACTCGTATCCTCGGAGCGGAAAGATGGAGGATGCTGCTGGCTCGAGTGGCTGTCTGAATCGGCGTCATTGTGCCTTTGGCACGCGTAACTGTGCTGTGGCATAACTTGGTTGGCACACTACAGCAACCACATGAACTCCTTAACTTTCCCGATCGACGAGATCGACAAGGCAGGATGTGCATGGGGAACACCTCGTATCAAACGTATCTACCGTTGAGAGATTCGACGGTTGCCCGCTCTGACAGGTGCTCCGGTGCAGAGTTGAGTCATGGCCATGGCAAAAGACTGGAGACGGACGTTGATGGACTCAGCTGGTCGTGCAAGCTCCAAATTGGTCTGCACATGAGAAAGCCGCGGAACAGAACAGAGGAGGGAGCAAAAAGGGCCTGTGGCGATCGTCGTCCAGCTGGCAGATGGGGAAAGATGTTGAAGCCCAGCCCTGAAGCGGGATGGAGCCGTGGAGATCGGCACTGCCGCTTCCCAGATCGATCCTCGAGTATCCTAGGCATTGGCGTTTCCCAGGCCATGGCAAACCATGTAGGATGTAATGTCCTTCGATTAGAGATTGAGAGACCCATGACGGGCCATGGCTAAGCAGCCACATCCAGCCGTGTGGATGTCGAATGCCCATGCTGGATTGGACGACTCCCCTGTGTGTTGTAATAGCTCGCCGACATTTCTCGGTGCAGTAGATGGTAGTACGGGTAACTAGTAATAGTGTTCAACCTACTCCTCTCCTGCACCGAAAGTCTATTTAGTCACGGTTCGCTTTGGATCTTTTCTTCACGGCAATTGGGTGGATATTATCTCATTAGTCCAACTGGGTGTATTTTATTGTGTTGTAGGCGAAAGACCATCACCGCCCAGACTTTATGCTAACCTCAGAGTCCAGCTCACAACGTTCAACTAACTCTTTAGCACTGGTTCCCCGTTGACATTGTCTCTCTTGCACGGAAGGCTTTTCATGCACGTCCACTCATGGCGGCTGCAACCTCTAGAGAGTGGGGCACAACATCTATCCATTCTTTCGATATCCTGTTTTGTTCAAGAATTGCCGGAAGGTTTTCATGACTATCTCTACTTGTACCTGTGCTCTGAACACCAAACACAAATTAGACGAAGGCAAGCTGCCATAGAACAAGGATATGCACTAATCCATTAGACTTTCTAACTATTCTATGACCGGGCATTGAGTTGGTACCGGTGCCTGTCCTACTAGGCTCAAGCAAGAAGGCATACCAGCACATTGATATTTAAATGCCCATACCCTGTAGACGTCCCGCCCTCCCTCCATCCTTGAAGGACATCCATATCGCTTGTTCTAACGCCTCCCAACCCCATTATTCCCGTCCCTGGTCACTGAATCCCCAGGTAATTTCCATCTCTATCACTATTATCTCGATCTCTGTATCTGGATTTGGATGATAACCCTCCCCTCGGACCAGCCCAACTAATAAACCCAGGCATATACCTTGCTAGTCCATACAATCCACCTTTCAATCTTTGAAATTATATATCCACCCTACGTCTTGCATCTTTCTCTTCATCTTGATCTTCATTTCCACCAGATCCTCGTTGCATCCTCTCGGACGCCCGTCCTAGCACGCAAAGCTTGGTAGCCTGTCTCTGCCAATTCATTGTGGATCCACTGCTTCCCGAGCCCGTCGTCTACCGTCCGTCAATTCTTGCCTTACCCTCCCTTGCCTCTTTACTTTTTCCTTCCATACACCTTTTCCAAACTGCTTTATTGCTGTCCTCGGGCACTTGTGCCGATTCAACCTACTTCATCACACATATATTAAACCCTTTCTTCGCTTCCCATTCTGCTACCTTTCACCTACCTTCCGAGAACGTCAAATTCACCGATTGACTATTCCTTACACTCGCTCTACCTACACGGGATTGAGCCAAAGTCCTGTCCTGTTGTTCTATCGCCGTTTCTTGTTACTATAATTGCTCCTGTTTCTTCCTTCCATCCGCAGACAGTTGTCGTCATTCATCGTCGACGGTCTAGCCATACCTTCCGCAAAGATGGTGTACCCAATCAATTATCGCCGCCCGGCGCGCGTCACTTCTTCCAATGCCTCAATCTCTGGTGCTGAGAAACAAAAATCCATCAATGAGTCTGTCAAATCCGGTAGCAGCAGCATGTCGCACGGTATCCCAGAAGCCTTGTCCTTTGACCGCATCATTGCTGGCGGCGTCTGTCCCGTAAGTTATCACCCTTCAGTCACACTTGCACCAACCCGGATCACCATGGCACAAACAAGTCTGTGGCATGCTTCCGCAATCCATCCAACTTGCTACACGTTGAAAAGGCATAGTCACTGACTTCACAACAGCCTTGCACTGTGAGAGATTTCATGAACTATCTCAAGTACATTGAGCTGGCAGCCGAAAATCTTCAATTCTATCTCTGGTTCCGCGACTATTCCAAGCGCTTCAAGGAGCTTCCCGAAAGGGAACAGGCGCTCTCTCCCGTCTGGAGCGATCCTGGCTCCGACTCCGACACCCAGCAACGCTCAAAGCGCGTGAATCCGGAGGCTTCTGCTATCTTCAATGGCACAGACTTCGCTGAGAGTGGCACAGTTGCCGAAGCCGACAAATCCAATCCTTTCTTCACTCCGCCGCGTACACCTACCAGCAGTGAGCAGAGGCGTGACGTCGAGTCCGTAAATTCTTTTGATGACGTACCATCGTCCAACGGGAGAATCAATCATTCCCAGCGTGCTGCTGGTGCTTTCGAGGGCGTCGGCTTGAAGTGGAAGCCACTCTCTGTTCAGCCATATCGCGAAGAGATTACCCGTATCATCTCGATATATGTGGCTGATGGCGGTGCTCGCCAGCTCAATCTTTCCTCTAAGGAGCGCACCGCGCTTCTCCACGCACTCCAACACACCACTCATCCATCCGCTTTCCAAGAGGTCATCACAACTGTCGAGTGGTCTCTCCGCTGCCAAGCCCATCCCAATTTCATCCGCTGGACTATCTGCAATGGAAACAGGCCTCGCGTGATCTTTGCCAGAGGCCTCGGTGTTGGTGGCATCGTAGGCGGTTTCATCGCCGCTATTGTCATCACCCTCAGCAGTGCCGGTCGTGCCTGGCGCGTGTTGTCTCTGATTGGCTTCTTAATTGGCATATCTACCTTGATCGCGGCTTGGAAGGGCATGTGTGTGGTTCTTCATGGAATGCACCACCGCCACCTTCGCCCATGGGAGCTATTCTCTTCCGACGATGAACCCCAAGGTTATGATTCTAAGACCGATTCTTACGATTCATTCGCCTCCGCCGATTCAAGCAATAGCTATGAGGATGAGCCATGGGTTGCCAAGTACGAGAAGCGCAACATCGTCCGCAAGGTCTTTGACCGGGAAGTGTGGATCCAGGAGCCTGCTCTTCGCCAAATCCAGGACACCATTTTCGTACAAGCACTAATTGGCGCTTTTGTCATCTCGGCCGTCATCGTCGGCATCTTTTGCGCCTTCCCCAAGGGCAACTTCTTCTAGACACTACTTGTCAATATCTACAGCTTCATCTACCAGAACAACACGCGGGATACCCATTAATTTCATTTCCTACTACAATGAGAGAGAGAAAGGTCGCTCTCTGTAATCACTTTTAACTGAATGAAATTAACGGTGTATGGAGTATGGTTATATGCGGAGGAATTTTCTTATCATTCGTGACGGCTGCAAACATCTCATTATGTACCTACTATCTCCTTTCCGAACTCATATGCTTATAAGAAATAAACCCTGGGGCCATATAGGCCTGCGTTGTAACGAAGTAATTCATGATCTGTCTTTTCTCCGGTGTACTTATGGTTTCTTCTCGTGGCAGGCCTGCAATCGAGAGTATCTGCTGTGTGACATTGTCCATTACGATTAGATCAGTGTGTCTGAAGTCCTCGCTCAAAAAGCGATACTGACGTCCACTTAGAAATGTAGCCCAACTCCGCAATGAGCCACCTAGTTCCAACTTGTACACTTTGACCTGTTCTTACTACTTTATATATCACCACCATCATACTACATGCACGCACAATCTCCGATAAATATTGAGCGATGGGTGTACTAATATATGGGACGCCCTCACCCGCACCCGCATATCCATAAAACGCCCACCCCATATGGCGCCGAACGGTTCGGTCGCCCGAAGCTTAGCATCAACGTCCCGTATACCCCACCCGCCGATCTTGTTCCCGCATAGTCTTAAGCTGCAACGGCTCGGGTACGTTCCAGAAATAAAGCAAAGAGAAAGTTGTCGGTGGAGTGGACGAAGTGTCGCTAGAGAGTTGAAGAAGACTTTTGATGTGGGACGGCGCAAATGGGAAGAATATGGCGTGCTAGCTGTAAGCAGTCGAGAGGGAACGGGTTGTCGTGATGCACTGCTATATTTTGGGGATGATATGGTTAGGAAGTTGTTTGTATGTGCAGAAGCCCTGAAGACAATGAAGTTTACACTTGATTGTAATGCTGCTGTGGAATGCCTTTTGGATGCATTTCTGCGAAACTAGGTCTGGAGAACTGAGCTGTAGTCGAATGACTGATGAGATGGCGGAGTAACGTCTGTTGATTCGAGCTTATCTCTATTTTACTGGATGGAGATATGTTTTCTCAAGTATTCTTCGGGGTACCGAAGGTGAAGCTGTGTTGTGATTTCTCGAAAAGAGCACTGATGCCTGAGCGATGCTCTCGTTGTCCGGGTAGTGTTACTTTATTTTGGAGTACAAATCTTATATTTAGAGGTTTGTTTACTTCTTACTTCCTTTTCCTCCTCGTCTTCAATCAAGTAGTCTCCCAAGGCGTTCAGTCAAACTTCTTAAGACTCTCTGATAAATTCGGTAGACTTGAACTAGGTCTCCATCGAAGTGAAGCAGACAGATCCATTTGGAAAAAACCCGGCTGCAATCACTTGCTCCATTGCCTTCCACCGACGTGCCAAGAGCAAAATATCAGGTGTTGACCCATGGTCCTTGGTTGAAGCCTACTCCACTGCTCAACGGAGTAATCTTGTTTACCTCCCAAAACATTACCTTTACTTCTTTCTCCCCCCTCAACCTGCACCAAACACTTCCGCACCCTCAAACCCTCAACTCTTTCTTCAATCTCTCTTTCACACACACCTACACACCTCATTCACACAAAGTCAACGAAGAAAAGAGAAGCAAATTTCAAAGATGGGCGTCATCAAAAAACAGCACAACAAAGCCAAGGCAGGGCGCACCAAGGCAACAGAGCGCACCAAAGCAGAGCGCATCAAGGCAGAGCGCGCCGCGGCAAAGAGCGCCATGGAAGAGAAACGCAAAGCCCTCATCTCCAAATGGCTCCAAGAGGCCCTGAAGCCGCTCACTCTGATTCAAACCAGACGGCTGAAGCTCGAGCTGCAGAAGTGGCGCCAGGCCCGCGAGGAGGATGTGAAGATGAGGCGCGTCATGCACGCACTGCGTTTGTTGGTCCGACTCCCTGACGTCTTGGCCGACGAGGTGTTGAAGGAGAAGGAGGACCGCGTCGATGAGGACTTGCGCAAGTACCGCATCATGAGAGATGGGACCAGGTTCTGGAGCGTGCTGGGCGATCCGATCGAGGGCGACCCTGAGGGTGAACCTGCTGCGAAAGATGCGAAGGAGCTTTGGGATGGCAGTGAGTATCTACTTTTTCCATAGGTCGTGGAAGAGAGGGATGTTAATGGCGGACCTTCAGTTGGTGAGCTCGTTGGATCAAATAAGTGTATCATGCTGGAACGCTCCGAGTGCACCCAGTTGAGAGAGGGTCCACAAGTCAATCCCGAGGACAAGTACTACCACCTTCTCTTCCCAATGGGCCGCAGCTACCGGAGGATGGAGCGGTTGTGAAAATGAAGCCAACCTACTCCAGGACGATAAGGAACCTGAGAAGTCGATTGGGCACGGGCTTGATTGGAATCATCACTCGAACGTTACGGGCTACAATACAAATTTTGGGCATGTCAATATCAAGGAAAGGCCGGTGGAAATTGTAAAGGATGTAGCATTTCTGCTGCAAAACAGTTATCTGTTCGCATGGCAGCCCTGATGCTTGAGCCGCTGCTGAGCTCGAGAATTCTATAATAGGATGTGGTTGATTCAGCCATAAACTTCATCACTCGTGTAATCCGACATAAGCTCGTGAGCCTAAGTTGCAACTAGCATAATAAGAGAAAGGAACGCCCAGTAATCGAATCTTGCATCAAAAGTGATCGTTCAAGTTGTGCAAGCTAATGTCCTGGCTGGTGTGGATGCGGACTTTGTCCTGTTTGTCTTCGGTGTTTCCTTTGACGTCACTTGCACTACGTTTCCGGCCGTTGACGGGCGCCGCCTGGCCTTCGCCATTGAGAGGGGCCCATTCGGGACTGTCACTGCTATCTGCTGGGATCACATTTCCATATGAATCAACCTCCTATGATGGGGTCAGTCAAGTCTTTGAAGAAGTTCGTTACTTGAAAAGTGCACTTACGACGCCTTTGGCGGCCATACGGATCTGTTTCTGGTCCGCAACGCCGCTCAAGACAGCTTCCCTCGCAGACTCCATCACTTTCATCTTGCGGGATTCACCTCGAATCTGCTCGAGGTGCTCGAAGTAGCTATTGTCAACGGGTGTAACGTATTTGCCACAGAAGACACCAACTTCGAACTTCTGGGTAGCAGGGTCACGGGGAGATAACGAGGCACAGGCTTCCATCAGATCGGGCAAAGTTTGGTAGATGACATCGTCCGCGCCGATGTACTTGGCAATGGCCTCAGCATCTCGATGATGAGCAATGAGCTCTGAAGATGAAGCTAGATCGATACCGTAGATGTGAGCGTTGGTGATTGGGGGAGCGCAAGAAGCGAAATACACTTTCTTTGCACCAGCTTCCCGGGCCATCAAAACGATCTCTCGAGAGGTGGTACCGCGAACAATGGAGTCATCGACCAGGAGGACGTTCTTGCCTTCAAACTTCTTCCTCATGGGGTTCATCTTCGCGCGAACACCCTTTTGGCGGAGCTTTTGAGAGGGCATGATGAAAGTCCTGAAGATGTAGCGGTTCTTAACGAACCCCTGGCAGTAAGGCTTTCCAAGGCCCTCAGCCACGCAGAACGCAGAAGTGATGCTGGTTTCAGGAATGGGCATCACCGTGTCAATGTCGTCGAGGGCTGGACCCAATCGCTTCCTGATGGTTTCTGCAAGTTTGAAGCCCATGTTGCGTCGGCTCTCGTCGACATCAATGCCATCGATGATCGTGTCCGGACGAGCGAAATAGACATACTCGAAGATGTCGGGAGAGTATCCGAGTATGGGGCTCACCTGCTTGAACACGGGATCCTTTCCTTTCTCGATGATGACGGCCTGGCCGGGGAGAATATCCTGGAATGTTTTGTATCCACACTGCGTGAGAGCCACACTTTCAGAGGCCATCATGTAATCTGTGCCGACACCGTCCTCGGAGGGCCTGGAGCCCAGAACCATAGGGCGGATTCCATAGGGGTCACGGAATCCAATAAGACCGAAACCTGAAGTCGTTAGCCGACTGTGCTGTTGACCATTCAATCGAACAACTTACCCGCAAGCATGGCTGTGCAGGCCCATCCACCGACACAGCGCTTATACATCCGTTCCAGGGCTGCAAAGCAGTCATCGGTGTTGACACGAGCTTTGCCCGTCTCGTTGAGCTCGTTAGCAAAGATGTTCAGCATCATCTCGCTGTCGCTCTCGGTGTTGATGTGCCTGTGAGCATCCTGATCCAGGTACCTGCGGAGTTCCGGGGCGTTGATGAGGTTTCCGTTGTGGGTCATGCAGATTCCGTAGGGACTGTTGACATAGAAGGGCTGGGCCTCAGAGTTGGCACTGCTTCCGGCAGTAGGGTATCGGAGATGGCCTAGACCCATGAAGCCTGGAAGCTCGGAGACACGAGCTCCATCCTGGAAGACCCTGGAGGCCATGCCGTTGCCCTTGCACTGGTGGAACCGTCCACCACCACTGCAGGTGACGATTCCAGCAGCATCTTGTCCTCGATGCTGAAGCAAATACAGCGCATCGTGTATTTCAACGGCGGCAGATTGCGACTTCCTACAAGTTGTGAGCGCAGTCTTTGGGGTATTCAGGGCCGGTTCGGTAGCTTACGAGTTCGCGTGAATAACGGCGATGATTCCGCACATCTTGCTTGAGGTAACGGAGAAGGCGATCTGATATGATTTGGATTCTGCAGAGAAACGGATAGTCAGCCTCTCGAAGTTGCAAATTTGATATAGAAATCAGGTAATCAAAGTGATTGAAATCAGAACGTCATTTGGCGCTCATTCTCGAAGAGAGTCGCAAGTCTAACATCTAAAAATAAAAGACGAAATCATCATGATGGGAGGGGTATGCTGCTGTACGAAGTCTGCCGGTGACTTACCTAGCTTTATCTATCACAAATACTCGCAAGGACTCCAGTATATCTATCTCTAGAGGTATCGCGATAAGAGGACGGAAGGTAGAATCGTAGGCCGGACGCAGCGGTTAGTGAAGAAGGGCAAGGTCCATTTGATCAAGGCGGAGAGAAGTCAATTGGGGTATTGTAAGGTCTGGGGGAGCGGTCCCGTAGCGTTGAAGGCGAAGGGCACATGGTTTTTCTGGAAGCAAGAAGATCCTAGTGGGGATGGCAGGATAGTTAACCAGAAATTTTTGCTCCCGCTCGCCGCCGTCTACGGCCTTGGCATAACGACTTGTGTCACGGGGATGCACCAACTTAACTTACTCCTCCACTTCTCCACAAATCTATTACATATCTAGATACCTAAATATCTACCTCGTATGCTGCGAGTTCTCATCCCTTAGTCTTCGCAGCGAATTTGACTCAAAAATCAAATACTTTTCTTTGTCTCCACACAAGTCCCCCTGTCTCGACAAGGCTGATCATCTCATATGCCGAGAAGAAGATATCATCTATGTACTCTGGCAATCCACCACACTCACAAGCTGCATATGTTGAGAGGTATACTCCAATGAACATCAAATCAAATCCTCACACAGAAAACGTATTTGATTCGGCAGCATCTCGGCTCGTAATGATGCCTCATGACCTGCCCAATCTCTCAATATCAGACAGGGATGGTTCATTCAGAAGCTTCGCCGCATCCCTTAGCGACAAGACTCTTGCACTAGGCTGTAGTTTTAGCTAATGACAACGTGGTTGAGGAGAATAATTACCGCCTAATTGGGTATTCCCAGTCTGAAGGGAAAGAGTTGCCGTTCGTATCGACAGCATAAGACTGCTCGCTTCCTTATCTGAAGGCCACGCTAATAATCGGAACTTCTGTCCGACATGAGGCAGCCCATCTATATAATTCCGGCCGATTGTTGTCGAGCCTTCTCATCTTCATGTAAGTGTCACAGGCAGGCCATGTGGAGTGGAATTATAAGTCTCAATTTGTGTACACTCTTACACTGTAATCCATACAGTGGAGCACAATTAGGCGCCAATAGGAACCAAGACTGTGAAGGCGTAACATTCTGGAAAAGAAAGTATGGCTATACAGAAAGAATGAAATACAGGGGCTAAGGCAACGAACCCAGCTTTCAACTCATCAAAAGGCGGCAAACACTAGATACGTTCAAGCCTCTCAAATCGTCATAATGTTGTCCAACACCCAAAAACACCACGGGAATGCCCGTTGCGTGGACCATGCTCACGAGCGTGCCCACCATGTCACCCACTGTGTCGCACTTGGAGATAATGAATCCATCAAGACCCCTTCCAGGTCCAAATGAAGCATTGAAATTGCGGGCTTGAGCGACGGAGTCGGAACCCACAAGCGCTTCGCCAACCATAAGAATCTTGTCTGGGTTGGCGAGCTTGCCGAACTTTTCGAGGGACGACATGAGACGTTGGTCGTTGTGACGGCGACCAGCTGTGTCGATCAACACGACATTAAAGTTATTCTTTGACGCATATGTCACCGCATCGGCAGCGATGTTCGCTGCGTCCTTGCCGTATCCCTTTTCGAAAAGGTCGACCTCACCTCCTTCTCGCTTGCTTAGCTCCTTCAAATTTCGCACATGAACGCGGAGTTGCTCGACAGCGCCTGATCGGAAGGTATCGGCGGCGGCAATGAGCACGCGGTGGTGGTTCTGCAGCATGAAGAATGCAATCTTGCTGAGGTTAGTAGATTTGCCAACACCGTTGACGCCAACAATAGAGAGAACGTAAGGGCGGCCTCCAGCATTGACAGTCTGGATCTCGCGGAGAAGATCAAGGGATGATGTGGGTGTGAGAATCTTGGTAAGAGCCTTCTCCATAGACGTGCGGAGGGTGGCCTCGATTGCTATACAGTCGTCAGTCATAATGCAAAAGCATTAAATTTCCACATGGAACTTACTAGTGAAGCTTCCGGTCTTGAGGCCAATGAGATCTCGCTCTACGCTCTCACATAGCCTTACGACAGCTTCTCTTGCGACGTTCTTCTTGAGGAGATGCTCCTCCATGCCCTTCAGAGGCTTGACGAGATCCTCCTTCGTCAGGGTCTTTCCTCCAACCACGTTCCTGAATAGTCCTCCTATTGCGCCAAGGCTAGATCCCACAATGCCGGTCGATGCCGCTGGGGTTTCCTTCTTCGCGTTTTGCTCTGCTATTATCGCATCCATCTCCTCGTCCAAGTCCTTCAATACGAATTGGCCTTTGCCAGTCTTGCGGCCCCATGTCTCAGGCTTGATCTCTTCCAGAGCCTCATTTTCCGAGGCTTCGTCTCGGAGGTCTGCCTGCGAGTAATCGAGAACCATTGAAGGATCCTCCTCTTCCGCACCAAAGTCGCCCCATACCCTATTCCTCTTTGCCGAGCCCTTGCCTTTCCGCTTGATGCTCGCCTCGTCCCCGGATGAAACTGGTGCTGACCCCATACCTGCCGCCTTCTTCCTATCTCTCCGTGAAAGTTTCCCACCTGGGCGCGCCTTGCCCGTCAGTAGGTGGCTTTGTGCTGGTGTAGTCGGCCGCGAAGTGTCCGGTGTAGGGACGGGGGTCGAGTCGGCCGATGTATCGTACAACGGTCGCTGTGTGCGTTGAAGATTTTGTGCAGGAGCACTTTCCTCTGCGCTATCGTTCTCCGTGCTCGAGGGAGGGGTGAGCTTGACGCTGGTCGAGGAGGAGGCGGTTGCGCCGTCTGCCGATTGCTCCAATTCTTGGACCTGCCTCTCAAAGTATGGGCCGAATTTCGAACAATCCACCATGCTTGTGTGCTCTTTCTTCAACTGCGCCTCGTATAGTCCAGTGAATAACTTTCGCACGTTATCGAGCAGCTTGTCTATCCAAGTCATGTGGACCAAAGACTGGTATACGGCCTACTGTAGGATCAGCATCAGATGTTCTCTCTTGAATCCAAATCCCTGGAGGTACCCACCACAAATATTAATCCCAAGTCCTTCGCTGCTGTCCATTTCAGTGTGTAGCCCTCCTTCCTGTAGGTAGGTTTTGAGCCCGCATCTTCTGCCTGTGGTTGAATGCGCTCCTCGATAAAGACATCGCGGATGAGACTGTTAATTATATTTGCGCCGACGGGGACGTACGTGTGCGACCAGAGCACGACACCCGAGGTCGTCAGGATCTCGAAACTGTCCAACATAGCGATGCTGGCCGTCAATGAATTGCGGCGTGGTGTGAGAATGTGAGAGTGCGGGATGCACTATGACGAGGTGGGATATGGGTGGTTTTTGGGGGGGTCCCAAAGTTTCCGAGCGCGGGAAACGGAAGTTGCCAGATCTGCGAGAGCTTTCCAGCTTTCACCGCGAAGGCAGAAATATCCCACACTTTCAATCAACAACCATTAACCCCAGCATCAACGACAGTCCACGGCCGCAAAGAATACCCAATTCACAGCCCATACCACCAATCCGTCGATTTCTCTCATTGTCAGCATCAGCACCACCGATCTTCCTGGATAGTTCTCCTTCTCCTCATCACACAGCGGCAAACATGCAGCGCCCAACATATCCCAACCCGCCTGCGAATTCACCTCCTCTGCACCATCCCGTCCCACAGCATGTTTCCACAGTGCCGCAGTTGCGATCACCTCCTCCGCCACAACCTCCATCTCAACCTCACAGCGGATATGGATACGCAGGGCAGCAAGGGGGACCTGGAGCAGGCGGGGGTGGAGGCTACAATAACAACATGCATCCAGCGTTTGGCGGGTTCATGAACGACCCTACAGCACAGATGGGATTCCAGATTGGAAAGAGTGCGGTGAATGCGGGTCAGGAATACATGGAGCAGAACGTATGTGGTCCCCGAATGTCCGCGATTCCCCTCCCTGATATCTAAATCGGATTCGCAATGGACGAAGCTGCGACAAGGCTACGAAAGGAGGATCAGCTAACAATGCATGCATAGTTCGGACGCTTCGTCAATGTATCTGCCCTGAAACACTACTTCAACGTCTCCAACTCGTATGTCGTGACGAAACTGTACATCGTCCTCTTCCCCTGGTGGCACCGACCTTGGTCGCGGCAGCAGCGTCTACACAACGGGCAGGAGGGATTCTATCTCCCACCACGAGAAGATGTCAATTCTCCAGACATGTACATTCCAAGTGAGCATCCCGGCATAGAACCCCTCAATGCCCACAAAGCTAACCACTCGCAAAAGTGATGGCCTTAGTGACCTACATCCTCCTCTCAACGCTCTTCGCCGGCCTCCGGGGAGCCTTCAACCCAGAGCTCCTAGGCTACACCGCGACGCTCGCAATCTCCGTCATGCTCCTCGAGATCCTGACCATCAAGGTCGGCACCTTCCTCCTCAGCATCTCCTCCTCCTCCCAGCTCCTCGACCTCGTCGCCTACTCCGGCTACAAGTTCGTCGGCGTCATCATCTCCCTCATACTCTCCGAGCTCCTGAGCCACATCGGCCTCGGCGGTTCCTGGGCCGGCTGGGTCGTCTTCCTCTACTGCTTCGGCGCCAACGCCTTCTTCCTGCTCAGGAGCCTGCGGTACGTCCTCCTGCCCGACCAGAGCGGCGGAAGTGGCGTGGGCGGTCCCGCTGCAGGCTACACGGTCGCCAGGAGCCAGAGGAACAGGCGGACCCAGTTCCTGTTCGTGTACAGCTACGTCATCCAGTTCGGCTTCATGCTCTGGTTGAGCAAGGTCTGAAGGCCCCATTCACTCTTCTCTTTTTCAACACACAGCACCTGTGGAAGAAAACGAAGAAAACGAAGCGAGCAGATCTGGGCACCGGGATAGGATATACTGTGGAAGTTGTGTTCCCCGCGACAATCAAAGGGAGGAAAGAAAAGGAAAGGAAGGGAAACCCTTCTTGTCACACACACATGGAGAGAGAGAACAGCATACAAGAGGCAGGACAATGAATAACTACATGCAACGACGTCACACCAGTGTAGGATTCATGTATATTTTCCAAGCAAGCGAGCGCTGGCAGTCAATGAATGATATACAAACAAGCAATGTACGAGTAGGAATGTAGCTACAACCGCCCGCGCGCACGCACAAAATAGCATACAAGTCACCGCGGCGCAAGAAATAACACAAACGAAAGGAGGGAGGGGAGGGAAGATAGAATATTATATACCACATGTTATCCATCTTTATCCTTTCAGGGAACTTCTTGAATTGATGTGTGATGGCTCCCTCTCGCACATTGAACCTCCTTGGTATGCTCTCGCTCGTGTTGTACAAAGAATTGATGGATGGATGAATGGATGGACGAACCTGGGAAGGAGGACTGGAAGCACATACGGTGGATACAGTAAATGATCAAAGTGAGGTGGTTATTGAGTGACGTGCCGTCGCCCATCTCCAATTCACGCTGGGAGATAGACAGGACACAGCGTAGAGCACAAGTCAAAAGAGTCACAAAACACAGAATGGTCATGAGATGGAATTGTAAAGGTGTCAAATAGAATTTCTTACTACTTCTTCTACTTTGATAGATAGCTAGGTTCCTCGTTCGCAAACTGCTGCTGTAAACTTACACCTACTCGCTCCTCCACTTACTTGATAAGGACTTCCGTTTGGTATTGTTCATGCGCGTGTGCATGCCATGCGTACATGCATGCGTGCGTTCCCATTTGATAATTGCAGGTCGCATAGATCCTCCGTTAGACGAATATACTCCCGCTAAGTTCCATTGCCTCTGTTCGACCATGCCAGGTCGCAACAGTTTATGATGATGCACCGAGTCCTTACATGGATTGTAAAGCAGGACTCCAATCAAACCCACCCACCAAGGAGACTCAATCTGAGTCCAATGTGAAACGCCTTACTTGGAAAAGAGGATAAAAGATATGACAAACAAGATCAGGAAACTAGTGAGGTAAAGGACAACGTTCCATCCAACTCTTACAGTTTTGGGGTGTAGGAGGTTGAGAGAGAATATACACAGAGAGGTGTAGAGAATATATGTTAAGGATGCATGTTTTGCATCGGATGGCATTCATGTGCCATCTCTTTTCTTCGATTCCAAAGATTCATTATTGGATGCAAGAGCATGTCCTACAGGACACCCTCCCACATTCCAGGCCCTTCTCGACGTAATGTCTGGGCCGCCTCGCTAGCACAGCATGTTCGCTTCCTTCCGAGATCCTTCTGGATTGGCAGTCTACGCTCGGGAACTGTATGCTTTGGGGACTGGAGTCCCTTCGCTCCAGTATAAGCGCAGGGCGTAAGGTCACCACTGGTCAGAAAGGTCTGGGCGACGGACCTGTCTGGAAGGATAGACTGTGCTCCACGAAGGAAGGAAGTAGAGCGAGAGCTGTGAAGCAAATGGCGCACATTCTGCTGAAGATCAACAGAAGACCTTCCACGCTTGCGACTTGCGGGGACGAAGTGCGGCGGGATGGACTCGGGGCTTTCAACACGGACAGGTGTCGCATCTGAATCATCGATATGGAAACTCTCGAGGTCTGGTGAGGACATTGGTTCACTTGGAGCATATTCGTACTGCTCCTTGCACTTCGACAAGGCCGGATACGGCAGCCTGGCGTTGCGGCACGTCGCCAATCGGGCCAATTTGGCCTGATTCGGCGCCCAGCCAGCAGACGAGACAGACGAGATCGAGGAAGCGCGCGAAGAGCGAGAGTTATCCGTAACCATGGATTCGGGTGACGACGCCGAAGACGTGGTAGAAGGCGCCAAAGATGGGCGACGAGTGGGCCAGTGATAAGCCTCGAGGCCGTTCCTGACGCTGGGGTTGAACTGGTCAACGCAAGAACGAGCAAGAGACGAGCTCTGAGCCTGTGCCATTGCCGAGCACATTGATGGTCGCCTTGATCCAAAAACTAGACCACTCGCTGCAGGAGTGTTCGAGATAGCGGATTGAGGCGTCAAGATAGGTGTTGGCAAAGGACCCAGACGGACAAGAGATGGAGTTGGAGGCAAGAGCTCCGGCCTAGGCTCCAAGAAGCGTGGGGCCTGGTACTGGCTGGGGGTGGGAGTGTTCTCCTGCGATCCAAGCCCCTCTGGAAGGGGGAGCGGAGATCGCAGCGAATACTGACTGAGCTGAGACTTCAGGGTAGGACGCTGCTGAGGGATGACAGGAGTCTTGGGGGCGACTTCAATCATTTCCAACTCTGGGGTCAACTGGGGGATGACAGTCTTCCACGAGTTGTTCAGCATGCAAACACCTGGAGAAGCAGGGGGGTTGGAAGGAGTGTGTCTGCGGACAACCTCCTGCCAGCGCTCCCAAACTGGGTCAGTGATGTGCAGCTTCCAGTTCACAGCGGCGAGGAAGGCCATCTCGTTGGTGTTGATCTCGCAGACCTTGAGACCGGAAATCCGGCTCCAGGCACGAGCGGAGTAGTTCCTATCCTGGAGGTACTTTGATGCAAGGATCAAAGCCGCAAGAAACATGCGTCGGCCACACTGAAGGGCACGATAAGAGGCCGCGTCTTCAGCTTGTTCCATGGTGAAATCATGCTTGGGCACGTGACTCTTGATGAGGATCAGGTAGTACAAGGCTACTTGAAGAGTAGAGTAGCTAGTACGGGATCGACGCAAGGTCTCTTGGATAAATGTCCTGAGAGGAAGCACTCCCCGACCAGAAGCTGCTTCGCAGCGACTGGAAGGAACGGATAGAGGCCAGATGGTCTCGACCATTTGAGTTGCGGAGTCTTTTGCGGGGGACGAGAAATTAGCGAATGGGAATCGGGGGAGGCATCGTGTCTACTAACCGACGAGGCAATCCACGAAGCTGACCTTGCGCTCGGCCTGACGAACAAGCTGAGGCGGTCGCTGGACAGTGGATGAGGATCGACGAGGATTTTGGCGCTGTTCAATGGGCAAGGCCAGCTCCGTCCGCAAGGACGGGAGGACACCGGCGGGGGCTGCTTCGCGGCATGCCGAAGGTTGATACTGAGGGAACGTGCTCACTCGCGAGATCGGAGCAAAGCTGTTGTTGATACTGGAAGCATCAACGGTCAAGCCAGCCGCCACTCTCGGTTGGGAGCTCCATTCCTCGGAATCCCACGTGGCAGCGAGGGAGTGCGAAGTAGATGAGCTGAAGTTGGATGCTTGTGAGGCAGCATCTGAGAAGATGGAAGAAGTTGATGAAGATGCAGAGGAAGAAAGGGAAGGGGCATATGGGTGACTTCGTGGGGAAGCACTGCCAAGGTGTGGAGCAAGGATGTCGATGCTCATGTTGGAGGAGAAGTTGCTTATGAAAGCGGAAGCTAGGAAACAAGGAGAGATAATATAATGAGTGAGTGGAGAGAGAACGTGATACTATGCCTTACAGTTCAGGAATGACTCCGTCACCACTGTAGTGCGCAATATGTCGGGTGGTCGTGGGGTGACCAGATCTTAACCGATAGACAAACCGTACGGGTTGAGCCCTATGACGATGGTCGTATGATTTGGCGTCTTGAATCTCCTGTTGCTCCGTTTTGGGCAACTGATTTATAAAAGAGATCGAGGAATGGGACGGAATCCCTAGATCGATCTATCGTCTCTTGGTGCGAATAAAGCAGCTGAGTATATGGTCAAAGTCGGAGGGGAGGCGAGAAAGCTCGATTCAAGATAATCTGATACGGCGGAAAATGTTATAGGGGCGAGATGACGAAGGTTGCGAGAGAAGAGATCGTTCGGATCGTTGTTAAGTGATCTAAAGAGCTTTTCCAAACGCTCACCAGAGGATACTCCAGTCACCGTCAGCCGCGATATCACTAAACAAGACCTGATTGAGACGGTTCCGCAGGACACTCCGAAGGATCAGCTTCGAGGATAGCTAAGTGCTACCGGTAAAAGCTGGTGGGTATCGAAGGGATGCGGAAATCTAACAGGCGAAGCCTCCGTGAACGAAGACCTTGTTTTCGGAAGTGATATCTGAGCGACGAGTGACTGGAGTAGATTTGAGGACGACGAGGAGCATTGTGACTATTTCGGGTCGATATAAGAAGTGTTCTAGTTAGATGACTACACCGAGGGCGGGTCACCGGGCTAGGATTGACTTCTTGTTTATTTCGGGGTAGAAATGGTCCGGTATGGGGTTAAGGTTGTGTGGATCGGAGATTTATTATGAGGATATGTCGAACATAGAAATGGTATGCAGGAGGTGGTCGAATATAGAAAGGTACTGGTTGGTCGGTTGTGGTGTTGGTAGTGGTGGTGATGGTCGGTGAAGTGGCGGTGGAGTTGATGCGGGCTGTCGCAATCGAGCTAACGAGGCAAAGGCCAGCGAATCCGGAGAGGCGGTGGAGGAGGAGAGGAGGAGGGGTTTATTCGGAGGTAGAGGGGAGATGCAGGTACGAAGGGTAGGGTAGAGAGAAGGGTATTATAAGAGTCGAGGAAGGGCGAGAAAGTATGTTATGAGTGTGAATGGTGAGGTGAATGGTGAATGACTTGGGTGAGTGACTGGGTATGAGTCTTTGGGTAGGCGGCAGCGAGGCGGTGGCGGCAAACGACGGGCGCGTTTGCAACAGAAATGACAAGGCTCAGACTGCTGGCTAGACAAAGGCTAGGCAAACGTCTGAGGAAGGATGAGATGAGATGGAGAGTGGAGATTAAGAGGAGGCAAGATGGGAATAGAGAAAAGAGGTTATCGTGAAAGCGTCGTATGTTGTTGTGATCGTAGTTGTATTGCTTGGTGAGCAACAGCGGAATCAGAAGAGACCGTAGTTCTCGAGATTGGGTATTGAGGGGATCATGATGAGTATCTTGGGTTGAGACGGAAAGAGGGAGGCGGCGATGGGGGGAGGATAGAGTATATGGGAGAAACCGAGAAGGTGAGGAATCCTTGGGCTGGGCTGCGTTCGGGTCTGGGCAGAGGAGGCAAGACTGGCAGGGAATGGCAGGGACTGGCAAAAGACTGGCAAGAGCGAACGAGACGAGTCTGAGTGAACGAGTTTGACTGAACCGAGTGAGTCAAGTAGCGCACGGACCAACAACCATCACTTCACTCACCCACCCTTCACTTACACCATCCACCATCCACTGGACTACTACTACCCATACAAGCAGCAAGCAGTCAGTCAGTCAGTAATAGCACAGTTTTCCCTACACTGTTACTGTCGCTCCTTCTCGTGCTAGTGAGGAATTGGGAGCCATAGCCAGGGTCGCCACCACTATTACCACCACTACCACCCTGGCCCTTCCCCCCTCTCTCCCCTCAATACCGACTACCCATCTCTTCTTCAACTCCCCTTCATCATTATTATTATCATTACACATTACACCAATTATACACTTCCATCACCACTCCAGTCATTTCCAGTCATAACTATCGCATCTCAAAGAGATATTGTGTTGTATGCCAAACACAGAACAAACCCTCAAATCTCTTTCCATTGTCTACCGGATTCCCCAAATAATTCAACAAATACGGAGTACAACCAGTCACCAACACTTGCCTCGCTCTATTCTTAAACTAAAACAGTCAACACAGTCATACATCGCACGCACGCACGCACGCACGCACGCAAGCAGGCAGACAGCGATAGACTAGACAAACATCTAAAACAGGAGAGGACTCCTCTCCCTCCTGTTTCCGCCGTATGGGCCAACCAGCTGTAGGCAGAAAGGCAGACTTCATTTCTTTCTTTCATTACTATTATGTGTCTTTCCCAATACCATGCCCATTCCCGCTTTGTGAAATCATCTTTTATCTATCTACGGAGTAGTTACCTAGTTATCAAGGGAACAGGTAACTATCTACTTCCAGGCTGACAACCCATGGGTGGACATGTATCTTGGCGTCTTGACTGTATTCCACCAAGTGTGGGCTGAATGACGATAGCGGAGGGTGTCGACTACCAGGTACCTACCTACTTACGAGGTACGGCGCTGGATGCCCCACGGAAACAAACCGCACCTGCGCAACGCCGCAATAATCATTTCAAATCCAAGTCATAATCAAGTCAAAGTCAAGTCAAAGTCAGGTCAACGTCAGTCACGGAGTCAGAGATAGGCAAAGGCGAAAAGTCGGAGGCAAAAAAGGTCTACCAAAGCCTGGGACCCTGCACTGCGATGGCGACGACGACGACGACGACGACGACGACGACATAGCCATAGTGGTAGCCGTCTCCGTAGCCGTAACCAGGGGTGCCCGTAGGCTGGCACGCTGGCTGTACGCAGTACTGTGCAGTGTAGGCTGTGCCTGTGTTTGGGTGTGTGACTCCACGGTGTTTAACTCGTACGCTGCTTAAGAGCGAGTTGTCGCGAGATTATTACGGAAGCAGCCCAACAAACTACGCCCGCCGAAAGCCCGCCCTAGAACGTGGAAGGGAGGTTTGTTTTCTTCGATCGTTGATGACAATGTGGTCTGTTATTGTTGATGCGAACTATCGGATTACTACATCTCCGTATGCAGTTCGCAGTCTACGTTAACTGCTGTTCGTTGGTGATAAATCATATTGTTGAACTGAATAGTCTCCTTTTCCTCCCTTAGATCTGCCGGAAGGGAATAACTCTCTTCTTCCCAGGGTCCAGCCTCGCGCCCCCATGCCTTGGTCTCCGGATGTCGTTTTACGATTAGTTCATGTTGATCGGTGACTTGCATCTGTATCTGTGTTATGGTATCGTAGTTCTGGTGCAAGTGTGATATGGCATGATATGGTACGGAGCACTTCTGTGTTCCCAAAAGACATCGAGGTCACTTGATGATGATTGCAATATCATGATTACTCGGTACTATTGAACTGAGATGAAGGAACGCCGGAAAGGAAGAAAACAGCATGGATGGGGGTGGTAGAATCATCCTCCGTCCTTTCAGCTCCGACCGCCTCCTCATCTCTCTCCTCATTCTCTCCACACCCATCAACCCATCATTATTCATCCCTTTTCTCGTAGTTGCCCTCGTACTTCCGTATAGTAACTACCTCCTTGTAGTCACTGACCAGCATTTGCGAAACAAGTGCAACGCCCATAGCACCCTCTCGCGATCCGATTGCCTTTACCGTAAACACTACTCCGTACACTGTTGTTAATCATCATTTCTCGTCCGTTTGATTGCGAGCGTCCAGCCCGTCCCAGCACATCCCAGGTCATTACACAGTAAACCCATTTAGCCCCCTCCCCCCAGCCTTTTTTTGATGCGCGACACGAGTGGAGACAGGCCAATCACCAATCATGGGAGGGCCGGATGCGTGCCACATCGTCATTCGTCGGTGATGCCTAGCGCTAAGACTGCTTCCTTTCTAACTCCGTACACTACCACAGTGACTGCAGTGACTACACAGCAATTATTAACTACTCCCACAGTCATAACTACCTCTACCTAGGTACTTTGTAACTACACACACACTGGCAGTGACACTCTCTTACACAATACTATGGTGACATGGTCCCTCTCGTCCCTCAACTTCTCCTCTACCTGTACGGTGTACCCTATCCGACGCACCCCACGGCTCTACTTCCACTCTGAGAGTAGTTGGCCCATTCGAAGAGAAGGCTTTCCCCTTTTCACCTCCCTTTTCATCATCGTTCTACAACAATTAGTGGCTGTATGTTGGGATTACAGTAACTCCTCGTACTCTCCCCTATGCGACGGTACAACTATCCGTGCTACAGCCTTCAAGCAGCATCCGCTCCCCAGACAATCTCTCCATCGGGTTCGCGGCTGCCATCGCCCTCCTGCAACACACCACCCTTTCTTCTCACCCCCAAGCCATACATAGACCGTACAGTGCAGTGCAGGGTTGAGCCATGCTTCCACATGGGAACGAGCTGAACGCGCTGGACGATGCTGCAGGCACTTCATCTGGATATCCGGCTCTGTCGCACCTCCCTCGTCTTTACTTCCATGTGCCCGTCCTATCCAGCTGCTCCCAGCGACATGCATGAGGGGGTATGATATGGTATGGTATGGTATGGTCTAGTTGGGTAGGGTACGGTTCAGGAATGATCACTGCCCCTTCAAATGCACAGCCTTGGCTGCTATTTGGGTGCGCTGCGTGCTGTGCGCTGTGTCGTCGTGAATACACACAGACATGGTGTGCTGTGGAATGATGGTGCGGTGATGCGACAGGATGTGCTCGTTCGTTGCCTTTGCGGGGCACGTTCGCCCATGATGACACGCAGCATCTTGTGGCTGGCTCGTTCTTCAATTTCCTTGCCTGGAGACACGGCTGGAGACGAACGAACACCCATCGCAACCAGCACACCACGAGTTCACAGGACCATCACATCGCCTTCGCTCTCCACGCCAGGTAAATCCCCCATAGGGCACCAAAAGAGTTACGGCGAACGCCTCACACAAGAGAAGAGAATTTTTCGGACTTGATGGTGTTATGACTTAGCTGGAAGGCCTGTATGACTGGCTACAGCTGCTAATGCTACTGCGAGTGTCTGCTGGGTTGCGCTTTGCTTAGGCCCTTCCATCAGGCTTCCAGAACACACTTGGAGGTTTGCTATTCGCTACTCTACTCACCCCCAGTGTCAAAATTTGCTGAATGACCGGCAATGATTATCCTCACTTCCCATCTTTCCATTCATACTCTCTTTCTACTGGTCGAAATTTTATGACTTCGCACCACAATCTCCATCGCCATCAATTGAAGTCCGTTCGGCTATTGGCAGATTCAAGGCTTTTTTATCGTAAATCGTCCCCCTGTGATTCGCTCGGCCTTGTTCGGTCCCGATAGCCTCCGTGCCTTCCAAGATCGGTAAGTCCGGCTACAGATCGCAGTCTTGGCTCTCACCAGGTTTACGACGAGATACGCTGACTCACTTTCACAATTCAACTAAACTGCCTACCTACGAGGTGCAATTCATCACAATTCCAATTATCGTCTGGAAGCTCCACATGCATCATTGGAAAAATAGGATCCCGATCACGGACTTCTGGGTAGTATAGTCTGATGTGGCCACTTTCACCGACTAGGAATTGCATCATCAAGCATGAACATAGTTAACTTGACAGCTCCGAGGAGTGGACGAGTGTACACCTTCGCTTCCGATGAGTCCCCATCTACAAAGTATCTGCCTAGTCGAAATCACGTCACGTTACGTCTTGATAGCTTCACATCAAGGAAGCTGAGCCAGCCTTGCTATAGCACAGAAATGGGCACGAAGGGATCCTCCCATCTTCAACGTGACCTCACAGAAGGCTACCATCGGCCCCACCAGGTCTGCTGACTTCATAGCTGTGACAGCTGTGACTGAAGGCAACTTGCTGAGTACGGAGTATGGCCTACGTTGGTGTCCGTCAACCACACATCTGAGCATTGTTGCTCATCAAAGCTGAGACACCGATGGGTGAGCTGGAAAGACTCATCTTGGACCGCCGCCACTCTGGAGCCCGCAAATTGTGGCGTGGATGTGACTAACCTCCTCGGGGCTCGACCAATTGTCTCTACGTTGGATGATGAATGTGCACCACCAAAATCAATCAAGATGAATGATCTTACGGAACACAAGGCATCGATATTCTCATAGTATGGCCGGAAGACATCTCCGGATGATGCTGCCGACGAAAGCCAGACTCTTCGAGTCACCATACCATGTCCTTGCTTCTTTTGCGTGGAAGCGAGATACTTCGTGATCAACTCTAGACTCCTTCCGATGACAACCGACAATTTATCTCTTCAATCCGATACAGTTACCCTACTTCGCAAGCTCGTATGGTGGCAATGTCTCGAAGGCCTCGTAATTCCACGTGTCGTCAACCCCCAACAACTTGTCGGTGTAGCAAGAGCAAATCTATCACCAATGATAGCGCTGTTTCACGAAAAGCAATAGGGGCCACGGACCATCGAATTGCGCAATGCAATGGCACTGTCCATCAATTTAGTCTTATCAATCACATATCCATCAAATCGAGAAACACAAACTGAGACCTGGCCTTGCAATGATCACTTCACTTCCCCATTTCGCTCAAACGCAATATAACCAATTACCCCAAACAAAATGCCCAAACATAGCATCGGATACGCTAACTTTACATCTGCATTAGGCCAGAACGCACGGTAGGAATAGTCTGTGGTATGTGTACAATTGTACATACACATTGTACGCACCAACCAAACTATACTGCTTACCGAGCATTGTCCCTACTACGCTTACTACATCTCACCAATGTTGTCCAGAACATAGGGATCAAAATAATGCCGCAGTTGATTATTTGCATCCACCTATGGTCAATGCCTTCCCCTTTTCGACACGAAGATAAAATAGCGATGCGGAAAGTATTTGAGTTTATCGGATCTCTGACGGTCCGTTCCCGCCTCTAGTTTCCAGACGACCTCGCCAGATTCATCCTAGAAGACAACTTGTATACACTCGCTTCTGCACTGTAAGAAATGTATAATCACTCCCTTGTCGACAGAACCTCCAGATCATCAGTCGATGGTCGTTCGATACCGGGTCTGCGGAGATTTGGGACAATATCTAGCGGTCGATCATGTTCTATGAACCCTCGTTTTTGCGCTTGTGATGCCGTATCGGGGTAGAATCGTGCAGCCCCAGAGCCGACATCTACGATGATGTTGGGGAAAGTTCATGGATGCATCGGTCCGAGGGTGAGATCCTACGGATCCGGGTTTATCATTGCACCCGCAGGATCGATATATCGGATGCTTTGCAATGATGAGGTAGGTATAGGGTTTCTAAGAACGTCTTTCCATTGATTGTCGGATAGTCTTTCACGAGCATTAGTGTATAGTGAGCGTGACTGAACCATATGTCACTGATGTTGTCGTATTCTGTTGATACTACTGAATGACTGCTTGGGTATCTGACAGCAGTCCATAACAATACCTTCACAATCACAACACGAGTGCTGAGGGTGCTCACTGAATCGTGTTTTGTAATTGGAACATGAATTCGTCGTTCAATTTACACCTGCGTCCGGACAGATCAGTATCCAATGCAGGTGTTTCGTACATTATAGCAAAGGAAAAAATCTATCTTGACCATCTGTTGCTCTGCATTTGCATATTCAATCTGCAACACTCGAACGGCTTCGAAATCCTCTTCAAACCCTGAAAGTCAAGCATTATAATCTCCTAAACATCACCATACCCTACTACGTACCTACTATAACCCCCATCCCAGAGCTCCAAGTCGCCCGAGAGAGGTAACCAACAACCATCTGGCCATCTTCTCCACACTTGCCCCCAGCCCTTATAAGCCCAAATCATAATCATCCACCCCCATTGCCCCTTCATCCCCTCTAAACGCAGCGTCCGAAAGCAATAATATCGAGGCCAAATATCCAATCATAATTCGTTTCATACGTGGTAGTCTGATGCGCCCCAACCCACACATGCTCGAAATTCGTGAATGCCTCATGTCTCCTGTGAATTCAGCTTAACTTATATCGCTCATCGTATCTATCATTCACCTTTTGTTTCTTGATATCTTGTTTGGAAGGAAACTAGGTGGTGGCGGATGGGAATGGGGGGATGTTGGGGGAGGAAAGAGAGGAGATCAATATAGGAGGCGTGGGTATGCGAGTTAGAGGATTGAATTAAGTTGGAGGAGTTATGAACTTGCAACATAGTATAGTTCAGTCTACATGTTCAATCGTTCGCAGATTTGAGTCATCACTTCGTACTCAACCACCAGCAAAAACATCCACATCGCTACAAATTCTACACGTATCGATCGCTCAACAAGGAATAGATACTTCACTCTTAACACTAGCTAGAAGCCTGATAGAATGTTCGGAACATACTAGCGATTGGAGGTTTCCTTTTCGTGGCCGTATGTACATGGTAGTGTTGCTATTTTGCGCCTCATTCTGTCTATCCAGTCGGTGGAATTTCCGATCTGCTGCGGAATTGGTTCTTAATTACTTGGCGGGTTACATTACTTGAGGTATTTTGCTGAGGTGGGCAGTATATTTCAATTGTCACGGTTTTCGTGAGGTTTCCTGTCTTCGGCACGAGGAAATGGAAGTAGGGGAAAGGGGTCTGGGAGTGCTTCTCGTGAGGTTGACAGGCGGGGTAGGGTTCGATGTTGTTCATGCATGAGATTAAAGTATTTATATTGCTCGTAGACGACTAGGATACTTTCTTAAGAAATTGTGTGCGATCTAGAATAGGGAGTTGAAAAGTTGGGTTGAGATGGGCTACTTTGACGTCAAGCGCGTCGCGTCATGAAGCTGAGAAGCTCAAATTCTGATGTGGTTATTAATCTTCAGTTGATGTGGTTGTATGGCTATAATGAGGTATCGAATTGAATTGCGTGGTACTTATCAAATATTTCGAAGGTTTGTGCCTGATCCCCGTGGAAGATAGAGGTAAAGGGGTCGACTAGATATTTCCGGTCTGCTATTTCACGATATCAAGGCACTGTATGGCATTGCTAAGTATACTTACAACAAATAGGGAAAGAATCAGTCAGTTCGTAAATCAGTATGGTGGGTTTCTACCGCACTGATGATGAAGGTTAATTGTACTTCGCCTAACTCTTGTTACAATCGAGATAGTGGATGTTGCTTTTTGGGTTACCAGAGAAGTCTATAAGTTCGCGGGTCTAATAAAAGAATTCCAGCACTTGTTTTCACATGGTTTAGAGGCTGTTCTTAGGTGTTGCTGATTTTTAAAGAATTTGTTCATGATTGTATTTACGTACTCGACAGCAATGTTTACAAAAAAGTCGGAATAGGCATGTAAGATGGAAAGAGAAGCAATTGAAACTGGATATCATATAAAGATATCCAGAAATTTCCATTACCATCAACCGGTTACCTTATCTCTGCTATATTTCAAAACTTGTGCTCAAGAAATAACGAGTATATTCAGTCTCGCCAAGGTATGACGTAACGGTTGCGCATAAACAATGACCTCAACAAACAACGCGACTTCACGATACTGCGAAACTTCACCTACATATCCACATAATAAAGATCGGAATATTCTCTCAAGATGGGTCGTAGACAGAGGTTGATCAGCACCTCTATTCTTCGTGCAATCTTCCGTACCAAAACTAAGGATACTAAAAACCCGGGACTTCTGGCGCGCATACTCGCGTTCTTCTCTATCTTCCAACTTACGCTCTCACGTTATCGGGAAGAGCTATTCAAAAAGCTTCGTAATGAGACATGGCAAATCGATGAGGAAGAATACACCGAATCGTTTCGCTCACCGAGCCATGGCAAGCGGACCGATCTGGTCGCAGTTGGCGATCTCGGGTACTCGGGTTCGGTATGTTCTCGATTCAGTATCTTACAGTACCAAGTGGATGTATTGTAGTATCTACTAATCAAAACATTCAGACATTCTTTACTACACCAAACTCCAAGTATCTTCTTAAGTCGCTCCCACGACAGTTTGAGCAGTCGTTCTTTCGCCTGCGCCTCCTGGATCCGTACGTGGAGCACATGGAACTGAATGAAACGTCTCTCCTCGTGCGGATAACGGACTTATTGTACACGCCCCAGACTACACTGGGTGCCATACTAGGAGCGGCTCCATCCCATCATATCGTCATGGAAAACATCTTGTATGGAAAATCAAGTTGCGGTAAAGACGACCAGAAGAAATGGGAGACCTACGACCTCAAACCTAACGATTACTTCTTCCCCGAACGTGACGTAATGGGAGGAAGGCTGGCTCCGGAGAGTGTAAAAGAGCGTCTCATAGACGAGTTCCCGGACAAGGTCCGCGTTAGTGTGGATGAGAAGGAAGAGTTGATCGCCCAGTTGTCACGAGATACGAAGATTCTCCAGGACGCAAATGCTGTTGATTATAGTTTATTCCTGGTGAGGTATCCAGCATCTATGACCCACGCTGATGGGGGAGACGTACCTGTTCCGGCCGGTCGTCAATCCTCCTGGCGCAATGGGGTGCAATCTCAGGACAAATGGGTGTATCGCGCTGTGCTTCTCGACTTCTTCTGGGCCAAGGATGCGCTGCAAGCAAAGACCCTCACGGGACTGGTGAAAGCATTCAACTTTCTAAAGGTTGGTAAGGATCATGGACCCATGAGTATCACCACAACCAGCGATGAGTATCGCCAGCGTTTTCTCAAGATGGTCGATGCGATTGTGGAAGTGCCAGACAGTGCGGGCAGACCCTCTGGGGAGTTGAGAGAACCGGTTATCAAGAGTATGGATCATTTGATTGATATCGGCGAAGTATGATGTAGACATGTCTATGTATTCTGCGTCGTGGCTCAAGCGGTCCTTTGATATGGTTGGCGAAGATACTTTTCTCATTCATCATGATACCCGAATTTATATCGTTTACCACTAAGGTCACAGACTTTGTCTTCTTCATGCGAATTTGGATTTTGTTTCAAACAAATGAACGTGCTTTCTTTAAATCAAGCGTTTACCAATCAATGTGATTCACTGTCAATTATAGTTGGTTCAATCATAGAATAACTACTTTTATAAGTTATATATTTTCGTGATGCGAAATTCTACCTGCTCCTCTGTGCCTGATTAGGGAACACACGAGGACATAAGAAACGCGTAGGAGCGATCTACCGAATCCTTCGATCCTACACGTTGATCTTCGAACCACTCTATAGAAACCGAAGATGGAATGGCCGTCGCTGCAAGCAAAAGAAGCATACACCTCAGCCATCACAGCAATCTTGTCAATCACTCGTAGATCTAACGCGACCTCGCAAACTAATCGAAGCAGTCGAGCAGATCCCATCCTCCACACGGTCCGTCCGTTCGCTCGTTCGTCCCATACCGCTCCCGTCCGTCCGTCGGCCGTTTGCTAGTAATGCCAATAGTTACAAATAGCAGTACATATTAGCTGGAGGCCCAACGTACTAACTAGCAGTGATGGTCGCTGGATCGGTACGAGCCGCAGCCATCTGAATTTTCTTTCTCATTGTTGGTGCATTGTTGGTGGGCGCGAGTCAAACAAGGCGATGCTGCACGTAAAATTGTCTATAATATTCAACGGACCAAGTGTTCGATCCTACAGCTTAGTGCGTGCGTGCGTGTGTCCCTGCGTCCATGGCATTGAGGAAGCCTGTGCAGTTCATGCAAATCATTCGAATCACCTCGATCAATCAGATCGTCAAGTCTGCTTTGAAAAGCCTCCTCTTCATTCTTTCTACGGTTTCAAGAAATCTCCTTTGCTTAGAATTAATATTCGCCCTGTAACGCGTACACAAAGGGAGCAACAAAATATTTTTCTCTTTGTGTACGGCGTATTACTGCACAAAATACAATTGCACAAAATGGTCAGCAAGGATCTCGGTAGGAAGCGGGCTGTGCCACTCCATTGCAGGCAGAAGCGATGGATGTTGTTAGGCTGGGGGCCATGTCTACCCTCTTTGCGCGCAAACACCCTTTTTTAGCGCCCGCTAAGACATTTAGTATACAATCTTCAATACTTGTACATTGTTGGTCTCTCGTTAAAGTATGTGATTATTGAATTCTGGGGTCCAAAGTTGCAAACTACTGCGAGGAAGAGAGAGAGGGAGGAAAAAATGGAGCGAGCACATCCGAAGGCGAGGTCGACACTCTAGGCGCTCGGAAAGCAAAACAACATTGCTGCCGAGGGAAGGTTTCTGGTTCTTCTTACGCCTCTGTAGCTCTTTCCTTTTTGCGTTTCAAGATGGCACAAGCGCGCTCTCACTACGCCGCCCCAGCTGTTCGTGCTTATGGCGGGTGAGCGAAGCTATGTGGCGGGCGTGTTGTTGTTGTATTGATTGCACAGGTACTGTGTAAGGTGGAGTCGAGTCAAGTCGAGTCGTGAGTCTAGTCGACTAGACTTTTTGAAGGCAGCGCAGGGTGCAAGGCGCAGTTGTACCGTACCGCACTGCTGCCCCAGTCGTGGCATGGCATCTGCTCGACACGGCCGTATAGCGTTCTCTTTCGCGCGGGCCTCGTACGTACTTCAGTTACTATCTACGACTACGAGTCACGAGAGATTCAACTGTTGCGAGTTCTCCCGCGATCGGCACATCTTGCGGCCTTCGTTCTGCGGGCATGTAAATGATTGCGCGGGTTGAGTCACGAGTGTCAGCATCACCTTTTCTATGCATTGCGTGTGCGTGTGCGTGCGTGGTCGTCTGCGATTCGCATGGCTGCTGGGTAGAATATCATCCGTCTTATCATCGGACTTCGCAGGGTTCACGGTTCGTAATTCTCTCCGCATCGTATGTAGGCACTCGTATGTGGTAGGGTGGTGGGGAAGCACCGTGGCACCCTTGTGGCCTCAAGATGATGTCCATGACCCAGCTAGTCGAGATGGATTATGTGATTCGGTAGCACTACGGTTGCTGTGGCATTCGAGATCACAAGATTGTCTTACAGTCACTTTCCAGTTTACTAGTGTCTGGCGCATCTTAGCAAGTGGGGGCTTTTGGGAGAATGTGTGATGGTATGAACCTGTGGTGGAGGAGACGCAAAGTTATGGTAAAATGGCTACGGACTTCGGGTACCTGCATGGCCGGGGTTACCAACTCGAAGCACTCCAGACCTTGCTCAGCCGTGCGGTGAAAATGATCGAGCGAATGGTACAATATACCCGGAAAGAGAGATAAAGTATGAATGTCCTCTCCCTTGTAAAGAAGTGTGTGATTTGTTGGATGGGAGAAAATGATGGCCTGCGATATCAACGCAATTTTGAATGTCCTATGAGAACTCTTTCATTGCAACGAAATGTGTCTTCCGGAGTCCGAAACATGCATATCAAATGTCCTGCTTCGAATAGAGTATTCCATCATAAAATTGTAAGAAAACCAGATGAATGGCTGGTCACTTTGGACGTGAGAAATATGGTCTGAGTGCGTGGCCATGTGGACATCTACCACTAGGCCTGACTGTTAGCTCATCCTGATAAGTGCCACAGCGCATAGGGACTGGACAGCATCCAACAGAAGGCGATAGTGGTCCCTTTCTTTTTTGCGCACGATCTACAGTACATCGACAGATACCCCACCCGGGAAGATGTAGAGTCGCTCGACCTGTCAGCCTGTGGGTGGCGCACCACTCGAGCTCGCATTGTGACTAGTCATAGTTGCGGCAAATGCGATATCTGTGCGGTGGTTCAAGTAGTACTTTGTCTAGTGAGCATGTTGATGAATCTAGTCCATCCATGTGGGTGTTGGTGAAGGATCAGTGACTGCAGAGGCTAACCAAGGCGTATACAGTATGGCTAATGAAGCCATGTGGTCTCTCTCTTTCCAACCTAATGTGGACATGGCTTACACGAAGATTCAAGAAGTGAGTGGATGCACAAAATGCAAAGCAGGCATCTGTCGAAACGAACAGCGGCGAAGCAACAGTTGTATGTTTGAGATTGGTTTTGAACAGATTGACATCTAGAGCTGTAGGGTTGTTTTCTCTTCCACGGAAACAGCTCTGCCCCGAGCAGAACTGAACCATGAGATCGTATCTTGGCTAGGTCAGCAGTTCCTATAAGAGGTGTGCTCTGGGCGGGGCCGTTCTCTGAGCGTGTGGAAACCCCATACTAGGCGGCTTCCAAGACATCAATAGTTCATAGAGCGCGATACTTGTAGGGTCTGAATGCAGTGGTCTGTATTGGACTCCACACATGGTGGACTGAGATTTGAACAACCAAGTGATGCATTTTGCTAGGACAGTCTTGAGTTCTGAAATGGCTGACGGTAAGTGGTCAGTCATTTCAATTTTTGTCCTGGGGCTGACGGACTAATCTCGTCTATGCTACCCCAAATCACCTAGCGGAACGGAAGCATGCGAACAACGGCAATAAGTGGTGCCCAAGTGGCGAATTGAGAACGGGACCGAGGATGGAGACACTGACAGCCAGTGACAGGCTACGCTAGGATCTTGTCTTGTTGTACTGTACGAGTACGAGCAGAGGCGGCCGGTTAAGGTTGTTAATCCTGCAAGAAGCCGCCTTTAACGCTAATGAATAGTCCGTAGGAGGGAACCCTGCTTGCTTGACGGTATTCAGTAACCAGCCGGCCAGACTTTGTAGGAGGCTTCAAGATATGAAATACAATAGGTCATGATGACATTTTGTCTCGCGATACGCATAGGATGTAGTGTTGATCGATCAGTGGAAGCAACGAATTGGGGATTAGCCTCGATCGCTGGATAGGTCATCAAGCTGCGAGGAATAGTGATCATCTTGACTGGAAGGGGAGATTGATGTGCGATACATTGACAGGGGTCGTAAGGGTAGAAGTGCGAGAACGATACCGAAGTTGGTAAATTTACCACATTTACTTGTACAACTACAAGGAGTTAAATCGGATGGCTGGATTAATTACGAAGATGGGGGAATGCGACTGGGAAACTAGAGGACAAGGTGATGAGAGATGGTATGGGACGATGGAACCGTGGGAGTTGTTGGCATCTGGAAGTTGTCTGTCCGGCGGAAGCGGAGGGTGCCGTAAGCCAAGACTTAGCACGTGTAGTTGTAGTCTAAATATGGATGCATTCACTAGGGTACTACCTTGACTTGACTACCATCCATCCATCTTCTCTCTCTCTGTCTCTCTCTTTGCCTCAATGCTCATCCACCCACCACCAGCCTTTCTTACGGTATCTGCGCCTTCGCCCGCGCCCCCCTCCCAAAGAGTAATATACCATTATAGGAAATATCCCAGGAATATCCCATCCAGGATCTTACAGTCCCCCCTCCTCTCTTCTCTTCCCTTCCCTCCCCAGGGTCCGCTAATCCCAGCATTACACATCGCTACTTGCGTCCTCTTCGGACCCCGCCCAGAGCTCTGGGAGAGGGCACAGAGGGTCTTGTCTTTCCAGCTAGCTCAACCCTGCACCGACGCCTCCCGATCTCCAACTTTAACTTACCCGACCATGCGCTACGCTTTCTTCGCATCTCAAGCAAGCGCTGCATTTCTTATTCTGTCCTACTTGTTGCTGCGGCCCAGTAGTGTGTGCTGGTGCTGTGCCAAATGATGTTGGCTTTGCCGGATTATCGGGCTCTGCCTCTTTTCCCCAGTTGCGCGCTCGTCGCTCCCTGGCTCGACTGATAGACATACATACATTCATACCCGCAGAATTCATCTCTTCCTACACATGCATAGTGCCGTCTCACAACCTCTTCTTATTACCTGCATACCTCGCTCTCTGTGTCATACCTTTCCCATTCTCGGTTTCCCTTCTCCTTCCCCTTCTCCTTGTGCACTCCTCCATGTCGGTCGCAGTTTATGCTCCGACGGCCTCAAGTGTCTTTGTCCGAACCAATCTCATCTCAGCCTTCTTCACTCGTACAATCTGCCTGAACCAAGTCCCACTAAACTTCCCATCCCTGTCCGTTTAAGAAGTTCCTTATTGCTACCAGTGGTAAGCCGTCAGGATACTTCTATTTTGAAACAAGGCCTTTCTCTTTCCCTCTCCCTCTCCCTCTGTGCATACATCTCTGTTGCCCTGCCACCATGGCTGTCACCGAGTCTGGCTTCTTCGAGTATCCCTTCTCCAGAACACGTTCGTTGTTTCGCTCTCAATCGACTCAGGCCAAACCCTCTCCTCATCGTCGAGATCGGTCTCTCCAACCATCCTCACTTAAGAGTTTCGATACCCAATCTCGGGCTACGAGTCAATCGTCGAAGCACCCTGGATCGACTTCGTCATTGTCGCCCAGGTCTTTGTCTTCTCCAAAGAAACAAACAAAGAGGGGGATCAAGCATACCCGCAAGACGACCATCATTCGTGCTGTGCCTCCAGGCAGTTCTTCTATAACTACCTCTCTCTCCACTCTGGAAAGAGATATGGCAACGCTTCCTAACGAGGAAATTCTTTCAGCAATTAGTGGTTCAGGTTGGCAATCGCCCGCGACCTCTCGAAGCTCGCCATCTTCGTTACGACATGCAACCTCACCCCGCCTGGGTGCCCGCAGTCGAAGCTCACCAACCCTTTGTTCCATTAAAGCAGGTACGGAGATGAACTTCTCTGATCAGAAGAGCAATGCCACCGGCTACGAGCAGGATAAATTCCAATGGGAATCTTCGCGCAGCAATTCTTCCCTGCAAGAACGTCGTGCTTCCAGCGCTCTTCGAAGTAGAAGACCCCAGATTCAGGTTGTTATACCTCAACATCAAAAGGATCGCCCACTTCCTACCAGCCCATTCTTTTCAAATCCCAGCAATACACTGAGCAGATCTGCCTCCGCCGAACCGCTTTCAGTTACTGACATATCGCCTCCTTCGGGCTCGAAAAGACCCCTCGCACGCAATTCCGCAGTATCTCCTCTCAGTGCCCAGCAGAAACAGAACATCAATGCCCCGCATCCTTCCATCGACGCTACCATCGTCAAGTCTCAGATAGATACAACAGGCCAAACCACCGCTGGTCCCCCGACCAATTCTTCCTCCGAAGACTCCCATGGAGACGACTGCTCCTCTACTTATAGCCGGCGCTCATCGAGATCAAGTGTAGGCGAACAGACATCTCCGATGAATTTGAAACCAATTAATTTTCACGATCGCTCCGCAAGTGTGACTTTCTCAATAAAATCGCCACTCGAAACAGGGGTCTTTGTGGATGTTGAATCAGTGGTCACGAAGTCCGAAAACTCTAAGGCTGAGACCGGACTCAGTGTAGCAGCCCCGACAATTCCACCACCTCGCAAGTACGCACCACATGGTCCTATCGAGGATGATTTCGCTTTTAAACCTACATGCACGCTGCAACCATCGCGCAACCGCTCAGCCACGACACAACTTCCACTGGAGCGTCGACCCACCCTCACCCGCAAGGCAACTATCATCCGCCGGCCATCTGTAAGGCGTCAGTCTTCGCAGCGACGTAGTTCACGCATCAGTCTTATGATCAGCCCAACAATGGGTGTATTAGACCACGCTATCATCCGCCAAGAGGTGGCAGACCCGACCCAACTGTTCGCAAGCCCTACGCTCAGTGAGGCCGAATTTGACCTTGAAGAGGAGTTGCTCTCTACACGAGTCGGCGCCAACCCCTTTGCATATGATGACACGGAACATGAAAGCATCTCTATCATTCCAGGAACGCCACCAACAGTTCCTAGGAAATCTAGCAAACGCCAATCCCTCCTCGCCGCCAACTTCCGTCTCTCTCGAGTCTCGAATGAACATATTCTATCGCAATTGAGGCGCACCTCCTCTCGAGCGAAGGCAAGAGGATTGAGGATTGAGATTCCCCGCACCCCATCGCCCGTGGCGGATGACTTCTATCTTTCCCCAATTCCAGTGCCGCCTAAAGCACTTAAGCGAACCATTACCCCGAGCGTGGCAGAGAACGTTATATATGGAATTTTCGAACAACTCGACAACTTTGAAGATCTTTTTGCGACTGCAGTCGTCAACGGTGGGTTCTATCGTGTATTCAAGCGGTTTGAGCTCGACTTGATGAAGAACACGTTGTGGAAGATGTCCCCTCCAGCATGGGAGCACCGTGAAATCTGTTATCCCGGGCACGATCAACACCAGCCAGAGGATCTGGAGAAGACGCAATCCAGGATGGAATACACGCCAAATGTGTACATCGAACATCACAAAAGCGATGTAGAGATTATCACCACCCTGAAAACACTGATTGGCCAAAGGTTCCAGACTTTTCTCCGAACGGAAATTGCGAACACTTTGTTCAGTCAGGATGGCAAGGAACAAGCACGCATAGATAATGCGCTCTGGCGAATTTGGACATTCTGTAAGATTTTCGGCTGTGGCAAGGGACGTGAGGACGATATCGTTGCGCAGATGGACTGGCTCAAGGGTGGCCCTTTGGTGCACCAAGATGCCCCCACCCACGCCATATTCTCCACTGATGCCCTTGATATGAACGATACTTTGGCGAATGCGCCAGAGTGCTTCGCTCTAGGAAATGAAGGCGGCCTTAGTGCAGAGGAGCTCTTTGACATGATGGAACTATGGAACTGTCTGGGACTTCTGCTCCAACCGATCTGCAACCGTCGAGTCCAAGCGCGCCAATATGGCGTCTTTGACGATACCGAGGTTCGAGGCGGAGATATTGATGGAGAGGAGCTGATGCTTGGTAGGTTTACAGTGCAACCAATGAGTGCGAACAATGTGCTAAACTGTTTCTAGATGAATGGTACTACTACCTACTCACGCTCGGCCTTTCACCCATCCTCGAACTTGTCGGCCCCTGCCATGAATCAGAAGCCTCCGCTTTTATTGTGGCTCAGAAGAACAACTGGACTCATTGGAAAGCTCCCTTGCAAGGCAGTTCCCGCCGTAACTTCTTCAAGGAAGCAGCGGAACGTGTTTACGAAAACAAGATCGCCGCTGACTATGCCGAACCATCTTCGAAAGAAGTTCAACGCCAAATATCCAAGCAACGCCTCCAGGGACACATTACTGAGCTCCAGCAACGTCGAAACAACGGCGAGAGATTACCTGAAATTCGCATGAGCCAAGAGCGCCCCATGAGTGGATGGGAAGGTGTCATGAATAACTTGACTCGACAACGTCCTGCACCATCATCAAACCTTGTCTCACATATACCATCAATCCGATCATCTGCACTCGTTCTCAATATATCGTCTTCTGTTGCCGATGCCCATGCATCCAATTCGCAGGAAAGACGCCCACGCTCATTCCACCGAGTTGTGGCCCAGCCCCTCTTGCCGACACCTCCACCTTCTACTGTACCTTCTGTAGCAGACAGGAGCAGTACTTTCTCTAGCATGCCACCCATAGAGGAGCATCCAGCTTTCCGACGTCGCCATGAATCCATCCCTGAGATGCCTTCCCTCGAACTCCACCCTGCGTTCTTGCAACACCGCCGGCAAGCGGCAAGTTCAAGTCATGAAAGCGCCTCGCGAAGCACATCCCCAAGCAAAGCTTCCATCGAGGACCAACCCGCATTTAAACAACACCCACTTCAACGCAATATTCTCGATGGTGATGCATCCGAGAATAGTGCCGAGAAGGCCGTCTATCGCATCGTCGAGATGGGCTTTACTCCTGATCAGGCTCGCTCGGCTTTGCGTAGAACAGACATGGGCGACGGCCTTAGAGTCGATCGCGCTGTTGAGCTATTGCTCTCTGGTTACTAACCTCATTTTAAAATTTCACAACATTCTTTTGTACATTGATCATATCATTGAACCCTCTTTTAGGGTGGGAAAAGTTTCGCTTCCTTCTTCTCAGGCGTACTTGGTTATTGCATTGGAGCATATTTTTCGGCGCAAGGAACTTTACACATATCGTCTCTTTATACTTTTATTTCCTCTTCACATTCCACGTCTACATAGCGTCGAGATACCCATTCGTTATTCACTTTTCTTCTGGTATTCTGAACAGCAATCGCTCGAGCGGTTTAGGATATTCTGTAAGCGTAGGAAGGATGAGAAGAGGGACCACATAGTCAGTCAAAGACAAAGCTTAGCAAGCAAGTGAAAATAAAACAAATCAATAAAGAATCACATCTCAATTCTTATGTCGTCTCAATCCTTAGTGATTTACTGTATCTCCGCTACTCTATCATTCGAACGTCTTCTCCATGATTGACGGATGTACGAACGTGAGGGCCACACAGTCTAGTAAAAGCTTGCAGCTACGATTCGCAGACGCAGAGTTCGCTCTATTGGCGACTTATGTTTCGAACTCTTTCGACTATTGCACCGCTCGCAGCGTGGGCTCGAGGAACCTAACATCACTTCTCATGGACATACCCCATCCCACTTCTCCACCAAGCCCAAACGCCCAATGCCTCTATTCTGGCGCCAAATTCCTTAACACTATTCGCCTCTTCAAGCTTCCCATATCCTGTCCCCTTTACAATATCCATGGTGGACGATGTGTCTATTTGCTTCGCCGCAGGCTTTCTAACCAGTTGGAAATCTTTGTAGCGCAATCTTTGCACGGTGCCAACCCAGTTTCTCACGCCGTCTTCATGGCCCTCGCAGTACATTATACCAGGGCAGCCACCGCTGCGCAATAGTGCATATACATTGTTGTTCGAGGCCGCTGCTCGGAGCTTCGCGATCTTTTTGCGTGATGTGATGTGATGAGTGCGGATCAGGGCATTCCAGATAGGAGGCATGCCATTTGCGGGGATCTTGAATTTTCAATGCAGGAACACAGAACATGCACTGATAGAAAGTATAATTTATATTGACGTCCAATGGGCGGAGTTCTTATGTCCACGCGTAGAGGACGTCTCCCAGATCACACGTGACAGGGTTAGCGTCAAAAATTCCGTCACTGCAGTGGGTCAAGAAGTCGGTCATGAACAGCAGAGGGCGGTTTAGCAGGCTTCTACCCAGAAAACTACAGCAAGCAAACAAGCAAGTTGCATTCGTCGTTTCTCGGACGCGCAACGTATGGATTGGGCTTCCATATTCGAACTTGCGAACGCAGAGTTATGAAGTCAATTCTGCCTCGTAATCTTGCAGCGCCGTCGTCCGCCGTGCTAAACTTCCTGCGATCCCAAGTCCGCAATGCTTTCCAACCCAACGTCGCGCCACGGTGCACCGCCTTCGGAGTTCAGAGTGCTAGGGGAATCGCGACATGTGCAAAAGAAGGAATCCTGAATAATAGTTCAGCGGGGAGAAATGGGGCTTTTGGCAGATTATACAAAGATACTGGCTTGAAGGCTATTGCGTCACCAGTCGAAGGTGTCGAGCCTCAGTCGCGATGCACATCGCTTGCTACCATTCAGCCACGGATCGCTGAATCACGAGCAACAAATCATCTAATCGTACCAAGAGACACCTGCCATAGAGCATTCTCTACGACTGCAACGGACCATGCCTCCTGGCTTCCTTTCCGACAGAGAAGGCGACAACGCGCCCCGTCAATCCCTACACCCTCGCCACCTTTGTCGAGTTTCTTAGATGACGCTACCCCCAATTCACTGAACGGTATTGGCGGACTTGGACGAGTGTCCAGGAGCGCAAATGAACTGAAGATGCGCTGTACGGAGCTCGATGAGCATGGCAATGTGACAATGGTCAGCGGAGAGTTCAAGAAGAGTGAACTTATTGCAAAGGTGGACATCGCCATACAATTTTTCTTGACAGTATATCACTAACACATTCATAGTATGGTCTTCTCCCTCGCGACCTCCGCAAGATTGACTCCTCTCTCCTCCCTCACATCCTCGTACGACCCTCTGCGATCTTGATCAACTTGCTCCATCTGCGTGTTCTGATCAAGCACAACCGCGTCCTGGTCTTTGATGCCTATGGAACTACAGACTCGAAATCGCAGTCCGTGTTCATGTATGATCTGGATTCAAAATTGCGCCAGAAGGAATCTGTCACCAGCGGGACCCTCGCGTACGAATTCCGCGCCCTGGAAGCCGTTTTGATATCTGTGACGTTAGGTCTCGAGAAGGAACTCGAAGGCGTTAGCGAACCTGTCGTGAAAGTTCTCATGGAGCTGGAAGAGGACATTGATCGCGACAAACTACGCTACCTCCTCATCTATTCCAAGAAGCTCGGTAGTTTTGAGCAAAAAGCACGCCTTGTGCGAGACGCCCTGACGGAGCTGTTGGAAGCAGATGATGACTTGTCTGCCATGTATTTGAGCGACAAAGCCGCGGGGACGCTCCGAGATGAACACGACCATACGGAAGTCGAGATGCTTCTTGAGTCCTACCACAAGGTTGCCGATGAAATCGTACAGGCGGCAGAGAATTTGGTTTCTAGCATTCGCAACACTGAAGAGATGTAAGCATCTTCCCCTACCAGCACTAAGCTGCACCCATTCCACCCAAATCAATGCTAATCTGGCTCCTCTACTCCAGTGTCAAGGCCATCCTAGATGCCAACCGCAACTCGCTCATGCTTCTCGACCTCAAGTTCTCCATTCTCACCCTAGCAATAACCGCAGGAACCTTCGTGGCCGCCCTCTACGGCATGAACTTGAAGAACTTCATCGAAGAATCCGACATAGGCTTCTTCGGCATCTCCGCCTGGTGCACCGTCTTCGGCACCATCGTCGCCATCTACGGTCTCGGAAAGCTGCGCAAGGTACAACGCGTCAGCATGTGGGGTCACGGCGGCGGCGCGAAATCCACGTCTGGATGGGGACTCGGTCTCTGGGGCGGCAGAAGCTCGCGCATCACGGACGAGGCCTCGCTCGGTGCGTGTACCCCGAGACTGAGGGCCGGCGAGACGGTGGGCGACCTAATTCTTCGGGAGCGCGCGGTCGCGAAGAGGTTGGCCAATGCGGAGAGGAAGGCCGATGATGCATTCAATCATTAGGAGGGTCTTTCTCTGCTTTCTGCTTGATCGTGGAAGGCCATCCCGAGTGCTCCTGCTCATTTTCGCAATGACACGTCACGTTGCGGCAGAACTACCTCCTGGGCATGGATCTCTTCCGTTTCAATGCCTTGCATATACTCTCGCATCTCACAAACCCACCACTCATCTTCTCTACTCAGCTCGACTATTTTCCACTTCTCACGACAAATTCCAGCAGCATCACACGTTTGATTAGACTTGAGTATACCATGCTTCACCCCTTTTGTACATCACATACTCAACCCCATTCAGCAACTCAACATTAGACAGCACGAGCCTTTCCCTCCCCCCTCCCTGCTTAATCAGTCGGGCAGATTCTCTTCTTCTTCCTTGTTTCCCCTGGGCATAGCGAAGGCGTTTTAACTGTTCTTCACATTTCCCGTTTCCATCTGCTTTTTCTTGGGGATAGAAGCGGTAGTTGGGTCGTTCCTTGGGGTTTCTTGATACATTTATACATGTGTACGGCAATGGGAACCTTGGGGCTCGTAAAGCAGGCACCCCGATGATGTACGATAGGATATGATATGATTATCAATATACCACCACTATGCTTCCTTCCACCTTTGCCTCAGACTTAACAAACGTGTCTGCGTATCCCATGCCCATTCATGCACAAAAGTACGTACATACCTGAGGTAGATATGTACAGTACAATACACGACAAAGATGTGAGGAGTTTTTCATCAGTGCGTTGCATTACTTCCCTCGTGTTGCGTTGGTACAAATATATCATCAATTCATCATACATATCGGTGTGAGTCGTCATTTCTCTGTGTATATGTTCATTTCTTGTTCGTTTTTCTCACTCTCTCCTCAGCTCATCCCCAAACGTGGGATAAACCAAGGAAGACTACTACTTGAACTCCAACAACCCCCCTGATCTCATAGACACGAGTGAAAAAAAAATAGATGAAGGTGATGGAAAAAGTAGTTTAATACAATGGTGGTCTAGTGAACCCCTAAGGAGCTCAATGTCATATCATACTCCAAAACACGACTCTACTGCAACAACATTATCATCAACATATATGTGTGATCATCCCTCGCCGCCGTGTAGCGTGCGAAACGTGTCGCGGGACTAGTAAGGGATGCCCTCGTACTCGCCGTAACCAAGTGCGAGGTTCATGTTCTGCAGACATTGGGTCGCGGCGCCCTTGAGGAGGTTGTCAATGGTGGCGTTGACGACGACGCGCTTGCCGGAGCCGTGGACGGCGAATCCGCCGATCTCGACGCCGTGCTTGCCGGAGATGGCCTTGACTAAGGGCGACTCTCCCGTGATCTTGACGAGCTTCTCTCCTGCGTAGCGATCTTGGTAGAGGTTACGGATGTCTCGGGAGGTCATTGTGCGGTTGAGCGGGATGGAGATGGTGTGCTAGTTGGGAGATAAGTAAAGGATCGTTTATCAATCAAGGAGGGCGTGTACTTACAGAGATACCCTGGAACCAAGAAGCAACGTGGGGGATGAAGGCAACATCCGTTCCAAGCTGTGCCGAGATCTCCTTCTCGTGGATGTGGCCAACCAAGCTGTAAGGGATGAGGTTGTTCTCCAGGTTCTTCACATCGTTCTTCGGGCTTGGCTTAGTACCAGCACCCGAATAGCCAGAGACACCGAATACAGTGGGTTGGCCACCAACGAACTCGAGAAGAGGTGCAATACCAAGTTGAGCAGCGGTGGCATAGCAGCCGGGGTTTGCTATCCGAGTGGCATTGGAAAGCTTTCGTCGGTCGACGAGCTCTGGGAGACCGTACGTCCATGAAGAGTCGAATCGGTAATCGGCACTCAAGTCCACAATGACGGTCTCGGGGTTGCCGGCCTCGTTGACAGCATCAACGAAAGGTTGGCAGACGCCGTTGGGAAGAGCCATGACCCAGCAGTCGATCTCACCCTTCTCGGCCATCTTCTTAACGTCTTCAGGGGAGAGGTTCTCGTAGGTGATGTTGCGCTTCGTGTAGCCTTCGAGCTGCTTGCCAGCAAGCTCGCGGGAAGAGACATGCCTGAGATCCATGTTGGGGTGGCGGTTGAGAAGGTCGATGAGAGCTTGTCCAGTGTAACCACGAGCACCAATCAAAGCAACCTTTGCCGGCCAGTCCCTGCTCTTGAACTTGAGGTTGTAAGGAGGATTTGGGTTGGTGGTCTCGACGGAGCGGGGCGCGCTGGTTGCGAAGCCTCGGGAGGAAGGTGTATTGCGGCTGGATCGCACAGTTGGCCTTGACTGTTGTCCCCATGCCTGAGATCGAGGGGCCATGGTGGAGTACTTGCGAACCTGCTGTCCCTGCTTGAGGCTGGCTGCGTAGTCGGCGGCTCGTCGAAGCTGTGCGTCAAGGTTCTGGCCACCAAACATGCCTCGGCCATGCTCAGAGAACTCGCTCATCAAGGAAACAACCTCTTGCGGGCTTGCTGATCCCCAGAAGCAGAAGATGTCCTTGTCACGGCGGAGGGTACCGTCGGCCTTCTCCTTGAACCAACCTAGGTTCTCGTCGTGGGTCTCGACCGTCCAGGACATCTTGGGGTACTTCTTCTTCATGCGATCAAAGATGTTGTCGGCCACATTGGTGAGGAATGCATCCTTGGTCGTGGTGAATACCGAGAGCTGAGCGAAATCCGAGTCATTCGAAGGGGGGTAAACAATCGCAACGGCACCCATAGAATCGTCGAAGAAAGCCTCAAATGGACGATCCTTGAGGTTGTTCAAGAAACGATCGATGACATCGCCAGAGTCCATGCTCTCACGGTCCCTGAGTAGTGCAGCCCTGAGTGCGCGGACATCCTCGAAATCCTCGTACTTGGTGACCGACTGGATGCTCTCGCCCTTGCGGATCAAAGTACCGCCACCGGTGTGCGTGAAGAGCTCCTTCTCAAGGTATTGCGGGTGGATGATGGCCACACTGGAGGTCTTGGGGAGGTCGTCCAATAGCTTCTTGACTTCCACAATCTTGAGTTTCGTGCCATATTTGACCCACGCTTGCTGCATGAGCGTGTCGTACTCCTCGTCCAAGTTGATGGTCGAGATAAGCTTGCCGGTATCGCCATTGAAGAGACCGCCTTTCTCGGAGAGATAGACGATCTTCAGTGGTTCCAGCGATCGGGCCAATGCGCCGGCGACAACATCGGCATTTACATTGAGAATCTGGCCGTCTTCGGTCTCGGCCATGGAGCAGAGAATAGGCAACTCCTTGGCCTTGAGAGCATCGATGATGGGCCTGGAGTTGACCTTGGTGATGTCGCCAACGTACTTCCACTTTTCCTTGTCGAGGTAGTCGGCCTGGAGCACGCCAGCGGTGATGGGCCTGGCGGGAATGCCCCAATCTTGCCTGAGCTTCAAGACCAAGTCCATGTTGGCCTCCAAGAAGAGTTTCCTGGCAATGCCTAGAGTCTTCTTGTCGGTGACACGGATGCCATCAATGAACTCTGGCTCCACACCAGCGTCCAAAAGTATCTTATTCATTTGGGGGCCTCCTCCATGGACAATGATAGGGTAAAGACCCATGGCGTATAGATGCTGCAGAGCAAGGCATAGTGTATCAATGTGGTCGGTAAGAATGGCGCCGCCGACCTTAACGACAGCGAATTGCTGCGAGGAAACGGACTTGAACTGGGCGAGGTACTGATCGATTTCGCGGCGGGAACTGACGCTTCCGAGCAGGCTCATGAAGGCAGATCGCATGGAGGTAGCATCTCGACTGTCGGCGGAGGAGGTGTAGAGGCGGCTCGTGGCTGGGAGGAGGGCTCGTGGGAGGGTGCGAAGAGCTCCCGATGTGGTGACTCGGCGGGACGAGCGAGCTGCCAATCGAGCACCAGAACGCACGACGCCCTGCATGGTGTCTTTCTGGTGGAAGAAAGCAGGCTTCGACAATCGCTCAACGCACGGCGGAGGGAATGGGAAGGAATTGGTGGGAGTGGTGGAGTGGAGAGTGGAGAATTGAGGTGGAAAGGGAAGAAGAGGTAGTAACGGTGCAGAGCGATTATCAGATATATCTGAGATACTACTGCACTACCGCACTACCTAGGCGATAAACGGGAGAGTACCGCACTGTGTATGGGGAGGAGGAGAGAGGGAGGGAGGGGTCTGGTCGCTAATAGCGCGCGCGGCGGGCAGCTCTTGCGATCAAAAAATTCGCTCCCAAGTCCGATAGCGCAGCAACACCAGGAATAGCGACAATTCACTCGCAAGCCTTTTTTCCCTCTCACAGTCACTCCATACCTACCTAGTTATGCTCCCCTCTCCCTTTCCTATTCCGTCGCAAATGGCTCACTAGTAATGGGATTCCGGAGAGTCATATATTTCTTTTCCAAGGTCTAGGGCGTGAGGCAGAGAGGAGGAAGGGATGGGTTCTCTATCTATGATTGGCCATTACAACCAAACCTAACCTTATGTACGGAGTATATTAGATCTCTCTTCCTTTTTAACTCTTTATTTCCATTGCAGCATGACCGGGAAACCCATGGGTCCAGTCGCGAACTCTCTCGCATGTGCCTAATACTGTCGGTTGATTGTTGTGCAGCAGTTACGAGCGCCGGTGACGTCGTAGACCCCGATATTCTCACACAGGAACTCTTTAGTACTGGAAGTGATGTGCGCCCAGCAGCGGCCATCAGACGGTCACAATGTGGAGAATCTGCAAATAATTACATCGGTCACTACACCACTCCATCATCGTGGAGCCTAGGGTCTAGCCAGGACAGAGTTGCCATCCATGCAGTCCGAAGGTCGGATTCATTCCCGTAGCTGTACGCCTGCCTCACCCGCTTCTTCTTGCCTGAAGATCTTTACATAGAGGAAGGCTGTGCCTTACCTTCGTCATCCTCTCGTGAACGTCACATTGCAACTCACATGTAGCGAAACAAAGCACACAAAGCACACAAAGCACACAAAGCACACAAAGCAAGCAAGCAGAACGCATGGGTGAAAGTTACGAGATTTCATTCAAACTCGAACATAATCTGTGATTGTCTAATCAGCCATGTCCCCCAAGGACGACCCTCCTTTCTGACACGTAGAAAGACGTATATGTAGATGGATCTTTCCCGGTGACAGGCGTAGAGGACATGGTTGGTATCCCGTGACCGTTGGCCTAAAATTGGAAATGCAGTGAAAGACATTGAGAAAATAAAAAACCAAACCCATCGCTCCCAGTTCGCCGTGGACGTTAGTACAGGGACCTTTGCATCATCAGGTAGCCGTGCATTTCGCAGCCACTGAGGCCGTTTTCCAGACAGCTATGCCAACTTTTCAAACACTCGATCCCTCTCCTATTAAATGGTGCTGCTGTTTCGTTTCGTGAGGTATCGTAGAGGGCAATCTATCGGGTTGCGACGACTGTGGTTGCTTGGTCAGCCTCTGCGGAAGCTGGAATCGGGGAGAGTGAGTCAGGTGTTAAAGCATACCAGAGGGGACAATGATGACAACGAGGAGGATGATGATTCCGACAATGAGGCACATGCGCATCTTCATGTCCTTCCACCACATCTGTTTGCGGACACGGTTTGCGCCTCGTCGGAAACCCTGCGCGGAGACGGCGAGGTTGTCGGTCTTGTCCTGGAGCGAGTCCAAGCGAGCACCACGCTCGGAGACTTTGTTGATGTTGTCGCGCATGATGCCTACGGTGCTGTCGATTTCCTGCAAAACATCACGTTAGCTCGGCGCCCGAAGAGGGAAAAAGTGCGAAGGAGATGGATTCATGCAATAGTGCGACCTCCTCTCGCTGCGGATGTGTGCTGTTGACTCCTTGCGAGTCCGAGTGGACGTTACGATGGCATCGTGGACAGAGTCATCGTCGTGGCCATTGCCATACGGCGGATGGGTGCGATGCCTCGGGTGCCTACGTAGTCCGACAGCTCGTGCTCGCTCGGAAGTCCGCCACTCGCTGGAACAGATGTCGCAGAGGTGCTGCAAAGCGCAAAATAACAAAATCCATCATTCGAATAGACGTACCGCTTGGAGTGCCTGGGTGCGCTGGTTGCCATTCTGGCCCTGGCCGCCTTGGTTGGCGTCGCCGCCGGTGGGAATGTACGGGTCGTAAGGTTGCTCGCGGTCGGCCATTGTGGGAGGGTGGGAGGTGACGGAAAGGTGTTTAAAGGTATCGAAACGAGGGCAGCGGGCGTGAGACTGGGTGGGATGAAGATGCGGGCGAGTTGTTGTGGATAAAGAGAAAGGTTGAGGTTGTATGGAGGAGGAGAGAAGAAAGAGAAGAGGAAGAAGAGTGAGAGGTGGACGGGCGAGGGAAGTGGTTGGAGGTTGGAGCGAGCTTGTAACGGGTTGGTCAGAAAGTGGTTTGAGGCTGAGAAGAACGTGGAACTGCGCGGGAAATCCAGTCAACGCAACGCAACACAGCGCAACAACGCGCAATAGATTACAGGGCAGGGCAAACTTACTATGTGCTGAGAATTCCAGAGGAAAGAGGAAAAAATAAAATAAAATAATAAAATAATTGTGATGTGGTGGGATCAGAGCTGTTTTAACAAACAGGAAGAATAAATGCGAATCAAGTTAACAAGACAAGACTGCCTCTCTAACTAACTACCTACCTACTAGAAAAGGACAGAGGAGGGTCTTGTGACAGTGTTACGTGCAGAGTTTCAATTCATTCAATCATCGTTTCTATTTTCTGATTGTCAAAGATCTCCTTATCCTTGGTGTGCCTTTGTTTGCAGGTTCATTCATTTCCATTCAAGCAATTCGTTTATTTATTCCTTCATAAGGGAGGTTTGTTTGACTGCCATTCTTGTTCCTGGATGGTCGTCATCGACATTTTGTTCAGCCTCCCTCCCCTGTCGTTGTCCAGCCAGCGCATGTGACCAATGACACGACAGGGTTCAATACAATACGGTACCATACGATACAATACGCGGATACGATACGAAGGCGAATGCTCAGCCTCATGGATTCGTACGACGCAATTAGAGTCATTCCCATCATCCGGCACGTTCCTTGCTAAGCCCGAAAGAAAGTCGCGGCCTTCTCCTCCAAGTTACTCATAGTGTGTGCTGTGTGCAAGTATGTAAATAATTATACCCATTACCAGGAACGACAGCAAATAATGGTCCCCTGTATGTACGAGTATAATAGTTCGTGGTCGTGGTCGTGGTCATGGTCGCAGGCTGTAGCGTGGCAAAGGGCGAGACTACAGCCTCCAGCCTACCAGTCCAGTCCAGTCCAGTGTGGGGATTACGCAGCGTCACCTCACCAACAGCTTCCGGCCAACCGTTGAGTTTTTATCCAGAAGACCCTTCGCTTGCCTTTGCCTCCCGGGTTCCCTTCTTCTACGTATTCTTTCTCTTCTTCTCCCTTTGTTCTAATTTAGTCGCCGCGCTTTGCCTGTCCTGTGCCCAGAGTTCCACCCAGAGTCCTAGACCAGAGACAGCCGTCAGGTACGAGTAGTTTCTGTGTAGGATGGGTGGGTGCACGACATTCCCTAGGCAGTGCAGTAGTCATTACAAGGCACCGTATTCACAGAACAGGACGAGGATGAAGCAAGCCGAATAAATACTGACCAGTCCTTGGCCTGATCTTCAACATTGCCATTTTAATTCTCTTTGGTGCTGGCCCTCTTGATGGTAATATCTTGGGTAGCCTTGGAAATGAGTAGCCTGCCACGCTGCCACGGCTCAGGTTTGAAGGAAGCAACTGAGACACGCAATGCACCACCACCACCACCACCACCACCACCACCAAGCCCATGCCCATGGCAAACGCTCCGCTGCCTATTAAAAATAATAATTGAATTGCACCGTATGCGCCGTACTCCTTGCCTGCGACGGCTGGCTGCCCTCTCTTAGAATACGACAATAAGGATAGGTACTCGTAGGATAGGGCTATCAGCAATGTAATTTTCGCACCACAAGCAGCATGGTGGCAGTGCTGAGGTTGCATCTTTTACCGGATTGAGAGGATTGACCGTTTGCGAACATTTCCTGGCCATTTCAAACATACGGAGGATACTGTAAGAGCTTGGCAATGAGTCCAGGATTGGTTTGGCGTTGGATAGTGTATGTGGATCTTATTGAATCCTTGGAGAGACGGAGAGAGGAGGAGGAGAGCGAGACGAGAGGCTCTCCTGAATGACCTACGAGTAGAGTAGAGTAATACTCCATAGTCCTGCCCATACAACAACCCAGCGCTACCACTTGCTATTAACAACCACCACCACCACCACCACCACCAACTGAACCCCCCTCCTCCAACTTCCAACCTCTTGCTTCCCACCCACATTCACTTGGATCGCTACAGTCACGTACAACTGACTGCCCCGTGATAATCCCGTCGTGCTGCTCCTGCTTCTTCGCACTCCTCGTCTCCTCTCGACATCCACTCTCCGCCCGTTGTCCGCCTCCCCATCCCAATCCCCCATCGAAACCCACCCCGTCGCTCGTTTCACACCTCACCCACCCTCCGGCCGCCCTCCTGTCGACTTCCCTCTGCTCGCGCTAGCCCATCTATCGTTCACCCTCGCTACATACGAATCGCTCCCGTTGCATAGATTCGAGGAAGCCGTCACCGTCTGCCAGACACCATTCGGAGCGCTGCGCGTTCAACCTCTACTTTGCCCAGGTGCTTGCGACCCCTAGAACAGTCGGAAGCGCGGAAGACTCGACTCCGATTCCCAATCGCACTGGATACATAAACACACAATGAAGTTTACATCAACGGCGCTCCTCGCGCTCGGTTTCCTGTCCGCTACTACAGGCGCCATTGAGCTGAATGTGGACGATCCAGGTCCGTAGCTTGTCACTCTGATTCCCGGCCTACCCAACTGCTAACATTGACCGCTAGCTTCCATCAAGAAGGGTGCAAAGATCGTTGCTGCCGGTTTGAGGAAATGGTACACTGGTGATAAGCTGGGTGATACGCCTGGCAACTTGCCCGATCCATACTACTGGTGGGAGGCTGGAGCCATGTTCAATGCCTTCGTCGACTACTGGTACTACACGGGCGACGACACATACAATGCCATCACGAAGCAGGCCATGATCCACCAGATCGGTGACTTCTCTGCCTTCATGCCTCCCAATCAGACCAAGACCCTCGGAAACGACGACCAGGCTTTCTGGGGCATGGCTGCCATGTCTGCCGCCGAGAACAAATTTCCCGACCCCGAAGGCAACACTCCTTCATGGCTCACACTGGCCCAGGCCGTCTTCAACACCCAGGCGGCAAGGTGGGATATGACTGCCTGCGGTGGTGGTTTGAAGTGGCAGATCTTCACCTTCAACAACGGTTACAACTACAAGAACACCATCTCCAACGGATGCTTCTTCAATATCGCTGCACGCCTTGCCAAATACACCGGAAACACCACCTACAGTGACTGGGCCGAGAAGACCTTTGAGTGGGAGATGAACATTGGCCTCATCAGCCCCGACTACCATTTCTTCGACGGTTCGGACGACAGGCTCAACTGTAGCAAAGTCAGCCACATCCAATGGACTTACAACGCTGGCGTGCACATGGCCGGTGCTGCTGCCCTTTGGAACATGGTAAGTCTGATAATCGGCTACTTATAAAGTATAGCTTTGCTGACCCAAAACAGACCCAGAGTGACAAGTGGAGGAACCATCTGACCAACATCATCAACTCGACCGACATCTTCTTCTCCAAAGACCAGGCTGATGTCATGTTCGAGGTGGCCTGCGAGAGGAACGGCAAGTGCGACGTTGACCAGCGCTCCTTCAAGGCCTATCTCTGCCGCTGGATGGGCTGGACCATGCAGGTCGCCCCCTGGACCCGCGACATGATCATGCCCAAGCTCAAGGTCTCCGCCGCCGCTGCCGCCGCCCAATGCAACGCCGGAGAGGACCAAACCACCTGTGGTCTCCGCTGGTGGAAGAACGGCCAGAACGACGGTAGCTTCGGTGTCGGTGAGCAGATGTCTGCCCTGGAAGTCATGCAGAACCTACTCGTCGACGAGGTTCCTGGACCCGTCAGCATGAAGACCGGTGGTACTTCCAAGAGCGATCCCTCCGCCGGTGGAAACAGCAAGAACACCCCCATCGTCTTCGACGACATTACCACGGGCGATAAGGCGGGAGCTGGTATCCTCACCACCATCGTCCTTGTTGGTATTCTCGGCGGTGCCTGGTGGATGGTGTCGTAATCTTAATATCCTTTTTATATTACCCTCTACTGTCTAAGGTACTTTACTCGCATTCATGGGAAATTTTTTATATAACTCTTTTCTTTTTTTGGGAGATGGGCTAGGGGTGCAAATGTGAGACTTTTTCTCTCCTTATCTTATCTTGGAAACCATGGATGAAAGAAGGAGAGGTCCAATATCCAGAAATTCAACACACAAAAATCTTACTAAACTCGAAAAAAACTCTACGTGTATATAAAACTCTGCCTCCCACGCTGTCAGTGAGAGGAAATGGAACCCTTTTCATCATCACCATTTTACTTCACCACCGGCCTATGTCGCTTTCCTTCTCGCTCTTCATTTTCTTCGCTGTCCATTCGATCGGCCAACAAGAACGCTGATGGAACGTTATCACACCCATCGATCTATTCATTCATTCATTCGAAAGAAAACAGTTATCGCCTATCTTCACAGTTCGATACCATTGCCAATCCAGCCTCCTCTCCGTGTCTCCCTCGTCTTTTGTTGCCAACACATATCATTTAGGCACATAAAATCCTCAGGCCTCAGAGAGAATGTCCACACCGACCTGCACCCTTTCCCCTTCCTCTACCCATCTATCTGCACTCTCCATCCATCCTTTACTCCACTTACCCTCTTATTTCCGTCTCCATATTCACATCACCTTAGAACATGAAAAGAAACTACCTAAAAAACCGTGCAAATTACTAATTTGCACTCCCATGCCCACTCACGCAGCGAGGCATCTGTACTTAGTATTTACGGAAGGTGGAATCTCAGATCTCGCAATATGTAGTCAAATCCATTCAATCCAACGATCCGTCTACCAATTGTCACAACAACGGGCACCTAGATACTTAGGTAGGTATAGCAGAAACATCAAGACGGGCAAGAACCCTCACAACCACCACCAGTCTGAGTCAACCAAGAAACGCAGCATGAATGAACAAAAAGAGTTAGTTAAATTTTTTCGTTTTACTCTTATTCTACAACTGAAGGCAAGGCTAAAATGGGGGAAACTGGAATATGGGATAGTGGAAGGAAGAAGGATGAAGGAAGGGGAAGGGAAATGGTGCCTAGGCAGTTGAGGTGGAGGGTATGGTGGAGGATTGCTTGCGTTGGCGCGGATGTGTGTGTGTGTGTGTGTATGTATGTATGTGTGAGAGAGGGAGGGATGGAGGGATGGAAATGGTAAGTGTGGTGGTGGCTGTGTATCTACAATGCTAGAAGGAGGACCATGCTTGGAGCTTGTCGTATGTTTGAGGTATGTTTGAACGGAGGGAAGGAGATGATGCAGTGAAGATGTAAGATGAGGTGCCCAGTAGCGCCTTGTTTAAACGGCCGTGTACGCTTTCATAACGCCGATGGTGGTTTGTAACCGTGACCGTGATGGTGGTGGAAGAGAAGAAAATTCCTCATACGACGAGTCCTTCATCGTCAGAGGCCTCTGGGTTGCTGCCACTGACAGCTCCATAGACTCGTACAGGAACCTGCACCTCGAAGCTCTCGGCCGGCAATCGCTCGACAGCCGCGAGGACGATGCCTCGATCGTCGCTCGTCACTTCCTCCAGCAAGTCATCCCAATAGACCTCTTCGCCTTCCTCGGCGTGCGACAATCTCGGCGTGATGAATTCGACGCGGAGCTTCCATTCAAGGCTCACGCCGCTGGTGATGAATTCCGGCGTGCTGCTCGGGGGTATTGTCGGGGAGAAGGCCAATCGCCTTGCGAAGAGTGCGTTGGCGGAGAAGTGTGCGTGGCTCTTGCGCGTGACCCGGTATATGGATGCATTTGAACGGAGCGCTATTGCTGGGTCGACCTTTTCGGCCGTTTCGAGGGATATCGATAGAGAGTAGCAGGGGATGTCGGCGTTGGTAAAGTCGATGACGGCGGACATCGTCTCGCCTAGCCGGTAGGCTGGCCGGGCAAGCATTATCACGGCGACTCGTCGACCGCTTCTAGCGATCTCAAATCGGTTCGCACTTTGATTCGCAACGCCTGTCAGGTTACTGCGAAGGATGGCAAGATCTATGGCCTCCTTCATGGTCTGTGGCTCTTCTGCGATGGATGAGCGGCCAGGAAGGGTTTCGGTGGGGGAGAGAAGACCCATGCTGGAATTTTGCCGTGGTCTGTCCAATAAGTTATCTACATAAGTCAGAAATTCGGAGAAGTCCGAGTCGTTTGTTTGGATGTCGAGTGCATTGTTCTTCTTAGCCAGAGCGCCATTGGAAAAGGGTTTCTCATTTTCGAGACTCGAAGTCCGGGCTTGGTCTCGAAGGATTATATAGGGAGACATCAGGTCGTGTCCAAGTATCTCGCCGCGGCCTTTCTGTTTGTTAGCAGATGAGCAAAAGAGGTTCAAGCCAGGGAATACGTACTATTCACGCTGCCAAAGACACGGAAGGGTACATCAACATGCTTCACCTGTTGGTCTTTGGAAGAGCCTGGCCGTTGGGTCCCTATTGTGAGGTGATAATTCACCTTCATTGAACGTCCTTTGTGAGTGGGGGGCAGTCCCCTGGGAAGTGTGAAGCTGTACTTGTAGCTTCGACTTTCCCCCGGTGCCAACCGAAGATCCACAAACAGGATTGACTGTGGCGTGCTAATCAATGGCACCGTCTTTGAACTTGCGATTCCCCGCATCTCCCGAATGCTTGAGGGTTCTGATGAGCCCAGCAACCCGCCCAGTGACTCTCCAATGTTACTCCATCCTAAGGCCCCGAACAGACCGCTTTCACGTTTGGTTCGTTCAACTCCAACGACTCCACCACCTCCTTGGCCTCCAACAACTCCCTTTCTCTTGACCTCTTCGAATGGGGCCTGGTTGATCAAGGAACCGTCTAGAGTAAAAGACCCCATTACCTGTGCATATCCCATCATCAACGTTTCCGGGCGCTTCTGGGGGACCTGGGGAACGAGCTGAGAGCTTCGGCGTTGGTGCATAGGAGGGCGACCAAGCAGTCTTGCTGTCGGATGCGGTATGTATTCCGAGGCCAATGTTTCACTCGAATTGTTGCTCATTGAGTAAAACTCTCCGCTGCTTCTAGGGGTACCATGCATGCTCGAGCCTGACAATATCCGGGCAACGGGAGAGAGTGCCTCTAAGCTGGAGTTGTTTGGATCATCTGGGGGTCGGGGGGAGCTTCTACGCATTTGTGGCGCAATCGCGCGGGTATTGTTTACTCCTTCGCTCGGTTTGGGTTGCTCTGACGGCGCATCGTTGGAGGGAGGAGCAGCCGGAAACTTGAAGTTCTGTGAGAACGATCCGGATGGCTTTCTTGTTTGTACAGATAGTGCGGGTGTGTTCGGAGCTGTCGATATGCCCGGCGTTCGTGAGCGTCCGGCCCGTATAGGAAGTGGAAGATCTGAAGCTGGTTCTTGTATTATAGGTGGAGAGAACCCTCCGCTGGTGAGCGGTGAATGATGTGTTGCAGAACGATGTCCGGGCGAATTAACTAATTGAGTGTCAGCCTACCCTTTCAATTCCACGGCAGAAAGCAATGAGCTACCTGGGAAGTGGTTTGGCCGCCCAGGAACAACCTGTAGACTGGCAGATCTCCCATGCCCTCGCGCTGGCCTCCTATTTGAAGATCTGCGATCATGGCTGACCTCTGTGGCAGCATCTGTCCCTATCGAAACGATTGATAATGACCTTCCATGTCCATGGCGCCCAGCTGCAGAACCGCCGAACCCTGTTGGCGGTACAGGCGATTTTCTACCCCCGGCCGAAGAAGGTGCGTTAAGAGATAGTGCGGGTCTGTGGCCGCGAAGGTGCGGAGGTGGCATTTGAGAGACATAAGACGAGTTATGGGATAGAGATGGCCTCGTCGACGAATGAAGCGTGGGGAGCTTCCGCTGTCGTTCCCCGCCAGGCGCAAACCCGTTCTGTTTCCTACCAGCCGGACCAGGCGACCGCTCTGGACTATTATCAGTCGGAGCTACATTCTGAAATGTTATCGTGCATTCGATATCTTCTCCGGCGAAAACGGTCGACTCCTTAAAGTGTACGAATACGCGGATGTTGGAGGTCATCGTTAGGGTATGGAGTTGGAGCGCGGAGGGCGGCCCCAGCGGATTCGCTGACTATTCATCGGTGGGGGTGAGCGGAATGGAATCGTTTAGGCAGCATGTTAGCTAGGAGCGAGTGTCGTCGGAATCAATTGCAGCAGGGAGGATCATGAAGTGGGAGAGTTGAACGTTGGTCGAATACGCGGGATGATGCACGAGCTCGGCCTTCCTTTGCCGGGGGTGGCATAGCGTGTTTAGGTGGAGCACCGTGCCGCAAATCCATGCGTACAGAACAGAGTAGTAAGAGTGCCATTTCAGTATACCTAGATTCCGCACGATGTGTGTACATACGATTCAGGACTTTTGAAAGAGGCTCTTGACAACCGGATCTTCACTGGGTGTAACATAATGCAAAATCGTGGCATTCCCCAGATGTTTCTCAAGATGCATACCTGAGTACGTACTCCAGTGGTGGAGTGTGGCCGTGTAGGTATGCATTTCCGAACGAGGCATTATTCAGGGGAGGTCCCATAGATACTCTATCTGACTTGAAATACAGTCTTGCACACTAAAATCAATTGTTGTCGACGGCGATACAATGTCTGGTTCGAGATTACACAGTAAGTTGGCATCTTTGATTTTCGAGTAGCTCCAGAAAGTGTATGTACATGCGCACACACCTCCCTAGTATCTAGGTAGCTAGGACTAGCTGCCAGCCTATGCGTGGGTGACCCGAAGAGCTGTGTGCTTTTAGACTATTGCATTTCACATATCGATCAAGGATCTAATAAGAAGCCTAGAGATCTTGAGTAGCGTAACGCTAACTACCTCGTATCTTTTATGATAGTGAATATGGGGTACTTGCAGGTGGTACTAGATCTGAGACCCTTACAAGTACGTACTACCTCATCTGGACCTGTATCATCTTAACACAGGGGACGGTCATACAAAGATCAACGTGACGATGGTGGCGAGCTGCGCCTTGCTGGGTATGATAGATATTAAAGCCCTGTTCGGTGTCATCGCATCCTTGCTGTCCTCGAAAGACGCGTATAGGAGACTCGCTATGACGTCACTGATCCATTCACACATAAATTGGTCCAGACTGCTGTCTCTCAAAGCTTGCCTTTACCAAGTCAAAGATAAACAAAATCATTATTCAATTTCAGCTTTGGAAATCGAACCAAAGCCACCACCATATACTCATTTCAGCCCATTAAAACAATCCACAAAACACCAAATCCCTCTCCATCAACATGCCCGTTGGCCAACAGGAATCCGGCGTCACGTCCGGCGTTAAATTCGTCACCTCGACCGTTGGAAACACTGTCGGTGGAGTCACAAATACTGTTGGAGGAGTTGTCGGCGCACTGGGACGAGGTGTTGGCGAGACACTCGAAGGTGCTACGGGAAGCGCAGGACGACCGGTTGCCAGAGGTATCGCAGATGCCACTACCAGTGTCGAAGATGGTGCAAATAGGATTGCAGGAGGCGTGAAGAGGGCCGGCGAAGGAAAGTAACTGAAGCAGCGCGATTGCTATAATTGTCGAGGTTGATCTCTCAAGAGATGTCAGTTTTGAATGGGTCAGGAATTTCTACGATCCAAATAGGTGGAATTAGTTAATACGAATGATATCCCTTTTCGATTATAAATGAATGATCGTTGTAGTCTTTGTTGTTGAGATCTGAATTGCAGTGAAAGAAACATGTTATCACAACCAAGGTAGGCAATAGTCAGGTACCTCTCATGCACAGAAGCATCTGATAAGTTCCTCTAAAACAATTGACCGAAAAACCCGTTATTTGCACACAACGCGACGACAACTGCAACAACAAAACATTTACCCTCAAACCAGTCAACCCCATCGGAATACCAACCGCAAGACCCATCATCACCCTGCCCCAGCCCGTCGCAACTCCCAAAATGCGCGTCCCAGTAATGTGCAAAAACAACTCGCATTTTTCCGTACTATCGCGATGAATCCGAAAAGAGCAAACATCACTAAGGATGACGCACGGGAGACAACCGAACAAGCGAATCCCATCGCAGCATGTGGCTGGTGGCACGCGGACAAAAGAAGCCTGCGCCGCCATCTCCGAGCACTTGAGTCGAGGCGTCGTACCCCATCCAACGCTGATTGGCAAGATATATATCTGACAACCTCCGATTCTGAGTATAGGTGAGACGAACCGCCGACTCGCCGTAAGAAAATCGCACTATGCCCATCGGAGTATACAACATTCTACGCGGAGCCGTCATATCTCCGCCCACGGCTCGTAGTTGTCATGCAATACCCCGAATTTATCCTTCTGCCTAACTCCATCAGACCTATCTGGAGTCCTGGAGCCCTGGAAGTTTAGATTGTCACATAGTGCAAAGACCTTCTTCAAAATGCTATATAGCTAGCAGGATTGACCGCTACGGCTTTTGGAAACAAGAGTTCAAAATTCCCTAAGTTTGACTTTTGTTGCATGATACTATCTAGTTCTTGGAAGTAATTTGTCCCTACCATCAAAGAATATCACAATGTCACTCAACATCCTCATTATCGGTGCAGGAGTTTGCGGACCAGCATTGGCGACCCTCTTGCATGGCGCCAACCACCGACACAGGATCACGGTGATCGAGCGCTCCCCTTCCCTGCGTCTCGCGGGACAGCAGATCGATCTGAAAGACCAAGGCCTACCGATCCTGAAAAAGATGGGTCTCCAAGAAGTTGTCAAGTCCCAGTGCGTCAAGGAGACGGGGATGGAGGTTGTCGATGCTCATGGAAAAGCTATAGCAAGCTTTGGTGTAGCACCCGCCGGTGACAAGAAGGCTCGCAGACTCGCCTTGACGAATGAGTACGAAATCATGCGTGGAGACTTGGTAAAGATCCTATACGAGGCGAGTTTGAGACAGAGATCAAGTCTAGACGAAGAACATGGGAAAGAGGGAGCTCTTAAATATGTCTTCGGTACCAGCATCTCGGCGCTCGAACAACAGGACAATGAGGTCAATGTTACCTTCTCCAATGGCGAGACTGGGAGATTCGACCTTGTCGTTGGTGCGGACGGGCAAGGGTCACGTACAAGACGATTGGCTTTTGGACAGGAAGCAAGCGATAATTCATTCAAGTCGATCGGGATTCACGCTGCCTATTATACCGTCCCGAAAGGCGGAAATGATGGAGGACTCGCTCAAATGTACAGCGCCCCTCGAAGCAGGTTCATAATGACACGGAACAGCAACCGCCCTACCACGCAAGCCTACTTGTTCACCATGGACGGGACGCCTATGAAGGACTCGTACAAGCTTCCGGTAGAAGAACAGAAGAACATATGGAAGAGTGCTTTTCAGGATGCGGGATGGGAAAGTCCAAGACTTCTCGGCGGAATGGACGATTGTGACGATTTCTACGCATATGAAATCGGACAGGTACACATGAAGAGCCTTTACACCGGCCGTGTAGTACTCCTAGGAGACGCTGGATACTGCCCAAGTCCATTCACAGGTCTGGGAACTACACTCTCATTGATCGGTTCCTATCTGCTTGCAGGAGAATTGGCGAGGCAGGATGGAAACGTAGACGCAGCCTTGGAGTCGTATGAGCGCCTGGCTCGACCGCCAATCGATGAATGTCAGAAGATGCCTTCTTCGTTCGGCATGTTCTTCCCCTCGTCTTCACTGGGGGTTTGGGTACTTAGAAATATCATGTGGGCAGTATCAAAATTCCGGCTTCATGCGTTGGCGAGCATGTGGCAATCTGATGATAGTGACGGGTGGAAGATACCGGATTATCCAGAGCTAAACCTTCCTATGTAACGCTCTCGTTACCTCTTATTCTTCTTCGTTGTTTCCTAAGCTGGAAGTCCGTTCTGAGCGTTACTTGTACTACTATGTAGAATTGATGACCTGATGTGTGTAGTATAGATTTGGAATGCACCCCACTTTTACTATGCCAATGGCATTTTCACTTAAACATTGTGTATGGGTAAACCATAGGAAACTAACAAAATCTATGGCTTTGTCGCCCTGTCCAGTCAATGTGATTGTCATCATTGGGAAAAATGTCACACGATCACATGAATAGTAGGCGAATAATATAATTCTATGATACTATAGTGGTCTAACAATGCCATTGATAAGCTCTGGTTCTTGAAAACCTGATATGGGATTGCAACCGGCGGAATGCCCTGTTCAAGAGTCAGGAAAACGTAATCGTGGTGCCCTCATCGGATGCTAATTGATGAGAGCACTGGGTCCCAGATTTCGGTAGTTTGTTTTACCATCGTCATCATCGTCGCCCGCTCAAAAACTGCATTTTCACAAAGTGAACGCCCCGCTTAAAGACAATCGCACTAAAAGAAGTTGATTCGGAACAACTGATAGCTTCGCTGGCGCTCGCGATAGAAAACAATCAGCTCCGGCGCTATCTTCCCTATTGTATGGTACACTTGGTAGTAAACTATCGACTAGATCCGAATACCATTTAAATCGACGAATGAAAATCTAACAAACGAGGGCTGAAAAGTAGTAGCAGATAATAGGCCAGAAAGCCCCGGTTCGAAGCAGGTTATTGATCCGTTGCTGCATCGCGGGGTTAGAGTTTAGGAAGAGAGGTTGTCATCAGGTAATGCTGAAGTACGAAGCTTGTGTATTATAATAATAAGAGATGTGCGAGTACACGCTATAAAGATCGCAAAGTCGCCATGGTTGATCACCGATTGCATGCTGGGTACAATGTTGAGCATTGTCATTGCCCCAGTCTTTCAACAATAAAGTAGTTCGTTGGAGCATCGCGCCCCACGCCGGCTAGAGAACTCTGGGGCGTGAGAGCCGGATACTCTTTGTAGCCGAACAACAAGTCATTACCTGAAAGAGCACGTCATTTCATCTTGATCCTAGGGAATTAGGCACATCCGAGCCGATCACTTTGCTGAGCATGAATTTTAGCCACTGTTTGCGCTCGTTTGCAGAACCAACAAACGAATCCAGGAACAGATCATCAGGGTGTATCAATAGGCGAGGATCCAAGAATTGTCTGTGGACTGATTCGATAACACATTGGGATTATGTATCGTCGCACTCAGGAGAGTGTTTCGTCCAAACTGGTGAACTCTTCTTACAAGTGTCTGACCTCATTTACGGTCGGAGTATGCTTGCGGACCTTTATAGTTTGCATGAAGAGAGGCGGGGACTGACGTCTGCCACTGTCGGTTGCGAATGTCCGGTTGTTTCGAGTGCGACTGGAGGACTCAATTGCGCGCGCGTCGAAGCCGTGGGGATGGCTGAAAATTAGCCACAACCAAACAATGGAATATGTAATCTACTGATACATCTGCACTTACACGTACGTATCCGTCTAAGTCATAGTAAGTAGGATTATAGCGACCGACTTACGATTACGAGCAGTTAGTTGGTGTTTGGAGTAGTTAGCGTTGCGGTTTGTGAGTTGCATTGAGAGTGGGAACTTATCGATATCGATAGCGAAGGGAAGAGCTAAACCCGATCGGGTCGGAGTAACGACGTCAAACTTTGGTTTGCATTGTAGCATCCACCAATCGAACATCATCCTCATGGAAATCAGCGGACATAGCATATTAACCTGCAGATCTTGATGCATACTTTCTTACTCCATCGTCCCGTTTCCAGTCCGCGGACTTCCCTCCTGCCTCTAATCCCTCCATCCCCTCCAGGAGCTGCGCAAGCTGTATCGACTCTCAACTGCTCTGGGATGTTTGCACATTGCTCATGCGGGCGTATGATGATGATGTCTTGATTCTCATCCGAGGCATGGACAGGTTGAATGCCTTACACATATCCCAAGTGTCTCAAGGTCATTTGAGCCTCTTGGCCGTTCACAGGCGTATGGGGACAATACTGCTCCCGTCGTCTGCACTCATGGCTGCATTCTGCTGTGAGACATCATCAAACCGGCTCACCAGCCTCGTGCCTCAGTAGCAAACTGAACCATTGTCTTTCTAGCGCTAACGCTTGCAGGCCGGTTCAAAGAAGGCGGATTGTGGCTGAGAGCTAAGAACAATCAAGAGAAGCAAGAAAAACCAAGAGGACAATACAAATGTCAAACCTCACGAGAACGCAGGACTGCGGTGGGGATGCTTCGGAGGGGTTGGACAAGGAATGAGCCAATGACACACTTCAAACATCACCATTAGCCGTTCGCTCTCCAGCCAGTTCACCCGCCCCCCTCCACTGTACTAGGTCTTTGTGGACTCTATTGACGCGTGGTTCTTGATCGACATGTTTTCAACCCCGGCGTTGCCGCAACTCGATCTGATGTGACATGTCCATTTATGTTGAGTGCAGATTGTTGTCTATTTAGTTGTCCCCTCAACCCGCATTCTTACACTCACACTTATCAGTTCGGCCGATTGTTGCTGTTTCACTCCTACTGCTTGGCCTGATACCTCGTTCATCAGTCCAATTGTTGCTCTTATCTCTCGCTGGAAACAAAGTATATCTTTTCTGAACACCCTCACCTCGACATCTGCAAGCACTACACAATCATACAATAATGAAGCACACATTCGCTGCCCTCGCCTTCGCGGCCTGCGCGTTGGCCAACCCAATGCCACAGGCGGTCACCTCTGCCATTGCTCCAGAGGCACCAGCACCCTCTGGTTGCTCCGAGTCCCACGATGGTAAATTCCAGATTTCCGTCGTCAATGTGACCTCATCGGCCAAACGGGATGTTGAAAAACGTCAACAAGCTGGCATCCTCACACTCACGCTGGCTAATGGTATTCTTACGGACCAAGCCGACCGTACTGGATACATCGCCAGCAACTACCAATTCCAATTTGATGCGCCTCCCCAAGCAGGAGCCATCTATACTAGCGGTTTCTCTCTTTGCTCCAACAACAGCTTGGCCCTTGGCGGCTCTTCGATCTTCTACCAATGCTGGAGTGGAAGCTTCCACAACCTCTATGATCGAAAGTGGGCCGAACACTGTGTACCGATCTACCTTGTCGCCTTGACTGGCGGCGGCGGTGGCAGCCCAGTTCCAACTCAGATCAGTGATGGCCAGCCTCAAGTACCTACAAACGTTCCAGTTAGCCAGATTAGCGACGGCCAGCCTCAGGCTCCCACTGGTTACCCCCCAGTCTCGCAAATCTCCGATGGTCAACCTCAAGTCCCTACAGGTGCACCTGTTATCTCACAGATCAGCGATGGCCAGCCCCAAGTTCCCACAGCTGCTCCTGTCATATCCCAGATCAGTGATGGACAGCCTCAAGTGCCCACTGGTGCCCCGGTGATATCTCAGATCAGCGATGGACAACCTCAAGTGCCCACTGGTGCCCCAGTGATATCTCAGATCAGTGATGGACAGCCTCAAGTACCTACTGGCGCACCGGTAATATCTCAGATCAGCGACGGCCAGCCTCAAGTTCCAACTGGTCCCGTTGTTTCCCAAATCTCAGATGGTCAACCCCAAGTTCCCACTGTGGTGCCACCGGGACCCGTCATCACCCAGATCTCTGATGGTCAACCTCAGGTGCCCACTGGACCTCTGGTCTCCCAAATATCCGATGGGTAAGTCGCATAATCCTTCCACCGACCATTTTCTTTGACTTGTCACTGATCGCATATCAGACAACCACAAGCACCAGTTGCTACGGGTAACTTCTCCGCCACTGTCAGTGCTCCACCCACAGAATTCACCGGCGCCGCCGCCTCCGCCGCGTATGGTCTCGGTGCCATAGCTGCCGGTGTAATGGGTGCGGTTGCTCTACTATAGTGTGACCGAGGTGACGTGCATATAAAAGGGGAGACCATGGGGCTATTTGCAAACATGGACGTACAATCTTCACATACTGAGTTCTTCTAACGGGCAGCGGTTTACTCATTCCTTGTCGATATCGTTTTGATGTTTCGAGTTGGAATCTTGGTAATATGAATTGACATGCATGATCATAGCTAGTAGCATCTTTGCATCATCCTTCTAGGGAATAATAGTAATCAAATGAATATAGTTTAAAGAATGTAGATCAGTTCACTGTGCAGATGATGGTCTCCCTCAACCGTACAGCGATCAGAGATGCACTTTGTCTTCGAATGTAACCCTTACTTGCAGTGGGTCCACTCGAAGTAGCGGCTATCGCGTCTAAATTTCTTTCCTGTAAACCGACGTCGCTAAGAGATCTCTCAACTTCACCGAACATGCGCACCTCAATTACAACCTGGCCAGAGTCACCTCTCATGTGAGAATAATCTGTACATGGTGTGCCCCAAATCGGCTTGACCAACTCGTACGAGAACTTCTTTAGCGCTATGCCTATGAAGTAACTCCAGCTCTTGAGTGTTGCTGCCTGCCCACTCCCAGCCACATTGGCTACGCAATCCCGCGCCATGCAAGGCTCCCAACAACCTATAACGGACCTCACTCCTTTACGAAGCAGAGGTAAGAAGGGAAATCGAAGAATTGTCAAATCCTCCGCATCTCAAGTCTCTGCACCACAAAACCCATCAAAATCCAAATTATCAAGAGCCAAGCCGAGAAAGGCAACAATAGCCGCGATGCCAACTCTCCAAGGCCTACCGCAGGAACTCCTCGAAATGATCTTCTTGTACTCCATGAACATATCCCTTCCGCGAGCCTCACCAGATCTCGGACGTAGACTCTCCTCGAAGGCGGTCTGCTTAGAGTACTGCATGCGAACTTTCTTCGCGACGGTCGATCACAGGAACAACCACCGGACGCGGAAAAAGACGTCAGATCCCGTCGTACAGTCAGATGTACTCACGTGTCAATTTTACACCTGGCCGTTCTTTTTGAGTTATGTGGAAAAGGCACATGATGCCATTGTCAAGCTTCGGGGCAAGGCATGGGCTTCGACCGGCGTGACTGTCCCTGGGCAAGACGAGTTTGAGGGCCTATGGCCTTATAGATTTTCAAAAATCACGTATCTCAGCTTTGCAGAGGGGTTCTATGTGCCAGAGAAGCTCTTACATGGACCATGGACGGAGGAAAAGGTGTCATTGCTCTATATTTTGGTCTCATTGAACGGCAAATTGGATTGGGAGGGCAGTATTGCAGGAGAGACGGCGAAGGAAGGATTGAAAGAGGCGATCGAAGAAGGCAATGAGCGTGCTGTGGCAGCGCTATCGGTGCTGCTGGGAGTGAGCAAAGCCCTGACGACTGGCATGTTGCGCCTCGCAGTCATCGATTGCGGATGCGAGATTCGTATTTTGAGGCACCTGTTATTCAACGCGCAGATCCTGGCTGACGAGGTACCTGACGACACTCTCAATTTTCACGATGCGGAGCTCTGGAAGTGGATTGATCGCGAGAGAAGCGATAAGAGCGAGTGGCTGAAGGAGATGCTACGCAACGCGGATAAGTTCTCGTTCAATTTCTACTGTGACGAGACGAGTTGGCAGCATATTGTCCCTTTCCCATACAGTGGGCCGAGGTTTGACCCGAGAGCAAATTTGGGCAATAGCATGGCTGGGGAAATGCTCAAGATGCTATACCGCAACCATGGTAAGAGAATCACACGAGGAGCTCTTTTAGCACAAAGGGACGCACTGCAAGCCGTGAATTATGAAGCAGGGACTGTGGAACCCGTCATTGATTGATTTGATATGAAGACTAGTATAAAGTATCGCAAATTAATCCCATCCCAAACAAGTAAATAGTACATATGAATACAAGAGCTCATTAGTGAAGGCGAGAATAAGCCCTATCAAAACCTAAGTGATGTCAGTGACGTGTTGCATTCGACGTTCAAAGACAAAAGTGTTTTGAATAAGAAGTCCTCAGTGATCTTGGTGAAAATTGCTAAATCAGGGGGGGTAGATGGTCCCCTCATGTACTATCTAGGCAAAGTTTTTAATCCTCGGACAGGCGGTGAACGCCGAAAGAAATGTTGACTTACCAGGTGCGGAATAAAAATGGCAGGGGCTGCAACATCGCGAGTTAATGGCATACTGATATAATAAGTACGTTTAAGCAAGGTCAAGAGACTGTCCACGCTGTGTTGCATGGACTGTCCATCACGAGATCATGGAATGTGTAATGATCATGGACATTATGATATCTGCCGATTGGACTGTAACAGAATTAGCTTCGCTCGACGACATATACAAGTCGAAGGTAAGAATGTATCAAGAGCTCAGAATATGTAAGAAATTGAATATCACAGGTCCTGAACCGTTAATGAAACCCCGGCGAGGGTCTCCGGCAAAGGACTCAATCGCAAATTACGTCATCATAGGAAAAGATGAGGTACTTGAAGAAGGTAGAGAGTTTGACATACCAGTTGGGGTTTTCAGAGTATTCCGAAAAACTTCGATACATGTTAGTAGCAGCCTTAGCCTGCAGCGTTCTATGATTGTTCCTCATCGCCGACCAGGCGGAGGCTCAACAACGTGCTTCCATTGACATAATGAATGCGTTGCGATGCGACGTGATGCAATAAGATGGATCTCTCCATCTCGTGAGTCCATATGGGCTCAACGCAGCCCAATGTTATTATTGTTGTTTTGGAAAAAGTCAGTTGGGGGAAAGGGGAAGACGTGAAGAGTCGCGAGCGCGAAAGAAATAGTTTTCCCTCCGACGTTAGCGTAAGCGAGCTGCCAAGACAGCACACAGAACTAGCGCCGCACATTTGAATTGCCATCTCACAACCTCGCAAAGTAACTCGACGACATTCGACAACAACAACCAACACCGACTCCTATTTCCGACCGGTACGCCCTCGACAGCATCATCTTCGACACTCTCGTTCTTTTCTAACTATTTATCACAGCACAAATTGTCGAAATGGGTGACGCCGATATCACAACGAGCCAGTGGAGGCTGGTCGAGGTCGGCCGTGTCGTGACTTTCGGCAACGGTCCCTACGAGGGACGTCAGGCCGTCATCGTCGAGATCGTGGACCACAAGCGTGTATGCTTTCTCCTATGATATCGGTGATATCAGTGATATCCTCGATATCTGAGTGCTTTGAAGGAAGATTGGAGGCTCACATTAGCAACAGGTTCTCGTTGATGGACCCTCCAAGGATGCGCCCGTCCCCCGTCACTCCGCCAGCCTTACCGATGTTTCCCTTACCTCAATCGTCATCCCCAAGCTTCCTCGCGCCGCTGGACGAGGATTCGTCGCCAAGCAATGGGAGCAGAAGAAGGTTGAGGAGCAATACGCGCAGACCACCTGGGCAAAGAAGCGTGCCCAGTTCCAGAAGAGGAGGCAACTCACCGACTTCGAGAGGTTCAAGGTCTTGAAGTTGAGGAAGCAGGTGCGTTGGACTTTTGCACACTCCCAGGCTTGCCTAGCATGGCAGATCAGGGGTGGGCTTGGAAATCGAATGGAGCCCTGGCTAATGAATGAAACAGACTCGCTATGAGGTCCGCAAGACTCTCGCTGGTATTCGCGCAAAGGCATAGACGACCCTTTTTGGTTGGGTCGGGTTACGAAGCAATCGAGACTGGCGCCGGAAGTGGAAGGACATTTGCATTTCACGAGCATTCCGAATGGATCTCCTAGCATCTTAAAATTCGATTCCTCTGTTCAGGGTGAATTTTCTGTGGGAACGGTGCAATTCGGGTCGGGTTAAAGACGGCTCTTTTTTGCGAATATAGTAGCAAAAGAGCCAAAATTCCAAAACAGTTCATGAAAGCGCAACCAGAGTGCCATAATTGATATCCCATTATGATTTTTCTACCATTGAAGAAAGTGTTATTCTATCACCGTGTGCAATGTCGTCAGCGCCAGAATCGCAGTTCTCTCCCAGTAGCCCACTGCCCACAGTGCCACAGTCGGATTTTTCGCTAAATTGCCCACAAGCGTGCGCGCGCGAAAACCGAAAGCTTGTGGCTAACCCCAACGCAACCCACCAAACGTCCCACCTCCCACCTCAACCGCACAATACAAGATGTCCAACCCAAGAATTGAAGAACTTCCCGACGAGCCCGAGAAGAAGGGCGCCGAGATCGAGGATGCTGAGGACAGCTCCGACTCCGAGGTTGAGGCTTCTGGTGAGGCTGGCATCCCCGCAGGTGCCTCTGTCGCCGTCCACTCCCGCAACGAGAAGAAGGCTCGCAAGGCCATTGGAAAGCTCGGCTTGAAGCACATCGAGGGAATCACTCGCGTTACTCTTCGCCGACCGAAGAACGTACGTACATACCAGTCGGTCAATTGAGGGGCAGGCTCGAACGTTTTGCTCGGATATGAAATGACGAGTTGATATATGGCTTGCAGCGGTATCTAATTTGTGTGCATAGATCCTCTTCGTCATCAACCAGCCCGACGTCTACAAGTCCCCATCAAGCAACACCTACATGTAAGTATTGATCATTCAAGGCTTCGTGCATTATAGTCTACTCTTCCTAGATTGTTGCTAACCTGTTATTGCAGCATCTTTGGTGAGGCTAAGATTGAGGACTTGAACTCTCAGGCCCAGGCTTCTGCTGCCCAGCAGCTCGCCGCCGCCGAAGCCCAGGGCCATGACCACGCTGGCCACGACCATGACCATGACCACGACCACGATCACGATCACGGCAAGGGCAAGGCTCCTGTTGAGGACAAGAAGGAGGAGGAAGAGGATGATGACGAGGAGGTCGATGACTCTGGTCTCGAGGCCAAGGACATTGAGCTTGTCATGCAACAGGCCAGTGTCTCACGGAAGAAGGCCGTGAAGGCCCTCAAGGAGAACGACAACGACATCGTCAACTCCATCATGGCCCTCAGCATATAAGCTCGCCATGCTCGCTAAAAGGCTTACTCCGAGAAAGACTAGATGACTTTACTCGAGTAACTAAAATCTACGGGCTTCTATCACTCATGTAAAAGAACTTCTGAAATAGAATTTATGCATGAATGATCCCAAGGTCACATATTACTTCCCAACTTGGTTTATGTGTATTACGTGTGTGCCTGAACCTAAATACCTATGACATTTGAAACTTGGTCTCATAACAACGAATCTAGTGACGTTCCATCTCCTTGGAAGATTGAATATCATCTTATTTTGGGCAGAGCTACGGCCCTCATGTGATTCGTAGCTATGTAAGGTTGACATTAACTCATTTCAATTACTGCTCTCTGTTCTGTCCCAGTTGCTCCGATTTAGGGCGCACAGCTCGGCAATGGTAGGACATATCCGAAGTTAGGCCGAATGTGCCAAGCTTGACCTCTGGAAGATCCGGTCACCCTTCTCTCCATCACGAAAACGCATCCCCACCACAAACTCGTCCAATTCCATCACAATGGCCGTCGGAGTACGTTCTGTATCCTTTCGTATACCCCTTGAAGCTTAATGTAGCCCAATTGATACCCCGGCGAGGCGCCGTTTCCCCCAATCGCAGCTTCAAAGATCGAATGCAGAAAACTAACTCAACAATCATCAACAGCGCAGCGCCGCCCTCAAGCTTGACTGGACCAAGATCGGCACCCAGCTTGGTCTCAAAGGCAACACTGCCGTTGCCCTTCAATCCTTCAAGAAGCGCAACGACGATGCGCGCCGCAAAGTCACCGTTCTCTCCGAGCAGCCCCAGACTGTCGACTTCGCCTACTACCGCTCCATCCTGAAGAACACCGCCGTCATCGATGAGATCGAGAAGCAGTTCAGTGCTTTCAAGCCCCAGACATACGATGTCAACAGGCAGATCAAGGCCATCGAAGCTTTCGAGGCACAGGCTGTCAAGAGCGCCGAGGAAACCAAGAGCGTTGTTGACAAGGAGTTGAGCGACTTGCAGAAGACCTTGAAGAACATCGAGGAGGCCAGGCCATTCGAGGATCTCACCGTTGTATGTTGATCCCGTTTATGACAATGATGACAAAAGTGATTCTGATAACGATATAGGATGAGGTTGCTGCTGCTCAGCCCGACATTGACAGGCGCACCGAACAGCTCGTGTCCAAGGGCCGCTGGGCCGTTCCCGGTTACAAGGTAAGACCTGTCATTTGGAATCCATCAAGAACATGCATTGACCATCTTGTAGGAGAAATTCGGCGATCTTTCCGTCCTATAGACGTTTTTTCTCTCGTGCCAAAATATCCCCGGATTGGGCTGTACTACGTATTGTGAATAGCTTTGAGGTCCCAATGCAATCATAGATCGATCTAGTCCCAAGATGATGCCAGTTGCGTGATAGTTTCTGATCTCTTAATGATGTTGATCTCGATTGTTCTACTTATTATAAATCCTCTCGTCTGAGGATTTTGCGGTCGCCCCAGGAGTGTCCGATTTTGACTCGGCCAGGAATGATTGGAGCCAACTTTGATATCTATTCCCTCGAGTTCTTCCATCTCATAATCGCTCGGGTGGATCTCGAGCCACACAAGGATCTTTTTGGTCACGGTAGCGGTCGTACAAATCGCTACAGGAATGTACAGAAGGTCCTATTCCGGTGATCAGACATTGATCTGCCTACCTAATTTTCTGTCACAGTAAAAGGCATTCACAGCATGCCCAATAACTGTTCAAGGCCACTATGTATTTGAAGCCTGGTTCGACGGAACCCATCTAGCATCCCCTTACGGTTCGAGATGTCATGAAGGAAAAATTAGAAAGCGACTGGAATGCCTATGCACTCATGATGGTGGTTACTCCGTACATGGGGTGCATATCACACAGATAGTTTTATTGTTCACCTTGTTGGTTGTTGATCCAGCAAATAGAGGATCCAGATTGGTCCAAGAACATGAGATTGGTGCCAGATGGGCGGTTGTTCAATGGCCAACGTGTGGTTCGTCCACCCAGCATGTTGTACAACATGACTTTGAAACTGTCCCTGTTAAGCCCAAACAAAGCACGAGAGTGCTTTCAAAGAAGTAAACACTCCGAGTATTCATCCACCCACCCAAGACTCAATAAAACCAAATAATCAAAGGCCCATCGCTTTTCGGTGGCATGAAAGACATCTAAAAGTCCTATGGATCAACTTCAATCTGCCACTTGTAATTTAGCATGGTGGAGACAGAAGCCCAAAACATAGATATCGAAGGCGTCAGTGCGACGTGTCGCCGTTAGCTACAAGTGCGACCTGCACGATAATGCTCATGCAAATGCTATTGGTGGTTGGCCATGACCTACTTATAGATTTGATCTCGTCTCCTCGCGCAGAATTTCTGGACCACATCGTCAAGACCAACCTTTCCCCTGTGTCTGATTCAAACAATTGGATATGGAGCTACGCCAGTTTTTCAAACCCCTTAGTCTCAACAGCAATGTGTGGGCAGTGTATGGAGTTGTCACTGTTGCTGCATCTACTTCGTCGACGGCACACCATGTATGTATGCACAGCACCTAGGTATCCTCAAATCACACCACGCACGCTACTTACAACTTTCGTGAAAGCAGTTCTCATCTGCACCAACACCAACACCAGACCATCGGACAGCGAGCATGAAGACTCCATCAATCGAACAATCGTTGCTCTTCCCCTACAGTCTCGACACTTCAGACCTGGCCACAACACTACTCAGCAAAACGCGAGCGAGCGGTCCGTGGCCAACGTCCTTGACGAGTTATAAAAATGAAAAACTAGTGGCAAATCCGACACCAATATCTACGATCAACGCATCCGAGAAGAGAGATAGCGAGGGGATGAGCGTCGGTGTCAAAGTCGGCATCGGTCTCACACTTGGTGTTCTTGCCTCTGCTCTTGCATTCTGGTTGATATTCGATTCATGTTATCTGAGAAGGAAAAGACGCGAAAGAGCGATGATGAATGCGGTGGAAGAAGTGGTGCGAGCAGACATACAGGAAAGCCAGGAGCGCATAGTGCTGGAGAGTCGAGTCTCGATTGTGTTTAATGATGATACTGCTAGCGAAGAGGTCAATGTCGATATGCCGAGGAATGGTATGTCGCTCCCACGAAGAGACAGGGACTAATAAGGGTACAAACAATAACGCGATGATTGATATCCACGATTATCTTTCATCATTTGAGAACGACGAAAAAACCATAACCGGTGGGGCGTGATAGAGTGCAGCATATAAGGAAAGGTACCCCATCTGTTACTTTGGGCATGTCATCGAACCTATAATCCACTGATAGTTTTCTGCGAGAGCTCGCTGTCTATGGCTTCCTACTATCAGAGTCAGTGTGTTCTTCTTTCAGTGTACTTTCCGGTTCAATTCGTATTTGTTGTATTGCTAGAAGTGGCCCTTCAAATCAAGAAACGAGGCATTGCTTACAAGTTCTTTTGACAAATTCACTCGGGGATATTTCGCAGGAAAGTCCCCACGTAATTGTAGCTTTGCTGTGCCTTCGTCTGATTGATCGATCCATACAAAGGTTGTGACAAGAATACGCAATGTCCCCGCTGTGCACTGACTCACGTTGGCAGCGGTAGTTGCATGTCAGAGAGTCTCGAAACCGCTCCACGCTGTTGAGGGCCCTGAACAGGTTCACCAGTTGTATGATCAGGCCTATGTCTGAGGTCAATCTTTCACAATTTCATATCCTTGCGAACTATAAATGTTCCCACATGCAGGTGACAATGTGCCTTATCGTCAATGCGTGTTTTCGGCTCCAGAATCTAGGTCGAGGATTCACGGCGAGAGTGCCGAGTGCGTCACTCAACCGAACTTGCAAACGGCTGTCAACCAAATCCTGGTACTTGGGCTGCTTGCTGTTGGCTGGATATGCTGTAACATGATTCAGCCTGTATCCCCGCAATTGAGGATCACCACAAGTCTGGCAAAAGTCGCCGCGAATAAGGTTTACACTACGTTTTGAGCAGCAGGGATCTTTACGCCCCCTGCAATCCAGGTAAATTGTGCCTGCCTTCACGGTGCAGTTAAGGTTTTCAAACAACGAGTGAAGAACCATGATCATTGCTTCTTTCGACTGCAGGAGTAGGTATTTTTCATTATTATTCGTCCCTTCTGCTATTAGTCTGCGGCAAATTCCTTGCGATAACTGCAACAAACTGCAGCCGAGCCCACCTGGGCTGCAGAGACGGTAGTTTAATCAGAGATTTGCTATACAGGATGATAATTATGTTGCAGGCAATGGCATGAGTCGGCGCCATAGGTTGTGTACTGGAAGAGCCATCCGGACCTGAAAAGCGTGATTAATGTGAGTTCGCTTTAAGTAATGAGCTGTGGCCTATGCAGATATATACTTCCATGTTCCACCGAACAAATACATTCAGAAAACCACCCGTTCATTAACATATCTCCCAAATACTGGTTCATCATGGCACCCCCTGACGAAGGGGCTTTCAGACATGAATCCCAAGCTACACTCATCAACTCCTTGGCCATCATATTTGCCAGCCTGTCCACTATAGCCGTTTTCTTACGCCTTTATACTCGTCTCAGGATTCTTAACGTATTTGGGGCAGACGATGTGATGATTGCACTCGCTCAGGTACTTGCAATCGCAACATCAGTGACAACAGTCCTAGGTACCTGGCTACTTGAGTATTCCCACTGCAATTCCATGGCTCATTGTAGACAGAGGCTAAATACGGACTTGGCCGGCATACGAAGTTCGTACCAGCAGGTGATGCTTTAAAGCAACTAAAGGTATTAGCTGATACTTTGGCTCACGAGTGTGGCTTATCTAACTTTTATCAGCTGCTTTATGCCAACATCATGATCTACAATGCTTCTCAAATACTGACGAAAGTATCATTCCTGATTCTATATCGCAGACTTTTTCCATCAGTCCGCATTCAAAAAGTTTGTTTCTGGCTGATGATATGCATCGCTTTTTGGGGAATCACACAAGAGTATGTCCGCCGCATTGGTTTGTTAAATTGTTGTTAACTGGTAGCAGATTCATTGTTGGATTTTCTTGCACGCCGCTTACAAGCTTTCTTCCCAGCATGGAGGGCAAATGTATATACACGCTCCCAGTCTGGTACTTAACATCATGCATGAACATCGTCACGGATTTCGTGGTCTTCCTCATCCCAGTCATCCCAGTGCTAAAGTTGCACATGGGATCGAAACAAAAGGGAATGCTCCTTGGCCTCTTCTGTCTAGGTTTCTTGTGAGCATACGAACAAACCTCAAAGATATCATCGAGCTAATATTCCGGAAGCACTTGCATCATGTCACTAGTTCGTCTATCAACACTACACAAAGGCATCAATACCCAGGACCCTTTCTGGGACAATGCACCAGCAGCATACTGGTCAGTCGTCGAACTTAACTGTGGCATCATATGCGCTTGCCTCCCAACACTGCGACCTCTGATACAAAAAATCACTCCGCATTTGCTTTCGACCGGACCAAGAACAGGAACGAACACGAACTTTTCCAACGAGCTCGATAGGTTCCCCAAGCACGACACACAGACTAATAAAGACGTTGAGCACGGTATCTTCGTACAAAAGGATCTGGAGGTGCACAGTACAACAGAGCTTCGAACTTCCTTGGGGTATGCACCTTCACTCGACTCTACAAGCAATAAGACCACTCCAGAGGGACAGCAAGTGCGGCAAGCGATATGAGCATGTTGTATGCCATGTTGGCTGTGAAAAGGTTGACTGAGACGGACTAGTACCATCATACCCAATACAATTAGTCTGGAACCATGAAGTAAACCCAAGAACCCGTGACCAATTCGCCCGCAGATTCAGCCTGCAAGGTTCCTTGGCCTTTTCGTGATCTGCATCAGACCTATGTCTCGCCAACTGTTGTATGTACACATTGAATCATAGAATTCGAGCTTGGTGTATCAGGACCAGAAAACAGGCGAATGAGACCAAGGTATACACGCCATCTATGCCCCATCTAAGTAAGCTTTCGGGGACATATCTAGAAGCATCTTGACAGCAACCCTCCAATGCCCTATGTCGATCATGACTTGTAGTGCTTAAGCCCAGTTCCAGTTGCGGGAAAGTGGTGATGCCGGATTGTGGTATTGTTACGACTCATTGGCAACGGCTCGGGAGATTGCCCATTGAAGTATGATGCGTCGCGTGCCCTTGTACGGCATGACCGACCCTACATTCAATGCGACTACGAATTTGCACGAGTTGCCCCAGAAATACTCTCCGAATTGCTTCGAACTGCGGTCGAGGCCGAGGTTTGCAAATATAGGAAAAGGTAATTTCTACACAATGTATCTTGCACACACCTAGAAAACAAGTCGCATCGAATGGCCTGTGGAGTCTTCTAAAGCTATGCTAAATTAGGAAGGATGTTAGTGGAGATTACGACGCATTAAAGCTTCGCCAATCGCGATAGATATGCTCAACTCGTGCGTGGGGCATATGTCAACCCTAGCGTCATCCAATCCCTTCACTGGGCTTTAAGCACTTTACTTTATAGAACGTGTCCTCCAAAGAGCCACAGAGAGTTTCATTGCAAACACCTTAACGAAAATGCCGCCAAAAAGTGAGAGTGAGATAATGGAGACAATCGACAAAATTTCGGGGGAAGCAGAAAAAATTGATGCAATCGCCGAAATTCGAGGACACCTCAGGCCGGAGAGCGACAGCAAGTTCTATCCCATCATACAGAAGTACAACAATGGAAATTTGAACCTAGAGGAGGCGATTCAGACATTACTCGAACCTATTGAAAAAGCCAACGATGGAGAAGACATCAATGCCTTGGATCTATGGTATAGCTTCATTCATTCGGCGAAGCGAACTCCTTTCAGAAATGCGGAAAGCCACGATCGGCTAGGTAAACTATTGAAAGGAATCAAGGTGCATTCGAACAACGAGGCACCCAAAGACGACTATGCTGGCCTTCGCGATTTTGGACTGGCTGCACGGGAAACGATGAACGATAGTCCAGGCGTTGGTGCGGGATACACCGAGCCAGAAGCTCATGCTTATGCAAACATGCAGTACTTCTATGCAACCATTTCGAGAGATGGTACTTTTGATCTTTGGCTATATGCCATTTGGGAAATGCGCGCTGCGCTTGAGAATCATCAGGCAGATGATGGACCCGACGATGCGCACAAACCAGGCACAGCACTGCAGAAGTACCGGGCACGCGTTCCTGCAGCGGCAGCGTGGATCTTTGGTGCAGGCCACAAGTTATATCAAAAAGAGGAGGATCTAACACCTAAACGACCAAACGAAGGAAACCCAGCACGAGGAGGCGAGCTGTGGAAAGGAATGGCGGGCTTTAGCAAGGAACGATGGGCGCTCTGGAAGAGTCGATTTGAGGAGATTGGTCAGATGGATAATGTTGACGAATATACAAGGAATATTGCCAAAGAGGCAGTGTCCGCCATGGCAGAAAGCGAGAAGAGTTGAACATGTGTATTTGGAAGAGTATATATAATTGACTAGATCAAATTCACAACATGTCATCACTGAACAAATATTCACTAGTCACAGCCTGAAGACATATCATCCACAGCTTCTACCTTCATTCTCATGCTCAGTCCATTATGTGATATATTCATCAAGCTGTGCGACGCTGCCATCAGTAACGAGTGCTGTATTCATGTATGATAAATCATTCACTGTATCGCAGTGTGATCACACGAACTCTTCCACGATATATAAGTCCCTTTCGATGATATACAATATCAACGACATATCGTTTTGCACATCATTCGAAGGTTGCAACTTCTTTATATACCTGAGAATCACTCGAAATTGTGACCGACAATCACCATCCCTACACTTTACCTAACGTAAACTCCACAAGATGCCGATGTTCAATGGCGATGGTAGTCCTTGGAATCAACATCAACATTACTGGGGAATTCCACACATTTACCAACCTCCGATCATTCCCATGCACCCCCAGCCTATGATGGGAGCAGGATTTGGCTTCATTCGCCCCGGAATCCCTCTAAATCCATATGCAATGGCTCTACCTCTTCCGCCGCCAGTTGCTCAAGTTGGAGGCATTCTAGCAGGAATTAATCCAAATTGTGCATCTGGTCTCAGCCATGCGCAATGTCCGAACCCCGATCCTCATCGGCATTAGAATTAGAACTTTGGATCACTTGTGGCGGGGACAGGAAAATTGGTAGTGATGTCGAAGGTTCAGGCAGGGTCACTTGGGGGTTACATTTTTCAGTAGAGATCATTCTTCTCGGCTTCATTTCAACATCATTATCATTTTCTGGTCTTGGCCATCATTGAGCATGATTTGTAAGTGATGCGAGACTTCCTTAGTGTGTCTAGGCTCCGGTAGTCTCTCATGATCAAACATATTTTGGGCCCGCTGGCGCTGCTACTGGCGTCCGAGATTAGGTAGCTTTGATCTTCTCCAGCCAATTCAAGAGCAATCCATTGAACTCCTCACTTCTTGTACTCTGGGGCCAGTGCCCCGGTGAATCCCCAATCACTATCACCTCGTCCAATTCACCCATGCCTAGTGCTCGTTCTTTTGCTGCCTTCTCATCTTCAGTATAGACAACAAGTCTTGGACAAGCACGCTTGGACACCAATCTTGCGTGGACCTCCGATCGTCCTAGTCCTTCGTCTCCTTTACCATAAAAATCGTACACACATCCGGCCACAACATGCTTGGGTGTTCCCAAAACTCGACGGAAATACCATTGTTTCATCCATTCGGGGACATTACCAGCGGTAAGACCTCCAGGCTGGTCTCCATAAACCGCGAGCGCCCAATCATGAGCATCTGCGTTCTGTAGAGTCGGAATCGATGCATCGCAGATCTCTCCAGAATTCCAATAGGGTGGATCGATGATGATGACCGCTTTGGTCAACTCGGCATGAAGCACGGAGAAGACGGAGGTCACAACACCACCTTGGGAATGTCCCATCACCAATACATCCTTGCTGAAGCCAAGATGTTTGAGTAGAGAAGCTGCGTCAGAGGCCAGACTTTGTGTGCTGAACGACGCCGATTCTGGCGCAGTCGATCGTCCATGTCCACGCGCGTCATACGCAATCACATAATGCGTTTTCGTGAGGACTGGAATTTGCCAGGACCAATCGTGTGAATCGCAGCACCATCCGTGAATGAGAAGTATCGGTGGGTTCGAAGAATCCCCGTTTGTAGTGTAGAATAGCGAAATAGATTCTTCCATGTTTAGGAATGGCATTGCGGAAGGCTATTGTGGCTAGGTTATCAATAAGTTGAAATGGGCAACAATTTCGAAGAACCATGAAATACTGTGTGGAGGGAGGGACCAATGTGTCGTCAAACAAAGGATGCCTGAGAATTAAATACAACGAAGAGGAACTACCAACTAACGTTATCGCGGCGCGAGATAGTGGGCCAACAGGGCACAGCTGTCAGCGCATCTTTAGAGCAAATGTCGCCCGAGTACTTCGCCCTTCGCCGGCCTTTAGCTGATAGAATGCAAACCTTCCCGACTTGTAATGCAGTATTAAATGATGTCCAGATTATACTTACTGCTGATGTCAGACAACCACTTTAGGATATTTCCCCACAGCACCAAGCCTCCTCACATTTACTTCGATCCAGGATCATAATGCTAAGCGCTGAGTTTCTCCTTCAATTCATGCCAATCCTTGGATATATCCAAGTCAAATGTATATCGTTTACAATGTATTCTAGGAGGTACATGTCCAATGAATTTTTCAGAAGTAGTAAGAAAACCATTGCTTTTACGAGATCTATATGAAGTGCCTCTTTCGTCGTGTTTGAAGGTACATCATTGAGGTTACTGTAGTCAGGAGATAGAGTCACTCTATGTTGCTTTGGAACTATGGCGTGTATGCCTATCCAACCACTTGAAAATTCGTGTATATAAAGGCATTGCCCCAGCAGAGATTGATTCCAAATCGAAAAAAAGGTCTGCAGACCCAGGGCTGGACATAAATCTTGACTCTTGAGCAGATGAAGTGTAAGGGGGGTTTTGCGCCGGATTTGCAGGAATGATCAAGATGTCAACCACACTTGCAAACTGCTTAGCTTCAGCATCCCAGACTCTCCATCTCTTTCGTATCTCGCATGTGCCGCCATGCCTTTTTGGACTTCAGGCGAGTTCTCCGGCCAGTATGTTACATTTCCCAGTCGTCTGCGTGGTCACCGAACGGGAAGACCTTAGTCGGGCGATGCAAACGTTTTGGTACGCCTTCCCACATTCCCAAGTGTACGTTCTTGACAGCTTCAAATATTGTATTAGAGCTGCTTGTGTCGAGGTGATGGTTCAACTTACCTTCCCTGCCACGAAATTCAGTTCCACTGGGAACAATCAGAACTCCGTTTTTGGTTCAACATTCTGAATATGCGACAGGAATACCTTGTCTATCAACTTGAGTGTAGTGATTTTTGATGAATGCTTGTATCTCAGGATCGATTGTATACCCAGGAGGATACTCTGACTCGTGTGGATCTGTATCACCTTCGAGCGTCATAGAGAGGAGGCGCTGAAGGGTTGCGCAACGCGCGCTACGTGGAAAGCAGGCTGTACATGTAGTGCACTCAAACCATAAATGACAACAACAACCACCTCTATGAGCCAATTAACTTTCACCGATGATGAACTTCCCCGGAAATCCATTGACGAGCCCGTTCCGATGGATTTCCCCAGGACCGTTAGGGATACCTTCCACGAGTCATGGTGGGGTTCAAATGCGGGGACTTGCTAGTCAGTCTGCCTTTGGATAATATCTTCCGCTCGCGTTGACAGGAAAGCTTGCGATCAGCAAATGGAAATGGAGTACGCTAATTCTGATGAGCTCTTGGGGAGTTTGTTTGCATGGGTCGGAACGTAGCCGCTCAAGCGCGTTCCGGGGCGTGCAAGTACAAAGCCCGCGTACTGCGCCGTCACCGGTCCCATGTATTCTAACTTTGTGAACATATAGACAGTATTGCCGTTTCAGCCTCCGAAATCGTAACCATGGCACCGACAGGGAATCACGCGTTGATTTATGGCGCGTCTGGTATCTCAGGATGGGCTATCGTGAATGCTATCTTGAATGGCTACCCTTCCAAAGATACGTTTTCAAAAGTGACGGCACTCGTTAACAGGCCGTTGTCAAGAGACATGGCATTGTGGCCAGATGATCCGAGGTTACAGATTGTTTCAGGTATTGATCTGCTCAAGGGGAGCCAGGAGGAGCTTGAGCAGAAGATAAAAGACAATGTGAAGGATGTTGAAAGTGTCTCTCAGGTGTATTTCTACTGTGAGTACTTTTCCGACGAGGCGGGGGGGAATAAAACAGTTAACTCAAGGTTGAATAGCTTACAAACAGACCGACGACAATGACCTTGAGTGCAAAACGAACGAAGCTATGCTTGAGCGAGCTGTGACAGCTATAGAGCAATTATCTTCGAAGCTCTCCTATGTTGTCCTTCCCTCAGGGACTAAGATCTACGGGTGCCAAATGCTCGACAAATTCCCATTTGCGAACGACTTGCCACTGAAGGAAACACTCCCTCCCATTCCCGAACCAGCGCTATCGCAGCTCTTCTACTACAACCAGATTGATTGCTTGAAGCGCATATCTAAAGGGAAGAACTGGAATTGGTGTGAGGTCCGACCTGACAATATCATTGGCTTTGTACCGAACAACAATGCTTATTGTCTTGCCCAAACACTTGCGCTCTACCTTTCGCTGTACCGTTCCATAGAGGGCGAAGGAGCCAAAGTTCCATTCCCTGGAACCGAAAAGTCTTGGGTGAACAAATACAACGAATCGCCACAAGATATGGTTGCGCATTTCTCCATCCATGCATCATTGCATCCCGAGAAGACCGCTTCAAAGAGCTTCAATGTCGGTGGGCAGGAGGATACTTGGAGCGGGAAATGGCCAGTCATTGCGGAGTATTTCGGCCTAAAAGGTACGGGTCCCGAAAAGGACTCACCCCAGCCAGGAGCCTACATTGCTGCGCATAGAAATGAATGGGATGAATTGGAAAAGAAATACAGCCTCAAAAAGGGGTCTGTCGACAGCGACATTACACATCCTGGATTCCAAGTAAGTCTGATGCTGTTCTGCTGGTTGACATCCGCCTAATGTTATGTAGTACTACATCATGACGATGTTCGACTTCGATCGACAGATGAGTATGGAAGCGTCCCACAAAGTGGGCTACACAGAGGAAATTCGCACTCCTGAGACCTGGAAAATTGCTTTTGACCGGATGAGGAAAGCCAAAGTGATCCCTTAATTAACGGGAGTGTATTGGATAGCTATCAAGTTTTGTTGTGTGCACAGCTACGATTACGATATATCCTACAGCGACAATGTTGGTTGCATCCTGCGAATATGAGTATTTTCCACAATAGCCAAATCGATATATGTTGTATCCACATTTCAAGAAGTTTCTATGCGGAGAATCAGCGGAGAAATGTTCGATTCAATTGGGACCTGACTAGCTTGAGAGAATGAATCAGTGTCCCATGATGGCAACGTAACGTAACCAAAGAGATGGTGTATTAATGGTGTAGAGATGCATCCACGTTTTCCCCACACAACCGAACTGCGGGGTTTTCGGATACGGATACCTACCCTACCTGCCTCCTGGTCAGTTATAGAGGGGCACAAGGGGGGGAATCAGAATACTCGTAACACCACAGCCCGGGTGCTACGGTGCCACCTACACTAGCTTCCTCTTACCGCTTGCCATCTCCAACAACGTGACCTGGAATCCTGTCTTGATCCCATTAATTCCATCGATGTGCGAGAGCAGCGGGGAAAGATGGAAATTCCTAATTCTAAATACTCATGTACGATTGCAGAATGTTCTATGCTCACGTCACCTCGTTTTGTGAGATTTCCAACTTTGATCAGCACACCCAAATCGCGGATATGCTTTGGCGAGACCGTGCCGTAACGTTCTGCCTGCCTTTTCAAGAGCTCACCAAATACGGGTTGGAGATAACCGCTTGTTGTAGCGTCTTTAGCGTCAATACAAGTCCCTGTGACCATTGAGCGATGGTTATATCTAAGCATCAGCGCGGGTCATCTCTCCCTGGATCTATCTTATCGCTTCGCCATTCGCTTGCCATTCGTATTGGATACGCACGTTTAAATTTCCTGTCTTTCGTGCTCTCAGCAACTTTCCAACTTGTCTTTTCCCAAAAATGGGTCTTCTCGATGAGGATCTCGTTCGGCAGATTGCTGTATGGGCGCCTGTTGCAGTACGTCCATTGTGCCTCCCTCCAATATGCAGAGGCTAACGTTGCTGCTAGTTCATAGCATACTTTGTGCTGCTCTCAATATACAGGATCACTCTTCATCCTCTGGCAAAATACCCCGGACCTTTACTATGGCGAATTTCGCCAATCCCTTCAATCATTTCCCTTTTGAAAGGTCGCATTTCATTCGATTACAAAGTGCTGCACGACAAATACGGCCCAGTCGTCCGAGTGATGCCAAATGAGCTTTCCTTCAACACCGCCAAAGCATGGGAAGACATTTATGGGCATCGTGTTGGCCTGGCCAATATGGATAAGGATCCAATCCACGTCGGTGCCGTTGAGGCCATTCCTGGAGCTACCAACCTGACAATGGCGCCGGATATGCACCATGCGAGACAACGAAGAGCGCTCGCGCACGCTTTCAGCAAACAGGCTCTGCTTGAACAGGAGCCTATCCTAAAGGGTTACGTAAACCTGTTTGTGCGCAGATTACGGGAGATGGCACATCGAGGTGAAGCTGCTAATATGGTCTCGTGGTTCAACTTCTGTACATTCGATATCATTGGGGATCTGAGCTTTGGCGAACCTTTCGGGTGCCTGAACGACGGTGAGCGCGTTAGAGCAAATCAATTGATGAATTAGTACTGACTAGATAGCCAGGCGAGGGTAGCGAGTCTGCAAACTGGGTTGTCCTTATCTATGAATCAATTAAGGCTGGCGCTCTTGAACAAGCGACAAGACGGTTTGCGACACCTGGGTCTTGGGGACAGAGATTCTTCTTGTGGTGTATTCCTTCAATTATTCGCGAGCGAAGGACCAAACATTTGCGCAATTCCACCGAGAAAACGGTCAGGCGTATGAAAACCAAGACTGAGCATAGAGACTTCATTTGGTACATTCTCAAACAGCGAGAGAAGAAGAACGAGGTGTCTGATGATGAAGTCATTATGAATGCTGCTCTTTTCATGTTGGTAACCCACAATGCTTGTTTGAAAAGTACTAACGAACAATAGTGTCGCAGGCAGCGAAACCACCGCCACCGAACTTTGCGGTCTCACGAACTATCTTCTACGAAACCCAGAAATCTTCAAGAAACTGAAGGATGAGCTTCGTTCCGCATGCAAGACCGAAGCAGACCTCAATATGGATGTTCTGGGAAACCTCCCCTACATGAACGCCTGCATCGAAGAAGGTCTTCGCATCTTTCCACCCGTGCCAATTGGGCTCCTGCGAACTGTTCCCAAGGGTGGGTCCCTTATTGATGGAAACATTGTCCCTGAGAATGTGAGTACATTGACACATGAGATAGCTTTCAACACAAGCTAACCTGAACAATAGACTTCAGTGTGTGTATCTTCATGGGGAGCGGCACACTCGTCATCCAACTTCGCCAATCCCGACGCTTTTATTCCCGAGCGATTCCTAGAGTCTCCCGAATCAAAGTCGCGGTACGGCAACGACATCAAGAAAGCAGCCCAGCCGTTCTCCCTTGGTCCCCGTGGTTGTATCGGCCGGAATCTGACTTATGTGGAGCTGAGGTTGATCCTTGGGGCGTTGCTCTGGAATTTCGATCTCGAGTTCGCAGACGGAGCTCCGCTCTGGAATCCAAAGAATGAGTTTGAGGGGCTCAGGGCTTACAACACATGGGAGAAGAGCCCATTGATGGTAAAGCTGACCGATATTCGCAAGGCTCCTGCTTGAAATTTCAAATGGGAAACTGTTCCTCGTTTTTAGGCGTTGTATGCACAAAGCTGCATGTAAAATTTTGCTCAAGATTGGCTTCGATCCAGATGTTGAAACAGACATCAATGTAGGTCACTTCAATGTAGTCCAAGCAACTTATAGCGCTTCGGTATTGGATATAGATATGAACAAAGCACAATTGCTGTTTCGATCAAACCTGACATGAAGCTGAACCTGGCTAGTCATGCTCGCTACTTCGAGAGTGAGATCGTGCGAGCAAGGGATAATGTGGGAGGTACGACACGAGTGAAGTGCAGGTAGAAACCTACTAAAAAGGGTTTACGCAATAATTCTGACTAATTAATGGAAGGCTCATACATGTTCGACTGTACTGCGTGACTCTAAGCAATACCCACTCACATCCTGCAAATCCATTGGGACGATGGTCTGAGGCCTCGCACTGGATCTCGACTTGGTGAAACTGAAGCTTGAACTACCTCTTGCTTTCCTGCAATTTCCGCAAGATAACATTCCCTTATAGTGAGGCAATGCACAAACAATCACCGCAACGTTGGGCTCGAGAATGAGCCAGACAGCTAATAGATTCGTTCTAACGCCAAGGTCTGGGGATAATGCGTACACGGTTCGTAATATGTCGAAGATGATGTGGACTACTACCAATCCAAATATAAGGGTGATGCCGACGCGCTGTGGTGTTTCGAGCGCAAGCATTCTCGTGTTTACCATATAAACAGGTAAAGACATTACTAAATTGACGTCAGACATTGCAGCAATGAGGAGTCATACTTAGGTTTTACGTACATACAATGCCCCCTATGGAATTCAACACAGACCAAATAATTAAGATTGCTCTGGCAGTGCCGATACTCATCGTTTCACACGCACCTTTACGCGTATCAGCATATGCATAGATGGTTTGAGGACACAGTATCGGTGAACATACCAAAAGTTAAGATGTCGCTTGGGTTACCACATCTCCAAAGAGTCATGAGAATTGTGACACAGAAGCTCAAAGCGGTGAATATAGTGATGCCACACCACCACATTCTGAACCGGGAGCTGATGTTGAACAAGCGCCAGAATAGGGCCAGAAAGCTCGCTTTTACCAAGTAGATCACGAACCAGAAAAGGAACAGCATGGCCAACTCTACGTGATTGGAATAGTTGAGTTGTTCAAATGTCGGCATCTTATCAGTCAGTCCTAGCGCATAAGACTGCGCTTGAACTTCCACGGGCAGGTATATGAGGCAAGTAATATTCAGAGGTATCAATAAGATGGCAGACATTGTGTTCAGGAGATCGTCGAGCGTGAGACTGTGCACTTTTCGCCAATGAATGATCAAGCGGCCCATAGTCAGGAGCACGCTTAAAACTGTGGTCGTCCATCCCAGTATCTGGACACAGGTCAGTGCCATGCAGTTTGGAGCATGAGGTATTCTTACAGTCAACTGATCGATAGAAACGATGTTGAGATGATTCAGTATTTCTGGATCCTGAATTCGTCCATCTGCACCCATCTTCGACCCAGTTAAATGACAAAAACCCATCAGACAACATGCGACAGCGTCTACCTATTTCAATGTTGGTTTCCGAGTGCTTTCTTCTGAAGTCAACAAAGAAAAGATCTCAAGCGGCTTCGAGGGAAGGCTGCGTTCCGTTGAACGAAGGCGTAGCGTGGCGTCCGCTCCCTTATCAAGTTTATCGGATGTGGATTGTCGATCAAAGGGAGATTCTTTGTGTGAAAGTGCATCCCCATCATTGGTCGAGAATATGGAATCAGGTTTAGACTTGTGAATTTCACGTCTTTGCGCGCATGGAATAGGATGCGGCGCGGAAATCACTCGAGAATCATATGACGCGCCATGCACATATACGCATATCAATGTGATCCTGGTAAATGCACTACGGCCGCAAAGTCGACTACTAACATGACACTCTTCTGTCTGGGAATTTCTTGCATAATTTTAGCACACGGTTTGAGTTTTTGAATGTGTTTTGAGAAGAAATTCAGAGCACGATCGCTGTGCCGTGTCGACGCAGGCTTGCGGCGCAGCCATGTGATCGACTTCTTGGTTCCACGGTAGGGGGAAATTCATTCGAAGTTGCAATCAACAGCAATGGTGAACGAACTTTGGATCCTGATTAGAGGCTGCCTTATCAAATAGTAGGATACAAAACATTTCTGTAGCCCGCATGCCAACTGATGTTATAGTGAGAATTGTTGCTTGCAGCTACTCTCCCCCCTGGGACTAGTCTCGGAATATATCATCTAATGCATGTACTTATCTTTCAAAGGAAGTACATCTGACTACCGCCATAATTACACAAGACTAGGTATCAAGCCTTATCGTAATTCATCGACGGTTGCATGATATTGGCCAACCAAAATAGGTAGATGTTCTTGTTCTAGGGACGTATCTATTTGCCTGCATAAATTATATGCATGTCAACCAACTAAGTCTATTTAGTGCTAGCGCGGCGAGCTGAATCGTGTAAGTCCAACAGTTTGCCTGAGCATCGGGCGAGCTTTAATTCGAGAATAGTCATAGAGCACCCGAATTGTTGCCTGAGGATGCTGAGTAGGCTGAGTATGCATATATAAGAAGCTATCTTCACGGCACCATCTGTAACGCAGCAATCCACTCTGAATCCATACTCAATAGCTTCTGCCTCAACACTCCACGTTCTTTCTCCACAACTTGCGGGTTAAAAAATGTCCACAACTAAATCTCCGAGATTCTTTGTTCTCCAAGCCCCATCAAGATCGGCTATTGACACACCATCGATCATTTTATACGGCAGTATCGAAGGAAATGTCAAAGTCACCTGGCAGTCATCTTTAGCCTCGTCGCTATCAGATCTCCCAATCACTATACTGGACCCTCGACGTGATGATTGGGACAGCACCTGGGTCGAAGACATCAAATTCCCAAAATTCAAGGAGCAAGTGGATTGGGAAATGGACCATGCTAAGGTCGCCGACATTATTGTGTACCACTTTGTGCCCGGCACACCGGCAGCAATCACGTTGTTGGAGTTGGGAATGTACGCTGGCACAGGCAAAGCCATAGTCTGTTGTCCTCCAGGATATGCAAAGAGAGGAAATGTCCAAATCGTATGTTCCAGATACGGCATACCGTTGGTGGAGACACTGCCGGCTCTGGAAGGGAAGATCAGGGAACGACTTGCAGAGAGGTTTGGCGATTCGTGATATCACATGGGCCTGCCCTGGTGTGGCTTTAACAGCAACAAGATGCTGAATTGTCTTTGGAATTTCATCCTATCTCATGTATCTTACCCAGAACGTGTTAAGAACCCAAGATTACCCCTCCTAATTTACTGAACCTCAGCCAACCCAAATAGTTTCCCAAAAATGCTCACAAGATCTTCTACAGCTAACCTTACTTTGCATAAATTATACGTGGCAAGAACAGTACCATACCAAGATAAGGGTTAGATAGGAAGGCTATTCTGTTGAAAGAAGCCCAATTTAGCCTACAAGAAACGCCCAAATATATGTTCTCCCGAAACTTGAGATCGCTTCGCCCACCTTCTCACCCTCGTTGAAGACCCCACCCGACAAGTGGGTTCTCGTTGCTTTCACGCATTACAAACTTCCTGCACAGCTCCTCATCCGGCAATCCATCCCCTAACCCTCCACCTGCGGGAACCTTAAGTTCGAAATGTTCTAGAGCTTCGAACTTTCTCAAAACATTCAGCGCCTGCTCCCAGCTCTCATCATTTGGAGCGTGTAGGTATGGAGAGTAGAATACTAGCCAGACCAAAGTAGGGCGTAGATGCTCGACAAGGACCTCTAGTTCTGCAATCGTCATCGGCACGTTGCGAAGGTACATTCTCCGTAGCTTTGGAGAGAATGGTACAGGAGATGGGAGAAGATCGACGAGAGAGAGAGTCGGAATCTCGAGAAAGCATGGGTAGTTGTCAAGACTAAGATGTAACTCGGTGATCTGGGGATTGTGGTAAAATGAATTAGTTAAAGCAGCAAGAACTGCCATCTCGTCCCGCGGCCGATCATTGTTCTCAGCCAAGCTTCCTCTTCGTGCCCATTCCCTTGCAGAGAAGTAAAGTTTCTTGGAAGCACTCAAGGTTGTACTGATTGCTTGAAGTTGTTCCGTAGACATTCGCAGAGAGCGGAGATCGGAAGGTACGGTGACGTTGATCTCGAAGTGATATGGACGGATCGTAGTCTTTTCTAGAGCCATGAAAAGATCAGGAATGATATGCACGGGTGGCTGGGTACTAATGGCCGTATGGAAGGAGCCCTTCCACTCACTAGTCGCCAGGCATCGACTGGTGAGGCCTTCATCTGTCGCCAACGCTTTCCACCAACGACCAGGCATAGCCAGCCTTTCGGTACTATCCTTCATAACAATGATTTTTAGGGCAGATAGCTTTTTGAGAGCCGGAACAAGTGCCGAGAGCCAATTTGCGCCATCAAGAAGATTCTGTTGGCTTTTGTATAATTCTGTGTACTCGGTGTGCGCCTTGGCCAATATCTGCTGATATCTGGTTGCTTTTTCGTGATTGTAATCTTCATTTGTCGCTTCTAACCATTCATCACATACTGTCTGGACAGTGTCCAGCTGTTCAGAAAAGCCTCCACGTTCGAGATCCTCAAGCAAGATTTCGAGCTCCGTGCCGTTGTGTTCAGCAAAATCCTGGAAGCTATCTGCTAGCATCCCATCATAGTAGCTCACATTGAACAAAAGTCTTCTAACAGTTTTCGAAAATATGGCATGTGAAGCAATAGATTCAAGCTCTTGAAATGATTGCTTGGTGAGTCGAAGCTCCACTTGGGTGAGCAAGAAGGAAGAGCTAACGTCATGAAATCGTTTAGATACAAGACGTACACTTTGGATATCCTTGTGTGCCGAGTATTTGGCAAGGTAAGAGAAACAATATCCCAATAACTCGTTTGGGAGGTCCTGGAATGTTATGGACATGATCTCAAGAAAGTGATGGATGAAACAAGGCTGAACAGAATGTGGCAGCTTCGGCGCTGCACTGCAAAGCGAAAGAGGAGGGAGAAAAGCGTAGATAACAACAAACAATAAGGCAAGTGCACCGTAATTTGATGAATCGGACTGTGTCTACAGTTATGTATTTGCGTTATGCTTTGGTAGGTGCTAGAGCTGAAATCAAATCACTCAATCAACGAGAGGATAACGAAGGCATTCCTGCGCCACAGTCTCACTGTTCCACAGAGCCACACGTGGGGTCAGGCGAAGTTCGAAGCAGGGGGACCTTCGAGTATTTACAGGAAGACCAAGAACTCGAAGCACTCCACTTTCAATAACAGACATACTAAACCATCCATGGGAGCTTCGGAACCGCCCCTCGTTCGCAAGTTTTGGTACACTTTTGGCAGGTAGAGCCAACTATAGCCGCAGCGCACTAAAAAGCGACTGTAGCCGCTGCACCTGATGGAGATCGGCGCGGAAGCCCCTCACTACCAAGTGAACGATGACGAGATAGTTCTCGGACAACTGGATACGGAGAAATAAATATTGATCATGGAGTATTTATTTTCCTGGCGTTATCTTATTCACTTCTCACTAATCCACCATCCTTGATCACGAATTTAAACAAGCAGTATCGCCAGTCGAGCTCTTGCTGATCCGATAGTTCCTCTGCTTGATTCTCCAACTGGCCCAACTGAGCCAAGAACAAAGGGTACCAACCAAGATCGTCTAGCAAACATGAAAGCTGTACATTATGAGGGGCCATTCAAAGTCTCTGTAAAAGAAATTGATATACCGAAGATCGAACATCCAGACGATGCCATCATCAAGGTGACGACAGCAGGTCAGACTCACACATGTACTTTTATTTGGCCGATTTCTAACAGAAGAATAGCCATCTGCGGTTCTGATCTCCATATGTACCAGGGTCGCACTGCTGCAGAGACTGGTCTCGTTTTTGGGCATGAGAACATGGGTGTGATAATCGAAACTGGACCCGGCGTAACACTATTAGAAAAGGGCGATAGAATTGTGCTCCCATTCAACGTAGCTGACGGACGTTGCCGCAACTGCGAAGAAGGCCGCACGGCATTTTGCACCGGGTATACACCTACAGCGATGGAACTCAGAGGAAACCGTACTGACATTTTCAAGGGTAAATCCTGGATTTGCAGGAGGAGCATACGGCTATGTTGCCATGGGCCCATACCAAGGTGGACAAGCACAATACCTGCGGGTTCCCTTTGCTGATTTCAACGCCCTGAAATTGCCAAAGGGCACTGAGCACGAAGCTGATTTTGCAATGCTGGCCGACATCTTCCCTACAGGCTGGCATGGTTTAACGCTTGCTGGTTTCCAATCCGGCGAAACCGTCGCAGTCTTTGGCGCCGGTAAGTGCTTGTCGATGTGACTGTATCATAGTTTCTAACAGACCATAGGTCCTGTTGGTTTGATGGCAGCATATAGTGGAGTTCTTCGGGGTGCGAGCAAAGTTTTCGTCGTTGATACAGTTCCAGAGAGGTTGGATGCAGCGAAGAAGATTGGATGCGTACCGATTGACTTTAGGAAAAGTGATCCAGTCCAGCAGATCATTGATCTCAATGAAGGCATGGTTGATCGCGCCGTCGATGCTGTTGGATACCAAGCTGTGGACGCTTCTGGATCAAAAGAAAAACCAAACATCGTCCTTGACCAGCTGATTATGGTTACGAGGCCCACGGGAGGATTGGGTATCCCGGGTCTCTATGTTCCAGCAGATCCCGGGGCGCCAGATGAGCAGAGCAGGAAGGGACAGATTCTATTGTCATTTGGAAAACTTTTTGAGAAGGTTCGTATTATTTGCCGAGTACTCAATGGAAGGAAGCTAATGCGAACGAACAGGGCCTGACGGTGGGCACTGGCCAATGCAACGTCAAGTCCTACAACAGATACTTGCGTGACTTGATAATATCGGGCAAGGCAAAACCGAGCTTTGTGGTATCGCATGAGATTGATATTGACGATGCGCCCAATGCGTATGAGAAGTTCGATAAGAGGATTGAGGGCTACACTAAGGTTCTAATTCATCCTAATGGGCCATTGTAAGCTGGCCAGGTCTTGGGTGTATACAGCAACGTTATGAATCGCCAGACTCACTTTACTTCCGTAAGCTATTCTCCATGCCATTGATGTAGACATGTGTAGACACGAGACCGGAAAGTCGCGGAAGGTCCTATTGTCGCAGGGAAGATCCGTAGTAGTAGTCCGCGTTGCATCGCAGCCGAGCGTTGTCTCTTGGGTGCGCCGTCGTTAGACAGTCGTGGCGATGGTAATAATATCTTGTCCACAAGAGAGCCCCTCATATTGAGTCATTCTTTGCAACCACATATGCTCTGACGATCTTGACTTCCTCCACTGGCCGGTCTTCTTTATCAGTCTTGACTAAACCCAGTTTCTTCACGACCTGTAATCCACTTTTGACCCTGCCAAAGATAGTATGCTTTCCGTCCAGCCATGGAGTCGGAGCAAGTGTAATGAAGAACTGGCTTCCATTGGTATTAGGGCCGGAGTTTGCCATGCTCAGTATACCTGCACCGGTGTGCTTCAAAGCGGGTGTGATTTCATCCTCAAACTTCTCGCCGTAGATCGACGCACCTCCTCGGCCGGTGCCGGTAGGGTCGCCTCCTTGAATCATGAAATTGGGTATTATGCGATGAAAGATAAGGCCGTCGAAGTATTTGCGCTGGGCCAAGGTAGAGAAGTTATTGCATGTCTTCGGAGCATGGTCGCCGTAAAGTTCGACAGTGATTGTGCCCTAGAAGATTGTGATTAAAAAGCTTGCATGCATGAATCAAGTGCTCAAATGCATACCAGAGTGGTCTCAAGTGCGACCTCAGTAGTCATCGTGAAGTCTTCAAGTTCTTTGTAAGAGCGCTAGGAAAGGTTGTGTTCTTGTTCTTAACTTCCCATGAAGTTTTGGTGGGGAAGCCAAGTACGACGAGGTGGCCCAGGCTGTGCCACAGTGGCTGAGACATTACCCTCCTAGTGGTACTTAGTATGAATCATAATCAGAATACATCATCGCACCTGTCGCTATTACCACCTGCGACAGGATATCAAAATGGACTCAACCGGTTGGGCTGTCTCACAGCTCTCAAGGCTTCTGCCTCTAGATGATGATTCCCTGCGACAGATTATCTCTTATACAGAGTCATTATCAAACAAGGACGCAGCAGACCATCTTCAAAATCTACTGGGAGATACCCCACAGGCCCTCGAATTCATCTCTTCATTTAACAACCGAAGGAAAGGCAAGAGTGCAACTACATCGGCCCAAGGAACAGTTAGAAATGATATTTCTGAGGTCCCCAGATCTAAACCGCGCAAGAAGAAGGCAACGAATCTGGGAAAACTTCCACCACCACGGCAGCCAGATAATTACGGAAATACGAGCGGTGGCTATGTCAAGAAAGATGAAGAAGATTACATGACTTCCAATTCTAAGACGAAAACCACAAAAACCAACAATTTCGCCTTGTCAGAGACGCCTGACATTACATCTAAGTTAACACCATCCTCTGGTACATCAACCCCGAAATCCCGAGGGATCTCGCCAGCACCAGCACCGGCCCCAAAGTTGCCTCCTTCAGCTGCCGGACAGCTCATCTCTGAATCAAAATCATCCCGTAATTCATCCCCAAAGCCAAAGGCAAAGGTCACCGTTCAAGGTGGCACGCCTATGCATGGCGCTTCAACGGCTTTGAGCGATCTGGAGTCGGCGATTCGTGCCCTTGAGATTCAGACAAACCCATCATTGTCATCAACGCGGGATAATGCGAAGCGCAAGTGCAATTGCATGGCTTCTCGGCATCCTCTTCTCGATGCGGCCCCTAACTGCATGAATTGTGGCAAAATAATATGTGTCAAGGAAGGTATCGGGCCATGTACATTTTGCGGAACCCCTCTGCTCAGCTCGTCCGAAATCCAATCCATGGTCCGTGTTCTGCGCGAGGAGCGCGGCAAGGAGAAGATGGCAATGAACAATGCATCTCAGAAGCGGGCCGAAGTATCGATGGCACCACGACCTTTCTCTACTCCAAACGAATCAACCCCGGTGTCGTCCAATCCGGCTTCTGATAGCGAAAGCGAGAAGCTGGCCAGAGCAAAACAACATAGAGACAAATTGTTGGCCTTCCAAGCACAAAACGCACGGCGTACGCAAGTCCATGATGAAGCAGCCGACTTTGAAACCACCACGGCTGGTCTTAGTATGTGGGCAACCCCACAGGACCGAGCAATGCAATTGAAACGGCAGCAAAAGGCCCTTCGTCAGCAAGAATGGAATGCTGCTCCAGAGTGGGAGAAGAGGAAAATGGTTGCCAGTATCGACTTAGTTGGTGGAAAGGTAGTCAGAAGAATGGCTGCCGCAGAACGGCCACAAACACCTGAAAGTGAGGAGGATGTACCAGAACCTCCCGCGAGCCAGAGCAACGAGAACGCTACTGGAGGTGGAGCATTTAGCAGAAATCCCCTGTTAGGCGGCAAATTAATTAGACCAACAATACGAGATGTAGGGACAGGAAAAGGCAAGGAAAAACAGAGACAGCAGAAGCAAGCATGGCGAAGAGTTCAAGATGATAGGGATGATAATGAAGAGTTGATTCTGGACGGTGGGATACATGGAGGCAAGGGTCTTACGCTTGAACAGGATGGATGTGGGTAGCCGGAAAACATGGCCTCCACAGTCTATTAGGAAAGGCGGCATTAAAGCTCTTGAGCACACTCTTCGAGTTACTACAGTAGTTGTCTTTCAGAAGACGAGCTCTATCAAATTTGACTGTGCAGCAAAGTCTGTGCATGACGACAACTCTCTGCCCCGGGGACATGATTTACTAAATCTTGTAATTATTATTCCTCAAACAATGAATAGAACCGACTATCATTCTCGCAACAATCCGATTGAAATCTCCATCGCCGCATGCAGGCCCACACATTCTGCATGTCCAACAAGCCTAATATCCAGGACCCTGAAGTACCGGGATAATAATCACCATTGGTTAATATACGCAATTTACCTCATTGGAGACCCCACAGTCAATTGAGAGAAAAAATATTAATCTTCCATTCCATAACTCTCAGATACATGACCACATGGCGGCATTGTTGATCATGTCACTCATTGTATATTGGGTCACAAACATTTCATATATGTAGGAGGATTCGCGATGCCAATTGATAAAAGGGAGACTGTAAGCTTGAAATTGACGCTCTAAATCGTACTGTCTGCATGCTCCTGTTTAGTTTCTCAAAATAATATGCAATATCCCAAGCTCTTTTTTGAGCTACTTTCAGTAGCATTTACAATTGTTCCCATCACAAACGCTCTTGCACCCTCAGACTCCTATCGCGATGTCGATATTGCGCAGTCATCCTACGCCGGAGGCGATCATGGATTTAATCCCGCAGTGGCTGCACAGATCCAACAGATCTGGAATGTAACCTTCAAGACAGACGAAAAGGTGTGCCGAAGGATGAATGCTTGTATCAAACGTGTACTCATAGGTGGTGTCTAGCATTGGGCACGCCCATTAGTCTACACTCCGCCATCAACTGGGAGACAACTGATATTCCTCGCATCTACCGAAAACTACATTCGCACCTTGGATGCCGCTACCGGAGAGATCATCAATGAGCGACAAGTTCAGAAGCCCTGGCCTATGGGTGCAGCATGTGCGTTAGGTCCAACTGGAACAGAAGATGAAGAATGTGATTGATCAAATTTTAGATTGCACCACTGTGAGCCAGAACCTGGGAATCATGGGAACACCAGTCATTGATCCGGATACGGATATTGCATATTTCTATGTAAAAGCATATGTGGAGTATGTCAATCCTTCACTCGAACATGCGACTTTGTCTTAACTATTATCACAGAGACTTGCGAGTCAGAGGTGACCCAACCTCACCTCTGAACGGAATCTACTATTTCTATGCAGTCGATGTCAAGACTCTAAAGGACGTTGATGGTTACCCTTTATCCGTTGATGGTATACCTGCGGAGAATGACCCACGGAGAATCTTTCTTGGAGGTCTGATCTTGCAGCGACCGGCAGTGTTGCAGGTCGGAAATCTTGTGTACGCGGGCTTTGGGGGGCTATGCGAAGCATATAATTACACCGGTGCTGTTATAGCCGTTGATATCAATACGCGTAAGATGAACTACTGGGTCACCCAGGCTGGATCCGAATCAGTCTTTACGGAAGACTGGACTCAGTGGTCGGGTGGTGGCCCTGGTGGTATTTGGCAAGCTGGTCAAGGCCTGGCTTCAGATGGTCAGGATGTATTTTTCTTGATCGACAATGGGGCGGGCTCCTCCACCACCAATGTCTCGACGACCCCGATTTCTGGGAAGACACATCTCGATGTATTGTCTGAGACGGCTGTTCGAATTTCGAAACAAAATGGTTCAATACGACTCCTTGACTGGTTTCGGCCATTTGACTGGCAGTCTGATGGAGGTCAGGACATAGGTTCTGGTGGCCTTGCCATCCTGGGGTCTGAATTCTCAACATCGTCAACGCCAAAAATGGGCGTTGTAACCAGTACAAACACGAAGATGTATGTGGTTGATTTGAGCAACCTCGGTGGTTATCGTCAAGGAATAAACGGCACTGATGGCGTTGTACAAACAATCCCGCTTGATGGAGAGGTCTTTGGAGGAGTTGGAACCTACCCTCACGAAGGCGGCTATATTTACGTTAACCCAGGAAACAGTCCTTTGTCAGCCTATCGCTTCAATTCATCAAGTATGTCCCGTCCTTTCGAACTGGCAGGCGTGGGCTCCCACGAATCCTCCCATTGGGGTGCTGTCGGGCTGCCTACCGTCACAAGTGACAACGGCCGGAAAGGAAGTGGGATAGTTTGGATCACCGAACCTACGCAAGGTTTGTTTGCCTACCACGCTGTGCCCGTGAATGGCACGTTGACCGAAATTCCGTTACCAAAAGTTGAAGGGGCAATGAAATTTGGAAGACCAGTCTTTGGTGACAGACGGGTTTACATAGTAGACGGGCAACGGCGGCTCATAGCACTCGGGTTGAAGTGACGGCGAATAGAGGGACCGATCCGGATGATGCGCAAAATCAGGTGTGGAAGTAGCCGAACGTATGAAGAAAAGGAAAGCAGCGATTACACTGGGTTCATGATGGTTTGAATGGTTTTCAGAGTTGTTTTTATGCTAAACGGATACTGAAGGGAACGACCTAGGGGGCTGCGGTTGTTTTCATTGGCTGGTCGTGCTACTCGTAGATATTTGCTGCCGAAGTTCGGCAGTGCCCTAATCGATAAGAAATTCACTCAAACCTCCGTCGCCCAGTCATACATTAAGGTACTGAACGACTCATACGTCGTTTCCTCTTTCTCGCGTCACGGATTGTGCCATATTTCTTTCTTTCTTGATTCTGGTTCGAGCATTGTAGGTCCTGTTACAGCCATGGCATTGCGTCTGTCCACGAGGTGTCTGTCCGCCGCCTTCGCTGGTCGATCATTCGTTCGAAATGCCTCTTCAGCATCTGCTGCGATTAAAGACTCCAATCTTCCCCAAGATCTTAAAAACTCGATATCAGTATGAAAAATCCTCTAGATACCATACAATTGTTGTGCCTCAGACTGACAGAACACAGCGAGAATCGAACCTCCCAACTCCAGATCCCTCGGCCAGCTCCAAAACCACAGGCCTCGTGAACCAACAGCTTCCATATATGGTCCCCACCTATCTACGCCCACCGCCAATGTTTGAGAAGGGAAAAGGATGTTACATGTGGGACCTTGAAAATAGGAAATACCTCGATTTCACGGCTGGAATCGCCGTCAATGCATTGGGTCACTGCGACGAAGGCATGAGCGTCGTACTCTCGGAACAAGCCCAACAACTTGTTCACACCTCGAACCTTTACCACAACCCCCACACTGGACTATTGTCGAAACAGCTCATACAGCTCACGCACGCGTCCGGTGGTATGGCTGGGGCCACGCGCACATTTATCTGCAACAGTGGCTCGGAAGCTAACGAGGCCGCACTCAAATTTGCGCGAAAGGTCGGAAAGTCAGTATCCCCTGACAAGCCAAAACATGAGATCGTATCTTTCCATGGATCATTTCATGGTCGAACAATGGGCAGTTTGAGCGCAACTCCCAATCCTAAATACCAAGCTCCATTCTCGCCAATGGTCCCAGGCTTCAAATATGGAAAGTATAATGATGTTGAAGCCGTTAAAGATCTCGTCACCGAAGAGACATGTGGTGTCATTGTGGAGCCTATCCAAGGCGAGGGTGGCGTCAACGTTGCCACTCCTGAGTTCTTGTCAGCGCTCAGGAAGCGGTGTACAGAGGTTGGTGCTGTACTCATCTTCGATGAAATCCAGTGCGGCTTGGGCAGGACAGGCGATTTCTGGGCACATGCTGGGTACCCTAAAGAATGCGAACCGGATATTTTGACAACTGCAAAAGCTCTCGGCAACGGGTTCCCCATTGGCGCAACAATTGTCAATGACTTTGTCTGTGATAACATCAAAGTTGGAGATCACGGCACGACGTTTGGTGGCAATCCACTTGCATGCCGAGTGGCATCATATGTACTCTCCCGGTTATCCTCTCCTGAGATCCTCGATTCGATCCCGGCCAAGGAATCTGCTTTCCGGAAACAGTTCGATTCGTTGAGGGCTGCTTTTCCCAATCAAATTGAGGAGGTTCGAGGAAAGGGCCTTATTCTGGGTCTGCAGCTTAATGTGGATCCGACGCCCATTGTGACAGCTGCTAGGGAGAGAGGTTTGCTGGTAATTACATGCGGAACCAATACTTTGAGATTCGTTCCGCCGTTGGTCATAACCGAAGCAGAGATCAATGAGGGCATGAGCATAATACGTGACGCCATGGAGAGCGTATGGGGAAAAGCAGAAAAAGTCGAAGGGACGAAGGGCCAACAAGAGATGCCTGCACAATAGGCATATACTGTTCGCGGCAACTAATTCCAGATACCATATAGAATAATCAGATCATATTGTAGAAGGCCTGTATATGAAAGCAACCCTTAGTTTTCATGCTGATTTGCAGCCATGCGCTCTGATTGGTCGATTCCCGTGCCAAGCCCTGAGTCAAGATACCCGTCGCCTCCTTCTTGATCACCTTCACTTTGATTCATCATCGACAACCTCATCTTTGAAAGTTAATCTCTGAAATCGAGAGTCGATACTTCAGACCTCTGCTTGTATGGTCTCGATGGAAGGAACATTCAGACTTCGCCATTGTGGTCGATAGTGTGGAAACCTCCACCTTTATACCCACTGCAGCCTGGAGTCATGCAGGCATCACAAGATAACGACTCACCCACTGTGTTGGACAATGAGTCAAAATCTGGCTCGCAAATCTACTCGACAAGTACCTCATCATTGCCATCACGCACGTCTACTCCATTGACCACACCGTTGACATCGGGTGGTCCGTCACAACACGCTCAGGATGTCGTATTTCAAGACATAGAGAAATACATTGCTCTCGGTAGCCTTCACTTACAACATCAAATACCTCTCACCTTTATCTCCAAACAGCGCGTAGCTGACTGGACCGAACTCACCGTTCAAGATCTTTCGGAAGAGGTGAAACACGTGCTCGGCGCCAATGTCTTCAGATTGCTGGAAGCTTCATGGATACGACTTTTTTTTCTATTGTCGACGAGTTCAAACACTGTAGACAGCCCCATTATTCGAGTGTATCTTCGCCCGGAAGATTGGGGTCGCCGAGCCATTGATCGCCAAAGGAAAAGCTTGAAAAAAGCACTCCGCGATCTTCTTCCTGATATCAATACCTCGGCCCAGGCTTGGTCAGGTGGGAAAGATAGCAGTGAAGCTGAGAAGGTTTACTTCGATCCTTGGGCGAGCGACGAAAAGGTTTCACTTTATTATCTATTCAACAAACTAAAATCGCCTGATCCAAAACCTGAAGATGTACGAAACCGATATAGCAGAGAAGCAATGCGTGATCTTTTGGCATCAACAGCATCGTATCAAATAGACGACTGCGAAGGATTGGCACTCAATGGGCTGAAGACTACACTTTATCCCTACCAAGCCCGATCGGCTAGTCATATGATTCAGCGGGAAACCGCGCCTCAGCTACAACTGGATCCGCGTTTAGAAATCAGGTATTCCCCTACTGGCCAAGCATATTACTTTGGGGCACGAGATGGGAGCTTCCTTCAAGAAGCTCGATATTATGAAACTAATCGCGGGGGTATATTAGCGGAGACCATGGTAAGTGATAACGATCGAACTTTTAGTCCAATGCTAACCAAATGAACAGGGTTTAGGTAAAACTATTATATGCCTTGCAGTGATTCTAGCTACGAAGGGGCACCTGCCACAAATACCGCCGGCTTATCAACTGCCTCCTCCTGTGCGAGAACGGGTTGGGTCTTTGGCAGACGTGGCTGCCAACATCATTGGTCGTAATGCGATCCCAGGGATTGCATACATAAATCAATTAGAAGCTGCCGAGGATCTTGATATGAGCCGTATCAAGAACAAACTCGAACAGTACAGGCCTACATACGAAATTCCAGCAGAGGTGCCCCGGATGAACCGCAGCACACGGATACCACCCCCAAGATCTCTTGTCATGTGTAGTGGCACCCTTGTAATAGTTCCACGCAATCTTCTCCACCAATGGCAGGCTGAAATTCGCAAACATATTCACCAAAAAATGCTCAAGATTCTGATCATGGATACTGCGCCCAAAAGAGGTGCCAAGCGTCGCGGCGGCGAAGATGCCGATCATGACATGGAGCTACGGAGCAAGCTTCCCACAGCAACCGAACTATTGGAGTTTGATTTGATTCTGTTCACAAGAGCGCGATTTGAGCAAGAGATCCAGGATGGTGCAGACGACCAAGGACGTAGGCTGCCAAGTGGTGCACCTTTAATATGCCAGTGCCCATATATCGGCGCATCGAGAGTACGGGACTGCTCTTGCCTGGCAGGCACCCAATTATACGAATCGCCGCTGAAGAAACTCCACTGGTTACGTATCATCATAGATGAAGGGCATAACTTCGCTTTTGGTCTATCAAATGCGGTTCAGCTAGCTAAGCAATTGCAGACGGAGAGACGTTGGGTGGTTTCTGGAACCCCAGCAAAGAATTTGGTTGGCGTGGAGGTAGACCTATCCGCACTCGAAGAGAGCAATTCTGACCCCAGCCTAATCCGCGAATTGACATTGGAGCAACGGAAAAATTTCAGTCTCGATGATGATAATATGAAGGGGGCAAAAGCACTGGGATCACTCGCATCGAACTTCCTTATGGTTCGACCTTGGTCCGACTCGCCTGCAGTCGACGAAGGTAGGCTAGACTGGGACGACTACATTTATCGGCACGAGCATCAGTATCGTAAAACCTTTTCTGGGTTCTCCAACTGTTTCTTACGGACATTGGAAGGACTAGTAGTCAAGACGCGCCCTGAAGATGTCGAACGGGATATTGTACTACCTCCTATGAAGCACAGAGTCGTCTACCTGAAACCCTGCTGGTTCGACAAAATGACAGCAAATTTGTTTATACAGGTCCTCCGCGCCAATGCTGTGACTAGCGAGCGCTCGGATGTCGACTACCTTTTCCACAAGAACAGTACGAAAGCGCGGCATAGTCTGATCAGAAATCTGCGCCAATCTAATTTCACGTGGACTGGTTTTAGTTTAGAGGACGTAGGTGCTACCCTCGAAACCAGTCGCAAGTACTTGGACAAGGAAGACAAAAACTGTTCAGCGGCGGATGCAAGGATGCTTCTAGAGAGCTGTGCCATTGTGGAGAAGTTGAGATCTTCCGATGCTTGGATCGCTCTCAGTAAAGCCCACGAAGTGGGGTTAGCCATAGAAGACTGGCCAGAAAATTCAGTGCAATCATTCGCATTGGTAGCTGGAAATCCCGCACTGATTGGCATTACACAGCTGTTGGAAGGGCAATCCTATGTCGACAGTCATATCCTATCAGATGACCCTTCCTATGGGCTTTTTGCAGTCGGAGAAACGATCAAAGAGGGACTTAAGGCTATAGAAGAAGCTGATGGGAGGAGGACTACGCATGACAAGGAAGATGATGAAAAGAGCATGATAAAGACCGGTGTCCCTTCTTCTTGCGTAGGAGTCCAGCCCTTAACAAGCAAAAAAGCGCCTGTTACTCCTGGTAAACCTTCACCAAAAAAGAAAAATCCGCGGACTTCGAAGCCGACCATGAACTCTTCGGTTGAAGATCCGATTAATTCACCAACACGTACACGAAAGAGACGATTAACCCTCGCCGACGAGCTTGCCGACCTTCCGGCCTCTTCACCCCTTCGAACGACACGTGTGTTGGGAACTACATCTGCGAAATTGACCTATCTCATGGAGATGGTTTTAAAGCATCACACCGAAGAGAAGATCATCATATTCTATGATGGGGAGTGAGTACTTCAGAAACCCTATTTAAAATCCTTCACATCACTGATTACAAGCTTAGCAACGCCGCGTTCTACATAGCACAGTTCCTGGAAATGCTATACATCAACCATCGCATATACGCTAGAACCCTAGATAACACCACGCGATCGCACTACGTCTCCCTTTTCAACGAGGACCCGGATATTCGCGTTCTATTGATTGATGTCGCGTGTGGTGCTCTTGGCCTTAATCTAAATGCGGCGAGCGTTGTTTCGATCGTAAATCCTATCAATCGTCCAGAGATTGAAGCACAAGCAATTAAACGAGCTCATAGGATTGGACAAACCAGGGAAGTTCTTGTGGAGACCTTGGTCCTGGAAGGAACTATCGAGGAAGCAATCTTTAACCAGGCCAAGAACATGTCTAGAAATGAGCACCTAGAAGCAAAGACGCTCGAAGACAACGACAAGATCGTCAATATCATCCAGAACGCCCAGGCCCTTCATGTGAAGCCAGATGAGGTCGATGGCGTTGCCCAATACGCGCTCTTCAAAGCACCGCAACAAGTCTTTGGGCGCGCAGGCCGCCACAAATATCAGAAGTACGGTCAAACAGGTGCAGATTCGAAATTACAAGATCCCTCGAGAACGAAGCGGGCGAGAACGAAGAACACATCACCTAAGTCAACATTGGAATTAAGGGATCCGCCTCCTCAGAACAATCAAGGCGATGTTGCACCAGCAGTTAGCATTTTCGGGAATCTCACATAAGTTAATCTTATCAGCATTCCGTAGACATCGCGGGTTGGGCTATATACAAGGAATTATTGTTTCCCTTTGAGAAATTGACGGCGGTACTGGTAGCCTTAGGCCAGGTTGTCATTCTAGACCTCTTGCGACTGTGTGCGCATGTCAGCATGATGCCTAGTTGTGTAACAAAAAAAATTCAAAAAAGATTATCTATTGCACTTTCTGGACTTGTCTGATTATGAAAATGAGTTCATAGATTTTTCATCATTTACGAGGTATGCTCCTAACAAGGTGATGAGAAGGCAAAGACGATCTGTAACAAGTACAGTCAGCGTTGACGTTTTGAATCGTGGACCCAATAGCAAGAGGGTTGAATTATGTTACTACATTGTTGCGCCACAGATTCAAGAAAGGAATACTCCGTAGACATGCTGGAGATACACAGTACAGTATCCATAGTAATTAACAACTGCGAGTTATGACTCGTGGGTCATGGTGATTTAAATGGGTAAATTATTCGGTGCATGATGCATTAATACAACACATTGCATGTTGGTTTTCTTCGATCTCTGATCATTATCGATCTGTTAATTCCTCATATGGTCCTATCTTAACTTAGGTCGTTCAAGTCGTTCATCGTTCCAAGATTTCATATGTGGTTACAAGAGCCGGCAAAGTCGGCAGCTGTGCGATTCCTGCAGCAGGCGTCGAGGCGTCGCACGCGGCTCGGCAGAACGATTTGGCAACGTACGCAATGTCCACGACGTCGACTTGTAGAATTCGTCGAAACAACGTCAGCAATTGGTTTGGAAATGGGTTCCATTCTTCCGCTACCCGCACACTGTCCGTTTGCAGATTCGCGCCTTTGGGAATTCATGGATTGATGGAATAGAGGCGGATTATCTGCCCACTGACCCCAATCCCCATGAACGGGCGCGGGCGCGCCCCTGGACTCCCCTCGTCCCAGCGCGGTCGTCGCAAGTGTTTGACCATGTGTGAACGTCATCGCATTGCGAGTTCTCTTCCGCCAAAAGATATCAACCCGTAGAAAATGGTTTAGAGCGCATGATTTTTCTCTGCTAGGTGAGTGCGATTCATTGGTAAAGTGATACTTACCAACACTTCAAACGACGGTTGGTACAACATTTTGCGAGCTTGCGAAGTGCACGCGACAGTGCTCCACTTATACCCATTGCAGCAAACGTCAGCAGTTGTGAATTCCTAGCGGAGTCTTATCACTTCAGGATCTGTTCCGATCCCGCATCCGCAGTAAGCGTCCGTCATGTTCACTACTAGATCCAGTACGTAGATACCATGTGCCAAGTGCTGGTCTGAGGCTTGAGGAACCAGTTTTACCCTGGCATTCGTCACGCCTATCGTTCCTAGACAAAACACGATTCTACATTCTCGTGTCCTTTGCTGTCTCTGGCAGCCTTCTATAACATGTGCTAGCCATCAGAAGCTGCTCTTTCTGTTATCACTCCGTTCATCTTATATGGTGGCACTATTCGTAATCAATTTACCTGGAAAACAAACTTAACGGCATCGATCCCCGCTATTGAAACATCCACACTCCAACCATTTGCCCAAGATGAAAGCGCCCAATCGCTTGCTGGGCTGCCTTGCAATTTCTATCATCCTCTTCCTGTTCTGCAACTGGCTACGGCCAATGTCACACATCCCAGCTGGAATACAAGATGCATGGAAAGAGGGCAACACGTATCGTCTGGTCGTCTTTGGCGACGATTGGTCCGATATTGGGAAGTATCGAGTTTCTCCACCACCCCTATCAACAATCCGAGACAGGGACCCCGATCGAGGTGATATGTGGACAGAGGCGCTCTGCCGAGAGGTAATTGTACAGCGTCATCTGCTTCAGGGATATGCACTGACGCAGATTAGCTCAACTGCGGTGCAATTCACAATTATGCCCGGTCGAAGCCCGCAAACATGAACGTCAAGACGATTGGCTCTATGGTTGACTCTAACGTCCTGGTTAAGGCTTCCGCCGGCGAGAAGAACGGCACATTAGCACTCTTCGACCTCAGTACGCAAGTACAACAATTTCTGGACCAAGAAGACAACGGCGGCTTCCTCAGAGGACGCGTTGGCAGAAGCGAAGGACCGACCATGTTCACCATATTTTTTGGATTCTGGGACTTGTTGGAATTTGCATCCTTAGAGAAGCAGGACGCTATTCGCGCGGTTGAAGAGAGCATTGAAGCACTGTTCCGCAATCTCGATCTTCTTGCTGAGCATGCACATCACCCTGTCCAAGTTGTCATACCCATGATCATGGACCCGACCTTCCTCCCGGTCTTTCAAGACAGAAGGAATGATTTCACATCTGTGTTTGCGCACTACCATCATAAAGCCGTATTTTTGTGGACTGCTTGGAATACTGCCCTGTCTCAAGCTGCGGCGAAGTGGGATCGCGGAGATGCCTACGTCCCAGACACCAACGACATCGTTATAAGTCAGGTTCGACAAAAACAACTGCTCTCCAAGCACATACCCGATGGGCCTGGTCTCGACAAACAGGCACCCCTTTTTGATAATGTCGAACAGCCGTGTCTGTCCCCGAAGCAGGGGAACGGAGGCGAGGTGCAGGGCGATGATGTCGTCGAGAAGTGCTTTGACCCAACCCGCCATCTCTTTTGGTGAGTTGGATCCACGCGACAAACGCATTGTCTCAAGCTAATAGGGAATCAATAGGGACAGCATTCACCTCAGCGGCCGTGCCCATCAGCTAATCGGACAAGATGCCGCTCGCCTGGTACGCGGTAACATGACGGCCAACAGTGCCACCCGACAACAAGGACTGGACGACGGTCCCCCCGCTGAGAACAAGAAATATGATCAAAAGAACAGCCCAGGTTTCAATTTGAAATTCCCTCCAGGATATTAAAAATAGGTCGCAATGGATCATGTTCCACCACTGGGCTGAATAGCAGCCAACGAAGCGCCGTGCGTCTACCCTCAGCAGGGTTGCATTCCGTGAAGAGGAGTAACACTGTCCTCCCTGATCTTTGAAAGCTTGTTTGTGGTCATTGTGGTCGGTCGTGTTCATTGTCATTTCCTTGCATGCCTGTCCTTGGAATGTCTCACAGGGTGGGCCACTCACTGTCTTGGCCGCTTTTGGCGGACCCTGGACAAAGAAACGTCTCGCGAGTATCCGCAGCGACTTGTGGGCATCCACGGATCCGCCGCATTTGTCTGCGACAGACATATTAGCAGATTTTTGCCCGCCTGTGGGACCGATATAGACTCCAACAGCTCAGACGCTCGCTCATTATCGCTACAAAGAAGCTGTGGTTTTGTGGGGCTTCCGTGGTACGCACCATCTTTTATTCCTGTTCACGGTATAATGAGCCTTTCTTTCAAAGAACACCAACACTAAATCAGCTGCCATCAGATTCATCATCCAAATAATGTTGGCAAGTCGACAATTACCGCCGCCTGTTTATCGGCCTCCTCTTCCACTTCCTGTAGCAACCTTCTACAACATCCCAAGAAGGTACGTCAAATCGAATATGCAGGTGAGCGACGACATCGCTCCTGAGGACGATCAGAAGCTCCCTCGAACTTTGCGCAAGAGCAGCAGGAATAACGACTCTCGGGCAGCGTCAACATCCGGCCCAATTCGACGTACCAAAGAGGAAGTTAAGATTCCTGCCTCAAACCCGCAATCGCCTGGAATCAGCAAGAGAAGAGCAACTTTCCTGGATAACGATGGCAACGATATCAGACTCACTGATAGTATGAGCCCTGACGATTCTCGACCTTTCCCGAGTGCTTCATCGACTACGTCTGGAGAACTATCAGGACACGTGTGTCTCTGCCAGCCTGAACCCAAAATACCCCGTCCGAGGAATGGTAAGTTGAGAATCTTCTTTATCCCCGCGGTCGGCAGACTGCTTCACTTGTGACCGCAAGGAACAAAGAGTTTCGTCTTTGTTTGCGGCCAGCATGCCTCAGCCGCTAATTCTTTGTAGCGTTTATCCTTTATCGACAGCACCACCAACATGCTATCGTCGCCCGCAATCCAGGACTTACCAACCCAGAGATTTCGAAAATAATCGGAGAGCAGTGGAACTCTGAGAGCGAGAACCAGAAGAAAACCTGGCAAGACCTGGCGCAGGTATGATGCAGCCCCCTCCCTTGCAATGCCTGCCCCCTGATTCACTTCTGACACCCCTACGTATCTAGGAGGAAAAGGTCAGGCACCAAGAACAGTACCCTGACTATCGCTATCAGCCCCGTCGACTGGGTAAGGCCGGTTCGATATCATCACCTCTCCCCAACCAGCTCCCCACTGTCGATAAATATCGCTGCCCTAGGTGCGGTGGGCGCAGCATCAAAACCCCAACGAGCCCTTTCATCGCGAGCCCGGTAACGAGTCTCCCTCCCCCTGATGCGTCCGAGAACCTCACGCCAACTACTCGTTACTTGCCTATGATGACAAGTAGCCTAAGCCTGGAGTCACCCGCCCATCGTCGACGCGGGTTCGGGCCATCCGGGCTCAGCAGCATTCAGGTGCCGACCTCTGCGCCGGGTGACCAGATTATGTACAGTCCCCTCACGCCTGACTCAAAGCGCAGACGTTACAATTATCCCAATCCTAGCAACGGGAGGAGATCAGAGGGGCAGTATTATCAGACTCGTCACGGATCTCTACCTCCTATCAATCAAATGCGACCCTCACCACCAAATACAGCGACGATGCCTCCTCCACCTAGAACTCCACGGGATCCTCGCAGGGCCTCTATGGATCTCAATCTACTCGTTCCAAACCACCACGATCAGAGCCGAAGCGTAGAGGCTATGGTGATGAGTGTACCTTATCAGATCAAGGTCAAGGTCCTCGGCCGGATCACTCCACCACTCAAACAGCCCGGACCCACGAGCCCTGCGCCGCAAGTTCGTGGTGCCATTATTGCGATTGAAGGCGATTGTGCAGCTTCCATAGAGGAGCTCGCAACTTGGCTACAAGACTACTTGGAGAAGGAGAACGAATACAGACCGCGGGTTGTTGAGCCCCCTAAGGTCCCCGAAGACGACTCCGGAGAAGTGACCTTCGAGGAGTATCTAGATCTCATTAAAACATGGCACGGGCGTAGCCGTGAGATGATTGAGTACATCTCGACCCCTGTCGCGGTGGTCAAGGACGATGAGGCCCAGTCCACGTCGTCTTCTTCTGAAGCTGCGATCCTCCCCGTCGTGATCCTTCCGACCTACCAGCTTCACGCCTCGAACGTCTATACTTCACGAATCCCCATTCAGGACGCATATAGTCCGACAGATCACTGGCAGTGGATGGCAACGTTGTGGCGAGGCACTGTTGGGCCAGACCTGACTATCTACGTACACAGCGGCGAAAACAAGGAGGGTACACCCACCGGCGCGAAGACTGTCGAGCTGAACGAAGACGTCAGGCTGCTGACGGTAAGGAAAGACAAGGACAAAGAGATTGATTCGAGCGCCTTGAGGAGAGTTGGCTTTGAGGTAGGGGAGTGGATCCGTACTGTTGGCACAAATGTGGGTTAGATGGTTCTTTCATGTGTTCAATTATAGGCGCATTTGGTAAATAGGTTGTGCTGGTCTTCTTGTTCCCGATTTTGCGTGTGTCTTTGATGCAAGAGTTCTTTGTTGTATGCATTTCGAACAAAGGGGTCAAGGGGGTACACACATAAAGAGATTCTACTTTAAGCATCAAACAGGCAACCATGGGCATTTAGGCAATCCTAGCATTTTAAAAGTCTTTGTCGCCAGCTGGCCAAGCCAAAGTGATCTGTACTGCGACTGTGAGACAGCCAACGCATTGCACACAGCAGGTTGATAGGTGTCATCCCATATACTCGGGGACCGATCCTTTGTACTCAGTAGTTACCCTACCCCACCGGACCGGACCGCAGTTCACGGTATTCTACATTCCAGTACCATGTCGCACTGCAGTTGCATACATGAATTAGTTGGACTTTTTAGAAGAATGGAAATCAGGGGAACGGATGCTGTTTTCATCGTACAAAGTGTGGGGAATAGCAATCGTTGCGGGTTAGTTAAAAAGTGGCTAATGATGGGGGCGAGGCGTGGGGTGTGGGTGTGGCTAATAAGCTATTACCTTACTTTCCGAACCTTGGAAAGCCGAAACGTCTCTTTCACATGATGACGATGATTCCTCTCTTATCCCAGCGACCGTCACATGCTGGCGGGTGGCCTTCACCCCGTCGCCGCCGCTGCCCCCGAACTACTCATGCCTCAAGCAGGCTTCGCCAACAGCTGACGGCCTGGTCGTATTTTGGCATCATGAAGGATCTCCGCTGACTCCTCTTCCTACCTCCCCATTCCTCCTCACCCTCTCTTTAGATAGTCCTACCACAACCTCACTCGCCCTCTACTTATCGCGTTCAGCTCGCGGATCCCCGACGGATCCGTTGTACCTCTCGTAACGCTGGCTTCATAACCTAAGTCAATAAGCCCCAGTGGGGACAACATCTTCTATTCTGTCTTAGAGGGTCCCGACACTCCCGGCCTCTGCAACCTTGTGATAATGATCGATCATGTTCTCGGTAGACCGTCGGTTCAGTTCAGGAAAATACAGGTACTAGCGGTCGTATCATTTTGGTCCTTCTATCTCTACCGGTACGCATCCACGTGGCATAGGATCCATACACGCCCAATCGAACATCCTCCGGGTTCCACTAACATTTGAGCAGAGGCGATCGCAATGGTCCACCCTTCCTCCGACGGTTTTCAACCCTTCTCTCGAAGAAACTCACTGTCTGGCAAACGGTGGTCATAACATTACTATACCTCTACTCCGCCCGCAATTTCGGAAAGCTCGTCGGGCTCGAATGTCCTGAACCTCTCGCCAACCTATATTCTCGGTCGTACTTCCGCGCAACATGGGTTACCACAGCTCTAGATGCAGGTTTCTGGTCTGCCATGAAGATTCGGAACAAAGGATTGCGGGACTTTCTATCCATGGTCTTCAGCATATACTACATGATATGTGCTGAACAAGCGGACGAGAAAGTACGAAAGATCCGGGCAACGCTGACCGTTGATCATCTACGCGTCAGTTGGAACAAGGGAACTACACCATATCTGGCAGCTCTTACCAACTTGATGCGCCCGAGACTCATGTGGTATCCACCACGTAGACTAAGAATACCCAGACCCAAGGAGAGCTCGTACAAAGAACCGGTGCATGCATGGTTGTATTTCAATGGCCCGCTTTCAGAGCTCAAGAAGCATACAAAGATAGTACTAGACATTCCGGGAGGTGGTTTCGTCGCTATGGATCCCAGGAACCACGATGATAAGCTCATGGGCTGGGCAGGCAAGTCTGGCCTGCCAGTGCTAAGTTTAGATTACAAGAAGGCCCCCGAATTTCCCTACCCGTACGCGCTCAATGAGTGCTACGACGTCTACCACACGATCGTTAGCACGAGAGGGAGATGCATGGGCTTATCTGGCGAAACAGCGCCCAAGATTGTCATTAGTGGAGACTCGGCCGGTGGAAATCTAGCTGTCGGAACAGTGCTCATGATATTGCAGACAGGTTCTACAGAAGCAAGGCGATGGCATGGCGAACATGAACTTCCTCCTCCCATCGGGGTAATTCTCATTTACCCAGCACTTGATATGAACATAGGCAACTGGATGACGGACGAACAAATGGCTCTGATCCGGGATCGACGAGTTCGGAAAACCAATCGACCCATTCTACGCCACAAAAGCGACGATTATCGACACCTCGCTCCAAATACGCCTGGGGCATCTTCAGGTGAAGATTCTGATGACGACAACTCGCCCGCGCTCCCCAACGGCGTAGCTCAGTCTCCCACCAGTGTGCGGGTTCTTTCATCCCCCCAAACGATGATTCGTCTTTCAGCTGCCCATACAGGAAAGGACAATGCTACGCTGCCTAGAATAGACACAGCTCCAAACATGAACGGCAAGCACACGGTCTCGACCGAGTCTGTGACGGAAACGCCCGAACCCTCAACTCCTGGTTTGAATGGAGAACCTTCTGGTCCCCTTTCTGCCGTTCCCATTACAGCTCCAGCTCAACAAGCTACTGCTATCAAAACTCGCTTGGCGATGTCAAGCATGATCTCATACTTCAACGATCGAATTCTCACTCCAGAGATGATGCGCGCCATGATCATTCTATACATAGGTCCTCACATCCGACCCGATTTCAGCACTGATTTCCTCCTCTCTCCCTTGCTTGCACCAGAGTCATTACTGGCCAAATTCCCACGAACATGGATGTTGACTGGAGAGCGCGATCCTCTCGTGGATGATACTGTCATTTTTGCAGGCCGCCTACGGCAAGCAAAGCGAGCCGAATGGGTATTTGGCAAAGAGATGGGACTTGACTGGGCACGCGGCGATTTTCGGGAAGAAGACTGGGTAAACGTAGATCTGGTACCAGGGATCAGCCATGGATTCCTTCAGTTCGTTGGCGTCTTCCCCGAGGGTTGGAAGTACATCCTTCGCTGTAGCAAATGGATGACAGAAGCATTCGAGCTTGCGGAGCGTGATGACGCACACGATGATGAGTTTGCAAACGACCAGTTACTTACCCCTGCGTATGACTCTGAGCGTCACCGCCATACTGGAGAACGCAGCGATTACTTTGGCTCCGGGACTACTGTCGGCCTCGCTGAAGCTGTGAATGGACTCAGCAATGGTCGTAGTAGACATCATCATCGCACCGGGACCGCATCCTCCGCAGAAGAAGACAGGCCGCTGGAAATGACGGTGTTAAGAAACTCTAATACCGGCAAGGGAAAGAGGAGAGTTAGTCCACCTAAACTAGATCTTGGAAAGGTCAATGGAAGTGTGCATAGGGAGAATGGAAGGGGAAGGGGTAGAGGAAGGGGCAAGAAAGATGGCCGACGCAAGAGTCTAGTCTCGCTTGCAAGTGAAGACGATCTATTGGGTAGAAGGATGAAGGGGTTGACAGGTAGTCTGATGGGAGAGGTGGAGGGAATAGAGGGCATCTAGAGAAAGGCCTCATTTGGGGCGTACTTGACCTACATATAGGTACATATGCATACATGTACATAGATAGTGGTCGGCATCGTGCAATTGTTTCTTTCAACGACATATGAGGATGGGGTTATCGCACTGGTTCATTCCTGCTGCATAGCGTGGATTATTATAGTTATAGAAATATGCATACACGGTATATACACACACTCAGCATCACCTCTATCGCTTAGTTGGATGCCCTATTGTAACTTAGCAGAGAAAGACAGCATTCTGGTGAAGAAGCGTGGGGAAGACGAAAAGGCTGTTCAATGTGTATGTGTACATAGACAAGTAACTACCTAACCTTACGGAGTACTCCGTACATACATGCAATGTGTTGTTGGATGATGTGACGCTGTATCACCTCGGGGAATTGCGAGCGCTGGGTGGCCCCAAAGTCCATCCCTGCCATGCTGCCATGGAAAGGGGACAGAACAGCAGATGATATGCAGGTACTCGCTCTCGTACAACGGATGCAGTTGCTCTTTACCGCCCTGTTTCCCCACATTAAAAGTCCTTCCGATCCTCAGAAATGTTTCCGCTAAATGCTACTCTTCTTCATCTCCCTTCATACTTTTTGATCGGTGGGCCAGCCATCCTCTCACACTAGGGAAGCTTCAGCTCTCACGCATCCATCGTGCCATCCCCGCATCCTCGCCAAAGTCTCCATCTCTGCCAGGCTAAGATTTGCTTTTTCTTCTTGCGTCAAAGTACCTCTCTCTTGCGCGTCGTTATATACGTACTCACCATGTCGACCGTCCTTATCAAAGAGCATCCTAATGACATCCGGCTTCAGAATGCTCCTCTCGCCCTTGCTGCGACCAAAAAGTGGGAATTCTTGTACGACATGCGATGAAGTCGCGACTTGCGTTCCAAGGCTCTAATTCTTCCGTCATGTTGCAAGACAATTGCTTTTTTGAACTTCATTTAAAAAGATGGCAACGATCCAAACCCTGAACCCTTCTTTCTTTCGACAATCTAACGTCGTACCTTGATCCCATATCGCACCCTTTCCATCTTCAAGGATCTACCCCTTTCTGGATCTCAAAGTACTCATTGCCATCAATAACCCCACCGCGCAGTGTGCCCACGCGGTAGCATCCCAACAGTCAGGAACGAAATCGTGAGGGAGCAAAAGGGTGCGCGTATGTTTGCACGTACGAACGACATACGTCCGCCGCAGTTTCGCACGCAGATCCAGCCTCGTCCCATCAATTGATCCATCAAGCGCGACATATCTTTCGAGCCGTCTTGTGGCCCAGGCACCTCCACTATCGCCCTCCTCCAGCCGCTCCTCCAAGAATTAACGGCAGTGCACGACACCCAATCAAAGCTCAAGGAAGCTTACGCCCGGCTCCATGTGCTACATACTGTATACTCTACATATCTGCGGTCATTGGATTCCCCAGCCGACTCCCGGCAATGCGGGAAACGGACCAGTACTGAGGATATGCAAAGAAAGTGAGACGATGAGATTGGGACGGCCGTGTCCCGATACCGAACACAAGGTTGCCAACAGAAGCCAGGGAATGTGTGACCCATGCCTATGGAAGCGGGTCAAGGAATAAATATTGGAGAGATTGTAACCCATATGTTTCTCTGTTGGAAAGCACATCGTGATTTGAATCTGGATATCGTCCCCCACGAATGGTGTCTGGCCAATCCTATGGCATCGAGAGGTGCTGCTGGCTGGCACCAGATATGACCAGGACGAATTGTCACATCGGCGAAGCCTTCATCAAGAGAGGAACCTGATCTGTGTCTTTGGCTGCGTGTCTCGCGAGGTCGGCGGGCCATGCCACAGCACGTGAACAAGCAATCTGGAGGATAATGCGCAATCGTGTACAATTCGAACGCCCCATAATCTACAGCCTGCACCGATCCAGGACCATTGTCGATACAGTTCCGTTCTAGTACGTCAGTTGATGATTTCTGCCCTAGTCCAAAGCCTCAAACAAGTATTCCACTTTCCCGACACACACCGAGTACACGCAGATGCCAAAGGCAGCAAAAGGAGGATCACATAGCGATTAATGTTCTGTACATATTTAGATACCCTCGGATTTTCAGAATGCATCTATCACTATTTTGAATCGATGTCTTATGTTTGTGAGCTAGAATGCAGCGTGAGAGGCAACACTCGTAGAGGCCTTACACACAGCAAAACCATGGAATGAAATCATAATAGAATCATGCTGTTCTCTAAGCATCTTTCTGCCCCAGATCTTGCGCTATCAAGTATATGCTTATGTACCGCACATTATCTAATGTACACAGTAAGTGTCTGGGAGCTTTGGTAGTAACGGAAAGCCTACGCGATACATGGAAACTACGGATTGGTATCGTTTCCGCATCTAGGATGAGTTCCCTATAATGACCTTAAATCCATCGTGTAACCCTTGACTCCTCGATGCCCAGTCATTTCATTTGGACCCCGGGCCGAGCCACCGTTCCTACCACTTCCCCACAGAATCCACCGCACCTTTTGGCGTAGCTACAACAGATATAAACGCCATATCAATCAGTAATTTCGACCAGCTACTTAAGTCTTCCTGTTGGGTAATGCCTTAGTGTAGAATTGAAGATCTGTTTGGAAGCCTAGATGTTGCGAATCGACGTTGGCACAAACACTATATATAAATGGCCAAGTACCAGGTTGATTATACCGAGATTGTACCACACTCATATATAATTTTAATGGAATACTTCCCCACAAAATCGATAGATGAGTTGATGATCGTATAAAAAGCGGCCCGGGTAGGTGATTTCGATTCCTCAGGACAGCACGACAACAACTACAAAACACTGATCACTGACATTGGCGAGACGAAATCGGAAAAAAGATGTTTGCTATTCTCGCCCCAGTCCTTCTGCTGATACAGGCAGTCCTTTCCGCACCTGTAGAGCAAGTCGCGGCCGCAGCGACCGTGGGAAAGATCCGCGGCGTCCGCTCTCCAATCTACCACCTCTATCTCCAAGCGGATCCCAAGAATGGTATGCCCTCCCATCACACCTCGCGCGAAGCATCAAAATCAACCGGACCGAACATGCTAAAAACTACGACCCCCAGCTTCGCACCCTGTGCTTGGTCCCGAAAGTGCGGCAGATGAGTTCACGATAGGAGGAACGATCCAGAGCAAGAAGACGAGCCAGTACCTGAATCTTCAGACGGTCAGCACGAGCTACAAGCCTGTCGTGTGGGCGGCCACGGGCGAGACAACAGCATGGGGCCTTGAAGGCGACACCATCATCACCGTGCAGGGGAGCAGCTATGGAAGGCGTAAGTTCAATCTTCTAGCACTTTCACTATACGTTGAAAAGAAGTCCCCCTCTCCGTATGTATGAGCTAACAGTGTCTTGTGGAACGTCAGAATTGAATTGGCTGGTCTGCTCAGCCTCGACTTCGGGATACTATGATGTCTTTCTGCAAACGGGCAGCGATGTGCCCAGCGGAAAGTCGTGTAGCAATTACCAAACACTGCATTTGCCGTGTTTGTGCTGAGAGACGTGCGTCGTGGTTTTCGTTTGTACCTCTTGTTTGCCTCCCGATGACAATGAATGAGTTCGTATGTATAGTGCATATCGACGATATTGTGGCGTATATTGTGGCTCGCACTGATAGGGCCCATTCAGTGAACTCATGATGGTCACGGCTTTCGAACGGTGAAGAGCGTTTGGAAGAGTGACGTGAACGAGTGTTCACCAGTCACCACCTATCATCACCATGTTGTCCGATAACTCAACTTTCTCAAAAATATCACCTTACCTTCACCTTTTCCACTTTAATTTTCACCTCACCCTTCACAGATAAAGACCAGTTTCCCTGCACCACCCACCCTCTCAAACATGAACGAAGCACTTCCTTCAATCCTTATCAACATAATATTACACCGCCCTTCGCAAGGCAATATTTCTCCGTCTTGAAAGATCTGCCGCTGGCCTCGACTCAAGTCAAACATTGCTATGGCACCGCAGCAAAAGCCCGGACGCCCAAGCTACCCGTACCACATCACCCGCACATACAAATGCGGCCACCCGCCCGAGGGCATTCGCGTCGAGATCTCGGAGGAAGGCCGCCTGCGACATGTAGTACTGGCCCACGCGGAGCCGCGGACGGTGGCGGAGAGGCGCATTTGGCAGACGTGGAGCTTGGTGCGTTGTCGTCGTTGCGCTATGGGACGGGGAGATGATCATGGCCACGGGTTTGATGACAGTGGTACTGCTCTGGGGGATCTGCGACATAGTGGCAGTGAGGTTCCGATGACGAGTGTCGAGGTGGCGACTCGTCAGGGCAAGAGGGGGGGATGTGGTGATAGATATGGGGCAGCGTATCCAAGGACACTGGAGCGGCGCCGGTGTGGGGATAATGGCACCGAGAAAGCAAATGTGCAGCACCACGAGAGCGCTGAAATAGGAGAAGAGAAAGTTGATGGGGGAGACGGAGATGGCAGTGATGGCTCTGAAGAAGATATCTCTTCGGGCTATCAGAGAGCTGAGCGAGTATGCGAAGACGGCAATCATGTGTTTTCTGCAGCACCATTTTCTCAACAGAGATACATGGACTTTCAGGATGACGAGGGGCGACATCTACCGCAACAAAGACTCTCGCAGACCTCACCTTCTCCTGGACAGATTCCTCGAGGCAGTACATGGACAGAAGACAACAGATCACGAGGCATCGAGGACGCAAACGAAAGACGAACACCAGACGCAAGTGCCCCCAATGCCGACCGGGCCGTACAACCAGAAGACGAAGATTCAGAAGGAAATATTGAAGATACCAATGCGGTCCCACTGCACACTCCAATACCTTTGATAGGGCGAGACGCTGCGGGATTCTTCATGTTCCATGAGGCGGCGGAGAGCAGCAGCTCTGACGAATCCTCCCGTATGTCGTCCTGGCCGGTGGCTAGATATAAAAGTATCGACTCGGCACAGATCTTTGCTCAGAGGAAACCAACGATGCTGAAGAAGGCGCTGCTGGGCCGTTTGAAGCTGCGAAAGGACAGTGCGGCAAAGAGGAAGAGTGACGGGGATGAGAGCAGCGAGAAGAGCGTGAAGCCTGATGACCATGAAGGAGAGGGTCATAGGTCAATGGATGACTTGAAGCTCAAGCGAGAAACATTGTCATCGAGTTCATCATAATGTTGATCGTATCAACGACTTGTGAACTTTAGAGCTTGTGGGAGAGTGTTCTATCGTCAATCAGTGACATACAGTCTGTTCTCGCTGCACTTCAACATTTCAATGATCGATCCGAAGCCGCTGTACCCATAAAACAAGTACAGAACACAAAGCCAACACAAGCTCAGCGAAGAAGTGCAATCGAAGCCTCGGAGACATATGTTCACAGTATGAGTCTTCAGCTATCGATCTCGGACATGTCGGTATTGTTGAGTCCACAGCCGATCTCGGAGATATTTCCATACAACCACCCACCAAACCCACCATGCGTCATTCCAAACTCGCATTGAGCAATACCTCATCCCACCATTGCCGGCGCTCACTCTGTGTAGTCGTGCCTATCACAGCTTCCAAACGGGCCTTGCCGCCTCGCGAGGGAAGACATGCCGTGGGGTACTATTACAAACTCAAAGTGGAACTCGGTGCTAGAATGTTTATCCGCGGCCGTCGATCGTCCAACGGCTTGTGATGGTGGGAAAGTATATATAGAGGCATACCATGATTAGACCCCGCTCTACAAACATTTAACTACTCCACACAAACACACACCAGATAATCCTTTCCAATCCAAATAGTACCTAGCCCAACCTTTAAGCTTCCCAAGATTAATCAAATCCAAACACAAAAAGGGTTACGCTCACTCTATTAAGTCACACCCAGAACAGCAACAATAACAAAAGCGACAACAATGTCAGGACAAGGCCAATCCTACGAGCGCGACGAGCGCTGGACATCCGTAGACCAATACTCCTTCTCACACCTGCACCCTTCCTCCTCCTTCCCTACCAACGAGCACCTCTCCCGGGCGCTCACATACTCCCAGGAGCAAGGACTCCCGGACATTGCGGTCTCCCCCTCGCAGGGCAAGTTCTTGAAGCTGCAGGCGCAGATCGCGCGGGCGCGCAACGTCCTCGAGGTCGGCACTCTGGGTGGCTACTCTACGATCTGGCTGGCGAGCGCGTCGCCAGACGTGCGGGTCGTGAGCGTGGAGGTGGATCCGCATCACGCAGAGGTGGCGCGGGAGAACATTCGGAGGGCAGGGCTGGAGGAGAGGGTGGACGTGAGGGTCGGGGCTGGTGTGGATGTATTGAAGGCGATTGCGGAGGAGGTGAAGGAGGGGAAGCTGGGCGCGTTCGACCTGGTTTTCGTCGATGCGGATAAAGAGAACAATTGGAACTATGTCAATGCGGCGCTGGGTTTCAGTAACAAGGGTGCGGTAGTCATTGTGGATAATGTGGTGAGGAAGGGGCAGCTGTCGCAGGCGGGTACGGGGGATCCGAGGATCGAGGGTGCGAGGCTGGTGGTGGAGAAGATTGGGGCTGATGACAGGTTGGACGGGGTCGTCGTGCAGACGGTCGGTGAGAAGAATTATGATGGGTTTGTGATTGCGGTGGTCAAATGAGCTTTTGGCCGTCTTGCTAGACTACATATCATATACAATTGCCATTGGTGTCCTTGTATGATTGACCTCCCCCCACAGCGTCGTGTCCACATACTCAGGAGGCGGAAAACGGCTTCGAGAGCGTTTAGTGCTTCTTCGCGGCGGCATCCTTCTCCTTCCTCTTCTTATCGATGAAAGAGTTGAATCGCCAAGTGCTTGTGATGCCCTCCACAAAGCAGGTCGCGACCCACGCCCACCAGATGCCCTGGTCGGGTTGCACGCCATGCTGCTCCAGTCTCGTACCCATGGCGCCAGCCTCAAACCCGTGAATGGCAACCATGATCCAGAAGATCCAACCTCTCGCCGACAGGAGGAACGCAGTGAACTCCGGATACTTGTGTAGGAAGAGGTCGTATGGAAGTCCACCGGGGCGGAGGAAGCTTGCGGTCGAGAGCAGGGCATACGTCGAGAAACACACAAGCCAATTGATCAGGTGTCCGATCTTGACGTAGGGTGGAATGAACGTGGTCATGGTGACATCGCTGCGGCTGAGCTTCTTCATGGTTTCCTTATCGAGGGCGACGAGGCGCTCGCGTGCCTCACTGAGGGACTTCAAGGGTGGGTCGAAGGTAACGGTGGCGGTCTTGGATCCGCCGGAGTAGCTGAACTTCATTCCGTCGACGTCGATGTCGGTCATCTTTGCGTCGCGGAGCTGCCAGAAGAAGGTTGTGTTCGTCACCTCGATGTATCTTTGGACCTGGATACTTTGTCAGTACCAGACATAGGCGCGCGGGGGGTTTGGTGCCATTCAGGTTGTGGTTTTAACGTACCGAGTCATGGTGATCAGCATTCATGTGCTTGATGATGCGATCCCGGGCAGCAGCATCCTTTGAATCTGTAGACATGATGAAGACTCAGTGTACTGTACTGTCCTGTAGTTTTCTGCAACGATCAGGGAGAGTGTTGAGTTTGCGAAGGGAGTCGGACCCCTCGAGTTCTGGATCTCGGCTATGGGCATCGTTGGACTTGGAGCTTCCTCATCCGGTTAGTTTCTCCGCTTGGCCATGGTCCGGATATGGGAGCTCGATAGCACGTGCACTGTTGGATTCTACGTGTAGGCAGATAGAACAGCGACGATGGATCTTCAAGTCTCATTCTATCAAACCAATTGTATTGGATTGTCTTCAATTCAGTAACATATATAGCGAGTCCGCTAGGTAGTAGTATTAAGATGTGAAAATATGCCCTCTGGATGCAGTTAGCATTTGAGATCGGTGTCCAGTGGCAAGCCATTCAAGACCGCAGAGACAAAAAGCATCAAACGTCAGACTTCGGTCTACATTGTACAGTGATGAATAATTGAATCCCTACGCTTGCGACAAAACAAAAACGACCCGTTGCCGAGAGATATGGTGGAGCCGTGGAAGTCGGCGTGTTCGGATACCACCGAAGGGACATGTTCTTATCGATAAGACGTCATGTGACCCATGAGTACGATATTCATCAAGCTAATCCACATGCGCCGTTTTGTGTGATTTCTTTGTACCAGAAGATTTGTAACTGTAATAGTGACGAGGATGCAGCGCAAACCTGTGCTCCTATTGTCTGGATGGATCATGGGATTGTTAGAATTTTGGATATGAGATTATTCATATCACGTTGTATGCCATCATCGCCATGTAATCCAAAGCTGGAAGATATTTGGCTCTCTTCAGTTGGCTGAGGTGTCTGGACGAGAGTGGAAGATGGAAATGATAATGATGCAAGGCGGAGGAATAGTGGTCAGACATGTGGACATATCGAGATCGAAACAGCCCATCCCCCCAGCCACCCCTAGGCCAAGTTGGAAAGGGAGTGGGAGGGTGGCCAAAAGAAGACGAAAAGTTGGCAAGATGGCATCACCCCAAGATCCCAAAAGAGGAGTAGAAGGACGGGTGGCCACAGCGGTGTGGTGTCAAAGGAGGATCGGAGAGGGGTTTTGGAATGGAATCGACGGGACGACGGACGTTAAAGTGATTCTGTTAGACGATGGATGTTCATGGGAGAACTGGACTGGTTGGAAAGGTTGGATTTTGGCGCAAAGCGGCGGCAATGACGCGGGTGAACCTCCCGTGAACAAGGACGAGAGACAAGATGGTGTGTGCGTTGCGTGTCGCGTGTGTCGGAACGTTCTCCATGCCGTGCTCCGGCAGATTGGTGATGGAGGCGATGATGGTGAATTCGTACAATACGGGTGTAATAATGGGTAACCTAATTGATGGGACTTGGACTTGGTCGATGGATGGTGAGGTTGAGAGAGTTGAGAAAGTTGACAGAGGCAGACTGTAGACATGGTTAGGCGGAACCTTGTCAAGTTGTTGCGTCATAGTGCATACACTCGGGTGGCTCGTGTGCCATGTAACGATGCAAGACTTGTGTTTTTGTTACCGACTCGAGTGCCACACGTTCGAAGGAACATGGCAAAGCATGGCACGGGGAGAGCATGGAAGCATGGAAGCATGGAACAAGCCCATGTCATGGTCGTTGCACAGGCAGCTCCTTTTGCAGGGAACGGAAGGGAAAGCAATATTGTAATAATAATAATAATGCAAATGACAATAATGACAACTTCCACTACTCACACAAACCGGTTCTCCTCTCAACTCCTTCCACCTCCACCACCATAGCACTCCACTCCACTCCACTACTCCCATAAACGTTTTTTGCCCCGGCTGCCCTTGTCATCGTTCCAAGTTCCCACATAATTGGCAAAGCTCTCTATCATCATCATCATCACCTCCTGCAACCTTACTACTTTACTTATCACTACTATTACTATTACTCGTACTTGTACTATTACATTACCTTACCTTAACCCCCGCCCCATCCCATCCCATCATCTATCTTCTTCACATCTCCACACTTTTCTACCTACCTACACATAAACCACTCTTGCATCCCATCACCACCCATCATATAATTGGCCATCTCCTAGCGCATACCTCCATCGATTTTCATTTTTGAGAACATACCCTTCGACGACCATCTAAACCAACCACATCCACGCCATGGCGGACACTGTCGAGGAGACCAAGCAGTCCATTTCTGGAGAGGGACAGGCCGATGCCAACGCATCCATTGGAGGAAAAGGAAGCGCAGAGAGTTCGAGTAAGAAAACCGAGAAGAAAGCACCCAAGAAGCTGGGCAACAAGAAGGCCCAGCAGCAGCCCACACCCGAAGCCACGCCCGCCCCCGAAAGTGATGGTGAAGGAGAGGCTGAACCGGACGACGCAGGAAAGAAAGAGGTCAACGGAGGCGCTGAGGATTCCGAGCCCGAGCCCCAACCTCAAAAATCGCAATCCCGCCGCCGCCAGTCTCGAGGCCGTGGCCGCCGCAACGTACCCGAATCCGACTCCGAATCCGTGGCGAGGTCAGACGTCTCTGCCTCGGGTGGACGCCGCAACCGCCAGCGCCAGAAGAAGCAGCAGGGCGGGAAGGGCGGCCAGCTCGGCGGCATCGGCGAGGAGCTCCCTGGAGGAGAACTCGTCAGTGGTGCCACCGACATGGTCCAAAACACCGCTGGCAATGCCGTGAACCAAGTGGGAAACACCGCTGGAAAGGCCCTCGGCGGTCTGACAGGAGGCGGCGGCGGCGACGAGGACGACAGCAAGGGCGAGCAGCTCCGATTGCGATTGGAGCTCAACCTTGATATCGAAGTCCAGCTCAAGGCCAAGATCCACGGTGATCTTACTTTGGGATTGCTGTAAGTTTTGCTACCCTCGTTCCCTTTCCTTCTTCTTCATGTTCTTCATTCATGTTCTTCCTGGGGCTTTTTCCCTTTTGCAAAGAAGAAAGAGCCCAGGCTAGGATGCATATGTACAGATGCACTGACTTGCGGCAGTAACTAAATGTTTTCCCTTCCCGCGCTCTCCGCGACGAGACGAATTTCCTACATCACTATAACTATTCCCGCTTTCTACTTCTACTACTGCTACGACGATGATGATGCCAGAGAGAAGATCTAATCTTTTGTTTGCTACTTGCTCTTTCGAGGGGGAAAGGAGTTGTTGAAGTTGTCGCTGCTGTTGATGCTTGTTAATTTTTCTTCTTCTCTTGGATGAGACGGAAGTGGATTGAACGGGCTGGCGTTTTGATCTCATAAGGGGTGTTGTGTGTAATGAGATGAATAACCAAACCCATTACATGTGAGATAGAAAACCATGTAAACCATGTATACTTCTATGTTCTTTTCCCACTCTGCTTTCAACGTGCACATGTTTGTGACGACTGCCATAATGATTCTATGATTCGACTTGTCGACTTGTCCACCTGTACACTGTCTGTCTTCAACGTTTACTTCGTACTAGTTGAACAAATTCCAACTTTTTTTTTCCTGCCAACGACAGTGACGCACCCGGAAGCTACGAACAAGTAAGTAATACGGGGCGCGCGGGCGGGGAAGACCGCCGGTGACAGCTCTCCCTGGTCTTTGGTACGAGTAGCTCGGGAGCTATGGCACCGTGGCTTGCGACATGTCACCCACCAACCCACCACCGTTCCACTCACCAAACCAAGTCCAAGTATCTACTACCTAGCGCCTAGGTAACTGGTTCATTTTCTATTTTCCTAGCGAAGCAATCAGTTAATCAATTCGATGGCAATACTATTGCCATCTTGATGTTACATGCGCTCCCAGCATTCTCTGATGTATTGACAATGTCTATCAATGAGCCTGGGTATCGGCATGCCGGAACTTGGAGTTCCCTTTTCATTTTTCATCCATTCTGGCAGCCCTGCCTGCTCTGCTTTCCAGGCATGGGAAGGAAGATGTGACTATGTGTGACTATGCTAGGCGAAGGAGGAGGAGGAGGCTGGAGGAGGCGAAACGGTCCAGGGCGGCTGCCAACTTTTTCTGTCAACGTGCCGCGTAAGTGTCTAGGAGGGTTTTTTATTTGCCCCAGAAATAATTATATGGGTGCATGCAAAGCAAACCAGTGGTAGTACAAGTGTGTAAGTACACACAGATTATGATGGCAGTGGTGGTAGAGTTACCAGTAGTGGCTACCAAGGAGTACCGCATTCGTGCGGTCAAAGGCGGGAAGGGGGAGGGTGCTGCTCTTGGTCTTGGTCTCGTCTACTCCCGGGGCAAGGATAATGCGCAAGTAATTCCCCCGTACTCTCTACGGAAATATTAAAATAAACTTTGTATTGACAGGTATTATTGTAATATTGGTGGGTACGGGGAAGCACTCCGAAGATCGTGATGGAGGACAACGTACGGAGTACTGTGTATGTACCTACGAGTGACGCATCGCAACGCAACGCAACACAACGCAACAGAAAGGCAAAGACCGTTTTCACTACTCGTAAGAGGTGGACTATGATTTAACGTCCCGGGACGGGCGACGATACTGAATGGTCGCTTCGAGTAGTTTTGCGTAGTTGCGAGTAATTAGTTACTGGGCCAGACCAGCCAGAGCGAATTGCTCATTGCTCGTTGCTCCACTTCCACCACCCACTTCTGCTCCCGTTTTCCCATGTTCCATGTTCCATTTGTGATTATCATTGTCATTGTCTCGTCTATCCAGGTTTCAAGTCCAAGCTCCCTTGTGATAATGACGTCAACCCTCACATCGTCGATTTCGAGTTTAACCAAGAGGGAGGAGGGGACAAAAGGATACGAGCTGACCCAATCACCCGTTATTATCCCATCATGGTTCGGGGATGCGCATACCTACATACGATGGGGATGGGGTAATGAAACAAGGCCATGCATCGCGGCTACACTAGATCCCAAACAATGCCTCTCATGGATATGCTATCCTCCATGCCATCTTCCGTGCTATCCTGTTACTTTTCCATTGACACATCATGCTATTCCGTCCTATTCCACTCCAACCTCCCACGTAATTAATCCTTGCCCCATCCTGTCTCCGTCGTAATGTCCATGTAGTTACTTACGCACATGTACTCCTCCCCGCTCTTCCACAGTCCGCCGATGAGATGATGATGCATCAATCCTGTTTTTCAACTGGCTGAAGCGCTCGACCTTGGTAGTCACCCACTTCTACTGACTGTCTACTAGGTATCTAGCCCCTGCTTAACCGTTTACTATCTTAGTACCTCATCCTACCTGTCCCATCTTCCTGGTCTCCGTACTGATCCTGTCTGATCCTGTATCTTGTCTGGTCTTGTTCAGTCCTCGCAGTCTACTACTACCAGCGCTCTCCTCCACCTCTCGACCATCCATTCATCCACTCTCCTTATTACAACCACTACCACTACCACTACCACTACTACTCATACTACTTACTACCAACAACTACATCCCAAGTCTCGTCACATCTCCTACCATCCACTTTCGTTCCAACCATCCTCACATTCGTAGTCCTCGCCATACACATCATACACACAGACAACCACCACCGCCATCATGTCTGACCGTGAATCCGACTCCGAGCCCCATGAGCGCACGACCATGCAGCAGGAGAAGGCCATCCTGGCCAAAAAGCAACAGAGGCGCGAGGCGGGTCTCCAGTCCGCCCGCTCGCGATCCCAATCCCGCCGCGACCGCCGGCGACGCATCCAGAAGGGCATCGAGGAGGGCAAGTACATGAAGACGGCCTCGCTGGAGGCACTCGAGGAAGCCGATGCCAACAACGAGCTCAACTCCATGCAAGCCTTCGAGCGCATTGGTCCGGATTCCACCTCTATGGACGGCCCCGTCACCAAGGCCAGAGCCATGCGTGGTGAGATCCCAATGCGAGGTACGGATCCCAATCAGCCGTACCGGCAAGGGGAAGACAAGAAGAAGAGCGCATTGGACGAGCAGGACGGCTTGAAGTTGAAGCTCGAGGCGAATCTCGAGATCGAGATTGAGCTCAAGGCTTCCATCAGAGGAGATCTCACATTGTCTCTATTGTAAGTACCGCAACAACCTTTCCCCAGGCCTCCCGATGTTCTCGAGAGTGCCGTTTCCATTCTCTTCTCATGTCTTTTCCTTTTCCACTGCGTACATCCCCCACCCAGTACCAGCCACAACTGGCTGTTAACGTATTTATGCAAATCTTAACAGGGAATAGTGCATGATTTACACGTTTTCCCTCCGAACCAACAAACCCTCTGCACGACTTGACGAAACAAATCCTCTCCTACAACCGCTCGACCATCCAACCATGAAGAGACGAGTCCGAACTATGGAGTTCTACCACCATGTATCCATCTACGCGGCGAGTAACCCATACAACCATTTCTAATCGGGAATCCATCGTCCGAGACTCCCACCTGTCTTCCTACAACGACACCTTCTCGGGACGGGGACTCTACCCCTTCTTTTCTTTTCCCTTTTCCTAACTATAATTCCGAGCGTTGGGAGTTTTTCTTTTTCTCAACGATATTGCACCCCTTCGTGGTGCCGATAGGATGTTGATCTTCTTACCATATTGTCTTTCAAACTATCTAGGAAGGGGGAGGACTTAACTCCGGCACTCATCAATCAATCATCGTCGTCGTCATTTATCATCATCTTATTGTTTAAACCGTCCAAGAAAGAAAGAAAGAAGGAGAAAGAGAGCGAGGAAGAGGGAAAGTAGGTACGAGATATGAATCTATTAACCTTTCAACCTCTTTGAAACTGTAATGAGAGAAAGAGTAGGCAGTGAATGAGAAGGGAAATACGATTTTAATTGACACCACTAACGACACTCAAATTGGCCCCTCCTCTCCGCCTTTCTCTCTCTTGTAACCTCCTCGCCGTGAGTGATGCACTTCATACCCTGAAAAACAACGTGTCCATCGTGCCTATCCTTTCTCGTTCCAGATAAACGAACGATTGAACACTACCTAACATGAGAGGAAGGGAGGTTCATGTTTTCACCTCCTCACTCCCGCCGTACTCCAATGCATCAAACACCAAAAATACGGCGGGTTTACGTACAATCCCACCCTTCCTAACATGCATAGCATAAGATAATTCACCTTTTAAAAAAAGCTCGTTTGACGGTATGAGTGGTTGATTGTGAATAAGCAATGGCAGGTCCCTACACTCTTTTTATATACCAGACCCCCATCTCCGAAACATTTTTTCCCAAACGCAAAAGACTAGACAGACAAGTCGTCCAAAGCCAATGCATCCATCGTCCGCAAACCCCCGCTTGATGAATCCGAATTGAATTTGTCGAGACTGGCACTGCCCTCATCGCCGCCAACGCATCTAGCGAATGACGCCCCCAGCATCTTGGACCTCCTTCTGCCTAGCCAGGCTCTCCTTCTGCAACTGCTCTTCCGTCCTCTTGTTACCCCGGGCGATGAGCTTCTCGATCAGGCTGCCCTTCTTCGGCTCTCCCGTCCGGTCGGCGTCCTCGAACTCCTTCAGGTACGCATCTCGCTCTTCGGGACTCATGGCTGCGAGTTCGGAGTCGATGCTCGCACGGGTGGCATCTGTGATTCCGGTCAATTGGGTTCGGGATATTATAAAAGAGGTCGTGGTGTTGCTGGCTTCTGTTCCATAGCCAGTATGTCTGTCCCCGATAATCGCAAATGCCCATCTTTCGACATTCAGTAGTCATGAGATGCAGATACACAGCCCGGCGCGAAAGAAATGGACAAGAAGATAATGATGATAGTTGTTCGTAACGTCGGATCTACTGCTTGCAGTGTAACAACATGGACTTACCATCCTCGATATTGGGTTGGCGAGAAGACGCAGTGTTACCACCGGTGGTAACATCTGAGGTGTCTGGCTGAGACTTGCGGCGGATGTGAAGCTTCTCCTTGAGCTTGTCCATTGCGTTGGAAATGAAATGAGGTGTTGGGTTAGATGCAGTAAGTTATCGCTTGAACGCGAACGATGCTGTAACCGCTGTAGTGGAAATGACCGTGATCGTTGGTTTGTTTGTTGGTTGTGGTGGAATTGGGGATTTGTTTGTACGTCGTCAGATCTGTTTCGCAGTTAAGAGGGGTCGTAGGCGGAGCGGGACTAGATGTATTTATCAAGTACGTCATTGGCGTTGCATCGAAAGTTCCCCACATGGGAAAGCGATGAGCTGGCTGGTTCTCTCGATGATTGTCGCGGCTGAGAAGTCGTTGAGCCCAATTAGGGTTCTTGACGACTATCCGTTGGGTGGATCCCCCATGTGGTGGAACGGAAGGCCGGCATGAAGAGTGGAGGTGGGTCTTGAGTGAATGTTTTTGGGGATCGCGATCCACGTGATGCCCAATTTGCATGAACCATCTTGATTGCTACATGGGCTTACGGCACTTTCATCCAATAGTAGCTACTCAAACAAATGATATACACGATTTGCTGCCTCAATCACCCAATTTGGTGGAGAATATTGGCCATTGTTCCTGGCCCGCCGGTGATTGGACAAGGAAAATGCTGAAATAGAGAATTAAATCATAAATTTACATATATCATTAAATATGGTGTCCAAAAGGTATAAACCATGCCCGCTGAACGTGCCTTCTATGTACAACGCTAATGTTCACAACACTACTCTTGAAAGTCGCCCAGCATGCCAGATACGATGCTGCAATGCGTTACTACCGTCGTTACTTTCGTAATAAGCGAGTCTGTTCGTCGTCTGTTCGCCCGTCGCCGTCTCCTTCAATCTCCTCTTCCTCATCAACTTGATCTTCGCTGGAACTCCATCCTTCTGCCTCGAGATCATCTCCTCGGATTCCAAAGCTGAGAAGAAAGCCTATGAACGAGACCCCGCCGAAAATGCCAAAAACGAGTGCCTCTCCCTTTGGCTGGATATTGGTAGCAGCGGTGAATAGTGATCCAGAGACAAAGGGTCCGGCAGCGCGGCCAGCAGCGGATAACGTTTGGGCAAGTCCATTCAGAGTCCCAAGCACGTTATGATTCGGGGCGGAGTTAGTTACCTGGGTAGCATGTTAGCACTCTGCTTCAACGAGCCAATTATGAACAGCGCCTTACCAATAGTAACGCAGATGTAAGGCCGCCAACACTGGCAACCGTTTTAATGACGAGGACGACGCCGAGCTCGGCCCATAGCCAGCCCCTACCTGTACCGATTCCGAACGAAGGGTTGCTATCTTTGTAGCCAACCCACGGCATGAGCAAAAAGGCCACGACAAAAGCAGCTAGGCTGACTCTATACGTGACCTTGTTGCCAATCTTCTCTCTCAATTTCCCGTAGATGCCGATCTGGAATAAGATGGTGATCAGGCCAGCGAAAGCCAAGGAGAGTCCGACGGCTTCTGGCTTCAGGCCTCGTCCCGTGGGGGGAAGCTCTTCGGCAAATATGGGATAAAGAGAGTTGTATGATATGTTTGCCAGCTGGAAAATGAAATAGGTTACCAGGAGCAAGATGGTATCGCGATTGAAAACCTCACGTCTTGTGAGTTGCTCGCCAGAGCCTGCAGGGAACAGAACAGGAGCAGAGCCTTCAGAGTCGTCATCATTGCTCTCGTCGTCGTCTTCATCTTCTTCGTCTTCTTCGTCAACATCGGTGAGCCGTTGGCTGTGAGATGATTTTCGCTTTCCTACCACGTATCGAATATATGTTGGTCGTGTGGACGTCGTGAACTGCCAAAGCCAGGCAAACAGGTTTTCTACGCGTTTGCCGAGAGGAGGCAGGTGTTGTGCCTCTTCGAGACTCTCGTCGAGAAAGAGCATGCACACAATAAGGTCGATGGCGAGAACCACTGCAGAGAATAGATTCGGCAGCAGGTATGGGTAGGGGTTATCCTGGGCCTTGTTGAATGGGTTCTTGTAGAATACCAACATGCCTCCGACTATGGGACCGGTGATGGCGCCAATGCCATAGACGACCGGGAGATAGGTGAATGCTTTGGATTGGTTTGTTCGGTCTGTGATCTCTCCCAGGCAAGTTGACACAACGCCAGCATTGCCGTTGACAAGACCCATAAACATCTGAACCACGATTGCTTGCCACAACGTCCTGCAGAAGCCAAAGGCCAAGAAACAAGCCAAGGTCAGGAACGTTCCTATTATTATGACGGGTTTCCTGCCCACTCTATCTGACAACCAGCCCCAGAAGAAGTTGGTCGCGAACTGGGCCAAAGCGAACGAGGATGCGATGAGGCCAACAGCTATACCGGCCTGGCCATCCTTAACTTCGGGGAATGTCTTGGCCATCTCTGGCAAGTAGGGGCTTATAGAATTAAGGGCTGTTTGTTCGGCGAGGGCGATGATGGCGAGGATGGCGAGCTGTCTGGTGGGTAAGGGGGACTCATGGTGACCTTCGTCGGAATCGGAGCCTTCGCTATTTCTTTGAGGAGGGGAGGAGGATAGAGGTTGACCGCGAGTAGAGGGAGGTTTCGTAGGGAACGTTTGGTAGTGGAGTGTTGACGATTTCCGTCTAGGATCGATGGTGGGCCTCCGTTGGCTCATGGCGGGGGGTTTTGTGGTATCCGTAAGGAAGGTAAGAAGAGAAAAGAAGAGAGAGTCGGAAGGAGAGTTTTACCTCTTAGACGAGGACGAGGTAGTGGCAAGGAAGCTACAGCTTGCAGGCATGTAGCGGGAGGGAGGATGGGGAATCTGGCAGGGGATGTAAATGTCGTATGGGAGAAACAGCAAAAGCGCGAAGGAACGAGATGGGAATTCGCAGCTCTTGCGTCACACACAGCAAGCACTGAGATCGGGAGGGATGCTATGACGGGAAGGGTTTAGCGTCGATCGGGTCGAGTTTGGCTCAGGGCGGGATGTCGGTCGGATCCGCAACGATATCCGAGTCTTAATAAGGTACTTCGGATATAATATGTCAATATGATGGATGAGGAGAGATATTGTGTACAAATCATCAAATTTGGGGGGGAAAGGAGAAGAGAAGGCAAGAAAAGGTTTGAAGAATCTTATCTATCCATAGCGAATACTTAACTTATACACATTCGGTGGTAGAAGGAAGATTCAGAGTATGTCTACGCGCAATGTGGTACTTGTTGACCCAATGTCCGACCAATCACTTCACGTTCATTACAGACAACATCCACTACTTAGTCAGCCTTCGCATTCCCATTCACTTCCGAAAATGCAATCACCTATCAACGTCTTCCCAGTAACATATTTCCATTCTTCTACTGGCCACAGATACTCGTACATATGGTAACAGTCTACTTGTATACGGAATAGATGTTTTCCATCTCCGTATTCAACAGGAACCTCTCGGATACGCTTAACTCCATTCTGACCCGAATCCTCGTCTGCAGGTAAGGGTAGTATTTGTATACTTCCTTTTCATCCATCAAAATAGTAACACGGTCATATGACTTCTCTCGGATTAATATACAAATACAATATATTATTCTACAAGCGAAGTTTTCCCCGGAATCGACTATGTTAGCAAGCATGAAGTTCACCGCTTTACACAGATCGCATCTTTATACATGTACCTCGCCACTGTGCTTCATGCAATTGCTGCCCAAGTAGTAATACGCCCCCAGATCCTTCGGTCGAAGTGAGGAATGGTTTCTCCACAATCAATATCCACTCCACAGACTTCTGAACAGTTTCGCCTTGCTCTGTCCACGTAACAATCTCTATCCCCGTTGTTATTGCGGTCATCTTCCTTCAAGGCCATGCTCAAACAGACTTGTAGACTTGGCTGTCAATGCTCACCCGCGCCGCACTCTTCCCGTCACCAGTCAACCCAAACTCCGATAAGGCCTCTCATCCAAGCAATGCACTAGAACAAATGACTTTGTTTCAAGAGAGAATCCTCTCAACTAAACAACGTCCTCGACCCACTATGCCAGATGATACAATGTAGAACAATGCCATTCTACAAGGCGAAGTAGACAAAGACCACCATGCAATGTTACTCACGAAAACGTGCTCATCGAGTACCAAAACGTGCTCATTGAATGCAAGCTTTCGCACGCATTAGCTGGTAATTAATCTCCCATGCTTTGTTTTCGTCCGTAAGAATATTCCAATCTAATATAAAGTATCATTCCGTAGGCTCTCACTTTCAAGATGTAATGTGCTCGGGCTAGATCTGATTTCACTTTCACTATTTCCTCCGTTGCCTGCGCCTGCACGTACTTTGCACGTCCCTTATTTGTGGATTTATAGTCCGTCTCCGTGTGTTGATACTTCTCTTCGTCTTCCAATATAATCACTCCTACTCCTCTACCACAACGGTCCAACTTCGACTCCTTCCTTCAGCATGCGTGTTTCCTCCTTTGCACCGCTGCTCGCGGCCCTTGGTCCCGTGCTTGCCATTCCAACCCAACCCTCAATCGACAACTCGACCGAGTATCCAAAGCATTATGGAATGCTTGTCTTCCCTCACTTCCAGGCTCTAGATGTCTTCGGTCCGTTGGACGTCCTCAATACCCTCGCTATGGTCTACAAGCTTCCCATGCAATTATCCATCATTAGCGCAACACTCGATCCTGTCTCTACGGGCATGGGACCTAGTAGTTTTGGCGAGTCCATCGTGCCAACTTCCACTTTTGCTCAAGTCCAATCCGAATATGGCAATGCCCAGGCGAGGGATACGGGTAACGTCACTGTTCCTGGAAACTCAACAGATCTTGGAGACGTCGACGTTTTGTTCGTGCCAGGTGGTGGTGGTACGCGAAAGGACCTGACTGCTGAAATCGACTTTGTCAAAAACATGTTCCCAAAGGTAATTCGCTGCCAAAGATGGATTTGCTATTACTATAGTGCTAATGATTCCCGATAGGTCAAACATGTCATCAGCGTCTGTACTGGTGCGACCATTCTTGCTCGTGCTGGCGTGTTGGACGGCCGCAACGCCACTACGAACAAGAAGTCCTGGCAATGGGTTAGTATCTCCGTTTTCCTTTTCTATTATACTATGACTGATATATCTTGTAGGCAACTTCCACTGGACCAAATGTGAACTGGGTTCCCGCTGCGCGTTGGGTTGAAGATGGAAACCTCTGGAGTTCATCTGGCATCTCTGCCGGAATCGACGTCACCTATGCATGGGTTGCCTCGGTGTTTGGCGAGGGAGTCGCAAGCTACATTGCGGATGTCAGCGAGTATGAACGCTGGATGGACCCTCACAGCGATCCTTTCGCTGATATCTGGGATGTCTATGCTACCAACAGCACGAACCCAGCTAGCCGATGATCTCAGATACTTTGACGTAGACTCATTGATGACGTCCAATTCACTTTGTCCTTCATACCATCTCGCCCCTAACTAGGGTTTGAGTTTCTACCGTTGTACATATATCATTTTGCGTGAACGCGACACGTTCCACCATACCAATGAACTTATACATTTGAAACCCTAAGTACCTTAGGTGATGGGTGCAATCAAGCAATGTCGTAGTGTTTGTGATAATATTGAACGTCATTACTAACCACCCAAAGCTCTCAACGTAGTGAAATCCGCCTCCTCATGATACAATCGAGTCATACTTCTTGCCCGAGTCTTGAATATTAAGCATCATCGTTAATGTTACCACCGGACCTCCTCCTAGCTACTAATAACACCTGCAACGCCCTCCCTGAACAATAGCATAGCGTATATTGAATGGAACCCCTCAAGCGTGAGTGGTAGCCTCCACTCATCAGAAAGAGGATTACAACCCGAGTGAGAGAACTCGATCGTCACAGTCTCCTCTTCCTTCCCCTGCTTCTCACAACCACCACTACCCGGAGCCGCACCACGTTTCACCGAAAACCTATGCACGCCAGCGAGAGGCCCCTGGTCGAAACCGTACGCGAAATCGATATAGCTTTCTGATGCTTTCCCATCAGCCACATCGCTACGATCGACTACTCGGCTCTCCACGACTCGGAAAGCACCGAAGAACAGCGCGCCCACCGGCGGAAGATTCTCCCCCGATAATTGAGACGTGGACCAGATTCGCCGCGAGACCGGCTCGTTCTTTAACTCTTTGAACACGCCATTCGTATTAGCCACCATTGTCATGACAAAAGATGAAAACAAAACAAAAGATCAACATATCATCGAAATACTAAAACTCACCCTCAAAGCTCGCCATGTCCCTCCCGTACACCTTCAACATCATCCGCTCGGGCGCAAAGACATAACCCCCGAAGAACCCTCTCACGAACCTCGCCAACACTACCTCATCGGTCGTTCCTCGCGGGACTTTGACGTCCGTCCATCGTGTGTCGTTCAGCGCGAGGGTGTCCTTCGGATTCGTCAGTTTCCTGGCTTGGCTGGTGAGTAGGGAGTTTGGTATGCTGTTGCTCGAGCAGACGGCACTGGATTTTATGGGTGATATGCTGCGATATGTCTGGAGGAGGTAGGCAGTTGATGCCAATGCTGCGAGAGTGGCAGCGGTGGATGCTATGGTGGGTTTGGTCATGAGGTCGGGATTTGTGTCAATCTTTGTAATAGGTGAGATGGCAATGATGGTAATGATGTTATTATGCAGAAGAATAGCATCTTTGTATTAGAGAGTATGGAAATGGTATTTATATGGGGGCGTTGAGTCACAGCAATGGATATGGAACTTGAATGTTCATTTACTCTGATGATGTCTGACGCCGGCTTCGTCCGCAGCGGGTGGTATAGGGATCGGTTTTGGGTCCTTGGCAAGCAAGTATGTGGACGCCTTGTGATGTTCTTTGCAGGAAAGTGGTCACGAGGTGGAACGGATTGAGGATTCGATCGGTGGGATACAAGTCCCGTCTCCGACCATTCTGTGAAAATTGTTGTCGAATTCCCATGGATTTGACGGAGTTCCGCGAGCAGGTGACGACCAACAACTATTGTTAGGTACGGGTACATTATTATATAAGTGCCCATCTGCAAAGGGATCTTGAATGGTATTTGTAACGTCCCGACCGGGAATATGTAGGGAGGCGAGAGGAAAGGAATGTCAACACAAGCATAACGATGCGTTTTGGCTCTTAAATTATAATGTACAAGAACTGCAAAAATATAATGATATTCTACCTTACGTTCATGGCCAACCTTGATAGTAATTAACGAAGCGACCAAGTTCGGTTCACTACACAGAGAACGAGAGCCGATAACCGTCTTCAGCCCCAAGCATCGCAAATGCCAATGTCTAGCGTAGAAAGAGACGACTAATCGAGCATGCCAAGGGAACAGTCCTATAATAGCTTCTTGATCATCAAAGAAGGCTACTCAGGGAGTGTCTTGAGTGAGGGTCCCTCAGTGCGGTTCGGGTTTCTACAGTTACCGCAGTATATGCTTGCTGGAGATGCCATTCTACCCGTTGCGGTAGGTCGGCATCGCTCGGCCCGCGTCTTCCCTTACACCCAAGAACCAATATTGCACCCCTTATTATGATGGCCCCTTCTTTTTCCCCTTATAGCAACGATTGCAGCGAAGAAAGAAAAGTTATCTCTGACCTGACACCGACTGCCTTGGTATGCGAATGCGTATGCGTGCTGGCTTCCGTACTTTGAGATACCCGCGTTCACGACGCAATAATCCGTCCAAAAGGGGTGGGTTTCGTAAAGCAGAAAAGTTCCATGTCTCTACTTGTACAAGTAGGCAGGCATTCGCGAATTTAGCCGCATTGCTGTACTGTGTAGCTCAAGGCAGCTGTAGCGCAACTAAAACAAATTCGAGAATCGGTCTAGTGCTGCAGTTACACAAATGCTTCGATGTTCTGCAGCGGCGTTCCTGGAACCTGAGACGTTTTAGGAAGCATGATCTGCGACTACATTGGAGGCCCTGAAATCCCCCCATTTCCAAATCCCGACATCCATCTTCGGTTTGGCTTCTCCCGTTCTGAATAACTCGCAGCATGGAACTGCCATCACTCATGGCAAGCTGGAGATGGGACAAATGAGTTGGCATTTCCCTGAACAACGTTGTGCGCCATACGAGTAGAAGCTTGTCACTCACGATGGCTTTTGCATCTTTTTGAGCCCCATTAAAGGCATACGCGTACGCGTTCCCAAGTACACCTAGGCTGACCTAGGTAGAGACCTAGGCAGATAGCGCAATGGTTGGCAACTTGGATCCATTTTGTAGCACAAGAATAACGGTGGCCGAGGCTAGCGCTTGGCCCAGTGTGTCCTTCGTTCCAGAGTGTGCCAGTGTTTGGAGGATCACACTCGACCTCTATCCAATAATCCCCTTCCACTCCATGATCCATCCCAACTCCATCTTCGCCATATTGGCCCCTTCCCTTCCACAACGCCATCTTGAGACCCACAACGCCCTGGGCAAGTGGCGGCATGATACCGAGCCCTAATATGTTTCTGGCCTTGCTCCCCATAAGGACCCCAACTTCCCACCTCGAGTCTCGCATAGGGCTGCTCCTGCACATAATCCTCTTTCGACAGCTTGGTACTACATCCCTCAAACGCCTCGAATAATGCGTCCTGTTCGGGTCCGTTGCCTTCAATCGTGTATCTGAATAGTCCGCTGTCGCCTTCTGCCTTCTTCTATCATTTTTCTAATTCAAGTGCGGGTCCATTTCCCAGATTTCTTTCCATCTCTTCCCATCCATAGTTCTTCCATGACCGGCAATTTTAAGAAAAGCATACCTTATTCCTGGACACGGACCGGATCCGCATCCACCATTCTTCATACTTCAACATGATTACTTTACAGGCGCTTCTTTCCCTTCCGGTCTTCTTGTCGAGCTCTCTCATCGCACATGCCCTGGCCGCACCCAGTAACTTCGTCGCAATGGCGGCCGAGGGCGTCACTCTCAACCAATATGCGATGAACCTGACGGGGGGCGAACGTTGCGGGAAGAACCAACTCGAAGCCATCCGCGCCGGCTTCCACGAGATGAATGTGCTTTTTGCCGCCAGTCTCCCATTGAACATGTCCGGCGAAGCGGAACAGGAATTCTTCGGACCGGAAGCGCGGTCTTCCAATTTCACAGAACTCATCGAGGCGAATCTGCAGCGCGCGATCCAGTACGCAAATGGTGGCGGGACGGGGACCGTAATGCCGGACATCCACGTGCGGTGCGACGACCCCAATGATTACTGCGACGTGGGAAATAAGAGAGACGGGAAACATGTGGCGTACAATATCGGAAATGAACCGCACATCAATTTCTGTAGGAGATATTTTGGGTTGGACGGGCTCGAGGAGACGGTGGAGAATGTAGCGGCGAACTCGACGCTAAATAAGGACCTCATGGCGTATTACAATAGAGGTATGATGGCAGCTGCCCCTCTCGAATGCGCTCAATTAGAGGACGAAAAGATATTAACAAAAACTAGCAACCGCATGGGCGAGACAAATCATGCATATATCCGACGTAGGGGAAGCGATAGTCGAGGCAGCGTCACCACAAAGCACGACAGAAGCCGTGAACAACACCTGGACATTGCAAGAATACCGCACACCCATGAACACATCATTTCTCGCCGGCGTCGCCAACGCGCGCCCCAACACGGACAATCCAAATGACGTCCAGACGCTGAAATACGGCTTCGGAGCCACTCGCGCAAAACTCCTCGCGGGGTTGTCGACACAGGCGCCATACGACGCGGCGAATAACGCTGAAAACTATGCGCTATTCGCGCAGGCGAAGTACATAATGCAGAAGAAGAACTTCTACCCTTTCATGCCGGCGATTTCGTTCGATGATCAGGTGTCTCTGTTGGCGGACAACGACCTCCAGGAAGGCGAGAAGAAGAGATATGCGTGTTTCGACACGACGGACGTGGTGTAAGGACCCCCTTTCCCCCTTTCAAAAAAAAAAGGAATTTCCATGCTAACGTCTAATTTCCAGGAAACGAAACCAGCGTACAAAAGCTATCGGGGACCCCATACCAAACTCTGCCCCGGGTTTGAGTAGGCGGCAAATAGGAGGGTTGGACTTGGGCTGGGCGATTGCTTTCTTAACGATTTTAATGATTACATGATAGATCCAACAAGGGTACAAAAGAACATTTTTACAATTTTCAAAGACAGAGCCGAGCGTGATAAAGGGGACTGTCGGAGCGTGAGCATGTCTTGCGTGCAAGAAAATGTAGTATCAACACAATTCATATGAATGACTCAAAAAGGGACTGCGGGAACGGGTCAGGAAAGTTGCGAACCGATATGGCGAAAAGGATATGAAAACATGGGAGGAAATGCAAGAAACGAAAGGATCGGGCCGGAGTGTAATGTCTAGTGCAATGAAAAATGCCAGTCTACATTGATCTAGTATGGAATGAATAGCTTCTAAAACGATTGAAGGAAAAGGGTGTCGGAAGGAAATATTTTGTGTCGAGATCCGGATCCAGTCCAGGTAAAATAAAGAGGCGCAACGTTTTGATGGCTTCTGTCAAGGAGTACGAGGCCGGTTAGAGGGAAGAAAGCAGCGGTTAACGAGAAGTAGCCACCACTTCTCTGCGCTCAGCGACGCGGTGGTTGGTCCCAGTGACGAAGCATGTGGTTGACAGCGGTGTTCCACTCAGCCATGAAAGCCTGTGAGAGTCGCATAACATCGTCGTCGGAGGGTTCGTGATATCCCCACATGCTAGGGTCCTCTGCTTGATATTGAGCGTAGTACTGAATCAGTTCGCTAGTGGTGCCGTCAGAGCCTGCCTACTCACGGACTATCTATAAAACTCACTCGTCACGAATCTTGGAAAGAACCAGCCAGCAGAAGTTCCAGCTTCGGTTACTCTGAGGATCAGCATAGACGCGCCGCTTCGCCTCCTCTACGCATTCAGAACTATCTTCTCATCAGCCAAAATGCCCCAAAACTCCACCATCGAAAAACGTAGACATACCTGAACGGATAATCTCTCGTCAGCCCTCGCAACTCAGTCAGGAGCCCATGAGAATTCACATAGTAAGACCCTAAAAAAGTTCAATTAGTTTTCGCATTTGGCATCGTTTCTGGCGTGATTTTCACTTACAAGCCGTAGTCATTGGCTCGGTAACATCGGGGGATCCAAGTCGTGCGAAGGCTTTCTCGATGCGTCGAAGTTCGATCAATGTGTTGACGCGATGCGACTGCAGGGCATGGATCATTTGGTCCTTCTCGGCCTGCGAGTTGTCAGGTTGTGAGACACTGCGATGTGGGACTTTTTACTCACTGTGGTGATCTTTCGGGAGGAAGACATGATTTGATAGGATGGCAAACGGTACGTCTTCGGTTTTGGATAATGGAATTGAGTATGGTTTGAAGGGCCAGGCACTTGTTGATTAACGAGATGATGATCTGAAAGTTGTGCTACCGCTGTCTCTAGATGAAAATGTACCTCTGGACGGAGATTTGCAATCGGAATGCAAAGAGGCAGTCTCAGTACGCTCTTTAGCAATGGTGTGTCTTCCCGTAATTTCTTCCTCTTCCTATTCCTGTGGCTCAAATGAGAAAGCGAAATAGCTTCGCTGGAACAGATCTGTTCTGATCGAACTTTGTGTGTTGTGGATATATCCGGCACTTGTAAATTGTTAAAAGAGGAAGGAAACTGTTCAGATTGTGATGCAGGTTGACTGTTGTTCTGTGGATATTCCATTGTCGGCGAGAATATTTGAAAGCATATATACTAACTCACGAGACAACTCTCCACGGATGATGTCGATGAAGCTGCAGTTCAATCCTGACGTCTAACGATCACAGCATCCCCCAGCTGAAGCCCGGAGTACAACACGAGATCCACTTCAGGGTACATTTACAGGAAATGACAGTGCTTTGAAGCCACAACAATGTATAACCTCATGATTTTGATGACATCGAGAAGGAAGAGCAACGAGAAGAAGAGACTTGAGCCAGGATATGACGATGAGCTGGTCTGGTTCCAACATAAGAGCCCCAGGCCCAGCTAGACTAGGGTATCTTATCTGTCCCCACAGGCGTGACATATGGTCATCAACAAATAAAAGACCTGGTTCAAGGTCTGTAAGATGATGTGCTCGTGGATCTCCCGTCTTATGGGATCAGTGCCAGGGAAGCCCGATGGGGCCCCAAGATTCTCACGATACTCGACTTGGTCCTGCGCATCAGCAAACCTATTTGAGCGATCAAAAGCGTCGAGATGACAGTGGCGACTTCCAGATTCAGCAACTACCCAGGTCATTTGCAGATGAAGCTGATGAACATATTACAGGGCAAAGGATCTTTTTTGAAGGAACTTAGTCTGATTGATCGATCGATACGGCAACGTCGACAACGTGCTAACCCTAGCGGGCCTCAACCCCATATCCATCTACTCAAAGGAGAATAGGGTGACCCCAATCATCTTCTTATCCCTCATGTATTCGTACACGCCGTGGCCGATCTGACTAGAATGCAGTGTTGAAGCAGCAACAGTTCTTGCATTCAGGTAGCCGCAATAGAGGACGAGACGGATAGAAGCCATTCCGAATCCTTCGACAAGATTTTACACTTCGCTATAAGCAAATACCAACGAACTGAAAAGTAGAATAGCTGCTATTCGAGGCTGGTGCTGATGCACAGCTGACGGACAGGATCCACCAACATTGGTCGATGTCGCGATCATTCGTTCGGTTCGATCGGTTGCTGTCGTGTAACCGAATGACAGACCCCTGCGGGCCACGCGAAAGGCCGTCAGAGCTCGTGGCTGGAGGCGGCGCAGCAAAGCCAGTCATATCGGAATCTCAGTCTTCCGTTTCATCAGCCTCGTAGGATATCTACCACCCTTTGCACTTTGTTGCGCTTCATGGTGTAACACGACCTGTTGCTGGGCATCTCACTGTGGCTACACGATTCCATCACTTAGCATCGTCTTGACCGCCGCTGATTTGTGGCGCGAAGATTACCCTCCGACCCCATCTGAGGCTCAAATCGCCCCCAAATAGAACCCCACTTCAGATTGGACTCGTCCATATCTTGCTATTGGTTGAGCATTTTACCTTCCTATACCTTTTCATACCTTGAGGCTGGATGCTCCCACTAGAAACAACATCCCAACCCGACCATATGATCGTTGCTGATTGACATGCTGACGCTATATCGCCTTTACCACAGGACTGGCCCATTGTGACATGGCCGCCCTAGCAGCGATCTATGCAAGCATATGACGATCACCCGTAGCCACCCTGCAACATGCATGCTCATCAGCTCAGATCAGATACCAAGGGCATGGCCAATTCGAAGTGCCTATAACTGAAAGGTCCTTGATTGGTGCGGGTTGAGCAATGACTTGGAAATGAGCTGAAGTATCCCAACACCCAGTCAGATCCTATCGTCACCTCACTGCAGTCATGGACATCTGCTTCGGTTTCGGCTTAGCATGACCTAGCGTATGGGTAACAATCCACACTAGATGTAGGTCAACGGTGTGGGGATAACGGTATACTTGACCTGGTCCCCGGTAGCGCTGTATGCGGCTATATCAGACCACCAAGTGCGCTGTTCTTTCACATGTCTTACAATGGGTAGCCGGAGAAGAGCTGAAGCCCTATTTAGGACTGTTCAGCGCCATTCAGTTGGAAGGCCCTTGTCAAGAGGATCCGATTAAGGCTGTCGGTTGCCAAATGCGGCCACAGCGTGTATGGAACAAGCAGTCAAGAGATCTATGAATCTTACCACGCTTTGCAGAGCCTGTTGTGGTGAATCAAGAAAACGGTTACGCCACGGGATACCTTCCTGTAGAGACTGTAACCTCAATTGGCTACAATTGAATGAAGAGAATCTAGTAATCGTCATTAGCGCAGTTGGGGTCTGTTAATTGGTGCTGACCCCTTGTAGCTATGGACTTCGTGGGTCTTTGAATGTTGTCTCGGAAAGATAGCCAGCTCGCTCTGGTATTTCGGTGGACCTGATCAAGACTTCTTGCATCATACGGGGTAGCTACATAGAAGAAGCTCTAATAATCCTGTTCTGGTCCAAGAATGACGGAGAGAGCTACTAAAGACAATTGACATTGTCAGTGAACTGTTGTAATTAGAACTGCTTGTTAAGCCCGGTCTATTCTTGTGAGGCAAATTATGCTAGTAAGACGTCTATATGAGTTCTAGCCATTCATGAAAGATTAGAATGAAACATCATTCGATACAAGACTTGATTTCCTAGTGTAAGTTTTGTTTCCCAGTAATAGTCTATGAAGGAAGTAGATTAGAACAACGCGCGCACAGACCATGTATTCTTGGCGATCAGCAACGGGAACTTTTGTTCCTCTAGCGACCAGTGACAACAACAACTCCACAGCTTCAAACTGCTTCGCACAGCTTCATATTCCCACGCCCATTCAAGTTGGCAATATGCAGGTCCACGCAGTGCCTGATTCTGAGCGCGCCTATGATTCCTCCGGAAGGAGGCTACCATGGGGTTTCGATTTCGCAGAGTAAGTTCAAGTTCGAGGAACAAAAGCAGCCGCCCCCCTGCCATTGTTGAAGTTGGCTTCCGCGTTCTTCAAAGCTGACCTGTACGTGAAGCTCCGACCATGCGCAACGGCGCATCCCAGAAGAAAAGGGACCATTTGGTAAAGCGCGGAAGCGAGGCACCTCAAGAAGCAAGACCGCGACGCCGGCACGGTCAAGCAAAGAAGATCAAGCGAAACTTGACGATATCCGCGTAATCGACGACATATTCAACAAGCAGAAACTACAAGAACAAAAAAGAGAATCGATCCGCGTGCGCAACCTCCCCGCTCCTTCAGCAAATCTTCCTCTTTCTGCTTCAACCCCGAACCTCATCGAGGCTGCCGGGCTATCGAGCTCGTTCCAGCCTGGCGCATCGTCCAATGCATCAACAAAGGAGCCAACCGAGGTTTTGCTATATGGATACGGGAACGATGTGCAATGGGCCGCTATCGACTACTATGAAAAAGTTTCAGGCGGCATCATATTCGAAGAATACGACAGGCAACCGCCTAGCGCACGCTACAACCTGACACTCAGCCAGCATAAGGCTGCTTCCTACCGCTCCCTTTCGAAAGGCTCACTTCGTAAGATCAACGAATATGTCGGCGGAGAGCATTGGATAAAGGTCACATTCGATTCTCCAGAGGCCGCTGAACGCGCATGCCACTACTCGCCGCATGTGGTTCAAGGATTCAAGGTCTTTGCAGAGCGATATCGCGGTTCCCCACCGAATGAAGACAAGCCATTGGCCGCATCGGTAGGAGCATGGTCGTCACAGACGGCATCACCCAACACCGTCTCCTCACAAACACTTCAACTTGGAGGGTCATCAGCGACTCTGTCTTCGGCCACAGCAACCGGCTCCACACCTGGACTTCTCCCGCGATACCCATCTGAGCCTATCTTCAAAACCGCAGGTGGATTTCCTGAAGACGAAGGAGACCAAACCATCATTCCCACCCAACCGTCGCATGCCCCTGCGAGAACGACATCCACGCAGATAGGGCACGACCGAGGACGCACGACCCTTCGAATCAAGGGCGCCAAAGCAGCCGTCCTTCTTCCCCCTGAGAAAGCTTTCCTTCCAGCCGCTCCCCGCTGGCAACAGACATTTGGATCATGGCCTGTCATCGGCTGGATCATCGGATCTAACCACGGCATAATCGGAGACCAGGTGCCTAGGAAAGAGGATGGCACGTTCGACAGCGCGAGCGCGAGTCTCTACTGGCGACTTTGGTATGGCGTGGACTCATGCTTCGGCACAGATTTCTGCGGAGTGAAGGAGGCCGAGTACGAAGAATAAAACAATTCTTTTCCCTATTCTTGTGCAGGTTTTGGCTGAGATGATATACCAATTGGGAGGAAGGCATCGGGCGGAGTTAGCGTGTTTTGATTAGTACCTCCTGTGTACATGTCGCATTATTCCGGCGTAAATCAGTATAGTAGTGCTCACTAGAAGAGACGTCCATCTTTAGGGGTATAATGCTGCTGGCTAGGGTAGATCACAAGAATAATTACTATCCGAGGCTTAATAATTCTTCTGCAATTCGTACATTCATGTCAAACGTCACAGATCACGGGGAGAGGATAAAGGAGCAGTATACAATGCTTTCCTTAGACGCTAAACGCCATGGCCATGAGAGACAGTACATCTAGTGGAAACTCAAAACTATTCATCATATAGTCGTAGTCGCACACGACCCTCTAAACCACCCGCTACCCCACATCACATCACATCACATCACGTACAGTGCATTAACACTCCTTCTCGCAAATCCCTTCAAATTCGGTATATCCCCTGCATTGCAATACATCGCGCGCGTGGTGGCCGCTTTTCTTTAGACGTATTGCGACAACCAGCGGATACCCTCGCCGTAACCCTGTCGCATAACCACACTGCACATGAAGACCTCGATTGGTCGGATACCCTCGAGCGGGACCTTGCCCTTGCCGGTGGTCTGGTAAAGGCCGAGGGCAGCGCGGAGCTGGTCCTCGGAGATGGCTTCAGGGTGGTCGATCTTGTTGCCCAAGACGACGAAGGGGGTGCTGGCAAGCTCCTCCATGGCGAGCTGGAAATCAAATCAGTCTTTCATGTTCAAGAAGGACTGTGTCCTAGGGATATTGGGGATTGCCTTACGAGAGCATCGAGCTCTGCCTTGGACTCAGCCAACCGCTCGTGGTCCTTTGCATCGACAAGGAAGACGATGCCGCTGACTTCAGGGAAGTAGTCGCGCCAGAGACGCCTGGCCTGTGCGTGACCTCCGAGATCGAAGGTGGTGAACTTGACGTTTCCTATGGAGAGCTCTTCTGAGGTGGGGTGAAGAGTGGGCTGGAGGACTGCCACACGGTCGTTCTTGAGCATGTGGAGGAGGGTCGTCTTTCCGGCATTGTCAAGGCCGAGGAAGAGGAGTTTGGCATGCTTGTTGAGGAGGCCGAGGGAGGCGAGGACATCGTAAACTAGGTGTTGCTATCAGCAATGCATTTCTTGGTGGTGATGTATCGGTTGTATGGGTTAAGTGCGTAAATGTCTCGGGTGAGGACATGGAGTGCTTTGACACAAGTTCCATTGGAGCAACACGTTGCGATTATGGCCGGCGCCTGAGGAGGCCGCTGAGGCCGCTGGCTGTGTTCTGTGCCAGCCTGTGGCTCTAAAGGGAAACCCCATCACTGAAGGGGTTCCGAGAGGTCGCAGAGATGTGGTTGGGAAACGTGTGATTTCTCTGGCATGTGTTCTGGAGGACAGGCTCGTGTGGACATTTGGGATGCGGGCATGGAGGTACATGGAAATACTTACACCTATGAAACGGGTTAGCGGGATTTTCGTCGATTCAGAGAGGTACTGGACTCACCAATTTATGATCCACATGGCTGCAATACTATTTCAGATGCGTAGGGTTGTGGAAGTGTTTGGGCTGTTGCGGTGGTGAACGAAGGCAAGATTTCGGGAGTCTTGCGGCGGTCTGGCGATGTTCTGGCTCCATTGCCTTGGCATGGTCACGTGCACAGCGGAACGGGTGTCTTTAGCGGTATCTTGACCATGTCTTTGGCGAAGATCAAAGCCGACGATGTGCTCTCAGCCTCTCAAGAATGCACATACAATACTACAATACATACATTGTTGGTGCACGGTCAACCCAATTATAGTCCATTACTCGTACTTGCAAGGTCTAGGGACGTGGATTGAGAACAGTCTTGCCTTGCTGTTTTTGTCTGTTCACCGATATCAATGCGCGCAGGCCAACATTGCATATGTGGCTTACAGCAAGATGTTCTTCCTCCCGTTTCAAACGACCGACTGGGGTGTTGTTCCAAGGCATGCCCCCAAGAGGCTCTCTTCTGCTCCGTGCTTTGCTAGAGGTTCTCTCGAAGACTTCGCTGTGCCACATGAATGATACTCCAGGTGTATACCTGTATAGGCCTGGGAGGGGGAGATGCTACGAGTAATGTATCTCATAAGTGAACTGCAACTGACTACTCCACACGGAGTGCTGTGTAAACCATTCCGCGATGTACAGAACCATTCTGCAATGACGACTTTATTTAGCGTTCTTGCGAGCGAAGCGAGCAAACCCATGTGGCCGGGCGACTAAGGTCGGTCTGTACCTAACTTGTACTGTACAGGAAATCGTTCAAAGTCCAACTCCATTCCAGGTTTAACTCGTTCAAGGACAAGACGGGTTCGCTTCGAGGCATCGGCTTGCGAGGATGTTGCAAGTCTGTACATACCTGTATGGACCTAGAGTCAAAGTACTCCTGCTTTTCTTCGTAAAGCGAGACCAATGATGGACATGCGCATTGTGGTTACTGCTCGCGTAGAATGCAGGCCGCTCTACAGAAAACCATTCGATCGACCGATCCCAGACCTTGTTGAGGGAGGAAATGGTTGGCTAGACTTCCAATTAGGTAGGGAATACGAGTAAGGTATGGGTAGGCTACTGAGTAGTTAATGGATTCCTTTTGGTACTAGAAGATCGCCGGCGGGAGGTTTGACAGTATTACGCAGCGACACTTGTGTATTGGCATTGATAAATCATTGGGCGTGTAGGCTTTTCTTCCTTTCTCAATTGGCTTGTTGTCCATCTGGTCGGAAGTGCCATGCGGCTCCGGGATGCATTGCATTATGTATTGGTGTCGAGCAAGCAACCAAGTCAGCTATGGAAGTCTCTTCATGTGCATCCCCCCTTAGGGATACATACGAGTACACACGATGACGATGACGATGAATGCAATACGTTGAATCGATAATTTAAGTTGAGGAGTTGGCAGTAGGTTAACTCGGGTCTAGACTGCTATCACTGCATACAAAGGCGTGGGCCGTAGTGGAGATGAACCCGATGAAACAGGGCGAGCACCGCCGAGTAGCAACGCCAGAGGAGAAGAAAAAAAAACCAAGGTTTTGAACGTTTGAAGGTTCGATTGATTATTGGGGGTTGGTTGTTGTGCTTATTTTTGTGCAGTGCAGCGGCCGATAAGCAGAAAACCAGCGGAAAGCACAGACAATCTCCATCCTTAGTCTACCGTGGTAGATATGGTCTATGACATCCTTCCCATCCCATCCCACATCCTCCATCATCGTGAGTTCCTGCATGCATCGCCGCCCGCAGTTGTTGCCCTTCCCTCAAAACCGACCTACCTCCGCCCGTCTTTTTTTTTGTTTTCTCTCCTCCCCCTCTTCCTCCCACCTCCATACAATCTCTACCTTTTTCAGACCGGAGTGTCAATTGTTGCGCTCGGTACTGAAGTCAAACAGTCCTAGACCCGCAACTGTTTCCTCTCCATTCTCTTCCCCGCGCCTGCGACCATCGATTCCGATTGCCTGTCTGACTGCCTCCGATTGACGCACACCGCTTCCCGCCCACCTCCCTACCTATATAACCCCCCGAAACCCTTCCTACCATTATTATCTCTATTCATTTCCTCCTAATTCGAAGCCATGGTTCTCATTGAAAACCAAGAGTACCTCTGTGAGGAAGAAAAGCGTCTGAAACAGGACAGAGAACGCACAGCCTACTGGAAACGGTGGGGTCCATATGTTGCTGAGAGACAATGGGCTACTGGTCAGTTGCGATCGCTAACTTTCTTGCTGTCCAATTGCTAACCTCCCGAACAGTGCGCGAAGATTATTCGTAAGTTTCATAAGGTTCTATGCTTTTCCTTAATCTGTCCATGTACTGACCATCAATTGCCTACAGCCAGGATGGAGATGCATGGAGCCGTAAGTGATTCGACTTCCGGGTAGCTGACGGACAATCTTGTAAGCTGACAGAACACGACAGACTTCACACACGACATGGCGAGGACGCGAGCCTTCCGTTGGGGTGAAGATGGCATTGCTGGTGTCTCCGATTCGCATGGATTGCAGAACATCGCATTTGCCTTTTGGAACGAGAAGGAGTACGTCGCCTCCATGGACATCTAGAGCGCCTTGACTGACATTGCTGTAGCGACTTCTTGAAAGAGAGATTGTTTGGTCTGTCGAATCCTCAGGGTAACCATGGCGAGTCGATCAAGGAATGCCATTTCCACCTCGATAATACCCCAACTGTGCGTATCTCACCTTACAATTGCATTCGAGTCTAACGTTTTCAAAGCACTCTTATATGAAATTCCTCTACAAATATCCCCAGCGCAAATTCCCCTACGAAGACCTCGTTAAGGTGAACGGCGAGCGTACCAAGTTGGATAAAGAGTATAACCTGGTTGACACAGGAATTTTCGACGATGACAGATATTGGGACATCTTCATCGAGACTGCAAAGGAAGCCGACGATGAGGAAGAGCTCCTTTTCCGAGTTACAGCATACAACCGTGGGCCCGAACCTGCTCCGCTTCACATTGTCCCCCACGTGTGGTTTCGCAATACTTGGGCTTGGGGCCACGAGGATGAGAAGTTGAAGCCCTCGATCCACAAGGTTGGCGCGACAACTGCCCAGACCAAGCATCACAAGCTTGGAGAGCGCTACTTCCAGCTCTCTCCGTCTCCTGGCATTGGCTCCAGCGGTGAAGACATCCAACCAAAACTCCTATTCACTGAAAACGACACGAACTTCAAGGCCATCTGGGGAGGCGAGAATCAGACAAAATACGTGAAGGATGGAATTCATCAATACATCGTAGACGAGAAGCTTGATGCTGTAAACCCTCAAGGCCATGGAACCAAGTGTGCTGCCTGGTATGCATTCGATGAAGAGGACGGAGTTCCACCAGGCGAGTGTGCGGTCGTGCGTTTCAGACTCTCACGTAGATACGAAGGTTACCTGGACGAAGAGCTCTTTGACGATATCATGGAGCAGCGCCGTGCTGAAGCTGACGAGTTCTACTGGCGCGTTAGTCCACTCCCGATCTCAGACGATCTCAGGAACGTCCAACGTCAAGCTTTGTCTGGTATGCTGTGGTGCAAGCAGTACTACCACTTCGTTTGGGATCATTGGGCAAACGGTGACCCTGGGATGCCCCCACCACCAGCGAGCCGAAAGGATATCAGGAACAAAGAGTGGAAACACATGTATCTGGATGACATTCTTTCCATGCCGGATTCATGGGAGTATCCTTTCTTTGCAGCGTGGGACAGCGCTTTCCACTGCATACCCCTCGCGATGATTGATCCGGATTTTGCGAAGAAGCAATTGGATCTGTTTACTCGTGAATGGTACATGCATCCCAATGGACAGTTGCCGGCCTACGAATGGAATTTTGGAGATGTGAACCCCCCTGTCCATGCTTGGGCCACGTTCCGGGTGTTCAAGATGGAGCGAAAGATGTATGGTCGCGAAGATTTTGATTTCTTGGAGAGAGTTTTCCAAAAGCTGCTTCTCAATTTCACTTGGTGGGTCAACCGGAAGGATGCCAATGGCAGCAATGTCTTCGAAGGTGGATTCCTTGGTCTTGACAACATTGGTCTTTTCAACCGTTCGGAGCCTTTGCCGACTGGAGGTATCCTGGAACAGGCGGACAGCACTGGCTGGATGGGCTTCTACTGTCTCAACATGCTGAACATGTGCCTGGAACTCGCCAAACGCCGCCGTATCTATGAAGATATGGCCTCAAAGTTTTTTGAGCATTTCATTCTGATCAGCGAGGCTATGCAATTTCGAAAAGGCGATGAAGCAAAGCCCCTCTGGAACGATGAGGATGGCTTCTATTATGATGCCATCTCCTGGGGAGGGCCATGGAGCCATCAGATGCCCGTCCGATCTCTTGTGGGCCTGATTCCATTGTACGCAACATTGACTCTCGAGCCTGAAGTGATCAACCGATTCCCCGACTTCAAAAAGAGAGTTGACTGGTTCATCAAAAACAAGAACGATACTGCGGAGCGCAATATTGCATCCATGAAGAAACGTGGCAAGGACGACCGACTCCTCCTCTCACTCGTGAGCGAAGACCGCCTAAAACGCATTCTTCAACGTATGCTTGACGAGGACGAATTCTTTGCCGACCACGGAATCCGCTCGCTTTCAAAGTATCACAAGGACCATCCTTACTCAATGGACGTTAATGGCCAGACTTTCCAGGTCAGCTATGTACCTGGCGATTCAGATAGTGGTCTCTTCGGAGGCAACAGCAATTGGCGAGGACCAATCTGGCTTGCTGTCAACTTCCTCTTGATCGAGTCGCTCCAAAGATTCTACCTGTACTATGGACACAAGCTGCAGGTCGAATGCCCTACAGGGTCAGGAGACTACATGCATCTCGGCCATGTTGCCGAGGAAATCCAACATAGGATCCAGCATCTGTTTGCCCGAGGCGATGACGGTAGAAGAGCCATCCACGATGGAAATGAGATGCTAGACTACGATCCGCACTGGAAGGATTATATGTGGTACCATGAGTTCTTTGACGGAGATTCTGGTCGTGGATTGGGCGCCACCCATCAATGTGGGTGGACAGGTTTGATCGCGAAGTTGATTCATGATACTGGGTAAGTTCGGATTGCGTAGAATTGGAGCGAAGAACCCCACTGACTTTCAACAGTATGACTTGCCGTCTTCCACAAACGCCACGAACTCCCACCAGTGCAGCATCGCACTATTTCGACGACATCTTCACCCACACAGGCAAGCCGAAGAAGCCACATCATCTCCGACGCTCATCTACTGCGAGGTCGATCGGTGTTCGCAGTGATTGGGACACAGCCAGTCATGGCGATGAGGAAATTGGTTCGCCCATCAACCGCAGCAACTCCATTGGTTACTTGAATGACGAGGCTTTGGCTCAGAAAGCTGTGGTTGACCAACGTGTTGCACACTACGTTAGCGATCAGTTGGAGAAGATCAGAAGCAACGGATCAGAGGAACTTGATGCAGCGGAGTTCGAAGCTTCTATCGACGGAGCCATGAAGAAGAGAACAAATGGCCATCGCAATGACGAAGACGACGAGTATTTCTCACGATGAACCATGTCCTCCAGCCGGAAAGAGGTTGAAAAAGGAACGGATCACCGTAGCAGCGACATATCAATTTTCCTGTAGACTGCAAAAGTTTCCTGCATTCAGCGGCGCACTGTAATGCATTTTCCTTATAACGTGGCGTACATAAATAGCTATCACGATTGTTCTTTGTCCATACCCTTAGATATCAAATAACAACTCGACAAATTAGTTAAGTACGAATTGTGATTCGCACCTCCAACATGACGCGTGAACGCCTCTCACGTGCGAACGTGAGCTTGCCGGATGCAGCTTAGCGCGGCGGGGACTGTTTATGCTCACAAACAAGGACTTGAGCCCTCAACCCCAACATTACTTCGAAAGTTCATGCACATCCAGTCAAAGTCTTTCTTTCCACCTTCTTTTAAACCCCAATCTGTGAGTGTTCCTCATTGCCACTCTCCAGGTCCCCAATTCTTTGTACCGCGCAGGTCTGTGCATTCCTTAACCCCGCAGCAATTGCCTCGCTAACAATCGGAATGTAATGCAGGTCGCCCTCGACAACGTTCACTTCATAAGACCAAAGAACGAAGCCTGGAAGAATGTCAGGATTTATCACCACAATGTTCGTATCTGCTGCATCTGATTGTACCCCTACATTGTCCAGCAAGCCCAAACCGCTCCCGCCTATCCTTGCCCAGAACCACAACAACCTGGACGTTGCGATGATCTCCGCGCAACAGTTACAGTTGGGCCATGGCAAAGACATCTGGACCGAGACCTCTGACGGATCATTTGAAGCTCTGGCACCTGCCAGGCCTCAATCGGCATACAAGAGTCCACTTCAGAGAATCGGAGAAGCACTTCGGACTCCTCGAGTTGGTCTGACACCTTCGCTGGATTTGGAAGCAGGATTGAACCATGGTGTATACGGTCGGGAGCCAGGCTTCCCACCTCCTACTCCATATTCAAGTCCGCTTTTACCTCCCAGCGGCGATAGTCATGCTAGCGAACAGTACTCCTACCAGCTAGTGCCAGGAGGTCGCTCCCCAAGCTCCGCAAAACTCTCAACGGATCATCTTGGCCACCCCAGGCAAGGATATGGAATTCCAGCCAGTGGATATATTGCCTCGCCATCACAGGGTCGAGGGATAACACAGAATCTGGGCAATGATGGGGTTTTGTCTCAAAGATTAAGCTTACATTCTTCTCTTTCTAGTAACCCTCGCACACGAGCGCCGTTTAAACCACAGAAATCGGGTCGAGGAACGAGCAGCTGGCAACTTAAACAGTATGCCGAAGCCACGTTAGGGAGCGGAAGTTTGCGCAAGGCTGTGAAGCTTCCTGAAGGGGAAGACAAGGACGAATGGCTAGCAGTGAACAGTAAGGTTTCGACACACTGCCAGGGGCTATGCTGACTGCTTGGATAGTTGTGGACTTCTACAACCAGATCAACCTGCTGTATGGTTCAATAACAGAGTTTTGCTCACCGCAAACATGCCCTGAAATGAAAGCGACCGACGAGTATGTGTGGCGTCCCTCAATCGTAGAACGAATTAGCTTACACTGTGCAGGTTTGAATATCTATGGCAAGACAGTGAGAACTTCAAGAAGCCCACCAAGATGCCCGCTCCAGAGTACATCGAGCACCTCATGGCATGGGTCCAGAGCAATATCGACAACGAGCAAATGTTCCCTAGCAGGATCGGCGTTCCCTTCCCCAAGACCTTCCCAGCCCTGCTTCGCAACATCTTCAAACGCCTCTACCGTGTGTACGCGCACATTTACTGCCACCACTACCCCGTCATCATCGAGCTCGGCCTCGAACCCCACTTGAACACCAGCTTCAAGCACTACGTTTTGTTCATTGACGAGCACGGCCTGGCTAGTGGTAGCAAGGATTTCTGGGGTCCTCTGGGCGACCTCGTTGAGAGCATGCTACGGAGTGATTGATCGATCGATAGAAAGCCATGGAGATTAAGTATAAGTCCATTACCAAGTCTGATCAATAGGCACAGGGATGGAAAGATCCCCCACAATTGGTCATCCTTCATCGATGAGGGCTCATTTTCTACATGATCGTGGTGGTGGCGTTTATATTGTTGCTTCTCAACCCCACCTAATCAAGGTTTGGGGCATGCATGTTCCGATTGGGAGCTTATTCTGTTTCTTCTCCTTTTTTTTCTCTCCCTTTCCGTACGTTTACGACATATGTATTAATGAACATGACCCCTGAACATGAAATTCGAACCGTGTAGTTTGCTGCAATTCATTGTATTGTATTACACCACATCTGACTACGCTGCTTGGTATGGGTGGATGGCTGGTCGACACCTCTCTCCTAATTACATCATGTTGCCCGTGTGCTCTTATATGACGAAATTTTGGAAAGGGAAGATACAACGCAAGAAGTTGCGTCGGAGAGAGAGCACGACCAAACGGGCAGTGTCTTTCCTTCCTCTTTGCCCTCCCTCCCCTAACAGCGGGACAGGGTAGATTAGCATACGATAGCATAAGATATATAGGATCCAATTCCACAAAATTCTCTCCTTTGTAGATATATGAGATACCAAGACGGACACATGAATAGACGAATAGATAGTTAGGTGTATATGTCCATGGTCGGACAAACATGTCAACACTGTCCCTTCCATAGAGAATGAGATGAAGAGAGCGAGATTCCCCAAAGCTTCAATCACATACAACTAATAGTTGTTTGGTTAACCCATCTTTTCAAGGACGAAGCATCGGGCAGAATGACACGGGACAGATCGGTGAGGTACGGAACAGGTAATTTATAATATTTATGTATATATATACTCTCGTGAAAGGGAGGGGTAGGCTCCCTCTCCGATCAAGCGTTACAGCTTGCTGTCCATATCCAAGTCCACACATGGCGTGCAAGCAGATCCAATGGTCGTTGCTATTGCCGTAGTGGGATGAGATGCCAACATGATTCCTTCTACTTCTTCTTTGTCGTCATCTTTCTCCTCCTTTCTTCCTTCAGCCAACGGAAGAACGAGACGTAAACTAAAAATCAAAAACAAAAGAACGCCCAATGTAAATGCGAAATAAAGGGAGGGGAAGATTTTCCAGCCAAGATGATCGGGCGGGTGGTTAGGCGGGGGAGGTGAATGTACAATAATTCTTCTGGGGAAGAAGCTGTTCGCCCCCGTCCTGTCCTTTTGTGAGTGGTGCAAAATGATCGTGAAGATGCATCGTAGATAATGTGAAAAACTTCCCGAGGGAGAGATTTCTGTGTCGGCTCGCGGTCCGGTTCAATGCAGAGAGGGGATATCCGGGTTGTGTGAAGTAAAGGAGAAAAGAAAAGAACACTAGGCTATGCTGCTAAAAAAAAAGGATTAAACAAGAAATAAAGGCGGCTTATGCGTATCGGACGCTGGAGCTTCGTTGGAACATCGGCGGCGGCGGTTGCGGAACATTGCTAGGCTGCCAATGCTGGCCCATCTGCGGTTGTGGAGGGACTGGTCCTGGTGGTCCATTCCCTCGGTGACTTCGGGAGCGGTTGTTACCACCACCATAGCCATATGGCGCTGCCGAAGCAGCAGCAGCCGCAGCATATTTCTTCTGCCTGTTGCGTCGCTTGTAGCTTCGCCAGCAGCATCCAAGAATGCATAGAGCGAGAAGACCACCAACACCGGAAGCGACAGCGATGACAATGGTTTGGTTATTGCCCTTCTTGAACCATTCGCTAATCTCGGATCCAACATTGCTGTTCGAGCATTGACCCTGGGGATATAATTAGTTCTATTGTTCAGAGTCGTTAGATTAAGATCAACTTACGTTCTGGCATCTTCCTCCACCGCTGCAAGGAGTACCATCGAGGAAGTTCTGATTGAGGCCATAGCAATTGCCCCTGCCGAACTCTGGACTAGCACAACTAAGCATGCAGTTGCGGTTGTCGCAGGCATAAGTGTCGTTGTTCTGAGTGTAGCTACCCATGACAGTCTTGCACTGTTGGTCTCGTGATGTGCACTGTCCACTGGCGCATTGGAGGTTATTGCCACAGTCCGTACCATCCTTTTCAGTCTTGTCATCTGGGCAGTAAGGCGAGCTGCCTGAACACTTCTCCTCGGGGTCGCAGGATCCTGTACTGGCTCGGCAGACGGTGTTGGAGGATGCAAGCTGGCAGTTGCGGCAGCAATCCTCGTTCGAGTCGTCACAGACGGCGTTGCTCTTGAATTTGCATGTTTGGGGATCGCAGCATTGGTTGTTGCCACAACCTTCGGTGCCACCGCAATCACATTCCTCGTCGCCTTCAACGATACCATTACCACACCTTTGGCCAGAGATGGTGGTGACGCCTCTGTTGTTGCTGAGGCACTCTGACTTAACACTGTTTCGGCCGAGGGCAGAGCAGATATTTCCAATAGAGCAGGGAGAGAACTTCTCGATACCCTCGGCTGTGGATGGATTCATGATGAATCGCTGACCTGCATCGCAGGTGCTAGAGCTGAGCGGGCAACACTGTTGGGAGTTGACCGTGTTCGAGTCTCGACAGGCGTCCGCAGTGCAATCGTGGACGGCACCAAAGGTGTGACCCGTTTCGTGGGCTATGACCTGCCATTCTGTTGGAGTTCGTACTACAACATTGGCACCCGCTACTGTTTCTCCGGAAGAGCCAGCGCCGTTAGCGCTGGCGCCCTTCGTACATGCCTGTCCCAGCCATGCCAGGCCAACGGCGGAAGCAGTGTTGCAAGTGGTCAAGAGCGTCCAATGAGAGTTGGAGTCGCTCTGCTGACCTCTCCACTGCGAGAAAAGATTCAAACGATCCTGGATGTTGACGCTGTTGCTGCATGCTTGGTTCCAGGGGGTTGCTTGCTGTACTGAAGTAGGGCAGTTACCATCCGTAACGACGAGGTCGGCCAATCCAAGGGAAATGTTGAAGGTGCTTTCGAAAAGGTTCGAAGCAGTGTTCATCTGTTGGATCACGTTGTCGCGCGTAGCATTGGTCGAGTTGAACTCGTTGGTGTAGGTGCAGTCGGTAGCAACGCCAACGAGGGCGACCTTGCGAGTGCTTGGGCAGCCAGCGGTGCTGCCGATTGTTGATACCAAATTGACACCAGCTCCGTTGCCGCCGCCAGGAGTACCATCCAATTGACGCTTGGACATGGCGAACCAGCCATCGTCGCGTGGTTTCATGCTTTGGTAAATGGGGTGTTGTGAGTCCATGTTGAAGTTGAGATTATCGCTGCCGCATCCTGCAGAGCCATCTCGTTTGCGAAGTTCGGTGTGTTCGGGGGAGGCGGAGATGTCCGAGTCGCGGAAAACGACCATGTACTCGTCATCTCTGAGATCAATATCCGGATCCAGCGAATACCTGGTCTTTTTGTATGACGATGATAATTGTACATGGTGATGATCGTGGTCGACGGTGAAGGCGCCCTCAAACAGCGGCTGAAGACCATCTCTTTTGATGTATATACGCGCCCAGCCCACGTTGTCCCAGCGATTCCCTCTCTTCACAAAAGCTGACCCTTTGTACACCTTGTGTTCGGACCTGTCGATGGGTTCCTCCTTGGTGATTGTGCCATCGGCTCCGAGGTATTTTATCTTTGCGCCTTGGACGAAGATGTCGTGGTTTGGTTCGAGGCTTAGTCGGACGCGCTTGCCGGCGTAATCGAAAGCAACATCGAACGTCGATACGGCGGTGACACGATGGTTTTTAGTGAGTATGGAGGGGTTCTTTGCGAGTCCGATCGAGGTGAGAGGGTTTCGGGCAGTGGACGTCGCGGTGGCTAAGGTTGCAAGTGTTGCGGCTGCAATGGCTGCAACAGCCCGCGAAATCAACATGGTGGTGGATTGAGTGACGAAGGTCTCCGTCTAGGAGTCGTTCGGACGAGAGGGATGGGAGGGATGCGGAGGGATTATGACAGCCACGCAGCGAGCGACATAAGGCGAATAGTGGCGAGGGCTATGTGAGTTGACTGTAGTTATGTAGGTATGTTGTTACGGGAGAGTGTGTGTGTGGAGACGGGCTAAAAACGCAAGAGTAAAAGTCGAATCGGACGATAATCAAGCATACGCTGGGCTAGAGGGAATGTACTTTGTGGAGTGAGGGAAGAAAAGAAGAGAAAGAACGACGAAGAGCCGGAGTACGAGTGTGAAGTGTGGTGTAGTGTGTAGAGTGTAGTGAGTAGTGAGTGAAAGGTAGTTAGTGAGAGAGAGAGTAGTCGTCAGCAACCGTAACAAGAGCGCATGCACTCAGCCCCCCAAGTCCTTTAGTCCTTTGGGTACCACCCAGATGGGGTATAGCGCGTGTCTAGCGGTATCTTGGCCCGCCGCGTTTTCCTTTCCCTCTCGTCCTTTGCCTCTTTTCTTGTCTCTCGACTTGATCTTCCCCCCAGTGAACCCCCAGTGACCCCCCCCCCATGTCCCCCTGTTAGACTCTCTATGAATCCGTGCACCGGGCAACACAAGCGCTTCTCAAACGCCTCTGAGACGATTCCTGTCCTTGACTGCAAGACATCCCCATGCTCCTCCCACCCATTTTCCACTCGGCGTAAAAGCGTCAAACTTCTTATGTGTGTCGGCTTACCCACATACGAGTAGAAACCGTAGAAACCACATCTGATCTGACTGATATTCCTTGATCATCGCTATTACTACTGCGATTCGCTTATATGTCTTGTGTGATATAGCAGGACGCAGAGACAAGGAGACGGAGTAACTATTCGTGCCACATCCTACTTGTACCTAGTACCTAGTACCTCACAGTAGTTGTTGATGGTTAATAATAATCACAACAAAGAACGTACGAGTAAGACAATCGTGCATTCAGGATATAGGACATCGGCGACGACGATAATAGCTACAGCTACGGGGGGCAGGGTAACAACAAAAATAATAGGAAGAATGAATAAATAGAACAACAACACAGGAAAGATGTTTCCTCCCACCATCCTATCTTCCCTCCGATACTGTACGGTGCGCTGTGCAACTGTTTACACTCGTATCGCACGGCGCCCTCGCCCTGCGAAGCCGCAGCCGGAGCTCGGCACATCCATCTGCCAAAACGGCGGCACCAAAGGAAGGATTTGGATCACCCTCATGGGTTACAAAGCACATCAGCCGCCTAGAGGCTGGCATGCACCCGCATGTTTCTCCCCAGTGCCGCCGCATGCCATTCCCGTTCCAGTGTGCTCGCCGCCTCCTTGCACTCTCTAACTACCACTGGCACTCCCCTTCCCTTCCATTCACGAATAACGTTGCGCTTAACTTAACCATTTACTTCTTCTTGGCAGCGTGCACCACGTCGATAATCTTGTCAACGACCGATGGATCCGAGAGCTACCATAATTCGTTAGCCTTGTTGCGCCCCAGTACGCGTCACCTACTCCTCCCCCCCAAGAGAAGAAAAAAGTACTTGGGGGTTCGAGTCTTAGAGGCACAAAATGCACTTACCGTTGTGATGTCTCCCAGTTGGTCCTCCTCACCCGCCAAGATCTTTCGAAGAATGCGGCGCATGATCTTCCCAGATCGCGTCTTGGGCAGGTCTGGAACCACGAATATCGCCTTCGGTGCTGCGAATGGACCAATTGACTTGCGCACTTGCAGGATCAAGTCCTTCTTCGTTTGATCGCTTGCATCACTGCCATCCTTGAGAGAGACGAACGCGTTGACAGCTTGGCCGGTAAGCTCATCGTTCGTACCCACAACGGCGGCCTCAGCCACAGAGTCTAGTACGTTGTCAGTATCAAAAAATTCATCGTTTATCTTATCATGAATGATGCCATCATCACTCTCGGAGTTAAGAGACTGGGCAATCGGGATGACTTACGATGCTCAATGAGAGCTGCTTCGATTTCTGCAGTCGACAATCTATGTCCAGATACGTTGACAACGTCATCAACACGGCCACGAATCCAGTAATATCCCTCGTGGTCTCGTCCCGCACCGTCTCCCGTGAACTGGGGAATGTCAGCAATGCACCTTAAGTCCGAAGACCGACTGCTTGGTTCAACACGACTTACGTAGTAGCCCTTGTAGACGTTCAGGTAGGTGTCCATGTATCGCTTGTGTGCACCCCAGACTGTGCGGGCCATGCTTGGCCATGGCTGCTTGAAAGCAAGAACACCCTCAACATCGTTTCCGTGGATCTCTTCACCAGAGACGGGGTCGATGATGGCTGGCTCAATACCGAAGAAGGGAAGAGACGCAGATCCGGGCTTCGTAGGGGTGATTCCACCGAGAGGTGCAATGACATGAGAACCAGTCTCTGTTTGCCAGTAGGTCTATTCGAGTCAGCTTTCCTGTTTCAAACCCACTTTTCCATTGATCAGTCAATCCACTTACATCGACAACGTGTGCCTCCTCCTTTCCTACAATCTCGAAGTACCACTTCCAGACCTCAGCGGCGATGGGCTCACCGACGGATCCCAAGATACGGAGGTTCGCCATCTTGTGCTTGACGTGCTCGTCGCCGGCACGCTTGAGTAACCGCAGAGCAGTGGGTGCAACGTAGAACTGACTGACGTTGTACTTGTCCACGATGTCCCAGTAACGCGAGAAGTTGGGGTATGCTGGGGTACCCTCGAAAACGACGGTAGCAACACCGAGCAACAGTGGTGCGTACACCACGTAGGTGTGGCCAGTGATCCATCCGACGTCTCCACCGCAGAAGAAGGTGTCGTCGTCGTGGATATCAAAGACGTACTTTCCTGTCGCAGCGGCTCCAATGAGGTAACCTCCGGTCGTGTGCATAACACCCTTGGGCTTTCCGGTTGAACCAGAAGTGTAGAGCAAGAAGAGAGGATCTTCAGAGCTCACGGGCTCTGGGGAAATGTAGTTGGGCCACTTCTCAACCTCCTCGTGCCACCAGAGATCTCGGCCCTTGGTCCACGGTACGTCGGCACCGGTACGCTTGAAAACGAGACAGTGGGAGACATCGGGGCACTGCTTAAGAGCCTCATCTACGATCTTCTTGGTGCTGATGAGCTTTCCACCACGCTTGCCCTCATCGGCAGTGATGACAACCTTGGATTCGGCATCAATGATACGGTCACGCAGGGAGTCTGACGAGAAACCGGCGAAGACGACTGAGTGAATTGCGCCAATACGCGAACACGCGAGCAGAGCGACGAGCGCTTCGGGAATCATGGGGAGGTACACTGCGACGGTGTCGCCTTTCTTCACACCCATCTCCTTAAGAGTGTAGGCAAGCTTTGATACCTGTCGGAGGAGCTCTCCGTAGGTTATGGTGCGACCATCACCGGCCTCATCAGCCTCGTAGATGATGGCGGGTCGGTCTGGGTTCTTGAAGGCATGTCGATCGACACAGTTGTAGGAAGCATTCAGCTTTCCCTCGACGAACCAAGCATTGTCGCCATGGGCGAAGCTACCGGCGTGCACTGTTTGGAAGTCGCGATCCCAAGTGAGTAGTTCCCTGGCAAGGTTGCCCCAGAACTTGTGGGGCTCCTCGATGGACTCCTTGTACAACTTCTTGTAGTGATCGAGACCGTCTAGATGGGGCTTCTGCTTCGGGTGTTTACTATTGGAAATCTTCAGTCAGCGTATGTCTCAGGAACATGTTCGGTGCAATTGGACCGAGCCGTGCGTGACGTTAATTAAGCGCATGTAAATGTATGTACATCCGGATAAAACGGGTATGGAATGGACGTAAGAGTGACAGATTGAAAAAAGTGAAAAACATAGCATAATTGTGACGGGGGGTGGTCATAGGGAAAATCGAGAATGGTGAGAAAAGAGTATTTCTGGATGTTGATGGCGAATGTCGTCTGGGCAAGCAATGACAGGCAAGACAAAATAATGCATGCCATGCGGTGGATTCGGGCGAATGGCGGGGTTGACCCTCCCCGCAGTGCCGCGTTGGCCAGAAGGAGAGTAGCCCTGTGGCCTCTGGCCTATGGGCTGCAGCTTGCAGCTTGCACCCGTGCAGCCGCTCCGTCATCGTTTAACGGATTCCACCATGCCCTGGTCAATTATTTGCTCCCCAAGACCAACGAAATACCAATGTATCCTGAATCGCCATCTGCAGAGAAATGCTCGTGATATGGCCTAAACCATGAAGAAAAAGAAAAAAAGGGAGAGGAAATTACGGTGCGCAATGATGGAAATCAAGAAATTGACTGGAAAGTAACGTACTCGTGGAATGCCTTCGGCACATGGTAGGTGTCAACCTCGTGTGCCTCATGGACCACTGGGGCGGATGAGGGTTTGACGTTGCCTTCAGACATGACTGTCGGCTAGTGTGTGCGTCTGTGTAGAAATTGGAGAGCTTCGAGAAGCGATGCGCCTCGCCTAACAGCTGTGTAGTGGCTAACTGGCTGGACGGACGGACGGACGGAGAAATGGAGAGGCTCTGGTTGTGCCTGTCAAGACCGCGCTTCGAGCAGAACAGTGAGGCAGGGGGGAGAATGCGCCCTAGATATAGCTCTACGCTTCAATGCCGGGTAAAGGGCTCCGCGAAGGTGAATGTGAGGGGAATTGATTGCGGTCGGCGCCTGAAATTGAAGCTGGTATGGATCCTCGGAGAACAGCTGCCTTGCGTGAGCGGCGGGGGAGCAGCGCGGGGGGCAGTTGGTGGATAGCTACGAGTGTAGTAGCTTTGGTGAGGCGAGAAGAAGAGAGCAGAAGCTGTGATCCAGGAGGGAACAGCAGCAACAGCAGCAACAGCAACAGTTATTGAATTCTGTATATATGAATCGTGAGAATAGAGGAAGAGGAAGAGGAAGAGAGGGAGAGGGGGGAAAGGGATTGAATCTTATTCAATGGACGGACGGGCGGGGCAGACGCTTTTATTATGCCTCCCCTACTGCGAAGTACTAGAGAGAGCGATCATACGGAGAGAAGAGAAAGCAATATAGGGAATTAGTGCTACGATGGAAGACTCCAATAGCCATCGTCTCTCCCACTCCATTATCCCTCCTACGAGGCATCGTCTCCTCATTTCCACACACGCCTACGTTATTTCTTCTTCCCTCTCGCCGACTGGGATTGGGGATTGACTGGGATTAGGCGCGGCTATGGCTATACTGCGACCATTACCGTGCTCGCTGCTGCGGGGGAGAAGGGAAGATGACGAACGGATATGCTGCCACCGTCTTTGTCTGGCCCGTTCACTAGACACCCCTTCTGGTATCATCTGCACGCATTTTCGTACGATTTCTATCGTTCCTGACCATTCCTAACCATTCTCAACCATCCAACGGACCCTATAGCCCATGTCCTTGGCGAGTCGAGCCCTGTCGTCTTCGGTCGTCTTCAACATTGAGCGACTAGAAACTCCATTAGTCCGGCCGCCCAAGCTCATCAACAACCCAAACTACCACTCCCAGTTAGCCGCGGGCCCTGGCGAAGACAGAGGGTGAGGGAAAACGATAATTAAAGGGTTTCTGTTTCTGTTTCGTCTTCCATTTCGCTGAATTCCTTTCCCGGCCGGCACAAAATCCCTAATTAACATATACATGTTCCCGCCAATATCCCATCCGCTGACCTACTCTGCCCCGCCGATGTCATGCCATGCTATGTATGTAGTGCGGTGCGGTGCGATGACTCTCCACCATCCACAATCCACCACAGGGTCATGGACATAGTAGCCCTTTAATAAGCTTTTGTGATTCTGTCTCCAAATAGAAAGTGACTGCCATAATTCCAGGTTCTATCAGACAGTGTTTTCTAAGGCCTACAACCCATGACGCCACTACACTTTTTGTTTGTTTACCCTGTAGGGCTGGAGCCGAGACGATCACCACGACCGACCCGACCACACTGCACTGCACTGCACTCGCTGGCCGCATATAGAGTTTCCGCGACCTAAGAAAATGGGAACCACTGCGGTGGCATGCGTCCCATGAAATTTTCTAAAATACTGATACGAGTCTGCTAGAACCCTTTCTGATGCACCATAGCCTTTGGGTTTCGATATCGGAGAGACCATGAGGGAACTACAAAAAAGTAAACAGGTACCTGCATGTCCGATATAGCAGAGCACGCCATCATTATCCACAATGTGCGCATCGAAATGGCTCGCTGATGAGGTCTGTTGTTATTCTTATGTTTGACCCACTGGCATTCCAATCTTATCTTATCTTCCTGTCGATGAAAAAAAGTGGAATGGATCTTTGAAGACAACCAGGAATCGTTTGGCCATGTCCTCTTCCTCGTTCAGTGACTCGTACCGGGACGCAATGCTTCAAACTTCCTAACCAATGAGACGACACGCCATTACGAAGGATACCTCCGAGGTCAAAATGTTTCAAACCCACATACAAGTCCCTTCCGATTATCGCCCTTCCTGCTACTTTACGGTCGGACAATTGTTACGCGAAAATGCTTTTCTCGTTCGTTGACTAAATTACAACACACGATAACGCTCTCATCATTCTTACTCCATCCATTAGTAGGCCCTATGGACCTCGCCGGTTCGGACCTCTGGAAGCTAACACACAACGGCATTTGTTTTGGACCGAGGATAATAGCCGAACCACCACCCGCCCGCCGCTCCGTTTGTCCAAGTGTACGGAGTAGTTACTGGGTATGTACTTCTTCAATCAATCGTCAAGGGGGACAGACGTCTCAAGAGGTGTGCAACGTAACTCATGCGCTTGCTTGCTGTCGTGTCGAATCTTCGATCGTACACACACCCACCGGAACACTTCTCCGAGACCTTCCCTGTGTGCCTGCCTACTGCACAGTGCACACCTGCGATCTACACATTATCAATATAGTTATCGAACTCCTTATTCCTCACCCCATAAATTACAAGTAGCTAGCAAGGTACCCATTAAACCATCCATATCTCCGTATTCCCAAGTGACTACGCTCGGTTACTCCCTCCAAGAGGAAAAAAAAAACACCCAAACGCGGAGGTTAAAAAAACTCCCGAGTAACAAAAACGTCAGCCAATGCTCTCCGCACTCCACACTTCGCACTCATTCGCTATGCGAACTGGCGATCCCCCTCCTCCCTCGCTCTTAAGCAACATGAACGTGACTATCATCCCCATGGGAATCAGCACCCCTCCCCCATTCGTTTGCTTGCTTGCTTGCGGGTACAAGGTAGGTGGGCGGGCAGTAATGATGTGAATGACTCTCGATGAGGTCGAACCAGAAATAAAAAAGTGACGCTCATAATGACGAATGCCAACGGAACCTATCCCATGCCCCCCTCGCGTTCGCCAAGGCTGCCGTGTCGTCCCAGACGCCCTCGTGGCGAACGTGTTGTCTTGTAACGTGGGCGTATGGACTCTGGATTCTGCTTGGCTGATGCTGGCTGCTGCTAGTATTATGCTATTGCCGCGTTGCTGCAGAGATGGATGGTAGTATGCTGAATTGGCCAATCACAAAATGGGTGGACAGATGTAGCTAAGGCTTCTATCAAACCATGCTCGTCACTACGGTACTACCGCTACTATCACTGATGCGAAACTCGTGAGATGTGTTCAGTCTCTTTGTATCACTCTTGGTTTATACGGAAAGTGCCTGTAGTCACCCATAACTACCTAGGTAACTACGAGCGTCCACCCATGAATCAAAGCCACAAAAAAAATCGTCTCGAAGACTCCGACACCTCACAAAAGAATATTATCCAGCTCATGGATGTGTATGGATGAAACAGAAAATCAAAAGTGATCATGAGATCTCGCCGGTCTTTCCAAGAAGGAACATCAAACGCCAAAACACCTCCCATGCAAGACGAGTTCAATCACTCGTGTGTTGGACCTCCTTCGCTTTGTAGGTGTAGCTTGGAAATTGCAAAATGGTAGAAAAAACGCCATGCTCGCCAAATGTCGCTCCCGCCCTTGCCCGGTGCCGTATTATCCATCCTGCCTTGGCCCCTCCGTGATTTCCTCTCCAGGAAACTGGGGTATAACTGTCGTAATAGGCGTTGCGATCGCATCGTCGATCGCCAACCCTTCTATGCCACGACTGATGTCCTGCTCTGTCCCCTCGACGTCCTTGCCGAGGGCTGGTGACGCAATGCCACCCGAAGCACCGCTCTCGCTGTTTTCGCGGACCCTCAATGCCACAGATGCCGCGATCTTCTCGTCAAGGATGTTTACTAGTCGTTCAGAGTACTGATCCAGTAGTTTCACAATAACTGTCTCGTCGATGCCCTTGGATTTCGCCTTCTCGCCTACAGCACGAGCTGTCTGCGCTAACTCTCTCTCAATATCTCGGACGTGCTCAGAGCTTAGACTGTCCGAACTGTTTGCCAGCCGCTTTCGATATGCCCGCAGGGTGCGACAGAGGCTTTCACTAGAGGCTCCAAGACTCCCGAATTCACTCACAGGTGCTTTGGCCGCACGCAAGCGGACGTCTACTGAAGAACGTCTTTTGGTGATCTGTGGAGCGTGGCGCGGACTTGGGGGGGACGGCGAACGGTTCCTGTGAGATCTCCTAATCGTAGCTTGTGTTGAGCTTGAGACCGACCCACGCAAGTCTCTGGATAGACTTGGCATTGGTGAAGGATCCAATTTGGGTGTGTTTGCTAGAGAGTACTTCGAAAGCCTTTTGCGCAACTTGGGTGACCTATTACCCGTTGGCGTGGGAGCATCCTCCTCCGTAGGTGAACGCTGGAAGCGGGCCAGTTCAGACTGCGAAAAGACCCGGCGCAACGGTGGCCTGTTCGCCAGTAGATCGGAATTCGTAGGCGTACGAGGAGTCAGCAAATCCATTGACTTCGACAGGTCCTGGCGTTGGGGCACTTTGAAACTCAGAGACCAGACGAAAATCGTGCCGTCCACAGCTACAGTAACGAGAGACTTGGGAGTCAATTCATCTCCTTCAGTATCTCGTGTCTTGATAAGAGCAATGTCCGTGACGCCCTCCGTGTGGCCCCAATCTCGAGCGGCGAGCGTCCCGTTCTCCTCGTAAAGCCTGATCGATTTGTCGGTACTCGAGACGCCCGCAATCAGGGGCGAGCTGTACGCCCTAGGAATGTGAGCAAGCGAACCCAGAATCACCGCATCGCCGCCTTCCGTGTCTGAAGCTCTGAAGCTTGTGATTGTCTGACTGTTCCTGAGGTCATATTTGTGTACCTGTCGGTCAATCGTTGATACAAGGAGGGCATCATCCTGTTCGACGTCCCAAGCCATCGATACAGGCGTCGTTTTCAATATTATAGTTTTAAGAATGACGAAGGCGCTGATCCTGCCAGCTTCGTCTTCGCGAGAAACCAACTCACGAACTACAAGAGTACGGTCGGAGGAACAGGAAACTAAGCGGGTCCCGTTTCGCGAAAAAACCAGCCCGGTCACTGCGCCAACATGTTCGTCGAGAGTCTGCATGAGATCCCATGTGTCCTTGCTCTTGATGAAGATCTGAACACATCTGTCTCGAGAAGCAGACGCAATGTAAGCCAATTCATTTGCTTCGAAAATAGCAATATCCGTGATCTCGTTTGCGTGTGCCTTGAATTGGAATCGACTCTCTTTTGATGCAACGTCCAGGATCCTGCAATTGTTAATACTATTCGCGGAGTGGGGCCAGACCAAGCACTCACCTAAGCACACCATACTTGTCTCCAGAGACGAGAAAGTCTGCGCTCAGAGATGCCCTGACCGTTTTCAATTCATTAGTATCAGCGTCGGAGGTGTCAATTTGCTCGAGCGGAACTTGAAGGGCGTCTTTGGAGACGCCATCTTGATTCCAGAAAAGCACTGATCCACCAGCGGACCATGTATAGAAAGACGCCTCGTTTGCGGTGGGAGCAGCGATGGTCGCTACGCCCAACACGGGGTCGCCGTGCGCGGGCAATTTCTGTACGACATCGCCTACTATGGTTTCATCGTCGGTCGCGCACAGGTGAGACACGAGGATTGAGCGCTGTGAATCGACTGTAATAAGGTAGTCGTAAGAAGCGGCGATTGCTTCGATTTGGATGACGCCTGAAGTCAAATTCACTGTTGGGGACTCGACACGGGGAGGCGGGGAAGGTGGAGGTGTGGAGGCCCCAATCGTGTCCTTGATATTGATTGTTTTTAGCCCGCCTTGACTGCTTGCGAGATGGAGCCGACCCTTCAGATCTACAGTCATCGAAGTGACCGCAAATCCAGCGTCAGCTACTTTGGAAAAGCGCTGGGTCCTATCGGAGTCGTCAATCAGGCAGATATCGCCCTTTTCAGAAGCAACAATGGCCTTGCCTGGCGCCACTGCAACAACGCTGGTGAAGTTTGCTTCCAATAAAGACTCCAGTATGCAGTTACGGCCTGGGAGTGTCCTATGGAGGCTCGGAGAAAGAAATGAGAAATCGCTCTGCCGTTTGATCGTTCGGGTCATCACGTTAGGTTCCTCGATTCTCCACACTTTAACATGCCGTGTGCCAACTGTGATCAGGGTGTTATCCATCCATGCGATTCGATTGATAGCACTGGTGCATTTATTGCTCGAGTGAAGTGTGGCCGCTCCATTTCGAGGATTTATACTCCATACGTAGAGAAAGCCGTCGTTAGCTGAGCCCAGGCTTGCAAGATATTGAGAATCCGGACTGAAGGCAACACATCGAACACCGAACGTGTGGTCAGATATGGTCGTGAGAGGCGTATCAGAGGGTGCGTCGGCGGCTGTCGAAAAGATGAGAACTCGTGGTTTGTATCCCGTCTAGACAAGTCACGTTAGTGCTATGCGGGTTATTTTGAGCTCAACCTGATACGTACCTCTCCTACAGCCAAATATTTCCCGTCCGGGCTGAAAGATACACAAGTAGCAGCCTTTATGCGTTCCTTTGCAGTCCATGTTCTATTCGAAGGAGAATCGGCCCATTCGGTTGCAGGGGAGGCAAGTGGAGATGCACCTATGCCGGCGTCTCGTAGAGAAGCAGCGGTTCTGTTGCGACTTTCGTTCTGCGTGGGTGTCGATGGACCGCCATAGACCGAGGCAGACGGATTGAGTGGGTTTGTGGTAGGTCTTGCACGATAGAATCTCTGAGTGACATTGCGCTCGCTGTCGACCGTTGCAACGACAGCTGCGGCCCCGGCTGTGAAGGCAAACGAGTTTGCGGCGGGGAGGCTATCAAAGGCATTGGCAGAGCATGCGGTGGTTCCAATGACCTAACAGGAGACGATTAGCCCTCTTCTCGTGTTATTCTGACAGGTTTTACTTGAATTGCTGGGTAGATTCGAAGTAGCGGTCAGGCTAGCTGATTGCCCTTCGGAGAGACAGAGACTCTACGCACCTGTTTTAGGGTAAGAGTTGCTTCCGGACCGCGTGAAGTTTTTATGGGCGAGCGAAGGGGAGTGTTTTTAGCAAGTGGTGAATTGGCTGGAGTGAGTTTGATACTGCCGGCCCACGCAGGGCTCATCATCCTGGCGTTCGATGGAGTGAGCGACATCTCTGATACCAGTGAAGTCGGCGGATCCTGTGTCTGGTGGCAGAAATGGACATCTCAACTAGACGTCATGACAAGCGTCTTTGCCGGGTTGCTACAGGTTGAGGTGGAGACAATGAGGAATGCGATAGTCCGTTGTACCATCTATCATGTACGTATGGTGAGGTATGTTATGCAGGTGAGGGATGAGAACAAACAGCTGCGATAGAAACTGCAATTGGTGGTTGGCACAAAGGGTACTTCACGAGAAGAGGGGTGCATGAGAAACAAAGCGAACTGATGCAGATAATAGTCGTAGCATTTTTCTCCCCCCGGTAATGAATGAATAGGGTTTGATGCCAGAGGCGGGTGCGAACGAGCCGGCCCTGGGCTTTTGTTATTTGTGTGTCCCAGGTACTTGCGTGTGTACGACAACAAATAGGTGGGTGGGTGGCAGGCGGTGGCAGGCGGTGGCAGGTGGCAGGTGGCAGGGAAGGTTAAGGTCAACAAGGTCAACACAGACCCTCGAACCTCGAAAGATCAGCGCCCGCTAGTCTCCCGCGCCAAGCTCTATCCGAGTCCTTTAGGCGTCGTTCCCTTCCCCACCATTCGTTCGCTTCACATCCGTCACCATCCATCACCAATCCATCACCCCCCTAATCAGGAACCGACATTGCATATGCAACCTGCTCGGACTTGAATAACTATCAACACACTATCACATTCGGCCTTATGAACACAAATTCGATTTATGAAGATACCTGACAGCGCACTTACCTGCTGCATAGCTGCATAAGTAAGTACTCACCTCTTCTCGCGAACTCTTCCATACCCAACGCCGAACAGTGCCTATCCGTATTGGTAACTACAATGGCATACACATAGCTCTCTCCCAATGCCCCCTATCATCAGTCTCGATTCGGACAATATGATGTGCGACAAGGCACATCAACTCCACCGTGCCTACCTACAAGTAGGTACCCAGTACGTTTACTTATCTTATGTGACAAGGTTGTCACTGTCAAAAGCGGCAATGTCCTCCTTGTAACTCCATGCTATGACGGGCAGATCATCAAATATTAGGAATTCGCAAGCCTATTGTAATCCTTTGTCCCAGAGACCAGGGTTTCAAATCGCATGTCGAGTTGCAGTAGTGTTGCACAAGCCCGTCAACGGAACCATGCATGGTCCATGCCATACCTGAATGGTATTCTGATTTATAGGTTTCTACTGTGTACTCAGTACCTACTAGTAGATATCCACTATCGTGATTCATTACCCTCTACCCCGTACTTCGTATATCTATCATGAAAACATCAGAATTGGACATATCATTAACACACATGCTCGCGATCCAACACCTTGCTCATGCTATGCGGCCACTTGCCTCCAAAGGTACCCTACAAAACATGTATCGACTGCATCCAGGCCATTACCTGGCCCATTTCCACCCCTGCTTCTTTGCATCCAATATCCGTACATACACTAATGATACCGTGCTTGCCAGCATCGCTAGTCCCGTACACACAATCACCGGTAAGAATTGACGTGGCTCCATTCTCTCTGTCTTATGTCTTAAGAGAGCACCTGCGAGGGGTCCGCCCATCACGAATCCAAGCCCCCTGAGTGAAGTGAATGTCCCGTTGTATGAATAGTACAGCTCGGGACCGAAGAGCCTTTGGCCGACCGAATTGATTAGCTGGAGGAAAGTGCCGTTGATGAGGCCCCAACCCATCATGAATACCGTCCACATGGTCTGGTTGCCCGTAAGGGCTGCGGGGAGCCATATCACCAATACAGTGGCTGCACATAGTGCTGTCATCAACAAGCAAGTGTTCTGGTGCCCGGCCTTGTCTGCCATGGTTCCAACCACCAAGCGCGTTGGTATGCCCACAAGACTCATCCAGGCGTGTATGCTTGCGGCCTTGCTCGGAGAAAGTCCCATTGATTTGCCAAATATTGGACCAAATGATGTAGGTGTCCGAAGAGTCAGGGGCACAAGGAGATTGACCACCATGAACAGGCAGAAGCTGGGATTTTTGAGCGTACTCCAGTCGACCATGGTTGTTTTGCGCCGGCTGACATTGCGCGCAGGCTGCGCGAGCAGGGTGGAGAAAATACTGAGATAGAGGCCAACAAGTGAGAACATGAGAAACGCGGTCTGGGTCCGTTGGGTAAGGAGCACGTCTCCCAATTTCGAGTAAAAAACACCGCCCATACCACCAGCTATTCTATGTCAGTAGAAAGCATTCGGACGGAAGTGTAAGACCTTACCTGCAGCGACAAATCCTTGGGCTAACCCACTTTTTGTGCTGAAATATTCTGGAAGTATCGACGGTAAGGTATTTGCCACTATACCGGAACCCACTCCGAAGGCCAATCCTTCGCTAAGAAGGAGATGCCACAGCTAGAACTTTATTAGCAGACGCTTCTATGAGATATCAATTGGGCAAGCTTACCTCAGTACTGGCCATCCCAATTGCCATCGAAAATGACATCAGGAGTGATCCCGCGAGACAAACATATTTGATATTGCTTCCGATCCACGGTAGCTTAGGAACGAACCATATCCCAAACAGAGCCACAATTCCGCCGTTCGCCAGTGAGCCTATCAGTGCGATTAGAGACTTCTCCTGGATTTGTTGAGGCCGTAGAAGGCCGTCTCGGACTGCGTCTTCGCTGCTCAAGTGCGCCTGAAATACACCGAAGGCCTGGACAGGACCTGCACATTGTCAGCAGAACATTTTGTTGAATGCAAGTATATGAACTTACCGAGAGTAAGGAAGCTCGCAATCATGGTTGCAATCAACATTTTTGCCTGCTGTGATTTTGTGACCTTGTCCTCAAACTCCTCGACGCTGATATTGCTTTCCAGGTCGGATTTGATTAGTGTAATGCTGTTCTTCGGTGTACTTGTGTTCGAGTAACTGGTATCTGAGGATTTGGTCGTGTCATCGAAGAACAGCGACTGGCTTCCGATGTCTGCTCAGTATCAGCAATTATGTCTGGCAGGCAGGGGCTGCTTGAACGAACCGGTAGAGTCAGAACCCCAAGAGAGAGGTCTTGAGGTAGTCATTTTGAGGGTTGAGAATCCTTAGAAAGGTTGTGAGACGATGAGTATAAGTGCTATGCAACGCTATGCGTAAAGGCAGGGTATATCGCTGAATAGCAGCAGTGAAGTATCGTCACTGCGATATAGATGCAGAAAGTTGGTGAAGATGATGAAGATGCAGAAGAAAAGAAAGTGGAGGAGGCAGAATATAAGGAGTTAGGTAGGTGGCGGACAGTGGGCAGCAATATTTGTTCAATGATTTCTGGAATTGGGATTCAGTGTACCGAATGGAGTGCCGCATACTCGGGCTTTGCTGGGACATGTCCCTTGGGTAAACCAACAACTTTACGACCTCAACCCAATCATCGCGAGACAAATTAGTCAAAATCCCAACAAATACTGTTTTTCCCAACGCCAATTCTCATAGTTTGGAAACGCGCTGCCATGTTGTTGGATCTATTAAGACTGAATACCTCGCCCACTTCACGAATCTCTCCACCTCGCTTCTTTTTTTTCTCCCAACACCCAGGTCCAATCATTAGCCATACAATATGTTTAACTTATAACAGAACAACTATTTTACTTCAACCATGCATATCCCCGGCACAGTCATGCCATCTAGTTTGGAAAGCTGCTTGTGGAAGTCATCGTTTCACAGGCACGACACGAACCAGACGGGTCGAAGGCATGGAACAAACAAGCACGATCATCTGATACTTCATACATTCTGTTTCTTAGCATGTCTGTCGTAGGTCTTGTAGACTTCCATTCCACTGTACTACGTCTTGGTCCAGTCTATTTTTCGTTCAAGGATGAGATATTGCGCGATCTATGGTCAGTGTACATATTTTCATGTTCATGCAATAAAAATACCAAGCAGTATATTGTACTCAAATGACCAAACAAAGAAATACAGTTCAACAAAATAGATCGTATCAAGAAACGAGACATTTCTCGCAACCTGTCTATCAAAGTGTTGTGCTGATGTTAGTCTAGAGATCGTCAGTCGTCAACATTTAGGTACTTAGGTACTTTTGAACAGGGATGTACGATCTTGGCACGCGGACCCTTGGAGAAGTTTCGCAAACCTCAATGGCAATTATCGATACCTAGCAAATTCGACAATTCTGTGAACAGAAAACCATATTTTCCTCGCTCATACCGCCGCTCGCATATCTTGCGTGGGCACAGTGGCCGTATGTATGCCGCAATCCGGCCAACAGTGCGGTCAGTGTCAATAGCACGACCCAAAGCACGCTTCATCCGTGGACGACGATTTCCAACCCAGTCTCGACATCGCCCGTTTCATACTTCACGCTCCCTAGCCCAGACACCGAATCCTCCCTCCACTCCGGAAAACCATGCCTTGAACCAGAGCGATGCAGCAAAGACGGACCCAGACAATGTTGCGGCGGCGACAGCAGCGGCGGGAGAGCAGTCATCGGCTGCGGCACACCCAGATGACCCAGACTTACTCGCACAGAAGCTACAACGGTCGAAAGAAATGGCTCGGCGGTATTCATCTGCGTTGCGACGGTCTCAAAGACGAAATCGCGCCCAGGGTCTTCCTCCAATACACATTCCAGATTGGTTCTTGAACCGAAGAGTGCGGTTACGGAAAGAATCCCAAAGACGATGCGGTAGCCTTGCGCTCACAATACAGCATAAGGAGTCAGGAGAGCATGCTACTTGCGAGATTCCTCTGCTCGCCGAGTCGACCGGTGTGAAAGGCGTATCCGAGATGTTCAGGGCAATGTGGGGAAAGGGATTGAGTGCTAAACAGATCGAAAGGTTCGGTCGCAACTTCGCCCAGAGTTCGGGACAAGAGGCTATTGGAGTTTCGGAAAAATCATTCGGGAAGAAAGAGGCCGTTGTAGAGGACCATGTTGCTGCCACACCAGAGGAATCGCTGCATACCGAACAAAACGGAGTCACACCGGCAGATACTTTCGCGAAGAGGGAAGAGTTCACCCAAAATCGGTTCCTTGAACACACCAAAATACTTTCAGAGCGCAAGGCCATGTCTCCGTTGTTATACGCAGAGATTCGTGCTGCCCTGGCGGGATCCCTTTCAGCAATACAACCCGCTATCAGCGATTCTTTTCCATCCGCGAAAACCAACTTAACACTCCATTCCCCATCATACCGGAATGAACAAGCGTTAAACAGCATTATTTCATCTCTGGCATCTGATCTCGATGCAGATCTGATAACGCTGACAGCTCAAGATCTCGCCCAGATTGCCGGTGATTACCTTGGAGAAGGACCAGAACCAACGCCTCACTCAATACGCTCGTTAGGGTACGAGACTTATAGATTTGGCTCAGAATTTGTCACTGAAGTTGAAGAACTGACGAGGGAAGATGCTGCAGAAGAAGAACAAGGCGAAGCGCCTGAGGGTGCACCTGCTCCTGACTTCATGCGCGGCAGTATTCCAGTCTTACGTATCCAGAGCTCTTCAATTATTAAGGGTCTCAAGGCGCTCAAGGACTACACACAAAATCTTCAAAATACACCTCTGGCAAGTACTGGCCCGGCGGACGGCGTCATCGCAACTGCCACGGTAGCACCCACACGGAATCAGTCGCATAGCGAGTCCCAACTAGAAGACTTAAAGTTGGCAACACTCTTAGAGACATTGGTCGATGCCAATGATCTGAAGCGTGATAGAGCGCCCGCATTGACCGCACAGCGCGAAAAGACAGCAGAGCCTTTCCCGCCCTCTCCCTCTCCAGATTCTCCATCACCCCCTAGGTTCTTTGACTTCTCTACAAGCCAGGAAGGCGCCACGCAAGATTTCACAGAAATGCTACCTGTGAAAGTCAGACCAGGAAATACTGTTACAGTTGATTTCCACCCATCTTTACGGCAGTTCAATGCCGTATCGAGGCCCAAGATCATCCATATCAAGGATATCAAAGAATTGAGTGCTACACAAAATGGTAGCAGGATTATTCAAAAATTGGAAGATATCATCCGCAAACAGAGAAGTTCAGGCCAGAGCGTTATGCTTCTGGGTACCACATGCTCTGAAGAATTCATACCTGAATTTTCGTCAAGTGGAGTGCAAAGCTTACAGACTGAGGGCGACGCCGGATTCTTTAGGACGATTGTCGTGCCAATCCTAGACCTTCAGCACGAGAATTTCTGGAGCCATGATAGTCCCTTCGATGCGACATCCGCCGCAAAAGCTTTGGTGATGGAGAAAGGCTCCTCTCAAGCACAGAAGAGGAAGTATCAAGAGATCAATGTAGCACATGTCCAAGACATGTTGCGATGTCTTGACCCCGAAGCTGCGAAATCTCTCTCTGACCCGGAACAAGCCTTGCGACAAGCTAGGGCATTCGAGCAGATCTATCCCAGCTCCTCTTTCTGGAAGATTCTCAGCTACAACGAGGTTCACCGGGTCGCCATCACCGCACTGGGGCTTCATGTGCTAGAACCCAGTAATGGGCAACTGAGCTGGGCTCATGTTGCGCTGTCTCTTGGACTGCTTAAAGCCAGTGATGAGCAAAAGTATGCCTGGATGACGCTTTACTCCTCGTATCCATCACCATCTGCACGAGAGCAATTCCGAGAGCAGATGGATAAGATCAGAGAGGCGGATGGACACGATCCGATCCGCAGAGTTCGTGAAAAACGTGAGCAATTACAGAAAAACGCGGAGAGTCTCAAGCGCCAAAGGGAGATAAGTCGTATTGGGGCAACCGCGAACAAGCATGAGAAAAAGCTCATGCATGGAATCGTCAACCCAGATCAGATTAAAACAACTTTCGACCAGGTGCATGTACCACGGGAAACGGTCGAAGCAATTCGTACTCTCACGTCTCTCTCTCTTCTACGCCCAGATGCATTCAACTATGGCGTGCTTGCGACCGAAAAGATCTCCGGAGCGCTTTTATATGGTCCTCCCGGGACTGGTAAGACACTCCTTGCCAAAGCCGTCGCGAAAGAGAGTGGATCTACTGTTCTCGAAGTCTCAGGGAGCCAGATCATGGATAAATACGTCGGAGAAGGAGAGAAGAATGTTGCCGCCGTATTCTCTCTCGCCCGGAAACTATCGCCGTGCATTGTCTTCCTTGATGAAGCAGATGCCATCTTTGGATCTCGCGATTCATCAAGAGAACGCACTTCGCACAGGGACATTCTCAACCAATTTCTGAAGGAATGGGATGGGCTCAATGATTTATCCGTATTCGTCATGGTTGCTACGAATAGACCATTTGACATGGACGATGCTGTAATCCGTCGTCTGCCACGACGCCTCTTGGTTGACCTACCCACCCAAGAAGACAGGAAGAAGATCATGGAGATCCATCTGAGAGGCGAACAACTAGACGGCTCTGTCGACTTGGGAGAACTTGCGAAGCGCACTCCGCTGTACAGTGGAAGTGATCTCAAGAATGTAGCCGTCTTTGCGGCACTGGCTTGTGTTCGAGAAGAGAACGAACAGGCTGCGATTGCTGCAGCAAAGGCCGCTGCGGAAATCGCGCAGTCCCTTCCTGAGCAATCAGACTCTCAGCCTACCGTCAGCGCAGAGACCTCCGTTCAGCCTACTCCCGTGCTCGTCCAAGGACAAAATTACAGCTTCCCAGAACGTCGCACGCTTCATCTACGCCACTTTGACAAGGCCTTGCAAGAAGTCAGCGCCAGCATTTCAGAGGATATGAGCTCATTGACCGCAATCAAGAAGTTTGACGAACAATACGGCGATCGAAAAGGGCAAAGGAAAAAGAAGGCATATGGGTTTGGTGTTCCAATGGAGAAAGATGACAATGCTGCGCGGGTCCGAAAGTGATCGCCCCCCTCGACAGTGGCTATGCAACCGTGTATAGATTTTGGTGAGTGAATATGAAAATGTACATTGTGTAAAAACATCCAAGGGATGCATTGGTGGTGTTTGGGTGTCACTGGATCAATACAGTATGTTTTACTATGTATCATACAGCCTGTGAATTCTCTAGTCGTTAGAAAGAAATTCTGATGTAAAGTTCCTACTCTATTCAGATATGTAGAGCCGAAGTCAGATGATGATGATGATGATGATGATGATTTCTTACTGCAGTTGTGCATTGCTCTTCGTAGCAGACATGAAACAACCGTGAGTGATTATCATTACAGTCCGATTAGGGTAGTTTGAGGCGCGCGACGATCATATATGTTTTTCGTGTTTGTTCTTGTGAACAGACTAACTGCAAGACTCTGTGTGCAGGGGCCTACCAGAGACGGTAACGCTCGCAGATACGAGCCATCGCCAAAGCGAACAAACAAACATTATCGTCGGGTACGGTAGTAGCAGGTTGCCTTACGAGGCTGAGCGTACTGGTCGCACAACCCAATTTAGAATGAAGCGATGTTGTGGTCGCCTTGGGCCTAAACGTTTTAGCTCCAGCTAATGCTTTCATTGGGGGCTGAAATGAAATAAATCTATTCGCGATCAGTGCCAAAAGGAAACCCCCCCATCCGAGATAGTCAAAGCGAAGGATGGAGGAAATGCTCAGCCGCATCTTACTGCACATACAGGTCACCACACGGACTTTTCGTCTCAGCTCTCTTTTCGAAATCTCACCATGTGAGCGTTCTTGCTTCCTTTTCCTCTTTCCTCTTACTACACTTCATTTCTCCGTCGCGCTTTCGGTGCTCGACGAAGTGAATGAAATATGGCGACTTCAGGATTGCCGCCGGACATGCCTGTTGAGCCAACACTCAAATGTAATCCAGCCACAGGAAGGTGCTCACCAGCTCCAAGACCAACAGAAAGTTCAGAGACTCTGCTTGGAGAGGAACCGACATCGACTACTGCTCCGCTTCCCACAGACCTAGCATTGGCGACTGCGATATCAACACCAGTGGAGACAGGATCTGTAGCACCGGTAACAACAATAGATGCAGCAACCCCCTCGGGGAACGCACCTTCATCAGCCCAGTCTGGTGATACTAGACGTGGAGGAAATGGGGGCGTCAGTCCCGGGGCCGTCGCAGGCATCGCTATTGGGACTGCAGTGATCGGAGCCGCGATCGCCTTCCTCGTCGCCTTTTTACTATTCAAGAAGCGAAGAGCAAGGGAATCAGGAAACGGCATGGCAATGGCCAAATACGACTCGAATCCAGAGCTTGTATCGCTCTCTCTGGCCAAAGGACAAGGCGACTACTCACAGATATCGCCTGCTCCACCCCTGGTAGCTGCCCCAGCAGTCGGACAAAGAGAGAGTGTTCAGATGGCCAATATGTCAAATTCTTCTGACCCCCTCGCTGGCATACTCCCTCCTCCTGCGGATGCCTCTGCAGTTCGGTCGAGTGTATCTAGTCTATTTGAACATATATCTCGCCACGTGGACAACTTTTATCGTGATGTCCACGCAAGTATTACGCCGAGTATGGAAGACGATATTTCCCGTTTCGGAAACTCGAGCACACCTATGGTAGACCTCCTGCAAGGCACATCTAGTCCAACTGTGGCCATCAAACATGCACTCACGGGATACGTTCTGGCCATCACGAGTCCCGAGACGGACGATGAGGAAACACTGTTCCCCAAGGAAATCGCAAGTGTGCCTACCGGTGCCGGAAAAGACAGATTACTCGAAACGCCTGGTAAGCGAATCCTAATTTGCCCCCCTACGTTTCGTTTGGTCGAAACATCATAGACTGACAAATTATATGAACAGATCTCACAGTTCCATATCTACTTCACCGTCGTCTTTCCAGCTATCTGCACAACTCAACCTCGCAGCACGGTTCCCAGGCCGCAACCAGCTCTTCGATCCGTGAAGCGGCGGAACACTTCGCACTCACGTTCTTCCCATGGGCGAACCCTGGCTGCAGTGACCAGGAAAGGGACGAGGACCTCGTGCAAATCATCCAGAGCTCGCTTGATACCATGATTTGGCTGTATGGCCAGCCATTCCTATATGACTTCATGTGGGAGGGCGTTGGCAGCAGGGGAATCATTGTTTCCCCTGGATTGGTGAAGCTTAGCGATGGTAGTGGCCGTGTAGTTAGGGAAGGTGAGAGGGGGGAGGTGCTGATTGAGCCCAAGGTAGTTGGGGCATGAGACACCTGTGGCATTGGGAAGGTGGCCGTTAGCTTTCTCTTAACCTGAATGACACATGGAAATTGCAATAGTATGCTCACCGGTTCACAACTAATAATTCTGATGAAGGAAAACGTCCGAAACTGTGAACTGCATCGTGGTACTCGTAGGTAGCAATCATAGCCTCAAGTCTGTGTGTTAAACGCAAAGATACCCAGACATTGAAATCCTCATATAATCCATAAACACGATGCTCAATTTCGCACATTGAGATTTGTACTACGCGTAGTAGTCCATGCTACGGAAATTCAATAGTCTGGTTTCGACTAGCCCCCTCAAAGCCGTATCTGCAAAGATGGTAGGGGCAATTGGTGACCCAGCACCACCTTTCGTACATATGAAAAAACACACATGAAAAAACACACATGAAAAAACACAAGAGAGACACAATGTCGCCACTCGAACGCCGTTGCTAAAATGCGATATAGTCCCTTTCCATGCAACGAGAAAATGTCATGATACTCCAGAATAATCATATCGTGTGCCCAGAAATCATTCGATGAATCCGTCAGAAGACGTAAGCCAAAGTGAAGAAAGCGGTCCCTTTATGGACGGTGGAATCAGAATGCAAAGATCACGCGACACAGCCGGTGCTCGGTTCTACATTACTGTGCAGTTCTCGTCGTGTTGCTTTTGGTTCGTCCTGCTCAGCCTCTCGCGACCCTTCTGTGCTTTGGCACCACCTCGTTTGAGCTCCTCTAGACGCTCCTGGGCCTTAGGGAATTTATATGCTGGTGTAGGGTTTAGCATTCGTCACTACATTCATGAACAGAGTTTGCATAACTTACAGGCTGCTCGACCGTACCATCTCTTTGCTTCCTCTAAGCTTCTCGGGCATCCTATGCCTACTTCTGTGAAGTAACCCATTGCGAAAAGGGCTTTGGAGAGGGGTGGCTCTGCGCATGCGGCTCGGCGTGCCCAAAGGTACGCTTCTGTATCGCTCTGCTCCAAGATTCCTTGACTTCCTGTCAAATACCAACCCGAGAGTGCAAGTTCGCTTTGATGTTCCTCTTGTGCTGCAGCCCGGGTGTACCAGCCAATACTAGATCTTGCGTCTACGGGGTAGCCAAGGAGTCCATACTCGAATGCTTGTCCCAAGCGGAATTGGGAGAACTTGTAACCCAGTTCGGCAGCTTGCATGAAGAGTTGTGCCGAATAGGATTCGTCACGAATGATCCGTTCGTTCCCTGTCTGGGCCTCGTATAATAGAGCCAGCTCATGTAAAGCATGGGGGTTTTGTTCGTCGGCACGGTCGGCGGCTCTCTTGAGCATATTGATGGCCTCACCAAGGTTCTTCTGCTGGCCGAGAAGACCCTTTAGCAGAATCATTCCCATTTTGTATAAAGCGGGAGTATCGCCCAGAGCAGCAGCACGGCGGTACCATTGCACAGCTTTCAGAGGATCTCTCTTGGTTCCACCTCCTTCTTCATGACCCATCTCGCAACAAACAGCGGTCCTGTAGGCACTTGCAGCATGGCCCGCCTTGGCTGCACTTTGATAGAGCACAAATGCCTCCTTTGTGTCGACCTGAAGCCCAAGCTGACCTGAACCGTAGCAGTCGGCGAGATAGAACATTGCATCGGGCGAGCCACCAGCCACCATCTTTTTCACCGTCTTATGAGCCTCAAATATGAACTTTTCACGATTCTTGTTCTTTGTCCTGTTGTCTGCCGTGCCACCCTCATCAGCGAGGACAGTTGCAGCTTCTACCAGCTTTTTGGCAAGTTGTATGCCAGTCGCGCTGTCCGAGGGATTGGCCTTCCATGTGTTTCGGAGTCGATTTAGTTCGTCGTGAGTGACAGGATGCGGTGCGGAAGGGCGACCTTTGGATGGCCCAGAACCTGGACGGCCGGTCGGTGTGGGGTCAGTGTGATATTGCCTGACTGGTGGTGGTCTCGCAGCTTGTGCTGGAACAGGATTTTGCTGCTGTTGAGGTTGCTGATTTAAGCCAGCGCGGACTGGGAGGGGGTGAGCCGGTAGAGCATCTGGATTAGACGAAGGTTGCGTTGTACCCGCTCTTCTTGGAACAGGATCCACAGGCATCCGAGTAGGAGCAGGCGCTGCTGTTCCAGGACGGGGTATGGCATTTCCGGAAACCATGGGAGATCCATTTCTCATAGGGTTGACGCCTGGTTCAGAATATGCTGTCGCCCCTGAATCTCCTCTATGGAACGGTGGCTGCTGCTGTGCAAATTTCGGGTCGAAATTTTGCCCTTGCCCAGGAGCATAGCCTTGAGGCGTAGGTCCTCTCCTGGGAGCAGGATCTTGCGGCAAACCTCGCATAGGTGGAGCTTTGCCCCTTGGTCCAGACGGTAGGCCATTCAGAATAGGGCGCTCTGTATTGGCTGCTGGCAGTGGAGGAACCGCAGGAGCATCACCTGCCATCTCATAAACGCCATTACCCTGGGAATATTGACTATGCAAGTCGGGCTGAGACCGACTCTTTGCAGCTTGTTGATAGAAGTCTGGTTGCTGGGTAGCCACACTGTCTGGCGTAGCATTTGCTGAAGGCACTGGTTGCATATCTGGCTGTGCTCCAACGGGCGAAAGATGATTATCAATAGAGAAACCTCTACGATGTCGGTTGCTCGTATCTGGAATCGCGTCAAAATTAGGCATGTCGATCGATGACGCATGGCTTTTCCTGTCCGATGGCGCATCCACTCCATAGTAATCATCGTACAAATTGTCTATGTCTCCGCGATTATCGTCTTGAGGTTGCAGATATTGTTGAGATTGCGGTTGCGGCTGCGGCTGCTGTTGTGGCAATGGTGGCAATGGTGGAATATTAGGCCTTGACGCATATTGATAGCCGTCATTCTTGGTGCCTGATGCGGTCGAGGGTCGTGGAGGAATGTAAGTTGGAGATTCGGGCCCATGGTATCCAGCTGCAGGTCCTGGATCTGCCCATCCTTGTGGATCGTTGTAAGCACCCGTGTTTACACCTTGCGATCGTTCTTGCGGCAATGTTTGAGCTCGTTGTATGTTGGGTCCAGGTCTTTGCTGTGAGGGCGATTCTGGGTTGAAAGGTCGCTGCTGGGGGACTCGCGATGTGTCTAGCGGCCCCGTAGGCGGTCTCTGCTGTGGATATCCTCGACCAGCGGGAGGTTGACGGCCCCGCCCGTTTCCTTCAAAGTGTCCAGAATCCTGCCTCTGCATGTCTGGGTTGGGATAACTTCCGCCTCTTCCTGGGGGTGGCCCTCGATGCTGGGGAGGTGGCCCTCGATTATGCGGTGGCGGGCCCATCATCCCTCGTCCTCTTCCCTGTGGAGGTCCTTGTGGCCTCCTTTGTGCGTCATCTTGTCCTAGGTTCATTAGAGACATTGCTTCATCCATTGATCCCGTTTTCGCTCGAGGGACAGGTTTTTGCGAAGGGAAGGTAGGGAAAGGGTTATCTTGAGAGAATGATTGTGGTGAGACTGGCGACATGAGTGCACGCTCGGTTCCTATTCATAATCAGCAAGTTGAGCTTAGAAGCAGATAATAGTGGTGGCCATACTCGGCGGTCTATGATCCGAATGGCCCTGCTGCAGATTTTGGGGACGTCTATCCCCTTGACCGCGCGAGTTATCCCGTTGCATTCCTCTTTCTGCTGGTCCTGGTCCTGGTGCCCCATTCGATCCGATCTGTCTGTTTCGCGGGTCGCCGCGGCCTTGAGGTTGTTGGTAACCACGGTCATCGAATCTCTGCTCTTGTGAATACTGATCATGAGGATGAGGCGGCCTCTGGCCCTGCGGAGGCTGGCCTCGATGTGCATTCATATCGTCATAGCCATCTTGCCGTTGCTGTGGCGGATACCCATTGCCATATCCACCACCCTGCTGTTGCTGTTGCTGTTGCTGCTGGTGCTGGTGGTGATCGTAATAGCCGTCGTCCCACTGCTCGTACTGTCCTTGGTCGTAGCCATAATCGTAGTCATATTGCTGATCGTTATACTGGCCATTATACGGGGCCTGTTGGTAGCCTCCAGGTTGGCGCGCGTGTCCTTGGTCGTATGACTGCTGGTATTGCTGGCGTTGTGGTTGCGGTGGTTGCTGGTAGTTGCGGTTATCGTACTGCTGATAAGCCATGGCGATGGAGGGGCGCGCAATGGGATCGCCAAAGCCACAGATGTGTGGAGGAGAAGCCTAGCGACGTAGCGATGACTTAAAGGTTTGTTGAGGGCGGGTCGGCCCCATTAACGGTCGCCTTTGGGGAGAAAGAAATTACAAGAAGCACAGACGAGCATTCCCTTCAGCAAGGGAAATGGGCGCGGGGGACAAGATGAAGGTGAAAAGGTAAAACGCTCGGGCTCACAGGGACGAGCACGAGCACACGAGTCGCAAAGGGAGTAGACGTACGACGGGCGTGCAGAATCGGGTTATGGAGAAAGGTTCCGAAACCGTGTTATGGCCCTGGAAGCTTAATGAAATAAGAAGACCTCCTCGTTTGATTACTTTGTGAAGTTGATGATGGAGCATTCTCCAAAAGCAATTTGTTAGTCGAGTCGAGGGAGCTGTCGTCCACTGACACGACCTGTCAGCTGCCCGTCGCCTTCCTTTCCCCTGCCAAGCGGAGAGGCGGGACAGGAACGGGTATACGGGTGTACGTAATTTATGGCCACTGGTGACTTGCAGACTTGCCAGACTACCTACACTATAGTTACACAGTAGGTGTTAGTTATCATCAGAGCTTCCCCCAAAGTGCAGACGGATTCGGAGAATTCTGGGCAGTCCAAGTGACGAGTCTGTGTGAGAGTCCGGGACCTTGTCGTGGGCGATGGAATTTCTGAAACAAAAAGTTCACAAGACCGACCTGCGACGGCGTTTCGGCCAGTCATCGCCCCCGTACACACTCGAGTGCAACAAGTCACAATTAACTATGTGATTGGTATTCAGTACTAGCAGTGTACGGAGTACTGTGTACGGGGCACTGAGGTGGCAATTGCTTGTGGTTCCCTTTCGCTCCAAGATACCTAATACCAGGTAGCACCCAGTTTATCAGGCTGGAAGCCTGCGCTAATTGATCACTCGTCTATCTGGGACAACGACAATCTTATGAAAGGGGCCAGTCAGAGATCATATCAGAAAGTGTTGTATGTGTTGTACGGAGTACTGCTGTAGCATGTAACAGTCAATGTGGTTACCGCTGTCGTCAGAAGAACGATGTCCACAAGACTCCTCGAGTCCTCGCCCCCCAACTCCTCAGAACGACTCTCCCTCGGTAACTGTGCACCGTGGGGTTCCGTTTCAGCCATGTACCTCTTTGGACCAACTGGTACGCGCATCAGGCAGAGACTGCGTGAGGAGAACGGAAGAGCCGCTGACGATCCCTTTCATGCAGGGGAGCCGCATACCATTCCCACTACGGGAGCCTACGCAGCCCCCAAAATAGAGCAAACCTTGCCTTGCCTTGCCATGCCTTGTCTTTGTTTCTACTGCACTTGAGCCTTAGGCTCGGGAGTCATGGCGCCGGGCAAGACACTGCCCGGGGTTTGCCGCCACAGAGAAATATCTTCGAGACCTTGTGGCAGTGGCCTCGTGGCGCATAGAGTCTATACTGTGGTTCCTCGTACCTTAGATACCTTCCTAGTAACTTGCTACATCTAGAGCCCGACGGACAATACCACAACATCAAAGATAGACTCATTCACTGATGTAATGATAGTGGTCAGATAGGAACGAACGGTAGGAACACAAACAGAAATGGGCATACGCATCTTGGTATTGCACAACACGTTGACCATGTGAATGGATTGTTTGATAAATTGCTTACGCCGCGAACGGATAGACGAACAACTACGGAAGATGGCAATTAACAGTGGTCGCCACACAACCCCCGGAAATAGAGCAAAGTACGCCTTACTCTTGGAAGTGACGCTTTCGTTATCAACTTTGTCCCGGAGGCGAAACTTTGAATTCGGTTGTAAGTGTGTGCTATTTCAATCTAGTGATGCTAGAGGTCGCATTCGAATCATGGGGTCTCAAAATTCCACACACGCTCACAGTAACCTATAATCGATCAATCGAAGAAATCACGATGTCGATCTCTAGTAGATACATGGAAGCCGCAGCATTATTACTCGTACTGTGATACTATGTGATGTTGAATCTGCTCTCTGTGGCTGACTAACGGGATACCATTCGCGCTAGTCTCGATGAGGTATACGCTAAATGGAATCGACCTCATCATCATCAAAGCCATCGCCATTCGACGACGGCGCCCATCCAAAACCGATCCAGCCTCACTGACTACCTTATTTCTACACTCTGGGGGCTATCAATTCAATCCCTACCTCTTGATTCTTCGTCACAGCAGGTCATCATGCCCAGCGTCGGGACATATGTGAAAGCCATCTCTGCGTACGTCTCCATCAAAAAACAAATTCCACTCAAGTCCCACTAAATCATTTCTCAGTGGCGCCGCAATATGCATAGGAGGCCCAGCATTCGTATACTACATATCCCCCACCGAAGAAGAAATCTTCAAGGTATGGCCTGCAACCTTTTCCACAGAGCATGAAGAGACGAAGCTTTGTTTCAGAGCACGTGCATGAGCATAAGCTACCACCGCCCCATGGCTGTCATGCCCTGAATATACCGACCCACATATATGCATGTAGATACTAACACAAATGTACAGAAGTACAATCCGGAATTGCAGAAGCGTGCACTTGCCAACCGAGAAGTACGGCAGCAGGAGTTCGATTCATTTGTGAATCATCTCAAGGAGGCGAGCAGGTCGGAGAAACCAAGTGAGCTCCACATTTATCTTGGGCGTCGTTCCTATTGGAATGCTCCTCGGGACTAACGATCATGACAGTTTGGATAGCGCAAAAGGAGATGGAGAAGAAGCTTTCGGAAGACCGAGCACAGCGCTTGAGGGATGAGCGAGAAAGCCTCGCTGCGGAGGCGGAACGAAGGCGTGCTGAGATAAGGGATAGCACCAAGTGACGGCAATGATATATCATTTTGTATAACAGATTTTTCATCACTCACTGTATTGTTTAAACATTCAAAGCACCCTGGGGTATGGCGTAGGATTGGCTTCGCGCAATAACAACAATTTCAATATTGTAGACGACTATAATCAAGAAATTGTACAATTCGGCCACGGAAGCTCACGCGATTAACCCGCGATCCTCTAGATATCCAGTCCTATTGAGCTTGTTGAAGAATGCTCATGTAACTATTCCAGCTGGTACCTGAACTCGGCTCAATCGAGTACATGTACGTTCCCCACCATGGGCCAGCAGCCCACCACAAGGCACCTTGCCAGACATCGGCGTTCTGTGCCATATAGTCTAGCATCCCCTTGATTGCAGTCTGGCACTGGCTGTTGGCACCACCCGCGAATTCGCCAATGAATCCGACCTTCTTGTTCGTCCGAAGCCACTCCGTGGCAGCTTGGATACGTTCCTTTCCGATGGTGGAAGACACGCATTCGGCATGAGTGCCGCTACCGTCACTATCGAGATATTGATGCATCTGATAGACAAGGAGGTTGTTGGGGTCGGTGAGGGCACCCATCGTAGCGCCGTTCTGGCTGGAGGTCCAGGTCCAGGCGCCGTTCCAGTTGTTTCCCTCAACGTGGATGTACTGCTTAGTGGCGCCTGCAGAGCGAATTCCGTTGATACCGGCTTGGTTCAATTTGACCACAAGGTCTTGGTCCATATCATGAACTATGGGTTATTAGTATCTTTGCAACCATCATTCACATTGATCAGGTAACCTTACATTCATTGTTGGTGTCGAAGATGACATATGAGTTGTCCTTAAAGGGCGTAGCAAGTGTCTTCCAGAACTTTTCAAAGCCAGAGACATCTGTGATGATATTTCCATAGTAACGCCCATAGTTATGGGGCACGATCATAGCGTATGCCTTCTTATTCGTAATGTATTTGACAGTCTAGGAATTTATTAAGAACCATCATATGTAGGGATTGAGCGAGTCACACTTACATCGTCCAGATCTTTGAAATATGCTGAATCGAGTCCACCAGTCTGTTGGTTCGGGACTACACGTTCCGCCAGAATGTTGATGCGGAAGGTGTTGAAACCTTTGCTGATGAATTGCTAGCCACAATGAGCAGGATATCTGCTAGTCTATGGAAAGGGAAAGTTACATCGATGGTGCTAGTGGTGGGCCATATGTAGTCTTTGCCCTTCAATCCAGGAAAGTTCTTCTCTCCGAACTCAGGGCCACTTTCGTTGACACCAAAGACTGATGATTGTGAGATCATATCAGATGGAATAGGAGTTGTGATACGAACACTTAAACTTGGTAACACGCTTGCTCTTTACAGGAGCTGCAACAGCAAGCCCTGCTGTGACTGCTACGAGCAAGGCAGAAAAGAAACGCATAGTGGACGCTGATGAACACAGTGATAACAATCAGGAAGGATAGTGAAAAGTAGCCAACATCTACAGCTATCGTGGATTGAGACTTGATATATGGCCCGGTAGCTTCTCCTATTACCGCCATCAGGCCTGGATTCCAAAGATTCCAGACCCAGATAATGTCAAGTTGGTAGCACGTTCAGCGGAACTGTGTGCCCGTCGGCTGAAGACTGGCGGCATCCATATTGGCTAGCTTGTATCGAAAAGTGAAGGCTTGTTGTGTCTTGTTAGTTAGAAGCACCGAAACATCAATCGGAGAAGCACCTCAGGAAAAGAGCTTGTATGTGAGCTTTGGCAGCGTCTCTTGATCTTCCGTGCATGCCGAATCCCGCATATGAACGATGTGGAGGTTTATATTGAAACGCTGCCACGCCATGCTGAACAAAGAAGAAAAGCAGCCAAGGCTTGACCTATCAGTGGCCGGAAAAGGATTAATTAGTTCTACAGGCCACGGAGAGTTTCTATAAAATATATTGCAATAGATGGCGAGTCGGAGAAGGTTGCTCCGTAGCATGGATTTGGTTAGACTCGGTAGCTAGGTGAATTGCTCCTGCAAGAGGAACCAAGAAGTGGGGAAATGGGTGTGAGAAGGGCCTGATATTCATGTAAGGGTAATTGTCTTCGTGAAAGATGTAGGAGAAGTTCATTGGGCTGAGTGGTAAGTACCTAACGGGATCGTGTAGATGTCTTCTGTGGGGACCTACCCAAACGGGTCGCCTCGAAGCAGGTGACTACGTGGGACCGAGACGCGACGGCAGGTCGGGATGTCCGTCACATTTTCCCGCACGTCACCACCCCAACCCCACACCAGAGGTTCAAACTCTCGGTCAACATCCTCCCCAATGCCCAGCGATGAGAATGCTCCCGTAAAATTATCTCTGCCGCTAGTAAGTACGCGACGCCGCTGCTTCAAGACCTCCTCTGATGATGACAGGAATTCCAGCAGGATATCTTCAAGGAATTGCGCGATGAAGACGAGCTCGTCCTTCTTGCCCGCGGCCTCGGCTTGCTGCGCATCGTCACCAACCTTCTCCACTCGTACGATGCCGCTGGTAATAACTTGATTCTTTTGGTGGGAGCCGACGAACGTGAAAATGTTTGGATAGGCGAAGCTCTCGCTGAGCATGCTGCGGTCAGCATGTCGCCCAAAGCGAGAGGCTTAAGTCTGGTCAATACAGACTTGATGAGTGTTGGAACTCGCGAGAAGATGTATGCACAAGGAGGAATTTTCAGCATCACTTCTCGCATTTTGATTGTCGATTTCCTTTCAAGCCTGCTGAATCCGGAGACGGTCACTGGCGTGGTAGTGTTGCACGCCGAGAAGGTCATCGCAACCTCGCTAGAGGCATTTATCCTACGAATATATCGGCAGAAGAACAAGGTGGGGTTTTTGAAGGCCTTCTCCGATAGCCCTGAGCCCTTCACAACCGGCTACTCACCTTTGGCCAACATGATGAAGAATCTATTCCTTCAAAAACCTGCTTTGTACCCACGATTCCATGTTACAGTGGCCAGCTCACTAGAGGGACGGAAGAAAGCCGAGGTTATCGAGTTGGAAGTCCCAATGACGGAGGCAATGAGAGATATACAAAATGCGGTTCTCGAATGCGTTGAGGCTAGCATTAGTGAGCTGAGAAAGAGTAATGCTGGCATCGAGATGGAAGACTGGACTTTGGACAGTGCTCTACACAAGAATTTCGACACGATGGTCAGGAGACAATTGGATCCAGTCTGGCACCGAACTACCTTCAAGACACGTCAAGTCGTTCGAGACCTGACTCTGCTAAGGACCATACTGCACGCCCTTCTTACTTATGATGCTGTTGACTTCAACAAGTACCTTGACACAGTTCTAGCAGCTTCACAACCACCCCCAGGGTCTACCAAGCATAATCAGTCACCATGGCTGTTTCTTGATGCTGCAGAAACCATTTTTACCACAGCAAAACGGCGCGTCTACTCTGGCAAGGTGTCAAATGCAGATTCCGGCAACGGGCCAGAGTCGATGCAGCCAGTGCTAGAAGAACTTCCAAAATGGGCACAGCTAGCCGAAATCCTAGAGGAAATCGAGCAAGACGCATATTTCAATCCAACACCCCAAGATGGGTCGAACGGCTCGATTTTGATCATGTGCGGAGACCAAGGAACATGTCGCCAATTACGGGAATACCTCCAAGTCATGTACGCGCAGCCAGAGGGCACAAAACGCGGTGAACAGGACGAAGATGGCCCGTCAGCATCTTTCATGATGCGTCGCAAGCTGCGCCATTATCTTGGTTGGAAACGTGATTTCAGTAATGTTAGTGCGGCGCTCTTCTCCGAGAATCAAAAGGCGATAAACGGAAGCACGGAACAGCGTGTTCAAAGCGGCAAATCAAATAGAGCACCACCAAACAAGAGACGCAGAGTTCGCGGTGGTGGTGCACCCGGGGGTTCTACAAGGTCTGAAAATGGCGCCATGCGAACGGCTGGTGACCGCGATGCCCACATCGCGAGTCTCATGGCGGAACTACAACCCACAGAAGCTGAGACAATGCAAAAAGGAGAAATTGGACTTGACCCACTCGACAATATGGAGGACTACTACGACTTGTTCGATTTGAATGAGCTCATAGTTATACACCCATATGAAGGTGATATGGACGAACACGTCCTCGAAGAGACGAAACCGCGATACATCATTATGTATGAGCCTGATGCAGCCTTCATCCGACGAGTAGAGGTGTATCGTTCCTCTCACACTGATAGAACGGTCAAGGTTTTCTTCATGTATTACGGTGGTAGTGTAGAGGAACAGCGCTATCTGTCCGCCGTGCGGCGCGAAAAGGACGCATTCACTCGCCTTATCAGAGAGCGTGGAAACATGGCATTAACCATATCCACCTCCAACCTCGATCCCCAAGAGTCCTTTCTTCGGACGATCAATACGAGGATCGCAGGAGGTGGTCGACTAATCGCAACTGAGCAACCACCTCGCGTCGTCGTGGACGTGCGAGAATTCCGCTCTTCACTTCCGTCCTTACTACACGGTCGAAGCATCGTTGTCGTTCCCTGTATGCTCACAGTTGGTGACTACGTCCTCACGCCTCACATTTGCATCGAGAGAAAGTCCGTCCGCGATCTTATCGGCTCCTTTTCCAACGGACGCCTTTACAATCAAGTTGAATCGATGATGGAGCACTATAAATCTCCTATGCTCCTTATCGAGTTCGATCAGAACAAGTCATTTACTCTTGAACCCTTCTCCGACATGTCGATGCCAACAACAACCTCGGGTTTGTCGGTGGCGCCGGACTTGCAGGCCAAACTTGTGATGTTAACACTTGCTTTTCCTCGCCTAAAGATCATCTGGTCCTCATCCCCATACCAGACGGCAGAGATATTCTCGGAACTCAAGAAACAACAAGACGAGCCAGATCCACTGAAAGCAGTGCAGACTGGCCTTGATCCGAATATGGCGGGAGAGGAGATGCGGAGTTTCAACCAGGTTACGCAAGATATGTTGAGGACGATCCCTGGCGTCACGGAAAGCATAGTGATCAAGATCGTTCTAGAATGTCAAAACCTGCTGGAATTCGTTAACATGGAGGAAAAAGAGATATGTAATCTCGTAGGAACACAGGCCGGCAGGCGGATCTATAGGTTCTTTAATCGTAGCGTTTATGAGGATGTCGCTGTTCCAGGACTCGGAACTTAGAATGACACTCTATTTACGTTGGATTCATCAACGAAAGCGTCAAGATATGGCTGCAAACCGTTTGAGAATTAGTCCTTAAGAAACTAACAACCGTGCATGGGGTATCTCTATCTGTTGTCGTCATATTGCCGCTTTGGCATGGTAGCAGTGCCTTCGCGCCGAGATATTACATGCTTGCCCAAGAGTGCTTTTGAAGTGTGAAAGAAGTGAAGAGGAAAAGAAATCCACCAATACCCGTCCGCCCGCTTGCAATGGTGCGCATTTGAGCCGTGCCAGCCCTCCACGCGCGAAGCGATGTCTGCCGGCAGGGCAGAAGACTGGCACAGCATGGCGGACCCGTAGCCCCTCAAATATCGTCAATGTCCACCTCCTTGCCGTCACCCTCGTCGCTGGAGTCGCGGTCGTCGTTGTCGAATTCGAAACCAATACCTTCATCGCCTTGGTCGCCGTAAGTGTCGGTCTCGTTGATCTTTGCGTTCTCGGGAAGTTCGCCATAGGCTTTCAGACTACGTGCCTCATCGGCAGAGTACTTGAGGATAACGTCGCCTTTCTCGTCTTGGTAGTCGCGGAGGGAAAGAAGAATGATATCTCCTTGGTTGATCCAGACCTTCTTCCTCAGCTTGCCTCGGATATGTGCCAATCGTCGCGCGCCGTCAAAGCACTGTGCCTCGAGACGTCCGTTACCAAGCATCTTGATGACTTGTGCGTACTCCTGGCCCCTACAAACAGCAAGGCGTCAGCATGAATCGTAGGCAGCAGACATCGACATCGTCGACCAGAACACACGAGCAAAGGAGGGGGGCCACATACTCTTCCTTGAAGGTCAACTCGCGCTTCTCATTATCGTTCTCGTTCTTGCCCCTTCTTCGGTTCTTGCCACCTGGACTTGAGATTAGTATGGAATCCACTCGTGTCAAAGAACCCCGTCATTTCGAAGGTGGCGGGGTAGTGGGGTGTAGGACGGGGCGCGTAGAACCTACCCTTTCCCTTATTCTTAGGCATGACTGGTTACTTTGTGAAGTTGTTGATATGTGTGATTTGTGTGGGGTTGATTTAAGCGTGGAGTGACTCGACAGGTGGGCGGGTTGCGCTGAGTATTTAACGACTTTGAATGTTGGTGAGGCAAGATTAAACTTTGGTGGGCGAAAACAAAACGAGCCCAACCAAATCTAGCTAGCGCCGCCTTGTCCATGATTTGGTTCAAGAACCATCACTGCATCTTTTTTTAGAGGCAAAGTGATATCAGTCCCCATCGTACTACAACTTGCACGATATATGTCCATCAAATGGACAAGTTCCTAACCGTTTTCGACTGCCAATGATAACGGGTTTGTTCAATCCTCTATGGCGCCGCGCGATCATACACGCAAACTCCTATCTCAGCAGAACTATCGCTTCTTCAAGCTGCAGTACTCCGCGTCCTATTCACCGTTCATACAGAGCCCTATACTGAGCGATTTCAAACACCCCTTACACCCTCTCCTTAAACGAACCGAAGAGCAACGGGAGGGAAAAGGTCTTTGGTGGCACGTCACCACGAATTTCGAGTCGTCGAAAACGAAGGTCGTTCGATCATGGTTGCGCCGGCGATTACACAATGCGTTTCTAGAGGAATTGAAAGAACGGGATATCACTGAGGATGGTACAATATTGCGTATGAGCGATCATCTCAAGGGTCTCTCGGGGCTGCAGAAGGCATTAGAAGCGGGCCAAGTAGTTACCCTCACGGGCTCGATCAGGATGCAAGCTCAGAACACACTTGTGACAGCCAAATATGCAGAGGTGAGAAAGGAGACGGGAAGTCTTGTGGATGCACTTTTGAAAATTAGGAATTCCACCCTTCCTCGATCGCCTCAGCAAGCAACCAAAAGAGGACCCCAGACACAAGGGGGCAAAGTACCTCCTTCAAAACAGCTGTTCGGGTCAATTATGCCAGTTGCTACCCATCCAGCACGGAAAAGCGCCGACGAAAACATGAAATGATGACAGGTGGGCATTCACGTAACGTCAAATATTACGCTTGCCATTGTTAGAGCAATGGGGCGTATAATGAATACTAGTGCCCAATTTAGCCTTTTACGCTCATATCGTCGTGCTACCAACTTTCATATACTAGTTATAGGCATGATACCCTCAGGAAAGGTGCTGAAGCGTGGGCACTGTACCGTACATAAATTTGACAGCATACAAGATAGAAGACCACAAGAGAAATAACACGATAATAATTTAATATTAAAAAAAAGCAGGTACATGATATGTATAAGCAATACCATCTACGTTCATTCTTACTGTGTCAGAGCAATGTCATGTGGTGCAACTTTGAGTTCACTTTCCATGATTCATCTGAAGGGCATCTGACCCCCTCCTAGGCGCTGTGCTGGTACTTCCGCTTGGAAGATCTATTCAGTCGAGCTGTTGACGAAAGAATGCTGGATTTGTACTATACAATACTATTCCTGAAACATCTTAATATATCCACAAGGAGGTGTAAGAAAGCCATTGATGAGATTATCAATTTTCATCTACCTATAAAGATTATATGAATCTTCAACACGCCATCCCGAAATTCCATTCCGGTGAATGAGAAAAACGCTTAAAACCTCTTCCCTATACAATTAGAGAGCTTAATACCCCAGATATGTCGTCACAGCTCGGATTTATCAATAGTCTCATCAAGAGGCCTCCTACCCCTTGCAAACAGAATAGTCCTCCAGAGCTTCTTCCCTGCAAACTGCATATAAACCCTCTCCTTCATAGTGATAACATCCACATCAACAAGTCCAGCATCGGTGAAGAATTTCTTCACACCCTCGATTGTGAAAGACGGTACAACAATCGAGTTACTCATGACCTTTGTCGATGCCCCCGCAACGCCATGCTCCATTCTTTCCTTGTCTTCCTTGTGGTCGATTTTATCATGGTGATGGTGGTGATCATGATGTTGATGACCGTGAGAATGCTTAGAATCGTGGCCTTTGCTGTGGCCAGAGTGGTCGTGGTAATGAATGTGACCGGTATGATCGCCTTCTGAAGCTGGGATTGGATTTCCCTCTTCGTCTGCCTTCAAATCACCTCCCTCTAAGAAGTCAGTAATGATAAGAACGCCCCCAGGCCTGAGACGCTCCTTCAGACGTCGCGCAGACTCTGTGACATCCTCAAAGTGATGAAAGCCGAACCCGACCGTTGCAAGATCAAAGTTGTGGTACTCTGGCTTTTGCAGCTCGCTTGATTGCTCATCAGAAAAAATGTTTCCAAGGACAGCTTTGATCTTGGATTCGGGTAGCTCTGCCGCCTGGGCCCTCGCATTGTATGTAGCGACCATGTTTGGCGCGATGTCGATTCCACGGGTGACAGTGACATAGGGAGCAAATATGCGAGACATCAACCCAGGTCCGCAAGCATAGTCCAGGAGACTGATTCCATTGGAAGACGATCCAGAGACTTCGGTAAACGGAAGGCCGACCCAATCAAGGTGTTCGTGAATAAAAGCTGTCGTCTGGTTGTTGACCTTGGCAAACCAAGGTTTGCTATCGTAGGCATCGGCAATGAGGCTTAAAGGGCGTCAGTACAGGATTGAATGAGAACTGGGTAGTCCAACATACTCGAAATATTTTTTATTTGCCTCCGCGAGCGACATGATGAAAGGCAAAAGCAAGCAGCAACGACGGAAGAATTTGGATATGAAAAAGGCTTCTTTGGAGCTATATGGCTGAAATGTGATTTTGGTCGGTGTGATGAGGAACTGTTGATCTAATGACCTGAATTTGACTCTGCATGCGCCCTTTATAGCCTTGATCAATAGAAGTATGTGAAGTCGTGATTCAATGTTGCCTACTACATTGATTCTCTCAAGTCGCCGGTCGTCTCGGAGAGTTTTGCTGATTGGCTGAAATGGCTCCGCGTATGGCCAGGGCCAACCTCGTCCATACTTGTTCTGGGTTTGGCTTATTGATCAATATGTTGCGCATTTGTCCGCGCCGGACGATGTACACATCAGCTAAACAGAGGAATATACCGTGTTGACTATGGCGTTTCGATGATTTGAGAAGATTCGGTCTCTGCTATCAGAGCACGTTGCCTAGCAAGTCCTTCTTCCCGTTTTCTTTGTCTCCGAAGTTCCGGATCCTCCCAACTCAGCTTAGATGATTTGGTTTTAGAACGCAAACCACACGAATCTGCTTCTGGTTCGTATTGCTCCAGGAGAGCCTTGCGAAACCGTGCTATCCTGTCCATGTTCGTCTTGAATCGCTCATTTGCGATGTTGAACATGGCGCGGAGATATGCCTCGTCCACCATGGCAACGTTCTCGTCATGTTCATTCTGATACCCAACAATTGTATCGAATGAATATCCAGCCGAGCGAACGGCAACCATAGGGTTCGACTCTCCCAGCTTCGTGGGGTTCAAGCTCACTGCACCGCTTTCCCGAAAGCCTGCACTTAGCGATGCCGATGTGACTCGTTGAGCGTGGTCAATTGATGCTGTCAAGATGTGCAAGATCTAAGCTACTTTTCAACGATGTTCTAGATGGTCCTGTGATAGTAATACATACCATGGGCTCGAACTTAACATGAATGTAACTGCAGTTGGAGCTGGGCTTCTGCATGGGAGAACTAGGTACAGATAGATTGAGCAAAGACATGAGATTGGAATCTTGGTCAAATTTTGACATGTCGACGGGTTCATGGGATATGAAAAGCCATGAACCTCCGCCTTTGCCTCCGGGTCCAGCGTTAGCACTTGGTGCACTGAGATCCTTGAGGTCTTCTGTTGATTCTGTTGACGTGGTGCCCTTTTTCTTTCCTTCAAGAAAAACACTGACTCGTCCTGAGCAGCTGCTAGTAGTTACCAGGCCATCCAAGCGATTGATATCAGATATCAAAGGTCGTATTGGCTCATCCACCGACCCTTTGGGGGAGAGATCATGATACTCGCCTTCGGGTACACCAAGCTGTCCCAGAATCTGACGTTTCTTCGTCTCGAAACGAGTTTGCGCAGCCATGGTTGTACTATTGGCGGTGATACATACCCTTAACCTGCAGATGAAATGAGCCTGAATTTTGGTGTATCTGTGTTAACGCGAGCTAGCGCGGAGACCTGGACTAACGTCATGAAAGCTAACGGTCCGTGCACATGTATGACTGGGGAAGCAATGGCAACGTCCAACCATAAACAAATGGATCAACGCGTCTATCGAGTTGCAACACGACAAAATGGCGAGACCATCGGCTAGAACTACTGCAGCTTCGGGCGCAAGGAGTACATCCAAGCGTCCGGCACCTGAAAAGGCCACCCCTACTCGCCAATCGAAGAGAAGTAGGACCACTCCTGCGAAGCACACGTATGCTGAGCCAGATTCCAATGAAGACGAAAATGACAAGTCTACTTCTTCCGATGAGGGAAATGAAGACGATAGTGGTTCTGACTTCTCGGATGGCGATGCCGAGGACCCCACGCCTGAGTCACCATCTGAGGTCACAGATAGCGACGATAATGTTACAACACCGCAAACATCTGGCCGGGGACAACGTGCAAAGCATGCAAAGCAGATTTCTCTTCCCGTACACAAGAAGAAATCTAAAGAGAAAGAGCTGTGGGAGCCAGGGTCTAGACTCGAAGTCGGAACACAAGTCATCATCAAGAAGCCAAAAGCAAGGGAAGCAGGAGATACACCATACACAGATCATTCGATTCATCCAAACACGATGCTCTTCCTGCGGGATATTGCCGCCAACAACGATCGACAGTGGCTCAAATGTAAGGAAATTTCTGTTTTGTCATAGTTCTTAGCCTTCCCGAGTGAGTCTTGTGCATGAGGGTAGGCCTTCGATGATACTATTGCGTTTGATCATCCCTTTTCACATGCATCTATAGCTAACGAGCGGCTTCAGTGCATGATCCCGATTATCGAATGGCCCTCCAAGATTTCAACAGCTTTCTTGAGAAGCTCACCGATCAAATCACTTCTATAGACGAGACTATTCCAGAGTTACCAGTCAAAGACATTGTGTGCATATTGAATCTCTGTGAAGAATATAGGAAGAGCTAACACAGAGCAGATCTTCCGTATCTATCGGGGTGGGTACTTCTGGATTGTCCAGATGAATGATTAGACTAAGGAATATAGATGTTCGATTTTCAAAAGATCAGACTCCATACAAGGTAAGTTCGCAAGACCCAACTGTGCGGCTTCGATATTTAGTCGAGTGTTTCTGGATGTTTTAAAGAATTGATTGGTGGACGTAGACGCATTTCTCTGCTGCTTGGTCACGAACAGGCCGTAAGGGGCCTTATGCTGCCTACTATGTACAGGTGAAACCTGGTGGTGGGAGTTTTGTTGGTGAGTGACTTTATCTTTTCGTCCTCTATGACACGCATTTTACCACGGACGAGCCTCGCAATCCAAATTACTGGAGCTCAACCGCGGTGGAGTATGGTGGCAATTAAGTGTACATGTCGGTCTACACCGCCGATCCAGTAAGAACCTCATTCGTAGGGAATCACGAAGTCTGTGAAACTTTGGCAGCATGGGGGTAGCAAACAGCACCTCCGTTATCTCGATACCCAGACCGAAGGAAACATGTACCTGAAGCCGCTGTTTCGTGGCGAACAAATATTTGGTTATACGGCATATCCAACCCAATCTTTCGCCGTCTAGGCCGCATGGCTTCACGTCGCCACTTCATGGTATTCAGTCATGCTAGAGAACCTTGCCAAGCGCTTTTCGTCAAGACGCTGCACATCGTCGTACACATTTATGCAGATCAAAGCTAACAGTTTTGGTAGGAGGGGGGCTATGGCAACCCGAAGCCAATGCGCTGAGTCTCATTCGGCGTGACATCGATCGAAAGCCTCACAAGATCAAACGTGTTTTGAATAACCCGGGGGTTCGAAAGGCATTCTTCGGCGGTATCGGGGATGGCGAGAAGAAAGCTGTGGAGGCATTTGTCAACCAAAGCTCGAATAAGGAAACTGCGCTCAAGAACCACCCTAAAGTAAGTGGTCTATCTCGTTTGACCTGTTTTGAATCGTACCTGCCACACAAGCATGCAACAGTGAAGCTTGTCCGTCCACATGGATGACTTCCAGTCATTCTAGACAAGTCCCCACATTGAGGCTCCCTGATGAATGTGGGTCAATCTGTCCTAAGCAATTTCACACACAACGAGATTTGCAGTGTGGCCGATTGTAGCATGCATCATGACGGAGAACTTCACAAAATGTAATAAGTCGAAGGTATCTTCTCATAGCGGAGAGTGCGGTCACATCCGCTGGATACGGAACGGATCATCTTAAGCGGGGACGGGGAATGTTCTTGCATTCCAGCAGGAATATATGGACCCCGCGCCAGCCTATTCAACGAACACTATGTACTCGGTGAAAGAACCGTGGAGAGCGTCCTTCTTCCGTCACTCGTTCAGATACGTAAAGCACTATTGGATAACCAGATCCAGTCCTTGCTAGTCAGGCAGATCTGTTGGTCGAATACTGTGGCACTCATTAGATAGGGTTGAACTGGTTCTTTTCGACTAGTTTACAGTAGCAAAGTAACACCACAGACGGACAGCAACCGGTGAAGGGCCGGCTGAATAGCAGCGATGCCAGGGTCTGGCTCACCGTTTTCATGCTGGGTCACCTCTACCACCTGTCCCTTCAGGGCGGCAACTGTATCTGATATGGATTGACCCCACCACAAGGACAACCAAGACATAGGCGTCATAGTCATACGGTGGATGTCTCATGAATTGCATGTATCATCATTGATGCAGGAAGAAATGTTCCGATATTGCAGGCAGACAATTCTTGGACAATGTCAGTGGTTGGAACAAAGTAGCTGATGAATGGGCCCTAGGGATACGAAAAAGACCACAAGGACATCGAACTCCTTCGTCTCCGAAGTTTCACACTTGGCACCCGATTGCCTGACCATGAGATCGTAGGCGCGAAGGGCCTGGACCGCATTGTTCAGCTGGTCGGCGATATGGTACCCTTTGTAAGTTTTTTCTTCTCACCCTTCTCCCTTGGGCCTCGGGGATCCTTCCATTCTTTCTTCTTTGTCCTAGGCAGTCGTTAGCCCGAGTATCCAGGGACGGGTACCATCCATCTGCACTGAGGAGCGGCGCGAGGCCCGACGCCCATGGCGGACGGAAAGGACGCGGGAAGTGGAATCTCAGGGAGCGCAAATCGCTCTGGCTCTCGAAAGCTGGCATGCACAATGACCCCTGGTGCAACGAGAGGCGATACGACGCAAACCTACGTACATCGTTGTGTCTGCATCCTTGACGAAAAGACCAACGGGGTGTTGTGTTGGTTCTGCTCGGGCAATTTACGTGCAATGAGCTGCGGCGCGAGAGGGTCATATTTGCATTTTGCATCATTCGGGACACACTTGTGGGATAGTGCCGCCGTACCTCCCGTCCATCGTGCTTTAGGATATTCGAAGGACGAGACCGCCCGGCGCTAACTTTGCGAGGCAGATCACCTATCTCAACAGCGTCGTCATGCCTGACGAGGAGACTGACGATTCAGACGACTCCAATGGCGAGGAGGATGAAGAGGATGAGGATGTGGAAGCAGATGATTAGGACTAGCGGGGCTTTGGTAAGGGAAGGGACAGCCAGAACTGAAAAGAATATTGAGCCATTGGAGAGAACAGGGGAGAGAACAGTACATCAGATTAGGCGGGAGTATTTACAGTATGCTTGGATTTGATTTGATTTGATTTGGTCTAATTTCTTTTTTTGTTCATCCACCCATTTATCAAGGACCATGCGAGGTAGAGAAAGCCTTGTCAGTATGCATTTCCTGACACGAAACAGGCGTCCAGAACATGTTACCTCAATACACAATAGATTAGCCAGAATTCTATCTGTCTTGTTCGGCATAAGAGTTGGTTTTCCTCATCGGTGAGGAATGATAGAATATCCATTGGTGGGAATTATTGGAGGGAAAGATGAAAGTATAAATTCCCGATCCGTACCAAGTTTATGCCGGTACGGGGCGTAAAAGGTGATGTCTTATATGCAAGTACCTGGCGAGAGGCGATTGAGGTCTTGGGCGCATAGCAGAAAACGCAAAAGGGGATTCTCGCTCTTGCGAAGCCCCGGCCCCACGGGCCTGAGAGATTTTGCGGTTAACACAGCAAGGGATAGGAAATTGGCTGGAGCTGCCTCGGTCGTTAGTGAATGAGCTTGCTAGCAAGGGGAGAACACTCTCGACCGCTTCAAGCGCGCGCCGGGTGCTGGACGAAGATCCAATGGGAAGAGACAGCGGCGGCAAGCGGCAGGATGTGAGATTTTGGGAACGGGATTGGGATCTGAGGAGCAAGGTGTGTAGGGTATTGCTGTGTCCGTGTTGGGATGCTCGCTGAATGCGGTTGTAAGATGATGAGGGGAGGGAGGGGTGTGTCGGTAGTGGCGCTGACTGGCGCATATAGCGGAAGAAAGGACGATGCCAGACAGTGCACGACAAGGGCTTGAAATGTGTAGACTTTTGGGGTTTGTATTGCGTGTGTTCTGTAGTGTTTCATGTATGGTGTGTATGGAAATATGTGAAGACGGGCATAGGTAGGAGGCACGGATGAGGCACGGATAGTTGGAGTTGTTAGTGGACTGTCAATACAGACGAGAAAGATGTAAGTTCGAGTACATCAGGCAGCCATGAGAAGATGGCTAAAAAGACATCTGAACTAATAGTCGTAGTATGGCTGGAAGAAAGATAGACTAGACTGGTCATTTGGACAGTAACAAGAATGTCAGCTTTGAGGGAAGGGTACAACGATGGTGAACGGTAAGAGCAAGGAATCGTGGCACCTGTGCTACCGTAGTCGAGTGTATGATTGTAGCTGACAGTCGAGTCGAGTCGAGCCGTAAGTAAGTAAGTAAAAAAAAAGTTGAGCAATTAGCTTGATGGTGGTGGTGGTGATGATGGTGGTGATGATGGTGATGATGATGGTGATGGTGGTGGTGTGGAGTGGTATGGTATGGTATGGTATGTGTTGTTAACCTAACCTACCCATGCCATGCCATGCTACCTAAGAAAGTCTGAACGGCGCAAAACGTTAGTCGCTCCACTCACAGCGCACGCTTAGATAGCACGACACACGCCATGCATACGGATTCAGTCATGTGACGAGCTAAAACGTGGTGCACGGCTCGAATGTGAGCTAAAACGGGTAAGGCCCGGACAGGGGCGGCCTCCGAGAGACAACCCACAAATGCCACAAACCATCATCTCCCCTCTCGACTCTCTCTCTCTCCCTTCATTTTTTCCCTCCCTTTCCTTCCCAGTGAATGATCCGTCCTTGATCCAACCCGTCTCGCGCTATGCTCATAGCAATGCTACTACGACGTGTCTAATTGATGACTACTGTACGGTCCACGATGCCGTATAGTGCATGTACGGTCCACATACACTAGAAATGTGCCTTCTCCGTGGACCGTATGTATCCCATTGTACCGACACAGGTTACAGGTACATTTCAGACGGCCCGCCTTTACTGCCCGTCCCCATGCTGCTGCTCCTCATGCTAATGATGCCGCTAATTCGGACTTCTGTGCTGTGTAGAACGTCTGTTTTCAGTAAACAGCCACAGCCTCTTCCCATCGCCAGCAGACGATGTCTTGTGTACAAGTAATCATGCTCCCACTCTTGTCGGCTGATTCATTAGGCTGCCCAGCTGCCCTTACCATTCTGATTCTGTTGTCTTGTTGGCTCGCTCGATATGCTAGCTTTTCTTCCCTACTGGCATTGTCCTTGTCTGGCCTTCCAACACCCCACACCCACACAGTGGCACACACACACACACACACACACGATACGCACACAACGAAACGAACAATAATCGGTGCGCCTCCACCTTGAGTCCACTCCAATCCCAACCCTCCGCCCGTCCAAACGAACCCATCGAAGCGAAGCGAGGGCGACGACGCCTTTTTTCTTTCTTTCCTTCCCGCCCATGCATCTCATTTGTCGATCGCTAGCTGTATCCCAACGTTTGTTCTGCCCCCTTTTCGTGCCACACACCCTTCTTCGCTCTCGTCATCGCCTTCGTCACCATCATTTCACGGTGCCTCCGCCTTTGCCTCCGTCTTCGCAATGATCCGCATCTACCCTCCAGTTGCCGTGACTCCAGCAGCAGTACAAGCTGAAACATGCCATGCTTACTCTTCCCTGGGGCAAGGACAGCGCATCATCCTCCCTCCGCACACGCCGGGGTCCTCTGCCGAGACTGAGATTGATTGTTCCGATCAGCTGCTCCCCACAGCCTGTACCCTGGTCTTCCCAGGCCTGTAAGTCACAGCAGGCCGCGACGGGCCGGGGCGCTCACTCGTTCGAGCGCATGGGTGCGATGGACTGTCCGCCTAGCATGGCCCACTCTCTCGCTCCCAGCCTGGATGCACTGTACTGTGCTGTGCTGTGCCGTGCTGTGCTCTGTCCAGTGCATGGCTGCTCCATATCCGCTACTTTCCTATTAGTTCTGCTACTTGCTTGACCGGCCGCACGTCTTGCAACACCCATGCACACTACTTCACACTGAACGGCAATAATTGCCAGCCCATCCGATCCACGTTCATACTTACCTACACAGGTGACAGTAGGTCATTCGCCTAATATGTATCTATCGATTGTGCTGCGTGTATCTCATCATCATCGGCTCGGCTCTCGGCCTTGCATCAGTTTTGCAACCACATCAGGCCCACGCTGGGCAATGTGCAATGTCCAACAATTCCAGCTTCGTACACTCTGTGGAGCGCCTACTGACCCCACGCCAGCGCGCTTCCTTCGGGCATGTTCGAAAACGGCGGTGTGTTTGCTGCTAAATTTGCGCCAGGCGCGTCTCTCATCCTTCTCCATGCTATCTGTCACACCGATCACTGCTTGCAATTAACCCGTTGTAGTAATAGATGAGTCGAGATTCTGCCTTTTGCTCCGTTTATTTCGCATTGACAACCTTAGATAGGAACCGCAGTGGTTGTTGGCCAAGGACTGTACTCACGTCGGATTCCAGCGTGTACATGGTATGCGAGAGACCTACAACATCAGAGTACGGAGCACTCACAGGAATTATGCTTACGCTTTGTCGCACCTCGTAACATCTAACTAATTCACCTCACTTACTCGTCAGTATCGCAATCCTCGCTACAACTATTCAATTGCGTCAGATCTTCCCGTCATGCAACGTTCGTATCCTTGGACGTTCGCCTGGATGCAGCCGCTCGTTGCGATTGGGGGCCAAGCCTCACATTGGGTGTCTTCGCTGCTGACCCGAGGCGGAGCGGGGGAATCCTGATTCTATCGTGAAAAAGGACCTTTCACCCGGCCAGGAAACCTGTGCCTCAGCACAGCATTAGATGGAGCGCACTACTGCACGCATGCAATTCGATGCATACGTACATAGAGTACAATAAACCTCGCCTGCGGTCTCGAGGCGTCGTTACGCTTATATCAAGGCACAACACGATGCGGCAGTGTCACAGGGCCAACGACAGTTTTCTTCACGCCAACAGTATTTGAAACGCTACGCTTGCAAGATCGGTGAATACCTTTTAATTTGTTGCTGCCTGTCTTGTTGGTGTCAGCGCTCAGCGAACTCTAATCCTGGTGTGTTGAGGTGGCACAGGCAATTGAACATCGGTGCACACCTCATTCGCGTCTGACATTTCTAGATTTGATAGTGCGTGCAGCATGGATAACTTGCGGAGAAGGCGGCGGTTCTCTCTCGATTGGGATCCTTCCCAAAGCCACACAGCGTGCCGACCCTTTTATCACTCCTTATCGCACAAGTTCAAACTTTCTACATCCTTTGCCCCAGCCGTCTGGCGGACAAGGTCGCACGAACCTTCGTCAATCTAATCCTGCCCTTGAGAGCGGCAATTGTAACGCTTCGCAATCCACAATTATCCATCCTCGTCCCGACCCGTGATCTCGTGCCATGTCCTGCAGTTTCACCCGTTTAGTTCCCGGAACGCCCATCTACTCTACAACATCACTCTATCAAGGACGGAATCCCATGCCGTCCCCATTCGTCGGAGCGAGGATGCTGATGGTGTGTTGGATAGGGGAGCGTGATGCAGATCATCGCTTGCCATATCGCAAACCCCAGGTTAAGTGTCACAGTGAACCAGGTGGTGGTGTTCTACTCCGTCCTACATGAGATTGGTAGGGACCAGGCCACAACGGTGTATCGAGATCGCCACTGCAAGTTGCGGTGCAAGTGCTGAGGAGGGCAGAAGACGACTTTTAGACCCGGCAGCTTTCGTCATGCATGCTCCATACAAGCAAGATGCTTGAAGGTAGCATACCGTTCACGATGCCTGCAACATGTGTGAATTTACTTACGAGGTAAGTGTCGTCGGACGGCAAGATGCGGTGTGGCAATCAATCAAACTACAACCGTTGCCCTACCCGAACGATTGGCTGCGGTATTGTCAGCCCGCCGTTTATAGCTTTACAATAAAGCGTAAAGTGATTTGAAAACGAAGGCTGACGGGCACCAGCGAGTGTCTTGTGACCCTACGCAGCTGCGTACTGTCCTCCTTCCTGTCTGCCCTAAAGTGCTCACGGGGATGGTTTGATGGATTTACCCGCATCGATCATGCAAGGCACGCGTCGTCGTGGCCAGCCAGACAATTGATTCCATTGATATTTATTCGAATATCCCTTAGAGGACATGGTCATTGGCTGCAGGCCATCCTGTTTAATCCTGGTATTGGCGAGCCGGCGGGCGTGAATCAGCGGCCCGCCAGCTTGCATCTACCGCATGATGCCATCCATCTAACCGTCTAATTTTCAAGGCATGTCAGTCGACTAGTCGGCTAGTTGAGCCCTTTTCGGGCAGCGCTCCTTCGTTCGCGCTATTGAGCTGGAAGAAAAGCGTTGAGAGCGAGTCGGGGACTCGTGGCAGGCGAACAGCGGTTGAGAAGAGTCAATGTGATGTGAAATTATTGTATTACGCCTCCCTTGCGTTCCCCACCGATCCCACTAGCTAAACCTTCCACCAGGATCTGATGGTTATCTAAGTGCAAACGGCGTATCTCTAGGCGATAGAACAGCGTGTTTGTATGCGTGTTCGTTGGATGCACCCCGTCTTGCCCGTTCTGTCCGCCTCGCGCTGCTGGTGGGTGCCGTCATGGCAGCCAGCGGGAAACCGGCACTAGCCTCGAAGCGTTTCCCAAATCTGCTGGGGACCTCTTTTTTTGGTAAATATGCTGGCGCTTTCGTCCCGGGCTCCAAGAAGTAGGGCTCGGCGAATCATACAGACCAAGATTAGCCTTACCGCGTTCCATGGTTGAGTTGCTGGTCGAACATACGCCAGCGCCGGGGTCGGAGGACTTCTGGGACGAATGGCTGAGCAGAACAGCGAGGGAACGGTACGGTTGAACCTGAGCGGGACCGCGTCGGCTTCATTAGGCGGAACTTCATACAAGAAACATGTATCCAAATGGAGAGGTCGAGAGAAAAGTTTTTCTTTCCCTTCGCATCTGCGACCGCGAACGGCTTGACCGCTTTGTCTGGCATTGGCAAAGATCTCTGGCGCGTACTGTGACGGGGCCATGACCCGCTGACCACGATACTGCCTGATGCTTCGAGTCACGTAGGCCGTACAATCAAAATGCTCAACATCGCTCTTCTTGTTAGCTTGATCGTGCGCTCGCGGTCACTGGTGGAAGCGTGGTGCACCAACACGGCGCCACGGCATGGATGCATTTCTCTCTCTCCACCCGCACATATTCATACTTGCCGGGTGTATGATCAATCCTTCGTGGTGCAAGCATGCAGTACTTCGTACGGAGTAGCAGGCAAGAGTTGGCAGAGCCCGAAGTATGAGGCCGGCGAGCCATTCCCATAGCAAGCCATGCGATGCGATGCCCTATGCCCAGAGAATGCAGAGGCGGACCAGCCCTATCTGGGTTGCATGCCACAAAAGGAGCCCACACGAGGCCAACCCTGTAACCCGTGGCCCAGGATGTGGGAACTCGACGGCGGCGGTTGGGCACATTGTCGCATCGTCACGCCTGAGTAGCGCGGGAACAGGAAGAAGGAGGCCAGCTGTCGTCGGCGAGCAGAACTAATTAGCTTCAGTTTACAAGTAATTAGTGACATGACATGGGGCTCAAAAAAGCAAGTCAGCCGTGAAAGCCGGGCCGCGCGCACATGTTGTATCCATGGTTGGGAAAAGTACACAGTAGGTAAGTTAAGTGGGTGGGTAGGAACAGAAGGAATTGGTTCCAACACGATCTCGTGGCAGGATCTTCCTCGTATGCCTTTCGTCCTTTTTTCCCTTCATTCTGGTAGAGAGTACGGGGCGAATTCATTAGACCGAGACTACTCGTGTAGCTACTAATTAGCGACTGTCAAGGAAAGTCTGAACAGTCAAAGAGTCATGGCTCGGCAGCAAAAAATGGGATGAGGACAAGGACAAGGACATAAGGTTACCTACAGGACACGGCCCGTTCTTTGAGTGCCGTTGGTTCCATTATGCGATGGGCCGCACGCACGCACGCCCGCCCACGACACAATGGGATTCTACGGTACGGTGCGTAGGCAACTATAGTGCCGCTGCCGCCGATAGATTCGTAGTAGCCTGCCCGAGATACTGCCGCCTCTCGCCGCCCTGCGCAGAGTAGAGTCTGTTCGTAATCGTACGTCTGACTGCCTGACTGACTTTCTTTCCTGTCTGGTCCCTGTCTATTTCCACTCTGGTCAAGTCATAGGGCGGGAGGGTAATTGGAATTGTCAACATGAGCCGCCGTGCGAGCGCGTGACGCCCGACGCTGTAACGCAACCCTACTTTGCAATGTACTCAAGAGGCACAGGGCAGCATCGTCATCTGCGGTCCAATCTACGCCTCTATACTGCAGCAGCAATAAGTTCTATAGGCACTATTGTAGCTCGCTTGCTCGCGGCACGGGCGCCAGCGAGTGACATACTCTTCGCCCGACGGTTGAATTGGGGAATTCCGGCCATGGTGCGAGACCTGGAACGGCCGAGCAGGATTTTTATATTGGGGTGGTTGCGGAGTTTCTGCGGAGTTGCAGTGGATGGAGTAGAAGAGATGAAAACTACTGTATGCAACGGACGGAAAAGGTACGAACGAGTAGTGGGTGCATGCATATACGTGAAGTGAGGATGTTGGTACGTATTGGCGGTTGTTGGGGTTTGGGTAAGGCGTGGGCGTTGATGAGGTGACCCGTCGTTCATGGCGGCCACAGAGAGAGTTGAGGGTGTTGGGCAGAATTACAGAGTACAGAGTAGACAATCGAGATGCATGGAACAATACATCTCATGGAGCTGGAAGGATGAACGTTGGAGGCTTAGAAGACGGCAGCATTGGACGCACACCACTCCGTACTTTTGCTGAGATTGAGAGCCTCCTCTTGTCACATTCCCCTTCCTGCACGCACATTCACCCACCCACCGCCCTACCTCACTCTTCAGTCTTGATATTTTATTACCTACCGTAGGTATATCCGTTTCAACTGACTCTCGGGAAGACACATGGGGGCTTGCGCAGACACAGACGCAGACACAGACATACGCACGTACACACGCACGCACCCGCGCCGTCTCCCTTCCCTTCCCTTCCCATCCCATGTGGCCGCAAAGCCGCACGCCCACCCTCTCCCCAGTTAGTTGGCAAGCTCCGACGCCTTGCAGACGGCCATACCCGTGGCTTGGCGTGCCAACTTGATTGCTCGCCCACGCTGGCCTGGGAAAAGCCCCCGGCCCGGGACCCAAACTCGCCCGTCCTGTTCGACCGTTCGCTGGATGGCTGGCTGGCTTGCAATACCTTACCTTACCTTAGGTAGAGCCTATTAAGACAGCTTCTAATTATTCACTTGCCCGCACCCGGCATCCAACAAGGTACAATATGTACTGTACTCTGTGCAAGTACTTCCTACTTAGGTAGTAGCTGGCTCGACGTCTGCTACTTTCCTGGTTCTCGTATTCCCTCGTCCCTCCCCCCCCAGTCGCTTTTTTTCTTTTCGGTGTAGTACAGGTAACAGTAGTGGTCGTGGTCGGTCCAAGGCGCGCGCCGGACACACATATTTTCTTGCCCTTGCCCTTTGCCCATCACCCCCTGCCAGATCGCAAACCTTGTATTTTGGGGGTGGACAGGGTGGCTAGGTCTACTTGCTACTCGGACCTATCAATGACTCTCCCCCCGAAATCTTTCTTACTCTCTTCTCTCTAGTCTCGTTGCGCTCACACGCACAGGCGTGCGGTGGTGGTCGCCCAAAGGAGTTCACGTCTCGTTCGGTCTGCGACAGACAAAACGGAAAAAGGGCTGTGACTTGACTTGACTTGACATCGGTGATTGATGACGACGATAACGACGACGATCACGATAAGGAAAAGAGAGAGAGAGAGAGAGAGAGAGGTGTGGATAGGACAAGGTCCTACGCGTGGTATGCTCTATGCTTGCACGATTGTGATCGTGATGCTATCCCTGACCATGATCCTGATCCTGGTTAGAAGGTGATGGAGATTTTCTGCACCGCAGTAGCAGCGAATTTTCTTGTGCTTGTAGAAATGCAAGTTTACCGACCGACGCATGAAGTCGAATCATCCAGGGCTCGAGATTATCGTTGAAATGCAGAATTTACAAGAGAACCAAAAGAGGAAGAGGGTCGGCAGCACGGAGAACGCTCCGTCGATACGACGGTATCAAGTACGGCGGTTTCCTACCTGCCGTGCGACTGACGTTGATATTCGCATCGACCTCAAAGCCGTTCTGTACGTTGGCTGCTTCACCCACGAGAATCTAGACTACGTCTTCAATTTCATTCTCCCGAGTACGGCGCAAGAGAGAGAAGAATATGCATGATTACACGGACGCTCTGGGGTGAGGGCATGTACATACATATTACACGACAGTTTCTTTCCCTTGTGAAGGGCCGAGGGGGCGTAGTTATGTTCTGCTTCTCCTCTTCATGTTAGGCATAGGCATCTACTTTACTCCACAGACGTTGTGCGACCGTGATACATATGTATATAAATTCTTCTGGCCGGGGGGCAGGGAGGCGGGAGGGTAACTAGGGGCGCTTGTTCTTGGGTCACTGGTCGGACGTACCTCGTCGGCTCTTTTGCGGAGTATTGTGTTCATGTGTGTCACTCTGTTGTGCTGTGCGATGTTGTTTCCGTCTCGTTTGTGGGGGATGCACGTTGCGTGTAAGATGTCCAAGAGCAAGACGAAACACCAACCAAGAAGACCTCACCGGTGGACTTGCTTCGTACCACTTTGCTGCTTTGCACTACATACTTTACTGGTCGAGACTTGATAACGACTCCGTACGGACCGTATCCAAGCTACTGTCTGCCATGTGCGTGCGACCAACTACCAACAACTTACGACCAACGACCTGACTGGGAAAAAGTTGCACACAACACATATCGCACTAGTTAGTTACACATCAACGCAACGCAACACAACACAGCACAACGGAGTACGAAATGAAATGAAACGAGACGGGAACGGTGTGATACGATAGGATGCAGTGGAATGGAATGGGATGGGAATGGAATGAAATGGGGACAGGCACTCGCCTCGCCTTGCTCAAATTGCCCTTTCCCCGCTGGTTCGGAGATCTACATCTACGTAACATGCTATTTTCCGACGTACATGGTGATGTGACTCTGCAATTCCGACGGCGAGAACGGTACGGAGCACTCCGTCGACGTAGTGTATTTGACGAGCAAGGAATGATGGGTTGTGGGTCCCCAGGCATCTATACAAATAGAGGATTGATCGTTGATGATGGGGAAATGTACGTATGTGGATATTGTAGCCAATGTCTATAATAGGAAATACTCTAGGTATCTTGTTCTACTTGGGGAGATATACGAATGGCACAAAGTATTGATTCCATGTTATCTTCCCGCGTTGCACGGAGAGTTGACAGTCCCGTCCCGTGTAGCTCGAGTACGGAGTACAGGAGTGGTATCTCATTGATTAATTGATAGTGAGAGTACAGAGTACAGAGTACAAAGTGCATTGCATGTGTACCTCCCAACTGTATGTGTATGTACTCCGTACAGTAAGCAAAGGGTAGGGCTAGGCGGTAAGCGAGGAGAGAGGTTCTAGAAGGGGACTAGCGGGTGGTGGCAGAGACAGACTTGAGAGTGTGGTCTCGTAGAATTTGAGAGAACACGCAACAGGGATATTGATGTTTGAGGAACAAAACGTCTACAAGGATGTTGTTTGCACTTGTATCCATTGAAGGTAATTATGGATTGGGTGAACGAGATGAGATGAGATGAGAAGGGGTGAAATGAGTAATACATAATGAAAGGATGGGAACGTTGGGTGGATGACGGTGAGCGTGGGAAGGGAAGGGAAGGGAGGGGAGGGGGGGGAAGGATGGGATGGGAGGGAACTTAGGGAAGGCGGGCGGACCAGCGGCAGGGAACAGGCCCGCAGCGCTCTGCCAGAAAAGCCGCCCGCGCGCGCGCAAGTCTGTGCAGGTTGCATGTCGCATGTTGCTTGGTGCAGGTGTGCATGGACGGCAAGGATGTTCATTTGATGATTGTATGGTACTCTATGGTATGGGAGGTATGGTATGGTCAATGGTCTAAGTACTTGTAGTTAGTTTACATTTGTGTGTATGGTCACTATGGTGCATGTTTGTCGCAGGTGTGAACGCTAGTATCTATCCAGGTAGGGAGGGGATGGGATGGCTTGAGGCTGGGTTGGTGCATAATGGGTCGAAAACCTCGTCTCGTCTCGTCTCGTCTCGTCTCGTTTGTTCCGTTCTGTCCTGTTCTTCTCTGTTCTGTTTAGCTGTTTAGCATCTAGTCAAGTGGTGAGTTCAAACTTGTACATGTACAGTACGGAGTACAGTAGTTGGTTAGCTAGGTTCCATGCTGTCTGTGCGCCGGCCGCAGGTGCGCAGCGTGCAGCGTGCAGGATTGCAGATTGCATTGCAGATTGCAGTGCAATGTGTGCAGTTGCTGTAGCGCTGCACCTGATGATGATGGTGGTGGTGGTGGTGGTGGTGGTGGTAGTTGGCGGCGGCGGCGAAGACAAGGACGAGCGACAAGGACGAGAACGACGGACGAGTTAGGAGGGAGAGTGGGTTATCCGGGAGGTGGCGGTGGTGTTGGTGGCAGTCGATGAAGATAGAATAAAAGAATAAAAGAATAAAAGAATAGAAAGAGACATGTTGGTGATTGATGAGGCGGGATCTGAATATAGATGAGGACTTGAAAATAGAGAAGAAAGAATGACAATTACTTGAGTATCTTTTCTTAGAATAAGAAGAAGAAGAAGAAGAAGAAGGACAGGCAGGGAGGGGGTGGATGTGTGTGTGTGTGTGTGTGTGTGTGTGTGTGTGTGTGTGTGACATGGTTGGTGGTGGTGATGGTGGTGGTGGAGGAAGAGGAGTGGATGGGTTTGTGCGTGTGAGAGTGAGTGAGCGCTGTGTGAGAGGTAAACTTACTGTACAGAGTTACCAGTATGTACTGTAGTATGTAGTATGTAGTGAGTACTGTTTGTGATTACGCTACTGAACTCTGACTACTGACTATGGACTGGACTGGGGGCAGGGGTCATACCTGGGGAGGAAGGGGGGGGGGGGGGGGGGGGGGGGGGTTGCAAGGACAAGGACAAGGGCAAGGGAAGGGAGAGATGGGAGATGGATCATGATGGATGGTGGGTGGCCACTACTGCTGGAAGACGGGCGCACTACTGGGGGCTAATGGGGGCTACTGTAACTCTTGGGGGGGGGGAAGGGGGGCCACTTGCTGGGGCCTACTGGAGGGGGGGGCTACTAGGGGCTACTAGAGGGAGGCTTGCCGGGGCTGAGAAGGAGAAGAAAGCAAGAGGAGGGACACTCCCGCCCAGCGGACAAGTACAAGTACTGTGGAATTTGTTAGGCGGGCGGGTTCGTCTGCTGGGCTGAACATTGATTGATTGAACAAAGTGATGGGATGGATCAAGGATGGATGGATCATGGAATGGATGTTGCGCGCGAGAAGACTGCCCTACCCATTCCCCCTGTTCCCTTCCCTTGTCACTTTGCCTTGCAACATGCCCATCTCCCTGTTCCTTTCCCTGTCGATGAATTTGATGATGATGGCGGTTCTTCTCCTGTTATGTATGTATGTATGAGTGCAAGTAATGAACGTATGTACTCTCTGTGCTTGGCTCTTCGGGGAGAGGTGTATGGGAACGATTAGTTGTTATAGTGTCTGATAATGTGAGAAGAAGAAGAATAATGTGGATATATTTGTGAATGTGGATGTGGATGTGGATGTAATAATAACTGTATAAGTGTGTATGGTGAAGGCGGTAGTGATGTAGTGTACCCAGACACCCAGAGTAGTTGGAAGTGTATCGGTAAGTTTAATGTGTGTGTGGACGTCCCGTCCCCCCATCTCGTTCCCCCCGTCCCCGTCCCCGTCGTCCCCCAACTCTTCTTTTTCTTCATTGTCGGGACCTGCCTTTTCGCCTCCTGCCTGTCGGTACCTCAAGCAACCCACACACCTACCCCTTCTCTCTCTTCCTCTAACACACTCGCATTCGTACCTACACTCATACACTCTCATACGTACTCGTATATTCATACCATACATACACTCAACAACACACGTTCTCCAATATCCCCATATCTCTCTCCACCACTCTCTGCACTCGCCTCAACCTTACATCTTTCTCCACCAAGGAAGGGTATCGATTCAATTCGAATCAAACCCCTTCCCTTCGCCCAGTGCTCCCACCACTACCACCACTTACACTACCATTACCACTACCGCCGCCGCCACCACCACACCCTTCCGAATTGATTAGACAGTCTGTCAGTGAATTCTTTGGATCGGGTCCCTCTATTCTCTGGTCTCCGGGACGGTACCCTCCTTCTCTATTCTCTACCTTAACCAGACACACATCCCACTTCCGACCCTCTCTTCCTTCTGGTTCCACACCCGAGGAGCAGAGTTGAAAAGCAGAAAAAGGATAGGTACATAATACTACTTCGGAGTACTACGACATCAACCAATTACTCTACCACCATCATCACTACTCTAGGGCAACAGTCAGAGAATAGTGAAAGGGAGTGAGTACTGGCTGGGTACTTCAGACAACCACTAGGGGTATTATTATTATCATTATTATTATATACCACATCTAGTCCTCTTTACCTTTTTGTTCCTTCCTTCCTTCCCACCCTTCCACCCACCCATCCTTCCTTCCTTCCTTCCTTCCTTCCTTTGGTCTTTCCTTTCTTTCCTCTCACAAAAACAACGACAACGACTACGACTACGATACGGAGGAAACCGACAACCTCAATACAACACGACCAAACCTCATTATTACTGCGCCGTTTCACTACAGCTACAGTTGCTACTACAGCAACTGCTACTGCAACCGCTACTGCAATCCTCTCATACTCACAGAGTGAACGCACACACGGCCCTCCTATATATATCCATCCTTTCCTTATACGACCGCTCGTCTCGGCCAACTCCACACCAAACGTCTGGCCCCCACTCTCCCCTACTTCATCATCTTCTTCTTCTTCTTCTGCTTCTCTCCTCTCTTTCTTACACACACACACACACACACACACACACACACACAACACACTCTACCTGAGGTTACCTATTTTCTCCTATCCTCTTCCTCGACTACCCCCAACCTCGTGTCCGCCGCTACTCTTCTCGGCTTGGCTCAGTAATCCCATCCCATCTCACCCACTATCCAAATATTGCACCGCCGCCGCCCTCCCTCCTTCACAAATCTGACGTGCAGCCGCACCTTCAGCGGGCCGGCCAACTATTTGTGACACCCCATCACCGCCCGTGGAAACGCCCAGAGGATTATCCGGATCATCCTCCCTCTCCCTCTCCCTCTCTCTCTCTCCACTTTACCTCTCGAGCCTCGCTCGTCCTCGTGTACACAGTACCACAGTAACTAGTCGTCTCTCGACCTTGACCTTGTCCCGGTCCATGGTGTAGCAGTGGAAAGTGGTCTCTGCTTCTTTTCACTACCACACCCTTACCCTTACCCCTACCCCTACCCTACCTTGCCCTTCCCTACCCTGCCTACCTGAACCGAACCCTACCTTTAACTACCTTACCTTACCTTACTCTTATTTTACTTTGCCTTGCCTTACCTCACCTCACCTCGTCAGGCTCTCGTTTTAATATCATCATCACAACTCCCCTCTCCTACTCTCTTCTCTTCTTTTCTCCCTCCTCTCTTCCCTCCTTCCCTCCCTCCCTGTCCCCCTTACACACGGACCCGCCGCAATGTTTCCTCACCAGGGCGGCCAAGGACATATGCCCACTCACTGGCAGCCTCCCACCTCTCAGCAGCCCGCCAACGGCGCATATGCTCACCCGCAGCAGCCATCTCATGTAAGTCCTTACCTCCAGCCCTTACCACATAAGATCATGTGTCGTCCTGCCGTAAGCACCGCACGTCGCACACCCGCTCTCGTCTCCCCGTCGTTACACTCGAGCTGACCTCCTTCTTCTTTCCTACTTGTAGATCAATAGCTCTCTCCCACCACCTCCTCCCCAAGAGCCTCGACACGATATGGCCGCTCATCAGCATCCCCAACAGCCCTACCGCCTCCCAGGTCCCCACGAATGGACTCGAGCGCCTCCTCCACCAGGTCCATATGCAGGCCACCCGTCCCAGCCTCCTCCACCTCCTCCTCAATACATGAACCACGGTCACCAGCCGCCTGCTCCTCGACAGAGAACTGCCATCGCCTGCCGCTACTGCAGGAGACGCAAGGTAATTTCACTTCTCCATTCCTCCCGTCCGTCTCCCACAAAAGTTGGCTCGCTTATGACATATGTGATACCACAGATTCGATGCTCAGGTTTCGAAAACACGGATGATGGCCGCTGCTCCAATTGCATGAGGTTCAACCAGGACTGTATCTTCACTCCTGTCTCGGCACAGACTCAGGCATTCGTTCCTGCACACACCGTCTGGCGTGGCGTTGGTGCTCCTCCACCAATGTACGGTGCATACGGGCAACCTCTCCAACCCGCTCCCCATGGAGGAGATCCGTATGCACAACAGCAGCAGCAGCAGCCGCCTCCGCCACGCGGACAACAGTACTTGCCCAGCCCAACAGGGGCGTCAGGTCCGTACCCAGCTCATTCTACTTATCCTCCTCCACCTGGCACTTCTTACGATGAGGGAAGCCGTGATGCCATGAGCAGGAAGAGGCCCTACGCGGAGCCTCATACCCCAACACTGCCGCCTCCCAATCCTGCCACCGCATCACAGCTACCTCATCGAAGCGCCGGTCCAGAGTATACTTATCCAGACCCAACGTCTCTAACATCCGCTGCGTCTCCAGCGCCTTCAAGCTCCTCTTATCAATCCGGTCCTCCACCCCCTCCACCCGCAAACGACCCTTACTATACCACACAACCCCGCCGAGGATCTCCACAGAGCAACTACTCGGCCTCTTCTCCACACGGCCAGGCCCCTCCTGCATCCGCAACTTCTCCCTACTACCCTCCCCAAGCCCCGAATGGTCTCCAACCTATGCCTCCTCGTAGCGAGGGAAGAACTCCACCTCCTCCCAATTCTCAGACGCCCAGCAATCGACCGGGAATGCGCATCAATGACCTCGTGAGCGACAACGGCGGTGGCCGTAGTTCTACCGATTCCGACATGCTCAACATGCTCAATCGCCGACCCATGTAATTTGGCCGACCCGATTCCTCCCTCGGAAGAGATCTGCTCTCAGAGCTGGCCCTCTGCAGGAGCATTGCGGGACTATACGACATGGCCCAGGTTCGACACAACCCGACACTCTGGACCATGGGATCAGAGCAACAATCCATTCCTCTTCCATGATCATCTGACAAGACAATGAAATTCGGCTACTTTTAAACTCCCTTCTACTTACCCGTTATTCCGGTATCGATTCTCTCTTGGCCGCTGCACGTAACTATCTGCACGCACAGTGCAGGTGCATTAAAAGCGCGGCTCGAATGGGGTGGCTTTTTGAGCGTTTGCAATTCGACATGATTTTTCTTTTCAATTTCTACAATATCAACTATTAAACAACACTACCTCAGACCGTTTCCTTTTCGTTTTGGTGAATCCCGCACCGCCAACCCAGTTTCCTTGGTTGCGTTCCGCGGCCCGCCGGCAATCTGGAGCGATATTCCCTGCTTTGTTCAGCTCGCCTATTCCCGGATTTCCCGTTTGGACTCTCCAGCACCTGCAGTGGCACAGATCGACCGGTTTTAATCCTGGACCACCGCGCGACAAAAGGGCAAATGGCCACATTTGGGAATTCGGATTGCCTGGCACTTGAAGAAAAACGACTTCTTCCGACAATAACTGGCATCATTCGTGGAACTTGAAAGGCGCTGATGTCAGCTCGAACTGGACGGAACCAGCAGGCGGTGGAACGTCTGGGCTTGTTTGGCGACGGCTGACCATGCATGGAGGCTGTCTCAACGATTTTTTTAATAGTCGGCTGAGCCATCGTTCGAGCCGGGGCTACTTGTTGAGCAGGTGGTGGTATGCATACATGCTGCATTTCTGGCCAGCATTTTCCCATCGACGAAGCGCTGTCATGGTGGCCGTTTTCGCTTCTTCTTTTCCTTCCCTTTTCCTTTTCAACCTATTACGCGAAATCATTAGACCCGGGGACACGCTTTCATCTGATCTGCATCTCGGTGGCTACCTCGATTTTACAACTCCAACACGTCCTTCTCCTCTTTTCTCTGGGATTACGAAATGAAATCTACCATCAGCATCTGTTCTCTCGGAACTGGGGAAGCATGTCGAAACTTATTGGGCGGTAATCTGCTTGCTTGTTTTTATTCGCGTTTGTCTTTGTTCTCTCTCAGTTTTTGCTACTAGGTGTGCAGTGAGCGCACAAATAGATGCACATGCACGTATGCATGTACGAAGGGGGCGGTATTGTGTCTCGTCCTGTCATTTCTGGATTGGGTTAAAGTTGTCAACTGTTCGGTTTTGTTTCTGCTGTTTTTGTTTTGTTTTGTTGAAAGTCACTGGTTCACGAAATTGGGCGGATACCTTGCTTTATTTTGATACTCGCTGCGTTCTGCTTACCATGGTTCGGCTATTGTCACTTTTATATGCGTAACTCGCTCTTGAAGAGACTAGTATTTATTATTTATTCTGCTGCTTCCGAGTGGCATTTCTTCTCGAGAACCTCCTCTACAAACCTGCTCTACCATTGATTGCGACCTCGTGAATCGTACTCGCACCATGCTACCCAATGTAGTCAACCCCTTTCAGCCCTTCAGATAAAAGGCAAACTCATTTCCCTGATGACGATCACTCCTCAATCCGTGTAACGTTTCGAAGTAGAGCCTGTCCCATCTAAATATCCATGGCCTTGCTCTACCTTGCAACCGATTGGATTTTGCACTCCGACAGGTAGCAGCTCTCTTGTCCATGATACATACATACTTACACATACTTGTACTATGAGAAGAAGGAAATAAAAAGGTCCTCGGCCAAGAGGAAGGGGACTCTCAACGCCGGAGCACTGCTTCAGTTAACTGTTTTCATTTCTCCCATTATCCGCCCCCACCCCCTCCTTCCCTTCCCCGCCTTTCTGATCACGTTCCTACGGTTTCTTTCTCTCTAGGTACGTGTATCAATAACAGTAACTGTAGACATCTTATGATTTTATAGTTTCCAAAGGATGGATGGATGAATGGGATGCACGGGGACTGGACTTTTGCATTGAAAATAGCACTAGACACAATGATGGCTCAATCACTGGCGTTCTCTACAGGCTTGACATTCATACCCTGTACACTCACTCGGTCCTTGAGACCTATCTACGCCGTATGTGTTGCTAATGTGATACATACAGTCCGTAGACGTATAATACAGCGAGTCAGTCACAGGGCAAGGCAGAGTCGGGGAGATCCCTAAACCATCTTTTGCTTTTTTTCTTCTTTTCATATTATGTCGTAAGCTCATACGGAAAATCGACCCAATATGGTCCCTCTCCTCTTTACTTCATGTTCCGTCATGCTATTTGCCTCAATGTCCTAATCCAGATGTACCTGGAAGAAAAGAGAAAAGGGGGTAGAGAGAGTTGAAGGGGCGAAGGAGGGGAGGGTGTAAGCAAGAAGAGTGAACACACTACACCACCTCACGTTCGTCAGCCAGATAGATAGCAATGAAAGCGGAAGTGAGAGATAAAGAGAGAAATACATGGCAGAAGGAAGCATGCGATCTTCTCACCCGCAGGGGGTCCAGCAAGGTTGGGCATGGCATGGGTATTCTTTTTTCCCTGTTTTTTTCCCTGGTTCCGACGACGGGGTCTCGGGACGGTGCGGTGCGGTGCGGTGCTGTATGGGGACGGTACGGTACGCGTATGTTCGAGACTCTGAATTGAGACCTTGGACCGGGGTCCGAGGTGGGTGCGTTTAGTGGTTAGAAGGGTGACTGGCGAAGCCTGGGAGTACTTTCATCGATCGATTGGTCGTTTGTATGGGTGATAACTTAGAAGGGTATCTTAGGGTGGACTGCTAACCTCAATGTGACGTCTGTTGTCTGCCCATTCATCAGGCTTGCCTGTGATCATACATGTAAGAAAGTGTTTCCAGGGGTGAATACGCACCAGTACTGCGTGAGAAAGATGTATGCATTCGTTTTAGTTGTCGAATGCGTGCCGATAAGTTCACGTTATTGGTCACTTAAAGAACTGACGCGGCTTCCACCGTACAAAGTTGTTCACTGGTGCCTTCCTGCGTGGTGAGAAGGAAAAAGAAAGGTTAGCTGAATGATGAACAAACTATTCGGAATGCCTCCATCCACCATGTCATGACGAGTCCATTGGAGTCCAGACATGCACCCTCCTTTCTCTTCTACTCTCTTTGACACCAGGGATCGCCATGTAGAAAGGTCCCTGGTCCCGACGCCTAGGTTCTGGATCGTACTGTACTCCATCATCTTGGAGCGTCAGCGGAACCCAAACACAGTTTAACCCGCGTTACCGCTTCCCCTAGCCGATTACCAGCGTAGGACGACGACGACGGTGGTGGTGTCGTCAACACTGACCCAGAATGACCCACTCGTACCACTGGTCTCGCAAGCAGGGAGATTCCCGTACCAAACATTCAAAGGGGGAGGATGGGGGTTAGACGCTGTCCACCCACTCCAACTATACCGTACTGGTCCCGTAGTACCGCACGTAAGCTTTGTAGTAAGAGCGGTACGGGTATTGACTTCAGCTCAACGCGTACCTGCTATTTCCCCTCCTCACCTTTTTCCCGACTTGGTGGAACGAAGGAACCGTGGTAACGGCTCGCATCGTCGCAGTCTTCGTCTCGGCTCGTCTTACGGGAAACCCCGAGTAACGGGAGCTTGGGATGGATCATGTGGGGGGCGGGGAGGGGACGAAAGGGGGGCTTAGTGCCGAGCTGCGGTGGGATCCGTTGGCGTGTAGTAGTGCAATCAGGGATCAATGTTGTTGATGCTGATGATGATGACTATCAGGGTGATTATCTTTGTGGGAGGTGTAAGGGGGAGGTGTGGTGAGATGCTGTCGGGTGCATTGTGTTGCAAACGAGGTCAAGGTCGTTCGGAGTTTTTGCTATGGTTTATGTTGGGAACTGTTCTGAGGGCGCCTTCTCCGTTTATTGGAACTGGAAAGGAAAGTGTGATCTGATAAATACAATTGAAGATATAGATTCGGAGGGTACGACTTCGTTCTTTCAACTGATGTTTCAGCAAAACACTTTATCATGGAGATATCTGTGTACGATTGTATATTGATTCGTTGTTTCGTTCAATCTATGTAAACAGGCCGACTTTGATGATATATAGACTTGTGATAAATTCTTTCCTCTCACTAAATTCACTTGTTCTCCCTAATGGTGGTTGCCATTACTCAATGTCCTTTCGTCATCTCTTACGATGGACTCACGATGTATGATTCCGAATCTTTCCATCATCCTTACGACGTCTACTTAAGGTGCAGGCGTCTGCACAGCTGCGTGGCGCTTGAATCCCGTGGCGGTGGACTCGATGTGCGGTGGCATGCGTTTCCAGCCCTCTGCAGGGACCTCAAGGTGTGGCGTCTGTAAGGCGATCTCACGTTTGAAACCCGTTGCCGTGGACTCGATGTGGGGTGGCAGACGCTTCCAGCCTTCCTCCGGGTGCTCGAGGTGTGGCGTCTGTACGGCGATATCCCTTTTGAAGCCTGTCGCCGTGGACTCGATATGAGGAGGCAAAAGATCGTCCTCGCGTTTCCAGCCTTCCTCTGGGTGTTCGAGATGAGGTGTCTGCACGGCTATGTCTCGCTTGAAGCCTGTTGCCGTCGATTCTATGTGTGGTGGTAAGCGTTTCCATCCTTGCTCTGGGTGTTCGAGGTGCGGTGTCTGCACAGCAGCTTCCCGCTTGAACCCTGTTGCTGTGGATTCGATATGGGGAGGCCTGGCCGCCACAAGCACGGCCATGCTAAGGACAAAAGCAGATGAGAACAACATGGTGAACTGATAATGATCTGAACGAGAAACTTCTGCTTTAGAATGGTCTTTGATCAGCTCGAAGTCCTCGTCCGTGAGATAAGCAGCCTTTTATAGAGAGCGTAGTCCTAATTCACGGCCGGCCTCCCGGGAGACTCTGCGTGTGGTCTGGGGGCTGAATTCGATCATTAGATGCCCCTTTGGTGAAGTACATGTCTTGATTGGCTTTCCAAATGACTCTGGTGATGTTGGGGCGTATGAAAATGTCGTTCGAACCTTGCAAGGTCACCTTCTCGTGATGTTGATGCCTGGCCGTCACATATCACCATTGGAACTAGAACATATTGAGGCGCGGTAGCTCGATTATGGATACACAAGAACCCTATGCACTGTGCCTATTTGCTTATATGCTTATGTAGGGATCTTGGTGGCGCACCAGGTACGGATTCCTTCAACCCTGATTCGTAATAGTTCTATTATCTAGCTGTAGGGTAAATTGAAAAGTGCAAAATGCGCTGCCAAATGGTCGTTCCTGCTAAGCTTGTAGTCTTAATGCTACAGATTCTCGGCCGAGTGAGGCATATGATTGCTCGTGTTTATTGGAGTGCGCTGATGCACAGCATGCATTGCCAATGCTCACTGTGTTTACGCCCCATTTTACCATCACCTTCTTAAATAGGCAATTCGACTAAATCAAAATATAGGATCATGGGCCAATAAGATCTGGAACATGTTTGAAATTCCTCACCTTTTCATTTGACGTCGACTGTGCATTGTCGAGCTGAATGTCTTAGGTTGCTTGCGTGGCATCTCTATAAGCTCAAGTAGTTCCAAGTACTATCCTAATTGTTGAATGCAGGCAGCATTGAGAGATGTCTGTCTCAGGTGACCCCTGATGACTAGGTTCTTGCTCACACCCGCAGCAGCTTTTCCAGGTCGTTTTATCGTCGTTCAAGTGATATATCCAAAGAGAGGTGGTAAGATGAAACTCGGGTAGTGTAGGAGAGAAAGTGGATCATACTCGGTCGGAATAGCGAAAGCGTTAGGAAACCATTTCATCGTTGGTCAAAGGGTACAACAACCGCCGCATCCAAACTGCCACACAAACCTGTTCTTGCTCCCGATCTCCATCGAAACCTGCTCAACTTTGGGACGACACTACCATATCATGAGCACTGTTCCCTAGATTCATTCGGGTTCATTCGGGTGACACTAGCGTGAATCTCTTTATCATCAGGTCTTGATTTAGGAACATGAACTGACTAGCACAATCCAAACCGGGTAGCGAGAATAGCCGGCGATGGAGATTTATTCAATTCTGAGCGAGATATTTAGTAATAAAAAACTCGTATGCTTAATTACAGAGGGTAGCCGCAGGTGTTCATGCAAAAGATAACATTTCCAGATAAGTAGAGTATTGCATTGAACTGTTTACGTGTCGGTGTTTGTTACACCAAATTGGCGCTGTTCTACTTATGATGTTTCAAACTGAACAATCCCACCCTGTTGCCTCGCCTGGCATGACTATTGTATACATTAGCAGCCTCGAAAGCTCCTAAAGAATATGTTAGATGCCACTCTGGTCCGTCCCGTCGAATGGCAAGGGTATAGAAGAGGCTTCATCTTGAGCTTGAGCAGACACATCCTTCTCAGTATTGACAAAGTAGTTGCGAGTGTCGCCTGTCGCATCTGGAACAAATTGGGCCTGGATTCTCTCATGCGAGCTGCTGCTCGTTGTCTCCAGAATTTTCTCGATTTGTTCGAAGGTGAGTGACTCGTCAAGTGGGTCCTTGTTGCTTCGGAAGCTTTCCTCAGTGTATAAAGCGTAGGTGGACTCCTTCTCCCGCGTATAATCGCGAATCGACTGAAGTAAGCTCACTTGAAAGCTCTACAATAACCCTTAATTTAGTTATACAGTCTAGGTGTTAATGGAATGATCGGGCTTCTTCACCTTTTTCACTATCTCTTTTGGTTCCTGAGAGTCCGGGGGCCCAGCATTGACCGTTGATTTACGAATTGATCTACTAGCTGTTTGAGCCATTGCTGCATCTCGAGATGCAAAATAGTTCTGCGGCGACGAGCAGAAGATAGTTTCTGGATCGTCTTTGAGATCGTCAATTTGCTTCACCTGCTCTGTAAATGCTACGTCTTCAACTGCCGTTTCCGGGTCGGCCGAGTTCAGCACCTTCTTCTTTTTCTTCTTTGGCTTTTTCTTGATATTAGGGTGATCAGAGACTGAAATGCCGGTGGCTGTAGATGTTCCTGAGAGTGGGCCGAGGGGCTTTGCCGCTGGATTCGGCACGGTGGAGCCTTGATGTTCATTCAGACCACTGCCATCAGCGGCTTTGTCCCGTAGCTCAGTGACCGCCCCCTGGGAATCATCATGGTTGATGAATTCCAACCCTGGAGAGTGATAATAAGTCTCAGAATGCTCAAGGGGGATCGAAGCTGTCGTACCCGGATGAATCGTGGAAGTCGCAGAGGCATTTTTGTTTCCATGATCGTCTTCCTTCTTGTCTTCTAGATTCAAGATTAGCATTTATTATTCATATGATGGTGACCGTGTACACTTACCAGCCTGTATCTGGTCCATACATGAAGCTTTAGGGCGATCATTCGAATGATCAGAATGCTTCTTAGAGACCTGTACAGTACTCGACTGGGCCACTGTTTGATGGTCATAAAAAGACGGCCCCTCAGAGAAGATATTATTTCTGCTGTCAGGAGCTTGGGCCTGTGGAGTATCGTCTGATATCGCTGTGTATGAAGCTGAATCTTGTGGAGGCGAGCAAGGTGTATGGGCGCTACTGGTAACTGGTGCTGCAGAATTCCGGGGCAAGGGTCTCAAACAACCACCTGGTACTTCATCTAATTCCATAGCTTTTGTTAGGATGGGTATTCGACTCTCATCCTTAGCATCACCACTCGCATGGCTACCAATGTCAATTTGGGCAGTTGAAGGACCGAGTTTCGAGGCATCTAGTTTGGCAGGAAAGGTTTCCTGGTCGCTACCCTTCGTTAGGCCGAGCGAAGAGTCAAGGCAATCCTTAGTTCCTGCTTCTCGCGGAGATCGCGCGAGAGTAGTAGTTCCTTTCGTTTTGGAATTTGCTTTTTCCGCTCTTGCCTTCTTTTTCTGCTTCTTTCTCATTTCCTTCTCTTTCTTTTGCTGTGCCTTTGAGCGGGCGAATGGGTGAAGAGACTCCGCCTGATTTACAGGACGGTTCTCGGTCGCTGTGCTGGCCACAGTAGATGAAGCATCAACAAAGGTATTTGGATCGGTCGATTCACTTCTCAAGTCCACCAAAGCCTCTTCCTTTTCATCGACTGAAGAGGCCACGGCTGTTTTTGAAGATGGTGACGATATGACTGAACAATCAGCCTCTTCTTTCGGCACGAAGTTACCCATCTGAACGTCTCTCTTGTCGGGAGTTGTAAGTGTTGCAATCGGGATTGACAACACATGAGAACTAGCTTGTTGGGATTCTCTTGTTGTTGGAAGCGCAATGACCTCAGAAACCTCCTGCGGTTCCTCCTGAGCGGAGTGAAAACTTGCATCGTGTCTCTGTTCGTCGTCGGAAGGCTCATCCATAACCGGCACGGTATTTGCAACTTGCTCTTCAGGTGGCTTTGCTGATGATGTATTCGCAAGATCCTCTTTCGTATTAGGTAGTTCGCATTCCTGTATCTTCTTGGTATCTATTGCGTTCTGCACCCAGTCTGGAGTCGAGGATGCCTTCACAGGCTTACTAGACCGAGGGTTGATATTGGATGGACTAGGTACACATTCTGATATATCAGCAATAGTGGATTCAGGGATAGTGGGATTGGTTTCCGGATGATTGTCGAGTGAAGTCGTGTCCGCTTGTTCCGGATGTTGAAGGCCTTGAATTGCGGAAGAGGCGATTCCGGCTAGGTAGTCACCAGCATGTGCAGTGTGTTCGGTCTCCTCGCTGTGGTCGTCTTTTTTGGCCAGTGCTGAAGTATCTGATTCTTGGAGAAGTTCCTCTGCCACGCGACGACTTTCGGAATTTGACGGCGAAGTTTGGACAATTGACTCACTAGCGGCATCGCAAGTAGTCTTTTTCCTCCTCGGCATCCTTGGGCTCTTTGACTTCTGTGCCTCTGGGCTACCCGTAATGAATCTTGCATCCTTGATTCGAAGATCGCTTCTAGCGTCCTGTGGTGAATATTGTACATCCCCGGAAGCTAGGTGCCCTAGGCCTTGGGACAGAGTCGACATGCGTCGATGACCCGGTCCAACGTCGACGATAGATCCATGCATAGGGCTCGTTGTGGGATCTGTTGCTGATCGCACAGTATAATGCATTTTATGAACTCTGACTGTGATCTCTTTCCCTTCAACTTCTTGTCCATTAAGTTTGAGCGCTTTGGCTGCTTCTTCAGTCCGCTCAAATCTGTTCATGTTAATAACAAACGAAAAGTAAAGGATGAAGGGGACACTCACTCGATAGTTGAATAAACTTTATTGAACTTATCGGCCTTGAAGCTTAGTTTGGCGCCCTTTGCATCGGTCCGGTCTTCGACCAATTTTGCGATTTCGTCGACCGTGGTTGTTTCTGATAACCCGAAAACAATGAGTGTTCTTACCGTGTTGTTGGACGGACCGATCCAGTCATGATCGCACCCTCGTTCCTTGTCATTCACCATTTGCATATCAAGAACCACAGAACGATCGGAATTTGGGAACGTTAGGGACCCTCGATCATGTCTGATATACTGGACCGGGGAGTTATAGGCGCTCCGATGTTGCATTTGTTGTAACTCGAGACGGGCATTCGAGACACTAGATGATTTCCGTGGACGCGCTTGGAAGTTGGAGGCTGCACGAGTTCTTTGCATATTCTGCGACGGTACGGTGCCGAAACTTGGTCGGCCTGATCCATAAGGGTCGTAAAGTGACTTCTCTCCAAGCGATACACGGCGGATGGATGGGTCATGCGGCACCATGTACTGTGGGATTCCGCTATATCCGTGTTGGGCGTGATTCGTCATGTCACCAATCTGCCCATGATGCGGGCTAGACTGCGCTGCTTGATGATACATCGGCCTGATAGAGGGATCGAGAGACATCGAAGCCTGACGAGCTGGATTACCACGTAAAAGTTGACTATGAGCTGCCATGGGAGATGAAAGCTCTGTGGATTGACTTTGGTGCATCCGTTGACGTGGCGCTTGCATCTGGGCCTGAGCAGATGGTGTCCGGGCCTGGAAAGGAGGTGAACCAACCAAAGATACAGTTGTGGATGCAGAATATAATAGCGAACTAGGTGGTTGTCTGGATACGTTTTCGGGTAGCGCCAGTTGTTGAGCTTGATGCGCATAAGTACGAGGTGGCCGCGTCCGAGGTGCGAAAGGATCCCCTGGAGTCGGCAAAGGAACGCCGACCGGTGCGTATGTAACAGACTCCCCTGGTAAACAACTGTAGAAGTGATTATGGTTGTGCAGCTGGTGAATATCTTGACTGAACATGGAGGGATGAGGCGAGTTGTGCACAGCTGGGATGAATGGCGAGGCCGGGTCTCTCATAATAGGAGAGAGGAACTGGTTTGGGATTGGTGAAGATCCTGCAGAGATGTTAGTGATTTAGACTCCATAAATGTGCTTGTGCTTACGAAGGTCGCCCGTTGAATTGTGTTCAGAACCCTGGCGCGCACATGACACAGTAGGTTCGTCACACATCTCAGACGTCAATCCATTGATGTTGTTCGTAGATTTAGGCATCGAAAGATCACCAGATTCGTTCCTTCCCCCACCAGTAATGTTAGATGCATGTTTGGCGGCCGGGAAAGGATGGTTGCATATCTCAACTGCTTTCAACATCCCGATTCGCATCATGTTGAGGCAATGCCAGAGAAAGTGGCGCGGAAAGGTGTTCAACTCGCCATCCACAAAAGTGCGATCGACTATTGCGAGAGGATCACTGTGGTCATTGAGAGCACCTAGATCTTTACTAATGGCTTCGAGACGGTGACGATGCTGCTGTGACCATTGGATCAAGAACTGCTGTGCATTGTTGGCATTGCCCCACACTATGAAAGAGAGCAGTTGCTCTACGAACTTTGGGTCATTCCGATAGATGTAATCGTGATCCCAAAGGTCGTGTATGGTGTATCCGCAGTGAGGAAAGAGGCACATATACACAAGTGGGTGCCGATTGTACCAGTACCCTGCTTCCTGGGCCAGGCCTTGCATCTGACTGACGCCACGAGCAATCATCGGCGGGAGAGGAATGGGAGGATGGCGTGGTGGTTGGCGGCCAAGATCAGTAGAAAACAGTGCTTGATCACCGCCTGGTACTAACTTCAGGCCATCTGACGCATCGTATCCTGTGAACTGAGCAGCAACGCCAGACAAACCTGGCGTTTGTGATGGCAAAGTCATCTTTTCTGGAGGAGATGGTTGACCAGGCATGGGGAGCGTCGAAGGTGGAGCGAAGGTATATCTTGAACAAATGCTAAGATGTTGCTAGAGAAAGGTGGGAAAGGAAGGTTATCGCACAGTAGTGTGATGTGATGGAGATGATCGAACTTAGAAGATGTAACTTTTATGCCCGAAAGAGAGAAGTGATGGGGTAAATGTAAGTCGGGTGGGTTGAGTGGGAGGGAAATCAATGTTGTGTGGTGGAGCATTAAAGGTCGGTTCGGTGCGAGGTGATAATTGGGACCGTCAACAAAACGTGTGAGCAACAGGCAGGCGCGCACCAGCACCAATATTACCAGTACCAGCACAAACACCAGTACCAGCGCCACGGGGACTCGTTAGCACTGCGGTGAAGCGAGGTGAAGTTGATTGACCCGTGGGTCTACTCTCAAGTGAGTCACTATAAGAAATGATTGCACTTTAGCAGGCTCGTGATGCGAATAGATTTTGGGGGTCTAGCTTTTCGGGTGGGAGAGCAAAGGGAAAGTGACAATGGGGACACACAGTCTACTTCTGTCCCGAAGAACTGGACTGACTATACACAAACGTAAAAGCAAAATCGTTTCCAATGGCTACAATCGCCTACTTTACTGGAGCATTGCCGCAGCTGCCACTGCAACTACCCGGCTTACTAAAATGAGCTGCGAGATGTGTGGGAGTATAATAAATATGTTCCTTTACAAACCCTTTTAAAGGCTACGGTCCTATCTTACATGGACTTCCAGGGCGCATCATAGCTTTTTTGTGTAGTGATCATCGGATGGAATTGGTCTACCAGAATTACGCCTTGTCCGTTTCTTTGGAAATCGATTGGAGAAGTGACAAGATCTCAGACTCATTTTCCCCCACAACTTGATCTCGTTAGACTAGAAGTATCTTTTAATGGATAGCGACCCCCTGGTACGTACCTGCTTTGCCTTGGTTCCAGTCCACGACCTATCAGCCGTCTGTCAGTTGTTGGTTGCAAGCATTAGGCTCACAGCATTAGCTTACCACAGGGCGCTGGAAAGCTTCCTCATTCTCCTTTAACCGCCTGATGGCTTCAGATTCATCTTTTGCACCCTTGATAATCTTTCCTGCTGCTCCCGAGACAGGTCCACCAAGGTACTCTATGATGTTCTTGAGTTGATCTGGTGTTGGCGGTGCCTCCGTAACATCTAGGTCGAACTCTGTCCGCTGAGCGCGATTATGGGTAGTGTGATCGCTGGCCTGGTCTTCTGTTGCGTGTGATACAGACTGAGCGTTTGCCTGCTTGAGAAGGGTGAGGACGCGGGTTGAGGGCGTGCTGGATGGCTTGTGGAAGAGGGTAACGACATTCTTCGCGCCGTGCTACATATCTAGGTAAGCTGGTGCGTCAATGGAACCCAATCTTTTACATTCATACCTCTCCGAATAACTTTTTGAACATATTGGCTATTGAGTGGTTGTGTAGTCGATGGAGTGTAGTGTCAAAGTCAATACTGGAAGCTTGACCAGGCAGCTTCACAAGGTGACGTTTGAACGGTGACGTCGATCTTGCTCGCTTGGAGCTTGGCCTAATTGTCTTAGGGCTGCGGCCAACCAGATGGGGCGCACTCAATAAGCATAATACCATACTCGTAATGAGCGGATCTAATTGCAGTCTGGCCAAGGTCCGATGATGATTGCTGTTGCAGTTATTCATGTATATATCGGATTCCACACCTGAAAGAGCTCAGTACAGTACATATATGTGCAGCTGAAGTAGTATTTTGCGGCAGTCCCGCGTCAAGATATCACATATCAAATCAAAGGTGCAACATTTCAGGACGAAAAAGCTAGTGTTTTCATAGAGCAGTCGTGCAAACCGAATGTACATGATGCGCCATGAATATGCCCCTTTCCTCCCAAAGACGTGGGGATCACCGATGTGTTCAAGTGGTCATGCCAACATGAATCACGTCGAGACTGTCCCGTCCCCTGCTCTCTGATCCAGAGTCATAACCATATAATTTCCGAGAAAGAAGATTGAATCCATGACTTTGAAAATGTCTAGCATAGCTGCATACGTCCCTTAGTTCCCTCCCAGGTGTCGACGGTCCGTTTACGAGCCAGGGTTGGGGTTCATCTATTCCCGTCAGCATCCCACGAAATTCGTACAAAGGATATTAGAGAATTTTGCGTACCTTCCTCTTGCCACCAGTCATGGTGACGTTGACGAAACGGCGGGTGTATGTGATTCTCTTCTTGGCGCGGCCCTCTGTTAACTGTTAGATTTCCATTCCATATCCACGCAGAATTATTTGGGTGATCGTACTAGGGGTCTTCTTCTTCTCCTCTGAACCTGTTGTCAGCAAGCGGATCGATGGAATGAGGCGTTAGGGGGTTACGCACGAGGCTCGACCTTACTGCGCTTTGTTAGCATGACTTCATCCAATATTCATCTCAAAATGGGTTTTACATACGGAGTCTGAGACTTGACCTTTCCGGCACGAGCGAGGGAACCGTGAACCTTTCCCATGGTGAATGTGTGTGATGAAGAGTGTTGTCGGTGGGCGAAATTTCTAAGTGGCGAAGAACGTCAGCTTCAGTCGTGCAGGTACAGGACGCCTATCGGAGACGAAATATTCGAGCGACAGCGGTCGAGGGATCCCGAGAAATATTCCAAGATGCGCGATGGGATACTCACAGGATGCGGTTGCGGTCGTGGGCGCTGGTGGGGGATGACTCTTGTCGCTGTCTTCACTGTGGTGTCTGACTTCCCAGTGGGATCGATCCGTTAGCGAGTCCACGTGATATAGCGCACTCAAGCAATTTTCATGCTCCAGCCACGATGTCCGAGCTGGGCTTACTCATCTGCAGACGCACAGACCAGAGTCCTCTTAATGCTCACTTTCATTGGCTTATTAAAACACACGTGACACGGGTCAATGCTCCTCACACAGAGTCACTTGAAACAAAAGGATCTGATAACAGAAGACAAGAAGATCAGATAATTGTGCGGATCAAGGCGTAATGATGATCCGCTAATCAAGTCTCACAACCTCACTTGTAAACACAACATCTCCAAGAGACATCTTTCCACTATCCTGTTGCGCTGGCTCGTCAACAGTATAACATCGTATGACAGCATTCTCTTTGGATACGAAGACAAGCCTTTTTTTCAATATTTGGGACTTGCCCGTGAATCGTGCAATCGTGTGATACTTCTGCCCTTTTCCCCCACCCGCTGCCTTGCGTTCGCGCTCGACTCTCCATCTCTTGTCGCTCACCTCCCATCTATATCTAGGAAACTCGCTCATCAGCTCCTGCATTACTGCCAAATATCTTTGCAGACAATCACGATGCGTTTCACCGACGTTCTTGCGCTCCTACCCCTCTCCGCAGCCGCACTCAATGTGCCCCACCCTCAACTCTTCTTCTCCAACTTCCTCGACAACAGCGAGAAGGAAGTGACCCCTAATACCTTTCCTACTGTCCACGAGTCCGCTGTTCAAGCCCGTCGCATCCTATCTCTCGAGAAGATTGGTACACTGTCGACCATTTTCCCCCAATCTAACACCCCGCATAATGCTGAACGTCGTCCCCATGACGTTTCGGGCACTCCTATCGGCTTGATGGACTATTACAGTGACTGCGAGCCTGCAACGGGAAACCCTACTATTCTAGCCATTTCCATCGCCACTTCATTCAAGAATGTTGATGCAGGCTCCAACATCACGCTCTCCCTTCGGTGGCACCGCCCCGATAACCGTCCAGTGAGCGCCGCTGGGCTCCCCCGCTTCTCGCTGGTTGGCTATCTTGAGGAAATCGACACCGAAGACGTCATCAAGCAGAATGTCCCAGGATGCTTCGTGAAGCACCATCCTGATGCTGCTTGGTGGTTGCCCGGCAACAAGATTCACACCAGCAAATGGGTCCGCCTCGTCGTTCAAGAGGTGTACTGGATCGGTGGATTTGGAGACCGCGCCTATATCGGATGGATTCCCATTGAGGACTGGCAGAGCGTAACGAAGGAGGAGATCGAGAGCATTCGTCTTCCTGGGGAGAAATCAGGCGGTTGGAAATCGTGGCTCGGAATCGACAGGCCCGAAAAGAAAGAGGCCTTTGAGTTGTAAACATCAACCTTGCACGGCATAATCAGGAAACCATGTGCAGCTGGACCTTAGGCAGACAACAACATGCGATGATGTTTACTGGGCATTATCATACTGGCCGCAGTGCATTCTTGACCATTACCACGCTTTTGCCGGTAAAGTCTGTCTTCAGAGAAGCGCGACGTATGGAACAAGAACAGCCGCATCGTGGTCTTGATCTCTTCTCCGGAGTCAATTTGACTTCCATCCAACCCTCGTTTTCGATTTGGACTTCTTAGCTCCATTCTAAATTGCCACGTAGTCTATTGCTGTAGATAGGAGGAGCACATTCAGGGCTGTCCCTTCAGCTTGTAAATACATACTATTGATTGCATTAAACTCAAATCCACCGCAAATGTTAAGTAACAGGCAATATCCTCACATGTCATCAGCAGCCTCATCTTTCTTGCGCTGGGGTTGGGGGGAAAGCCCAACTCATTCACGGATGCACGTAACGCATCAATAACTTATTGCGCTGGCGCTGGCGTTGGTGCTGGTGCTGGCGCTGGTGTCGACGAAGGTGCTCACCAACATCAACGCTGTGCCATGGTCGTCGTCGTCGTCGTCGCATAACCAATTTCGTCTACTCGCGCAACGAGACGAACAACACCCTTGAACCCTACCACTATTCATCATTGATTGCACAAACCGGCTTCCATGGAACATTCCATCAACCAGTTTTCCATCAACGCAAACCGGCCTTGACCCTGCACTGCACTGCACTGCACTGCACCGTACCGCACCGTACTTCGATGTTGTAACCCCCCAATCCCCATCGCTCGCGCACCACCTTATCTAGCACCGGTTTCCAAGCAGACACCACACCATTCCCATGAGCGCCCACACAACCAGTTCCAACTTCCAAACGCCCAGCCTCTCCAGCACATCTACGCGAAATCACCCCATAACCTACCGTTTCCACGAGATGGTAACGCGCGAACCCTAAAGCTCGTCAAAATTCCACTTTCAGCCTAGCCCCACCCAACTATAATCGTGCCGGCCGAAAGTACACCCACCTATTGTATGTACCACACAAAACCACCCATTCCCGGTTCCCACGCCCACGCACTACCCAGCCAGTGCCAGCTAGGGATCTCCCTCGGCTTGAGTTCCCTCTGTGCGCCAGAAACACACCCATTCATCACCCACCACACACAGGGTGGAGAACCGCAAGCTTCGAAGATCATGCCCCGTGTAGCGGAGACTGCCACAGTGCCACCATCCATGCCCATCCCAGCCCCGTCCCTCCTCGATTGAGTGTTCATCTGCTGCTTTTACTCCCGCCACGAAGAAGAGAATCGCATACGTGCGTGCGTCACCAAATGCAGCTCCTTGAATCCCAAAACATGGTCCTAAGCAAACTAGTTGTAGGCGCATTCTCCCTGACATTTGCACCACAATATCCGTTCTGGCAGAACCATGTGTAGATTGCACTTTGATGCCGTTGCTTTCGGCATCACTAACTACGGCGCAGCACGTGGCCTGACTCGCCCGAGAAGTATGGCAATACTCCGTGCCTCTCCATTAGTTATTGTTGTTTTGGGCCATGCAGGGAAACGGCAGCTAGAGTGATCCCAAGAGAAATGCACAGCAGACACACCATTATTCTTTGCGAGTAGGTAAACGCGGTGGGCGAGCGAAACGAAGGCGAACGAGAGAAGAAGTGGGAAAAAAATAAAACACGAGTTGCAAGTCATGATCTCTCCAAGCTCGGATACCATGGATGTATGGTCATCATCGCACGCTCCAGGTTCTACGTTGCTGGGTCGCAAAATTGAGATTAACGACCCCGATCTACGCTGGTGCTCCGGGGCCTTGAGTCGCTCACGCAGGGAGGGCGGGCGGGCGTCACGCACGTGCATTGGGTTCCGGAGATCAGCCCTCCACGGGAGGGGTGCGCTACAGGCTGTGACAGAAGTCTAAAATGCTCCTGGGAAGCGCGGCCTTTCTTGTCCTGTCTGGTCTCAGACATTTGACAACCCCCTCTCTTCCAAAGGTGTGACACACCGCCCGAGATGGCAGCGAGATGGTGGCAGACGTGTGGTTTCAAAAGATGAGGGAATAGAGCTCGTTTTGGGAGCCGCTACTGTCTCTGCCTCCGAGGTCTTCTGATGTATGCGCATTGATGTCCTTTCGATAGTTGAAGTTGATGTGGACAGAGCGTTGAAAAGCGTATTGGCAGATACCAAGGTGATCCTTGGATTGATAGAAGATTGAAGGTGAAGGATCCCCTTCCCTCGACGTTCATGTACATCCTGTCCTGTACCCTCCAGAACATGATAATCGGGCAGGATGCGCTTTCTTTTTAGCGAGCAGAATGTGGTGGAGTCTCTTCAACGGCAATGGAGTCATGAAGAAGGGCGGCTCCTGGGATCATGCTTGACATCGCAACATCCAACTACGATATGCGGCATTGCACACTGTCCGGCCTATCTCGCTTAGAACTAGACCTACTTGTACAATGATCCTCTCTGTCCCTGTACCAACAACTATGTACTTGTACTTGGATGAGAAACGCACTCCGTAGATCCAATGTTCTGGACGGGGAGAAGTTGACAGTCGGCCTGCGAATCTTCACCTAGTGTCCGCGCAACGAATGATGCGTTAAGGTTCGGGAGAGCCTAGAAGCCCTTACTGACGATTACCGCGTTCCACGGCAACGGAATATCAACGGAGATACTCACGTTCTCGACTGACAAGTGGTACATCATGGCCACAATTAAACCCTCCCGTGTGTGTACTTGTACATGTACCTGAGTCAAGCTGGACGAATTCGAATTCCAAATGCCCAGTCCCGCCACGCGGAAGAAGCCATGGTTTGACAGGGCCTATCCATCACGCCGCTCGGCCACACCCACCACCACCATCGTCATCTCCCATCGTAAATGCTCGTAGTCGGCGGCACGTACACAGTAGTCAGTTTCCTACCCTACCTTACTACACGATTTACAAGTTACAACACAACACCAAGCGCCCAAGCCAACCTGCTGCCTTACCTACTGTCCTCCCGCGATCTCCACCCTCTATTCCCACGTTAGGCCGGACTTCGCCCTCCGAAGGTCTCCCATTCGGTAGGAATCGTACGACTAGAGAACCAAGCCAGCCAGATAAACCCATCAACCTCACCTTTCCTGCGTTCATCGCAAATCCTTCCAATTCCTCGGGGAAGGGGGCGGCGCATCAATAATCACCATTGTCGACTGTATTCGTCGGGTTGTATACCTTTAGTTTCGCTCCGAAACTAGTATACCTTCCTTTACGGCGCAATTGACCCCCCCCTTCCTTCGATATGTCTGTTCTCTCTCCAATTCAATCCCGGCATCGCATCCGGATGGTGTCGTTGCGCGCACCCGCCTCGCGGCCCCTAGCAAAGGCCCCGGAGCTGATGTATGAAATGAGTATAGTTGGTTGATACGGGCGCGTGGTGGTGCTAGCCAGGCCAACGAGGGCAAGGTCTGGAAGATTTGAAAGCGTATGGTGTCTTGTTTTTTTCTTTTCTTTTCATTGCGTTTGCTTGCAGCCGTCGTGGTTCCTTAGTGATAGTGACGAGGGTGATGCGATGCGCTTCCCATTGCTTTTTTGGTTTCGCTCTCCACCTCCCGCGACCGAACTGGCCCTTTGTTCAACCTTGGCGAGAGATTTGTGGCGGAAGTCTTGAAGGATCAAGGAGAGAATGGTTTTCTTTCTTTTTGAAGGGAGTGGATGGGATTTGCTGCAATACATGTGGCTTTTCTTCCACCTCACGGCGTGTTTCGTTCGGGGTACGTGGGTTGGAAGCTGTGGAACCAGAACAGATTCACAGAATAGTTGCTTCCTTTGACCTCTGTTTCCTCTAGTTCGTGGTGACACGAGCGACGAGTTTGATTATGATTATCATTGTGGTTGTGATCGTGGATGTGCCATCTCATGTAGAAAAGATAAGCAAGGCACAATCCATCACAATCATTCTGCACCCCAGGCTCGCCTTCCCAACACAAAAAGAAAGCAAACTCTGGAGAAAACCCCCAGCTCTTCGCTCGCAAACCGTAGCTCAGCACATCCCCCATACCACGCCCGTCCTCTCAGTGCAGCCTTACAAACTAATACCTAACCTACGATGACGACGACAACGCCATCCGGATTGTCGCCAGCATCAAACTATAATTAACCAACTTAGTGTTGCTATAACATCTTCTGTTAATACACCGACCGGTCCTATATGATCGCCTAGTTCCGGAAAATCCTATAACGATAATTAATGGGCGTTGCATTATAGCCAACTATAGCGAAAGGGCAGCTATTGATTGAGTGCTGTTTGCCCTATGGGGTTCGCTAGTTCAGTCGTGTGTGGAGAGATAGTGGCGGATCCGCGGTGCGTGGTGCCGTTGCAGTTTGTTGGTGGGTGTGGATGGTCATTATCGATTTTATTTTCTTGTTTGAATCGGCTTGGACGTGGTGGAGGGTTGTGAATTATTGATTGATATCAAGGCGGGATATATGCTTTTCGATGCGATGATGAGGAAGGCCGAGGTCGGTTGAGGATAATGTGGTGTTGGCAGTGGTGTTGGCAGCGAGTGCATCTCCGAATGATGGTGGTGACAGTGCATGGATAGAATGTGCGAGTACTCACTGTATTCTTTAATCGTATTTTGCGCCGAAACTAAAATGAAGGTTACTGATGGGATGGATGCACATTATCTGAAAGCAAGAAAGCAGAATCCAGTTTCTCTCTCTGCTTCACGCTCGAGGTACACTGTGATACGTACCTACCTCTAGGTACCTACAATATATGCAACTACAGCTCAGCACTCAGCCCTACCCTAGAAGATCATGCGTTCTCCAGCGGTGATCCCATCCACTTCACACTCCCTCTCAACAAATCTCAGGCGCATGAGGCACATTTAATGAGTATCTTGACCGCCTACTTCAGTGTTTCGTCTCAGGAACGACATGCACATCATCTAAACGAAACAATCCACGCCCTAAGAAACCCGACCCCCTCGCGTTTCGAGTTGCTTCGGTCTCTGCCAGCACTCATACTTCACCATCAACATTGAACCCCGGAAATCAAAGTCCGCACGGCATAATGTCGTGAAATGGGGTTGGCCCGCCCACGCCCCAGACTGGTGATCTTCAGGACGTTCAGCAAATACACGAGTCGGTAGAGGCGGCAGATGCCTCAATGCATGAAGTGCATGGACCACCTGATATATCCCCGAGGTTTGCGCATCATTTCTCATGAATGTCGAGGATTGGGCCTGTGGAGATGGGGTGATGACGAGTATCATGTCGTGTTGGGAAGGCAGTTACATGTATCCTGGGCGAACGAAACGTGGTGGTTGTCGGTACCCAAGTTAAAGGAGTTGGTCGAGCTTGGTCAGATAGGAGTCATATAGGAGAGACAGCATTATTGCAATGGCAATAAGATCCCTTTCGCGGAGGGCGAATGGCGACAAGTAAAGAACACGTCGAGAAACTTGTTCCATGGGTAATCCATTTTCGAATATTATTGCATTCGATCTATAGCTAAAGTGAGGGCCCCTTGACTTGTTGCGTTTCTGTTATGGCGAGAGGGCGCTTGGGCCAGATCCTAGACTTGCGTAAGGTAAATTGTTAATGCGAGGGGAATTGGTGGACAATTCAATGTTTGATGTTGGGCTGCTTGAACACCGAACACGATACCAGCTAGGAAAAGTATGAGTGAATTGTTTTGAAGTATTTGAATTGGAAATATTTGATCCTGTGTCCGGCTCGACTCGAGCTGGAGATGCTCAGGTGTCGACGAATGAATTATAGTACAATTGAAGTAAAACTTCACCCAACCAGGATGCCCCCTGTTGGGTGGTACAGACCCCTCCTAGGGCATCGTGCGCTTGCTCATGCAATGACTGCGACCGTTCCAAAACAGAAATGGGGGATAGATACAGAAAATAGGTAAGGATCTCGAGGACCCAGAGTGAATATGAGAGGAAAACGCCCATGTAAATGCAATAGATGGAGAAAAACGCCCGGCCGCCGCCTAGAAGGAAAGAAAAAACGCCTTTTCGATATGCCATCCGAAAGATACCGCACGGGACAAAATAGATGCTGGTAATGGACGATGAACCTTTTCAAGGTCCCTGAAAGTAATTAAAGCCGTTCAAGCCATTTCAAATCAAAGCCGTTTGGCTTGCGCGACGCCTGGCCGTAAGGTTATTATCAACCCTTTGCAACTTCATCATGTCGTGGTAATTGTGGTGCTGGTAGATGCGTGGCAACCCCGCTCGTGTCGTTTCATGTTGCTGCGTACACTGAAGGCCTTTCCACACCCAGGCTGAGGGCACTTGTAGGGCTTCTCACCCGTGTGGCTGTGGCTGTGTATGCGAAGGCTACTCGGTCTTGAGAATGCTTTGTTGCAGGTGGAGCAGATGTAGCGATCTTGTGACTGAGGAAACGATGATTGGGCTGATGCGCTGATGTAATGATGATGCTGCCACACGCTCGAGCCGTTGGCCGCATTGGCAGGCACAGGAAGTGAAATCCCTGGGGGTGGGAAGCTAGATGGAAGAGGTCGCTGGCCGTACATGCTGCTGTTGTAGTGCGGTTCAGGAGAGTAGAAAGACCCAGAGGAAGCGGCGCCTGGAGAGGAGGTGTACGGGGAGGGTGCGTAGGCGGAAGTGCTGTACGGGGACATTGACGGTTGCGAAGGGAGTGAGTCACGCTTGATCGGTGGTGCGGGCGGCCCGCTTTGACGTTGCTGGTGCGGCTCCAGGTTGTTGAGAGACTGGCCGAGGAAGTACGGAGTGTTGGAGTGCGTCGAGGCGGTCGACGGAGACTGATTGCCGTCAACCATTGGATCCGGATGCATAGGTGGCGTAGGAGGTAAAGTAATTCTGGGGTTGCTCACGATCGTGGAAACTGGTTGCACTGCTCCTGCTACTGGACGCTGCTGGGGGTCTTGTCGAAGTTGTGGAGACGACGAGTTCCGCTGCTGGTGTTGTAATTGTGGACTTTGGTGGGCTGTTTTAATCATTAGCATTCAGTGATATTCCCTCGCCAATGGGGGCCTTTAGAGGCAGTGAGGGAAATACCTTTCTCTGATGCTGCCTTCTCGCCATCTGCAACGCTCAACAGGCTGGAAATGGACGGGAGTGAAGGCTTCTGTTCTTCCACCGGTGGAGATGGTGGTGACTGAGGGTGTCGTTGATACTGATACTCGACTGTCTGAGCCTGCGGATTCGAGTACGGACTATGTGCGGCGCTGGTGGGTGGCTGATAGGGTCGGTGAGCGGGTTGGTGAGAGTAGTAGCCCGAGGTCTGCTGCGTCTGATTGTGCGGCGAATGTGGTTGTTGTGGTTGTGGTTGGTATTGACGGTGGTGGTGTTCGTGCGCCTCACGTTCCCGGCCGCTGCCGTGTACCATACTTGCCAGCTGCATTGCCATGGGAGTTGATGGGTCAACGGGGTCACAACGTAACGTCTGCGTAACGGCAAGTCGGACCAACGAAGTGAAGGATGTGAACGAGTTATAAATGTGAATGGCAAGACGGATGGAGAGAAGGGAGAAGGGAGGGGGGAAGTGATGACAGAAAAGGAAGAGAGCCAACAGGAAAGACAGGGTGCCAGGACGTCGGGGCGTGACAACAGAGGAGCGGGACGAGTCGTCGGGCCTGCAAGCGTTCAAGTACAGTAAAGTGGGAGTAACGAGCGGTTGGCGAGGTTCAGGATGCAGAAACGCAGGCGTTAGCAGCGTCTTGGGGTGTGGGAGAGGGCCGTGGTGACCAAACCGTTGCCAGCGGTGTGGGTCAGACAGCGGCGAGGGGCCCCGGCCGTCGAGCCCTGCTCAGAGCGCTCAAGCGGCGTATGCTGCAAATTGCCTTGGAGCGGTGGGCAAGGCGGCAGGCCGTTGTATTCAAACAGCCAGCGACCGTAACGCGTTAGAAGGCAGATGGCTGGCCCGCAACGGTAATGCAGAACCTCGACGAGAAAGGCTTAGGAGAGAGATGCGCAAGCTACCATGTAATCCCTTGGCCGAGCGATCCGCTGAGAATCCCAGTTCGGGCCAATCTATACAGCGCCGGCTATCGAGCGCTTTCAGGAATAAGCCCACGGGGGCTCTACCGGGGGGCCTGGCAAGCAGTCAAGGACAGGCCGTGATGCACCGCAGATCAGCCTCTCCAGAGAAGCACGAGGAACTTGTGACAGAAGCGGTCCTTGCTCGCTTGGACCTGGCCGTATCGTGGTGCGGCTACACCGTAGATACGCTCACGCACGTTGGAGAAGGCGGTCGTTCAAGGACGACGGATAAGAGACAGGCGTTGGGTTTTCCACAGCGGATAGATGATATCAAACTATCGAGATGCGCACAAGTGGAAGTATGCGTACCTTTGGTAGGAGGTATGATTCGTTGTGTTGTAATGTCAGTAACAGTTGATCCGTTCGTTATACGATGTGTCTAATGGTAGACAGAATGGGGCGTACGAAGTCGCAAGATTGGAATTGTGCTGAGACGCTCGCCGGGGTTCGTGATGGAACGCGGACGACGACCACAAGGAGGTACTGTTGCGAATGGTGCAGTGTTTCCGCCAGTGTGGACAAGTGGGATCTTGTATCGCACAGGTACGGAGTAGGTAGGTAGGTACCCAGGTTGGTATGTAGGAGTATCAACCAGAGAGGACTCACACGAGTCGTAGTTATTGTGGTGGGGCGATGAGAGGGGATGGGTTTCCTTGATAACAAAAGATGGTGAATGAATCGTGAAATTGGATGACGGGTAATCAATGTGGGAAGTGAATATTCTGGGGTTGGGATGAACCCTCGATCTCAGAACACGAACCAACGACAGGCGACCAGATTGGGAGGAGTCAGGTCATGCGAGAAAGCATGGACGGATAGGATGTAGGAGAGGAGGGACTCGAAGACAACAGCAGCAGTAATGTAGTGTAGTTAGTGTAGTGTCGGGTAGAGGGTAGTGGGTAGTGGGTAGGTAAGATGTTGAATCGCTGACCAAGGATGACGCGGTCTAGGATGAGCAGTATTGACAGTAGGTAGATAGAGTTTCTAGAACTCTGATGGGTGGAAGAAGAGATTGTGTCGACTTGAAGCGAGAGACAGTACAAGTAGTGAAGTGGATAGGGCAGGTGGTTGAAGGTTGAAGAGGGGGGGGGGGGGGGGGGGGGGGGGGGGGGGAAGGAAGGATGAATGAATGGACGAAGATTTGCGATGGATGTCCCGATGCTGACTGCCCAGACAATTATAGGTTACTACAAGTGGTAGGATGTTGATCGAGTACTCCGTACACACAGTATGAGAGAGAGTGTGTGAGTGTGTGTGTGTGTGTGTAGAGAGAATGAAGGATGTGTTGTAATAGGTGGGTGGTGGTTATTGTTGTGATAGATGAAGCTCAAGGGGAGGAGTGGAAGGCTCCTGAGAGGGAAGAGTGAGTGAGTGGGGGATGTGGTTGTGGTTGTGGTAGTGACGGCCGTGGCAGTGGAAGTGGCAGGAGGTGGTAATAGTAATAGTCAGGCAGGCACGGGTAGGGATCAGTCACTGGTTATTAGTGGTCGGCGGCGGCGGTAGAGGCGGTGGGAGACTCGAACAGAGGGAGGGTCTGTGTTCACTTACTGTGTACTGCTAGATTCCTAGGTACGTACCTAATTAATGGTAGTGGCGGTGGTCGAATAGGCCCGTAGTAGACTGGAGGATGTACCTAATTTTACCCATAGCAACGACGAAGAAGAAGAAGCCTGTTCTGGATGGTCAGTGAGCCGATTCGATGACAGATGGATAGTTAGTTAGGTAAATAATTAGATGGATAGATCGGTGCATGTCCGAGTGAAGAATCAAAGTTGGTGACGGATGGTAGTCGGTCTATTTGTTAGTTGGTTGGTTACCTACGAGGGTAGTAGCACATAACATAGTACAGACATAGTACAGACATAGTACCGTACCATCTGTTGGTTACCCGTGGGGCCAAAGGATATTCTGGTACTCCGTAGTTAGGTGGTGGTAGTAGGTAGGTAGGTAGGTAAATCCAAAGACCACTACGACTACTTGTTAACTACTGGCCTGACTACATAGTTACGGAGTAACGAATACCATGTACATGCAAATATTGATGGTTAGGTACAGGTATAGGTAGGTAGGTAGGTAGGTAACTACTATAACTACGGAGTACTTCCTACACGTTACTATTCAACATACTTAGGTACTCACCAAACTTTGTGTCCAAGTACGGAGTGGAATAGTCGCCTCATCACCGATAATCCCAATGATCCCAATCGTGGCTGCAGAAGTCCCATTATTATTATAATTATTCCAATAAACCAATTTGAGTTTGTCCCGTGTCGCGCGCTCCCCAGCCTGGCATAGGCATGTGGTATACGGTAACTATACCTAGGCATAGCCAGCTCACAGCTGGATCATGCCCATGCCTATGCCCATGCAGCCACCCATCCCCATTCTCTTCCCCTTCTTCCCAAACCCTGTGGCTACGGAAACCACCTATTGCCAATGCCGCCACTACTGAAGAATAGGCACATCATTCGGCCGCCTATCTGCCTGGAATCGGCCAGTCACTGGGCCGCAATTGCAGACTGCTGGCGGCACAACCTCCCACTTGTAGGGATGACGAGTATGGGGGGGGCGTTTGGTTCAACTCTCTACACAGTATGGCCGGCCGTGGAAACTACGACAGTTCCTGCTGATGCTGATGCTGATGCCGAGGACGATGACGATGATGCATGCCTACCTACCTACCAACCTAAGGTTCAGGTTAGAGGTAGCTATGGCTGACGACCACCTCACAACTCTGTCCAGGCACTAGACCATGGACAACAACCAGGTCCAGTCCACTAGGTACTCGGGCTGATCAACTCCCTACTTGTACAGGGCCGCCTTCTGTAGCCAATGATGCATGTGTGTCATAACCATCTAGATGAGATGATGTTGGTAAAAGTTCGAGAAAATTCCCACGGACGCACACGGCGGAAAGCGCATACAGAACATCATCACTTTTCGATTTCACTCATTACCTCACTCCTCGAACGACCAATAGACAAGCCGATTAAATAAGGTAGTAATCAATGGACTGGACGTGTAATGTATGTGAATATGTCGACACTGGCATATATGGTTGTTGACGGTTGAACAGTAGAGGATCGCTGTAAACGTTCATCGCTCAGCGCTCAGCGTTCAGCGTTCAGCGCTCATCGCTCCTTCCTCTGTCCTTAGCTTTGCCCACCACCCACCAATGCCACCTTCCAACCACTCACTCCCTCAGAGGTTACGAGGCCTGCACAATCTCCACCACCGCACATCACACATCACGCATCAAGCATCACGCATCACACACCACACACCGCGCATCACCCATCACCCACATCACGCATGTCACACAACCACTCTACCCTCACATCACTCACCCAAATTACCCTACTACACTTCACGACTACTTCTCTACACTACCGATCTACTGTATTTACCTAACCACACAGTATCGTGTCCTCGATCTCAGCCTCCGTGGGCTTTCTCCCCTCAAGTTAGCTTATTCCAAAAAAACCATTCATCGCTTAGTAGCCAGAATGTTCGACCTCACTAGGCCAGTCAGACCGTCAGACGTATACCTACCTAGGAGGAACTCACTCACTCAACGAGCTGGCTCTCCCGCTTTCACGTTTCACGCCTCACGCGGCACGCCTCGAATAACACCCCTGCCTGACTCGTTCGCCGCTCCCAATGCCAACTACGGAGTACTACCCACGGACAAACCCATAGTCTACCACACACTCCAAGAACAATTCCCGAACTTGCGGCACCACTGAAATGTCATTCATCAGTCAATCTGAGGCCCTATGGGACGGTTCCTCTGCAATTGATGCACATAGCACATCCCACACATCTCATACATAGCAATTCATCCTCTCCATCGGTAGGGACACTCTCCCTCGATGGTAATTACCCACCGGCCGTGGTCGCTCCCTACGGAGGGCGAGCGTTTTCATCCGCTGGCAAGCGCGGGAATGACAGAGGATGCTCGACGAATGCCCGACGGTGCCGGCCTCTCCGACTAACGCCCATTTCAGTAGCTGTCTCCGTTTGCAATACGCGAGGTCTGGTGTGGACGCCGCGAGGGCGGATGGCGGCGTTGTCGCCATGTCTTGGCTACCGTTCGTCTGTGGAGGATCTCTCACTTGAGGCGGGTCGATCAGCACAAGCGTATGCAGCTAACCCTGAAGCCACGTTGGCCTGCTGTCACCCTCGCTGATGCTACACGACCCAACCTGTCGTATGCAATCCTTTGAGCCCTCCCATCTCGTCTTCTTCCTCTCCCTCCCATTATTATTCACACTTGTTGCATCACACATTTAACCGAGGTGGCCGCTAATCGTCACCTGGGAGCCCCCAACAGCCCAAGCCATCTCCTATCGCAAGTCTGGCTCCTCCTACTGTGTCACTACTCCATCCAAAGCTTCGCATTCTATTCGGTATTCCCACGCAAAAGCATCACCCACCCGGAGCACTAATGTCCGTACCATAGCTTCGCCAGTCTGCTGACTGGAGGCCCATCAAAAAAGAAATGGAAAAACCAAACAACACCACACACGAAGCGAGTGCGCAAGGAAGCATGCCCCTACACACTCACACACTCTTACACCTATACGGAGTACTTTGTAGAATGAGTGCAACCTATGCTCCGTACTGTGTACGGAGTATATACAAGTGATACCATTTTGCGAGCTTGGGCAAACAGCCGTGCCACTCTAGGTGTAAGTTGCCCCATATCGTCATCCACGTGCCTTCCGCGTCCCGGGGTCTAGAAAGATGGAACGATGGTATTACTTGCCAGGGTGACCGCGACCATAATACAGTAGGTAAAGCAGGAGAGGTGAACGCACGGAGAACATTCTGGGTGGGTTCCGTCAAGAACAGGTTCCCTGGAGGAGATGAAGGATGGCATTCAGGGTTCCCTATCCAGGACATGCTTCCCTCTCTGGTATAGTTGCCTGCCGTGCGATTCGTTGACCGACTCCCAGTACCCTGGATCTTGCATCCGCTGTGGAGATGACGGACTGCAGCCGTGGCCTCGGGAGTTATTGGAGATGTGCATACGAGACCTTCACAGAAGACTATCTAGTGCACACATCATACGATGCAGGCGAGATTTGGTACGCACACGGCTTGCTCGGTTCGTTCAGTTGAGAAGATGCGAAATGCTTGCTCAGCGCAGAACCGCCCACAGAAGGCAATGCCAAGTGTAGATAACCCGGTGCGACGGACAATTTACCTGCGTGGCAGGGAAGGGGCGCATGATCTTCCGGGAGTGCACCAACGAGGCTCGTCATGGTCTGAGCGAGACGAGCGTGGGAGACTTGGGCAGGGATACAGAGGCGTGGGCCGAGGATGACCCCGTCGTGGCCGCCCCCTGGCAGAACAAGCTTAGGACTCCACCATCATGTTTCGGCGCGGTCTCCAGCGATGATCACTCGGCTCTGTCAGCAACGGTACTATTGTTCTCGAGTGGCAGCAGCGGTGCCTCTCTAATAGCGGCTGTGTATGGAGCCGGGGCGGATAGGCTATTCGCACGTGGTAAGCCTTCTCGAAGTCTTTGTGCTAAATCCGTCACTGCTCCGGCACCTCACAGGATCTCCTTGCGTTTTCTCTTCGTTAGCCTTCCACTTGTCACTGTGGATAACCCCTGGACGGCCATATTCGGTATCAGTTTGCTACAATAGCTTCGGGTTAATTGGAAAATGCCGACCATGTGGTTCTGCGTCTCTGCAAATCTCACACGAGTCACCAAGTAGCGTAGCGTCGGCACCCTTGAATGACAATAATCAAAGGACATCGTACGCTCTGTCTCCTCTTGGAAAGGCTGCCATGGTGTACAGATATCTGATTGGACCTCAACCCCCAAATCATGCTCATGATCTGCAGCCTCGTCCGAAGATGCATTGACTCGCTGGGGATCTCGGATGATGATGTGCTGGAAGCAGACAAGCGCTTTGCGCCTCGGGCCCTCAAAAGTCGACTGCTCATCCCCTCGCTTACGCGCACGTTTGGCCCAGTCCTTTCAAGTACCACAAGACGATCATCCCGGCTGCCGCATCTCGGCACCTCTCTATGCGGGAAGCCATGTTTTGGCCCTGCCGACAGTGGTGTTCATCGGCGCAATTTCGAAGCGTTATGAATCTACGTCGCAATTCAAAACTCTCCATTTATATCACCAACTCTCCATGTAGCGGTCAAATGGAAAGTCTCCAATGCAACAGACATCGGTACCCCAACCATTATGTGCATGTCAAAGCAGTCAGCACTCAATGCCGAATTGGTGCCGGCGGCACGTGAACATGCAAAGCCCCTGTAACACCACAGAGTGTCCTGGAGCCTTCGCAATCTTCGCAAAATCTTCTAGGCCGTCGCCAGGATTCGAAAACCTGTGAAAACGAGCAATAGCCGCGGACCATAAGGCTACAAGAGACGGATCCCACACGCATGTATGCATGCCTACTTCAATGTACTCCGTACAACAGCGTCAAAAGAAATAATTGTTGGAATAGCAAGCAACCTTGCGCTCATGATTGTCGTTGCAGCAATTGTTCGTAACACAAGACATATTACCCCGGTGCAATGTGCGTCGCTACGATCCAGCGTCGCCCCCTTGGACCAACCCCGTTGCCCTGTTCTCCGCCTTCCACAATAGAATTCTTTCCACTATGCAATCCAATCCTATTGTGGACTTGTCATTCCCGTGGCAACACAATAGGGCAACACTTAGGGTTGCAAGGTTCTCCTTGGATCTCGTGCCAATCCATCCCAGGTTTCTGCCGAAATGGTAAACTACATCTCCGTCCAAGCTCAGAGTAGAAGCTGTTCCTTCAGGGATCTCCCATCCTAACGGTCTCGTACAAACCTGGCCTGAGAGATAACGTTCCAACGCTTTCCCCAGGGTGGCTATTAGGCGAGATGGGCTCTTCGAGAATTTTTCTTGCGCGCCGACCGGCCTTAAAGGACCAGATTTCAAGTAGAAATGAACTCGGCGCAAAAGGGACGATGGGAGCGCGCCCTCAAGACATTCACTTTCCAGACTCGACTACCAAGATGTTGAAGAGCGCCCAATATCTTAACATTACCTCTTACCTGCATAAAATATCGAAATTGTTCGTTATTATAGGCCCAACCCTTGTTATTATGGACATCATTATCGTGAACCAACAGGCCAGCAATCAATCAAGAGGACAGGCTTTTCCAAAAGCAGTACAAGGCGTGGCCAGAACGGGAACTGTCACACTGGACGCGCTACGGATTCGGACGTAATGTGTGTAGACTCCCTGATCATCTCGGCCCCTGTCCATGCGTCGACCGTTTTGAGGATATACTCCGTTATCCATAATGCCACCACATGGTCCCAGGAGCGGCTGAGGAAGATCCAGCTTGAGTCCTGACCACCAACACAATTGTTGCTCTCGGTTAGGCTCTACACGTCCCCGGGTCACTCTCTCAGATGCCAAGTCTGAGATCAGCCGGAATGCACAGCTGCTTCTTCCGCTTCCATTTGGGTCAAGGGTTGTGCCATTGTGGTTGCTATTGTTGCATTGCACACAGCAGAATTTCCAATTCATAGGTAGGTTCACTCGCCGAAGGGGATGTGCCGTCGTAGCGTACATGTTCCGTGGTGCAATACAGTGTAGGAACGGCCATCGGGAATGGCCCTGTGCTCCTGGCGTGGCATTCGAGCTCTCTTGAATAATGTCCAGTTCACCACCACCATTGAAAAGGATGAAACGCACGCGGCTCGTGGCTATAGCCTCTTTAGGTCACGAATTTTGTCTGTACAAGAGATATCCGCATCAGACCCACTCACAGATGAAGCCATGAGCCTCCCTTCCAGCTTTGCAGAACAATCAAGGCCATCCAAGGACTGCATACCAGGGGCGCCTCTCCACGATGATTGTTCCCAGCCGATCGTGATTTCCCGACATGATGTGCGATCCCTTGTTCCAATTGTTGGAATCCCCGCGGGTGCTCTCCTTATCCTTGTCGAACCGAGCAATCAGCTCGTGATGCGTCAGAGCATCGCCTCCACCAGTAACGTTCGCTTCGGGTTGCCGTCCAACTCCCATGTCACTTCTACAAACGCTTAGCGGCATGCAAAACGTCCTAAGTCGCCGAGCATGATTCGCAGACACGGGCTGCCAGAGGATTTAGGTTCCCTTCCGCACCGGTAGCCAAACGCTGCACCGTTTTCAAAGTATACATCAGGGTCCTACCTGGATATGACATAGATAATGGTGCAATAACCGAAGATATAGCGGGGCCGCCTGAGATCCAGTTGCAAAAAGCCATCGAGGCCTTCTCGACCCACGCTCAAGAACTATTGATTCACGGTAGCACACAGCAGTTTACCAGCACGGCGGCTCCACCGCCAGGATACGATCACATTGTACGATGAGTTACAGTACACGGATGTGATAATGGCGCTCTGCGCGGCGTCCTCTGCATCATGGCTCCAGGCAATCGTACGATTTTCTTCGATCCTGACATTTTGCCGGAACATTTCCACCACTTAGAACCTACTGATGCCCCGAGACAACCCCTTGTTTGTGAAGGATGGCGATCGACATATCTTTCCTCCAGAAACAGGATCTGAGGCTAGGGTTGGTCGGTCGCCCGCGTGAAAACCTCTCTACTCCGGTAGCACGTGCGGACTGATCTGAAGCCCTGTAAGTCGTCGTCACACTCATCAATTTTTTGATTTGAATGTGTTGCAGCCCATGCCTACTTGGCTACCAACTGCATCTCCCTGATGTATGGCATTGGGGTCACTCTACTAGCAAACTGATATGTCCTAGGCGCGTGTAAGTAACTGCTACTAGGTGGAAAGTCCATCGACGATGCGATGTGACATTCACGATCCTTCATGCTTTCTAAGAACCCCTCGTCTGGCCATTCCTACTCGTAGATGCCAGCACCTCAGTAGCCATGGGTCTGATCTTCGTTCTGTCCATGGGACCGTCCCATCTGACTCGCGGGACCACTCCCGAGATCGCGGATGATTGCAACCATAAGCTATCTAAGGATCCACTGATCAATATGCAGGAATCAACTTCGCCATAATACGTAGAGCTCCATGACAGTAAGCACACTAGGAGAAGTATTTGGCAGGTGTCGCGGTTTTCTGTACCTTTTTGCATCAACCAACTGGTAGTCTAGCGAATACCCATTGAAATTCTCAGTTGACTACTCCCCATCCCCACTCCAGTCGGTATCTGTTCGGAAGTATCCTTACGGTCAAGAGCCAAACGTCTGCATGCATAGCACAAAGCACGTCAATGTCCGATGCTACTGCACGGTGGAGATTGCAGTTTGGTCTAATGTAGAAACAGGATAACGCTAGACTATCAATGTTCTGCAAGGATTTTCGACAGAATACAATCGGCAGGATGGCAGCCGCTCTCTTCACTAAAGCGGCGAGTCGGCGCGGCGGGAAGACTCAACCTGGATGCCGGGCTGGTGGCTCATTTGCCTTTCCTGCAAACAGTGTTTGTCTGGGATGTTATGTTACTCTACTCGGATCCTTCGAGTGTGTTGCATATCATCATTGGCAATGTGTGTGGAGAAGGCAATAACACAACTCGCGGGATCTCCATGGGTTTCTGCTGATCTGAGATGCGTCAGTCCTCAGCAGAAAGCCTGCTGGATCAATAAGCGCTTTGTGGGGAGCTGGAGGATCATTGTACGACAATGACGACACTTGGATGCTGGGCTTCAACTTTCAACACTCTGGATGCTTGCCACACTTCGATCCTGAGGTATCTGGGGTGGGGCGCTGATCTTGAATGACCGCACGACTGTGGCAGCCACGGGTGAAGAGCATTAGGATGGATTTACCTCAACCTTCTGCCCACTCTGCAGCAATCATACGACCCGTGAGAAGGCATGCATATCTGGGCTCTATCCCCTTCACTTTCGGTCCATCTTTGGCACGAGACAGTATGTTGATGGATCACCGATCTCCTCTCCCACCGCATCGCATCTTACTCGCTACCAATCCTGTAAAGATATTGCAAACACGGCCATTCGTCTTCATAATTCAATAATCTACAGCGCATGACGCATAGTCGATCACTTGTAGTCTGGTCGAATGACGTCCTAGGGATAACATCAATTTTGCCTTGCCGAACCCTCTGTGCAAAGGGGGATCCCAGTCTGACATGGGCGGCAAGTCCGGTTGCATATTGCATCGCCCACAAGCGAACCAGCACAATTTATTACTTCCCGGTCAGCCTCAACACGGTATATGATCTCGATATGAGGCTGGAGAAACTTCGACATGGACGACACCAAATTCGCATGCCCATTACAGATTTTACAACCTTGTTGTTGATCCACGCCCTATAAGAGTGATGAGCAGGCCTTGCAATGTTGTGCACATGCAACTCGACATGACTAAAAATGGTCCAGAATAGATTGAAAGACCCCGGAACCAGCGGCGCCCGTCCAGATTGATTCATATGAGGCATCCGCCTTGGTATCTATCAAATCTCAGTATCGAGCTCAACCATCCGATCGCGCTGCCTGGTGTCCTACAATAGCACCTTGAGGCTCAAATAGCAAACCTCGGGGTAATTACTGTAAACTTGGTCCATGTCATTTCATACTATGTATATATAGGACACGGTATGGAAATATCAGATAGAGCGGTGCGAGGTGGATGGCTCTCGTTACCTTTCAGGTAGAGCAACCCACGGCATCCGATAAAGACAAATGGCTATCTCGTGGTCTGACAATGGCTTCAACATCGTCAGATCACGATTCATGAAAAACATGCTCTCATCGCATCCATGTCTTGAAAACTCTTTTCCTTCCTCTAAGTCATCGGACCGATCCCCATCATCAACACCGCCGTGATCGCTCGCATACATGATGAAACAGAATAATTCTCTCGAGCACATTCATCCATCACAAATGTCGTCGATTCCTTGCCAATGTACCGAGCGCGATCGGCGCCCGGCAAAATACGTGTGAGGATTCCACGCCTGACCGGTCCATCGGTGCAGCCTTTTTGCCTTATACTCGGCGGCCGTGGTTCACATCCATACACAGCCATGTACTAAGCAGAACGCATTGTCGCAGATGCCCTACCGGCTCTGCCAGGAGCTATATCAAACCCGGTAGTGGACGGCCTCATGGTCTGAAGTTGTTTCACACTCTGGAGACGTCGAGAGATATCCCGGTGCCCGAGCAAACGAGCGAATCTCCTGGGTTGCTTACTAACCATCTCTATAACACAGATAAAGTGATGAACTACGAGGATGGTGAAGAACATCATTTCAATATAGACACGAGTCCCTTCCAAGCAATGAATTCTCGGACTCTATTCTTTAATCTTTTGAAACTTCATCGTTCCCAATAAATCGAAAATGAAATACTTTAGTTATTGTGTTGTAGTTTTCCTCCCACCTTATAAAATCATTTCACTCTTTATAAAAACAACCAACGAAGATTGATTGAAACTCCTTGAAGACCACCACGCATGCTTCTGCGTTGTAGAAACCCTATAACGATATTCAAAATGCCTCACTATGCTTTTCAAAAATGTTGAAATAGAATTAACTTTTTGGTGTGGATAGGGTCCTCGTTCAACACGTCTGACAAGTTCTGCGCGTGTGTTGGTCGATTAGTGAGCTTTGAAGAAAGACAAGACGTCTGCAGTAGACCACACGCGCTGTTCCTATGAATTATTCGATTCGTAAGGGTTCGAAGTTCGAAGCCTCAGTAATGGTAGTATTTGATTATCCTGTTATTTGCTCCTATATTTACGATCATGAAGGGCTCCATTGTTGTCGGTGTATTGCATAGGAAATGAATGAAGTAAAGAATAAAGGAAGAGATGGGTAAAGTTTAGCATTAGTCGGGGCTGTTGTAGAAGATGCTTTTCATTCTGTTTTGGCGGGAATATCGTTTACTTCAACTTGGTATGTTCACCCTGTCTTATGCTTTGAGCCATTATCTGTGTCGGATAGATGTGATGCAAGGGGACACGACATGAAGGCTTAATGTGCTACTTATTCATAGGACGACTTTTTTTGGGAGACTGTATGGCATATGTAGTCGAAAAGGATTGCATTATCGTTTATACGCGTAAGTTCATATATGGATCATATTATCAATCTCAGACCCGTTGATTATCAATCCTCGTCCAGATTGGCTTCCCTGTCTTCGAAGACCATGAACTCTCCGGCGTCAGCGCCCATAATTTTCGACCAGATCTCATTGACTTGATCCAAGATGGAGTCATCGAAGGCCAAATCCATTGGGGCCGGGGGGAAGGTAAGTATTTGATCAGATGAACTTGGCTGTGACATTCCTCCGCTCTGTTGTACGTATTGGCAGGTCCAAAGGATGACTGGGCTGGGTGTGACGTCTACTATTGCAAGCAAAGCATCGACAGCGCTTTTGAGGCTAGCTAGGCCAGGCTCACCGACTGTAGAAGTGGACGCGTAAAGTATGCCTATCAACTATAGTCAGTTACATGCATGATGGGTTTGGTGTTGACTAGGTGCAGTAAATAAGGGGTGCATCAGGTTGTCAGAGGATAATTATCTTCAATATGATTCAGATAATGTAGATAAGTATTCGTATGGTTTGATCATCATAACAGCGAAGGAAACATCAGTAAGAAAAGAAGGTTGAGACTTACTTTGACCAGGTGGACATTCCCCTGTATCGCTTGAGTGAACGAAGATGTGAATGGGCGCAGTGTTACGTGCGTCATTGGAATCTTTGAGCAGTGATACCGAGCCAACAGGGAAGACAACAACCGCAGCGGCTGGCGCAGGTGCCTCTTCCGCTATTGGGGGGAACAAAGTGTCGAGGCTTGAGGAGACAATTGTGATGGACCTGGAGCAAGCCAAGTCCCGAGATTGATGCCCCGATCCTTCAGTAACTACGCACTTTGCGGTGACAATTTCACCGTCTTTCAGGCGAAGCTTGACATCAGAAGCTGTATTGTGTGCATCTCCGGTAGGCATAAAGGAAGTATCTAATCCTTTTCCAAGGACGTAGACTCCACCGCCGACTGCCGAAGCACGGCACGCGACTTGGGTGATTTCAGACATACCACCCCATTTTGGTATGACGGCACCGAACCCAGCACCGAAGACGCCAATGGACCGAAGGTGTCTGGCTATGCGTGGTAGTGCAAACTCTGTAGTGGTGTCTTCAGGACTAGCCACGGAGAGCGTGAGAGCTAGCAGTGGCGAATGCAAGGTAGTAGGTACCTTGAACTGCTCCGAGAGGAAGCTATGAAAAGCTTTGTTTCGATGAGGCTGCCATATCTCAGGCTCCTCTTCATACTCGCTGATGAAACGCAAAAATTTCATCAGCGCACGCTTTGCCTTGAAATCAAGTACTTGGTCTTGAAACACGTCTTCTCTGCCATTTGGGACCTTAAGAAGTTGTGCAGGACGAGGGGATTCCTCTGCCCCTGTGCTACCAGAAGCATGTGAAGCGGGTGAGTAGACCCACCAGCTCCCAACAGCGAGGAACTCCAGCTGTCTATAGACTTTGGAAGAGACAAGAAACTGGAGGAGGGTTGATCGAGCGTATATAAGCTGGGGGCTTAACGCAAGACTGTATGCTCTTGATGCACGCAGAGGGGATGCTATAGTAACGGCGTCGGGAGGTGCAGTTTGCGAGGCAGACACTTGGGAAAAGGTAGCGTCGGGTGAATCTACGACGGTAAGCAGGTAACAAAGACGAGAAAAGGGCGGGCGAACAAACCATCATTCATCTTGCTCGCCCACAACTCGGCCTCTTGTAGACTGAAAGCAGCCTCTGCACCGCCATAGTAATCATTTTCATCGACGTGTAGGATCTTCTTCTCTGAGCGCGACAGGGCTCTTCAGGTGCTGCGTCAGTCAGATGGCGTAAAGTCATCAAACATGCGCTGAAAGACGTACAGGGCAAGCAGGGACTGCTGCAGGCCAGTCCCTACGATCACCACGTCCCATTCTGTTTGGTCGAGTGTGTCCATGGTGTTGGGGAGTTTGAAAGGTTGAAGTTGGGCTGGGCGGAAGAACTTAGCTGCGTTCTTAGTGCGAGTATGACTAATCAGAGCCATGAAAACCTTTCTGCATCCTGGCCTCAAATCTCTCCTCCAACGCGCACGCTGAGGACATGGCTTCTGTATAGCAATGGCCGGAAAGCATAGAGGCTTCATTGACTCTTGACGGTGCGCGTGAGAAGGACCCTCGTCCGGTATCTACCGCTTTGGATTTCAACTGAATAAGCGGCTCGAATGTGGCGATACATCTACTACTCTCATTGACATTGATCTGGTTTGTCTGAGAATCTGCTAAGTCTACCCACGACAACAACTTCTGTGATATGAAGGAAGTATACGTTGATGTTCTATTATTTAGAACGGGGGAAAAGAGCAAACCTTTGCAAATCCCTTCGTGTCCAATGTAACGATCGATGGAATACCGGAAGAGTTCCATATTGATCTTGGTCATCTAGTCAAATTACGTGCTGCGAATTCCTCCATGATCTTGTTGAGTTTGGCGGATGATTGGGAACATTTAGATGGGCCGTCTTGCGGATCTCGTGGAACCCCTTGATTTCCGCCAATCAACGCTTATTGTGGCCGGTCATTTCATGCCCCTGAACGACACAAAAAAGTAATGATGAAGTCTGCAAATTGTTACCTTTATAGTTACGACGTAAACTTCAAATCCATCACAAAAAAACCACTCGTTCCTAAAGGTGCATATCTTCAATGGTCTAGTGGTCATGATTTTCGCATGTCAATATCCTCTCGGATTACCCGGCGTAGGAGACGGAGAGTCATATCTTTTTCGTTTGCCTTTTTGGCCATGTTTGTGATTGTTGTGGAAATGAAAGTTGTGGTGAGCTGGGTGAATGCACGTGATTCACACCTGGGCTGTACTCCAGACTTTTCGGATTCTCCACCAGGGCAGGACAGTGGTTAATTTTCGCAAGTGTATTTTTGGTACTATTTGTGAGGATTGATGCCTATTAGTCCAGGCTACTACCTTTAGTGTGTGTCCGTAATGGTGAGCGCCTTGCCCGTAGCAAAGGTCTTCATCTGACGAGTCTCCGATCAACGGGCACCATGGTCTATATATAGAGCATTTTACCCTTCACGAGCTAAGTTGCTGTCTTTGGGTAGGTTGCATGTTGTTGGATTTGGGGTTGACCTTCCCATTGTCTGAGGGCGGTTGTCATGTGGATACTAGAGAAATGACATAAGGCAGATTCATCACGGCCTACGGGGAAAACATAGTGTTTTAATTGATGTTTATTTCATTCTTGAAGCTTCTGTCTATCTTTGATGATGCAGCTTATGGCTTCTCATACCCAAGTTTGAGTCCGTCCATGAAGTGCATATCTCAAGCTGTAGTCAGCGTGACATCTACAACTTGGCAAGAACGGCGTCGGCACCAGAGACCTGACATTCGTTAGTGTCTGTACTATGGATGAGGTGATGTGGAAAATATAAAAAAGCAGATTGCATCCGTATATTCGCTCAGTGTGTACTTACGGTGACCTGGCCAGGAGACTCCTCGTGGTCGGCATAGACGATCTTGCCGTCAGTGCCGATGGCGATGGCCCAACGTCCACTGTCCACGTGTTAGCAAAAACTCTCCATGTTCGGTGTTTCTTAACATACTTGCGGTCAGGGCCAGCACTCCAGCCGTGGTTCTTGGAAAGACCAGACTTTGTGTCGCTGAGGAAGAGCTAATGTTGTATTAATAATCTGCATCCGTAGATGATCATTGTATTTGATCCCGTTACTTACAATATCATCACCCTGAATGCCGTTGATCTTGCCCCAAGCATTCATCACCCAAGCGTCATTTGAGGCAATGACAGCGACGACATCGACACCCTTGCTCTTGAACTCGCCGAGCTTCGCAATGTATCCAGGAAGGTGGTTGGCCTGGCAGCTGGGAGTGAACGCGCCTATGCCGTGGTGTTAATTGCGGCCTAAAAGTATGTGACGGCGGTGCAACAAACCGGGGACGGAGAAAAGAACCACCTTCTTGCCCTTCCATTCCTTGCTCGCATCGTATTCTTGAGGACGGCCGCAAGTCTTGGGGTCGGAGTCAATGATAGGGACCCAGCTATGTATCTCTCCGTTAGCTAAGAGCTCCGTACTTTGTGCTTGGTGGGGTTGTATTGTTAGATGCCGGACAGGAACGGGACTCACTCAAACTTGACCCCTTCCGGGAAGCCGTCGCCAACCTGTAGAGGTGCCATACTGAGCAATTGAAGTTTGGGATTGAGAAATTGAGTAGTGCTGGTAGAGTGAGAGTCGGAAGCAATTGAGAGGAAGTTGTGTCTCGGTGCGGATACAAGTGAAGCTTCAGCCGTCTGTTCGGCATGGTGGGGCACTAATGACGCCATAAGGGCCTCGTGGCACCTTCGGAGGGCTTAATCATCGTCGTTGACTAGTTAGTAACTAGTTAGTTACCTCAGTGTCTAGATATTCCATGTTCGGGACCCTAATTCCAGATTCCAGATTCCAAATCATGCCCAATAATAGGGACGGTTTCAGTTTCGTGCAACGGAGCCATGCCTATGAACCCTGAATGAGTTCAGACATCTCCGCGTCTTTTCCGCATCGGCACCATCCGAGCATGCCGTATCGATCGCTGCCGTACGATTACGAGCGGGATGAGCACTAGACTAATTGCGACGGCGCCCTATGATAACGGTGAAGATGGCTTTTGAACGTCAATCGGCATTATTGCCGTTTGCTTATGAAGGACGGCATGTGAAGTATCATTCAACGACAGTAGGTATATATAGGCTGCTCTTTCCGAGCATTGGACCATTATCATCATCATCATCATCATCATCATCATCAACATATTCAGTATTCCTCACAGCTATACCTACTATCTTTGAAGTCCACCTTCCGTCCAATCAAGTAATTGATATCCTGAATCATTTGTATCAATCCAACATGTCTCTTCCTCCGCCTTTCACGAAAGAAACCGCTCATCTCAAGGTTAAGAAAGCTCAAGATTTGTGGAATACCCAGTAAGACCTCATGACCTGAACTCTCTTGCACCCGCTAACTTTTAGCAGAGATCCTGCCAGAATTGCACAGGCATACACGCCTGACTCTGTTTGGCGTAACCGTGGATCCTTTCTCTCGGGAACTGCTGCGATTGAGGAATTCTTGACCGCGAAATGGGCAAAGGAAACCAGCTACACGCTTCGTAAGGAGCTCTTCGCCTTTACCGACAACAAGATCGCAGTGCAGTTCTGGTACGAATTCCAGGACAAAAATGACGGTATGAAATGGAAGCGTTGTTATGGGCTCGAGGATTGGACCTTTGCAGAGGACGGCAAGATGAAAAAGCGACATATGAGCGGCAACGATATTACTATCAACGAGGCCGGTAAGTTATCACCCACTAGCCAGGTCCATGTTCACTATGCTCATTGTATATTTAGATCGATGGTTCAAAGATGGTGTTGATGTCAACGAGGTACCCCTCAGTGCGTCGCACTGGTAGGGTCATTGCGGAGAAAAGTACGTTTTCGAAACGGGGTATCATTTGACGCGCTTGTATATATGAACTTGAAGAGGAAGGCTGGGGCTCAGGCCGGAGGAGTGTCGTGTATCACGACGAGAATGTATTTAGAATCTAAGCATGGGATTAGCCTGTGCTTGTCGCTCACTCTGTCTCATTACATACCTGGTACAATGACAAGCTCATTTTTCTTCGTCCGTAACCTAAGTAGCTTGACTTCATCCTCAGTGTCCAGTCCGTCGACCAAGTCACCAGCTGCTGTCAAAAACGACCAAACCATGCTTGCGACATCCTCCGCATTGTGTATGCCACCCTCTTTCCTCGTGTTGGTGTAATTGTCCGCGCTTGTCTCGCTCGATGCTGGCAGCGTGCTGTTCGGATTTGCGGATGCACTTTTCGAAATCAGACCCGACGTACGGACAATGGCACCGGTGTCGCGAGCTAGGACGAGGGTGCTTTGAACCCCAGGTTTTTGACTGAGGCGCGTAAGTAGAGCGAGTGTGTCGTCTGGCTACAATGGCGTTAGCAAAGAATTCTAGCTCGAATAACCCAATTACGCACTGTGTTTTGGGCCATCGCAGCCAAATGATAACGCAGAGTATTGACGCAGAGTATTGACAGAGAGGGCGCGCAATTTCACTATCGAGGCTCGGAGGTACCCAGGCTGTTATTAATGTTTGTTGGCAGTGGATCTGCGGAGCTGGTCTGCCAAGGCGGCAAGTCTAGAACGGATTAGCGCAAGATGATTGAACCAAAATTTCAGAAACAGATATCAGCTCTTTTTCACGAGAAAACACGATTCAGATCAGGATTAGAGTTGCCACCACTGTTCATCTACGCCTGTGTTTCTGTATGTTCATGTGCCGAGGATAAATCCTACTTCAAGGAAACGTTTGGGTAGCGAAACACGCAGACAAGATGGGCTCAAGCGCGAAAAGAAAGAAGGAAAAGAAACAGGATTTCCAGGTAAAACTTCTAGATAAATTAGATTCCTAGCCTATTTGCTGACCATGAGGGCAGAAAACTAAACTCAAAGTTGGCAAAACGAAGCCAAAGGCTGCCAATTTCACAGACACAAGCTTTAAAGCCAAATGTAAGATCAACCCAACGCCATAAATCCTGACGAGTAACCTAACAATTCATAGCAATCGTCTTGACGCAACAATCGATATCTGCAAATGCACCTACTGTCGCTGCACAGTGTGCACATCATCTTGGTCTACTCACGCACAAATCTGATAACCAAAGACGCGACTCTCTTTCTTATTTGACAACCGCAATTGCGACCAATCTTCCCGGCACTCCACTTCCCCAACCGGCCTCAGTCATCATTCCCGCAGTCCAAAGATTGATTCTGGATGGAACTAACTCCGTCCGCCAGCAGCTTTTGAAGCTCTTGCAAGTTCTTCCAAAGGCAGATATCGCCGGTCACAGCGATCAGCTCCTGCTTCATACCCGAGCAGGTATGACGCATCTATCCACGGATATTAGAATATTCGCGCTGGACGTCCTTGAATGGCTGCTTTCGATAGCGGGCGATGAAGTTGTCAGTTGCGCGGGCGGATGGGTGAAGATGCTGAAATGTTTCCTTGGCCTCCTGGGCTGGCAGAGCGAGGTCGTCGGCAAGTGGTCTGCGCCGAAATCGTTTGGCAAGTCTGGAGGTGACGCCAAAGTGCAAGTCAAGCAAATGAACGCATTAAGCTCTTTCCTCAGGGCAGGATTGGTACCATCACAGACAACGCCGCAGGGCTCGTCAGGGGGACAAAGTTTTCCTCTGTGGCAAATTGAGCATCACAAATTGTCCGACCGCTCGAACGCATTCGCACATTTGAATCTATTCGGATCTGCACGAGACGAGGAAGCTGAGATGTATGAAGATAGGGAAGATAGGCAACGAGTGTTCCACGATCGCGCGAAGGCTGCCGTTACTGTAGGACTCGATATTGCCACCAAGGGTGGTGGCGAGCTCGGAAGAGCTGCTGCTCAGATGCGGAAAGTTGTACGTGAAGGAATGTCGGATTATCACGGAGAAGAAACAATTGCATAGGTACTTTGCCTTCCAGGAGTCAAGGAGCGTATGGTCGAAATTATTTAATACCCAAATTAGTGCTGAATATATTTACCGAAATTTCTATTTGAACTAATTGACTCTGGTAATGCATCGGCATAAGAGGTGACGCTTGCCGCCACCTAAAACCCAAGACTGCTATTGGCTGATGATATGTTGTTGAAGGTATGCAATGAAATGGTATATTTGCAGTTCGTAATTCATAAATAGTGTAAGTGACTGGCTATGCATGTTCATAATAAGAATGCCGTGTCCATAACGCAGTGAGCACCGACTGCAGAGCAAGAGCCACAAGTTCACGGCCCTTTTTTGTAAGGATTGAATGTGGCTGGTGCGATTGCTCTCTTCGGTCCAGTAGAAGCAGTTGGAGAATTGGAATTATGTGCGAGCGGAATAACTCCCTGCTCTGCAGTATTTGAAGGACGACGGAAAGAGCTCAGAAGATTTTGGCGCTCTTCCTCTATTTCAGTGTCGGAAGTGAGATCAATTACACCGTCTTCAAATGGTTCAAGTGACCAAGAAGGTGGAGGGCGCTTGCGCGGTCTTGGAGGAGCTGGCTTTACCGGTTGAGTGTCTTTCACCACGTTTCGCCTCAGATCCCGGTTTTCTGATGGCTGCATGGCGTTCGGTTTGCTGGGAATATTCGAACTTTGTAGTGCTGGCGAAGAGTACACGTTCGCGTTACTCATTTGCCCCCCGGCATGGGGGGTAATAGTATTCTGCACTGAGTGATTCGGATACGGTGACGGGAATGAGCTCAGCAAACTCTCAGACGGAATGGGCTCGGAGCTCCATACCATTGGGGCAGTAGGTGCACGGAAGTCATCTGGCCAAGGGTAACTTTGTTGATGGACCTCCATAGCATTTGGAGTTGGAACCATGGGCGAGTTTGGGATAAGTAAAGGTCGAATCGGCGCCGGGTGGGACGCAGGAGTTGGCTTTTTCGGTCCTGATATGACTAGAGTCTGACTTTTGGCCGGAAAAATTGTTCTGGAGTTTACACTATCCTGTTGATGATCTACTGCTGACCCACTGCCCACCCGTGGCCTCTTGCTCTTATGCGAAGTATCGTTGAACGGAGCATCATGACGGAGTGTTGATGGAGAATTTGCAGTGGGTATTTGTGGTTCAGATACACTGGCACCGCTCTGTAGCATGGTAGGGGAAAAGCTCGGTTCTGGTTTTGTAGCACTTTGCAACAATGGCCTCGACACTCTCACCGACCGATCGATAGTAGTTCCATTGATAGCCCCTCGATATTTTTCTAGATTGTCGATGTAATCCCAGATGTACCTCCACACCGGCCTGTTCATTCTCAAATCCACAAAATTCTCGCGGAGCTGGTTACGGAGATAACGAATATCGCCCAGGAGTAATCCATTGCTTCTTGTCTCGGAGTACATCGAGATCAGCACAGTAACGGCCACCAGCTCGATTGGTGCAAAAGTTTGGACACCTTTCAATTTGCGACCAATGTTTGTGAATACATCTGGATCGTTCTTGATGAGTTCCTTGAACGTGTTGAAGACATTCGCTAGATGTGACTTGAGTCTATCGTCAAGTGCAGCTTTATTATGCAGGAGTTTAGGAAGGGCGGTATAATTGGTTCGCAGTATTGGGATGCCGTTTGCGTTAGTAGGATGCTCGACCTCGAGAATCTGGCTAAAGCATGAGAGTGCCATTTGGAAGTCTTTCGCGCGAGAGCGATCTTTGAGAAGTTCAAATATAGTGGGGAAGTCTTGTACGAACAACTTCCCCAACTCTTGCCATGGCCCGCTCTGAGCTCGCATTTTCTCTGCAGCAGTGAGCTGCATTCCAAGCTGTACCCTTGCAAAAAGATCTTCTTCTTGTTCTGATGACAGGTCTTTGTATTCGAATGAGCAGAATTCCTTCGCAAGGAACTCCTTTTGCTGAGTTTCCGATAGAACCTTGCGAGACCTGCCCTCGGGATGCTCACAGAAGAACCTGTAAAGTCAGCAGTGGCTAGTGAGATTAGACTGTTCTTCACCTACCATTTGTTTCCTTGATAATCCTGGCAAGGCACGAGACCTTTCACAAACGCGCGGACAGACGAAAGTCTCTGTTTGCCATCGACGCAAATTAGAGTCACTGAGTTGGGATCCCCACCTGATGCTTTCCTGTTGAGAATGATAGGCGGGATGTAGAAATTCTCTGCGTTATTGATTGTTAGCACCGAATTTTGAGTTTTTGTTGGCCTTGACTAGGTGATTTTGCCTACCCATCAAAGAGTTGACCAAGTTCGTCATGCGCTCAGCAGTCCATACGACCTCGCGCTGATATTCGGGATCAATGTCGATTTTTCCCCTTTCAAGCCCATCTGAGTGTAGGAATTAGTTCGTGGCGGTAAGACAATGGGTGCTTGGACGTACCGATTAGGTATGCCAGACTTCTCATGAAGACTCCTGGCTGAGACAGCTGAGGACGTGACCTATACGCGTTGGCGTCGAACTCGCCAGGAAGATCGCCGCGCTCGCCCGACTCGTCGACAGCGAAGTCGATAGCGAAGTCCTTGTCGTCATCATCGTCTACCTCTTCTTGTTTGAACAAAGTCTGCACAAATAAGTAAAGTGATATAGGTCGACGACCGGATACCAACTCACCTGGCTGGGGGTCAAGTTCATCGCCAACCCTGGCATACTATTAGCTGCCCACCTGTAGTTAGTTGTAGAATATGTAAAGGCGGCTAGGCGCTCTTGGACTAGTAAATGATTGATCAGCTTAGTCAGCTCCAGAGGGACTGCAGTGTGCAGTGTGCTGGTTCTTAGTGGTTCTTTACAGTCAAGAGAGGGGGCTAAATAGGCGGCAAAAGGCAGGTAAAGTAATGTGGAGAAGTGTTACGGATGAACCGAACAGTGACGATTCATCCGTAACATCTTTACTTCTATCCTATCCTATCCTATCCTATTCTATTAGTTATACTGTACTTTTTTAAGTAAACATAATAACGTACTGGACGGGCGAGCTGATCAGACGGGCGAGCTGATCACTCTGCCAAGACCACACCAACTTTTCAGTTACCACAGCAATTTATCACAGCAACAAATAATCTATAGTAAAATAATAGTAACTACTCTAACTAGGGACTATTTCTACATCTTTTTTACATGTACGTGAGTTATGCCCAGCCTTGCCGCACTGCCTGCAGCGCCTCTGAGTTAGCTCGTCTCTATCAACGCGCGCCTTCTTCTTGCCATTCTTCCCATTACTACAAGCCCTAAACTCTTTAAGAGCAGTTAATCGAGCGCCTTCCTCTATTGTAAGGGTACCTTCCTTCTGTAATCGCTTTCTTTTATGCGATCTACGTCGCGTGGCGGCTTCGTTAGCTGCTTGAAGCTCAGCAACCTGAGAGCGCAGTAGTACGATTGAATGCACCATCTGCGCAGCGCCCTTGGTAAGCTGATCAAGCGACTCAACCA